CTTCACCCTTATAAATAATAGGGAGTTTCCAAATTTGTATATGTACATATAATATTGTTGAAATAATTAGAAATGACAAGAATAGTCTTGTTATATATACATAATATAAATATAAAATAATGGCAAAGTCTTTCAAGCTATCAAAACAAGATTCTAATTTTAAAGTTTAATTTTGCTTTTTGTTTAATTTTTTTATTTCAATATTAATTTAAATGTAATATTTTATAAAAAAAAATAATAATAATAATAATATATTTTAATAGAAAAAAAACAAAATAAATGCATAGTGCTAATTTTATTATTATTATTAATTATTATTATTATTACACTGCATGTAATATATTGCATATTATTATCAAGTAATACTACCATACATGTAATATTGTAGTAATTTTATATAAGTTAGTTCACTCTAGAACATTATTTATTCATCTTGGGTGTGTTTGTTTTGTGTTTTAATATTTTTTCTTATGTGAGATATGAACAGTTATGTAGATAATACAAAAATAAAAAGTATGTAATGTATTAATTTTTAAAAAAAATATGTTAGAAGTTTCTGTTAAAATAACAAAGTTTTACTCTTTCAATTTTTATTTTTATAGAATATTACATGTAGCACTCATTTTATATATAAAATATTACATATAATAATAATTATATTTCAAAAAACTAAAAGAAACCAAAAAGAAATCACCAATAAGCTATAAAAGATGAGGTAAATGCCACCCTAAGTGTACATTGTGAATCAACATAGTTTTTATGATGGCTTCAAAACACTTCGATCTTGTTCTATTTCTTCTCCTACTCTTGGTTTTAGGTAAGACTTAATTTTATTGGTACAAGAAAATTACTCTTTATATTTCGAGAAACATCGCATATTTGCTGTAATTTCAAAAGGTCGAAATATATTCTTTCTGTTTTTTATTATTCATTTTTCTATGTTTTTTTTTTTTTTTTTTCTTATTATTCATTTTTCTTTGTAATGTAAAAGGAATTGTGACAAAATCGGCCAAAGGCGCCGACTGTCGGGCAAATAGTAGCACATATCCTAAATTCAAGTGCTTCGGACATCAATTATGCGATCAATGTTGCAAATCCGAAGGATATCCGTGGGGACAATGCGAACACATCTTTTGCAAGTGCCATTATAATTGTCCGAGTGGACATAAAGCCGGTAAAGATGGCGCAAGAGGTGAAGGATCCGAAGATGAAGATCATTCTAAAAATGGACATTAATAAAAATCGAAAAATGTGAAGACTTGTGTCTGATAATAACTCTTTGTTATATTTCTTGATTTCAAATCTTTTATAAAACAAACTATTGGATTATCATTAAAATTTATATTTATATATATAATATATAAAAAAATATTTAAATTAAACACAAAATTATAGTAATAATACAGAAAATATATTAAGTGTTAAGAATTATTTTTTTATGAGAAATCACACTAGTTTTTATTTTTAAAAAATACAAAAAATAAATATTTACAATATATACTCATAAAATCTCAGTTGCCAAGAATCATCAGCTTAGGTGTGCTTTTTCTTTTCTTTTTTTTTTTAAATGACATGTGAATCGCAAACTAGGCTCGAGTCTTGAAATTAATCACAAATTAATTAAGCTCCGGAATTGTTGTTATTGCACCGTCGTCATGACAAAATATATCCATATAATATAAATAATATATTTTTATTTTCTCACAAAAATTAATAATTTAATATAAAATATTATTATTTTTATTATTGACACAATTTTTCATGTCTTACAATAAAATAAAATAAAATATATTTCAAACTAAAACACAAATTAAACAAACACAGTTGGTATGTTTTCTATAATGTTTTTATTATTCATAAAAGTAATTTTTTTTTAAAATCAAATACTTATTTTGTATTTTTAAAATTATATTAAAAATTAATTATATATTCAAAATATTATTATCCCTGTATATTTATATGTCATATTAAACAATTATTTTAATTCAGAATTCAAACTTAAAACTCAAACCCACTATTTGTTTGGTTGTGATTTAAAATTGATTTGAATTAAAGTGGTAATTTGAGTTTTTGTTTAAATAGTATTTTGATGTAATATTTTGATACAAAAAATAATATTACTATATTTTTTATTGAAAATTGTGTTGAATGAATAGGAAACTGTTCAAAACTTTTTTTACTAATTTTTTTTTAACTTCTAACTCAATTGTTAAAATGTAACTCCAAAAAAATAAAAAAATAAAAAAAAAGAACAGATTGTTATAGTAGTTATTATTATAATACTCTCTCCGTCCGGCTACAAAGTATACATATTTCTATTTTGAGACGTCCAATTATAAAGTAATCATTTCATTAAATATTTCATTTTTTTTTCCACAAATACCCTTACTTTACATCACATCATTACTTTTATACCAAAAAATAAATGCAAAAATATCATTACACTACTTTTACCTATCCACTATAATTAAAATACTATTATTTCTTAAATTACACGTCAAAAGTAAATATATACTTATTGTGTAGACGGAGAGAGTATAACATTCTATAGTAGTAAAATAATATAGCATCGCGTAAAATATTACATAATATGTCTATATTTAATAAAAATATTACACTAGTATATATAATATTATATAATAATATAATTTGGATATAAAAGATAGATAGGAAAATGAAGAATCTGAAGTGCTGAAACTTATCATTCATCACTATAACTTTCATATTCATATGAAATTCATGGTCTCCAAATTTCTAAATTTTTCATTATTTTTTATTTTGGTGCTTTTTGTGACCCGTAAGTCTTCATATTATGTTTCTTATTATATATATATATATAGGAATTTGCAATTTAAAATTTCTGAAGAATAGTTACTATGTTATGTTTGTAATGAGTTGTTATTCATTTTTTTACTATTTAAATTTTACAATTTCTTCTTTTATAAAATATCATTAAATATTGATTAAATTAAAAACAAATCTTCAAATTTAATTCGAGGTGAAAATAAACACTAATGTATTGTTTATCTATATAAATTTAGAAAAAAACATCCGCTCGACAAAAATTTCTGTAGACAAATACGCCACCTTTAAACAACCATCCAACAATTCTAGTTTTTATCATTCATCATATGTGTTCATTTTGATCTTTTAAAATTTTTAGCTCTCATAATTATCAATTAAAAAATATTTTATTTATTTAGAAAATTATGAAATCAAGATAATATTTAAATTTAACATTCAAATACAAAACTAAAAATTAATAATAAAAAAAAAAAAATCAAAGTGAATAACCATGATCTTGCTATAATTGATTCTTGTTGTATTTGTTTTACAAGTGTTTGATGCAATAATCGATGAAGTTGAAATAACTATTGATTGATTGTCGTTGTGCAGAGAAGATGGTGATAATGAGAGTCGTAGTTGCTTTGACGGCGCAATATTTGTTTTACATATGCTTCAATGAAGATAGATATTGGAAGCTTTTTTGCAAGTTTCTTGGCTTCTCGACTGGAACATGCAAAGACGTAATGTACAAATGTATTTACAACGATGAGAGTTATGATGACAGTGATGATAGAGATAAAATGCGGCGGTGGTGAGGTTAAAACCTAGTGAAATATATATTGTAAATTGATATTATACGGATTATGTAGAAAAATTTAAGAATATTATGTCAAATTAAATATAATAATAAGTTTATTATTAGAATTATATTCCTTCTTAATTTATAACGATCGAGTGAGAATTTCCGTTCTTGTAATATTTAAAATCATTTAAATTTATGATTTTTCCTATAATGTTGTAATAGTGTTCCATCGAAACATTCAATAACATTTTCATTTGAAAAAACAAGCCAAATTTAGTGTAAACATTAAACTTATAATCCATGATAAATTCAACATAAAACTTCATATAATTTTTTAAAGAATAAAAATAAATTAATTAATATGACTTTATATAAGCAAGTAGTGGCAATATTTGCTTTTGTTTTAATTGTTGTTATTAATTTATTTTTTATTTTGTGTTTGTGTTTGATTTTTGTAAATATTAATTAGATGTAATGTTTTGTATTGTAAATATGTATATTTTTTTTTATAGTAAACAGTGAAATTGCATTGTAAAAAAAAAAAAAAAAATGTTAAAAGTAGTCTTCTTCTTGTTAGAAGTTAGAAGTTGGGACTTATCTTGTAGGATCGCTTTTGGATACATCAAGAAACTTTTATGATTCTTACAGATTAAATCATATCATATTTATAAAAATAAAATAATGATAAATAAATAAAAGTAAAATGCCACAATCCTAGGTCGATTTTATGCATTTGTCAATGGCATTGGGTTTGAAGTTTTCTAAAGTCATTTGAAATTTAAAAAAATTAAGTTTTCATAAATTTCTAGTCTTATATATATTGGCAACACAGAGATATTCCATTTCATGAAATCAAAACACATGAACTGATAAATTTCGTACAACAAAATGGGTTCTAAACTTCTTGATTTCTCACTTCTACTTCTTCTTCTTCTTCTTTCATGTAAGCATTGTGTCCATACATACATATATATATATATATATATATCTCGAGGGAGAGATTTTCTTGAAGTAATTAACAGCAATATTGTTTTTGCAAGACAGGCACAGTGAAGCAATCCGAAGCAACACTATGTTACGCGAAAAGTAGACTGTTCCGAGGGCTATGTATGATCCGCGGAAGAAACTGCGCCACCATCTGCCAATCCGAAGGTTTCCTAACCGGTCGCTGCAACCGCCTCAACTGCATTTGCGCAGCAGATTGCGCCGCCTATCATAGCAGCTATGTCGGCAGCGTCGACACCCTCTCCCCTGGTGGCAATGGAATAGGCCAAAGGAAAAATGTATAGAGGAAAAATCAGCTCATATATGTCAAAAGAATTAATTCCATTTAATGGAATCCCTTCAAATTATTTGAGGTAAATCAATAACGTTAAAAATAATAATAATAATAGCCTTAAAACAATTGAAATAAGGATAAATAATTTTGTTGCATAAAAACCAACTTAGAATCCTAAATTCATCACAACAAGAAATGAATTTGTTCTTAATGGACCAATGGGTAGCAAACTGCTGCTTTTACACAAACTCCCACAACATTTTTTGCACACGAATTTGGTTGTCTTTTTCTTTCTTTTCTTCTTTTCTTTTAAACAACAAATGTTTTCATAAATATAATGGTTGTCGTCGGAAGGAGGAAGAAGCCGGAAGGAAGTGGTTACAGAGCTTTTCCATAAATAGGGTCAGAGGTTGTAGTTCCATTCGCTAGACTTGACTTTCTGAACTATGCCATTTTCAGCCAAATAGTCGACGAATTCATCGATCAGATATGGCCAAGCACCGTCCGGGTCGTAGTTCGATAATGCAGGATCAACTGACTGTATGTAAACATAGTTAAATTCACAATGTCAATCGTGGAATGAACTGGATTTCAAATATTGACAAACTGTAAATAATTTTTACCCTGGCGAACTCGAGCAGCTGGGACCAGGTATCCCGGGAGATTGCCTTGTTGTGCCGTGCCTGAACCATGAATGTGTTAATATAAACATGTGTAACAAAAGAGTGAGAAATAAAACCTTTGAAGTTTTTCAATAATAATAAATCTAAACTATTACACTGCTCAATTCAGAATTGAAATCACAAATAATCATGAGTTCTCTTTTCAAAATATCACATCAAATAATTTTTTCTCACAAAATATCGAATCAAATACACACTAATTTTTATTATTTCCAAAATTTCTATCTAAATGAAATCTCAAATCAGTAAGATGCATACTATTTGGCAAACCAAACAATTCAATAATTTGACCAGACTATGCAATTACATTTTTATGGACTAGTATAAAAACTCACGATAGATTCATTTATTCTACCTGCAAGAACTGGCACCAATGATCGACTAATGACCATTGCTTTTCTGCAAACAGTAATTGCCACATGCCGATAGCAGTATCCAGTGCCAAAGACTTCTGACCCTGGATATCAGAACAATATTATAAGATACATTCGTTGGTAACACCGCTTTATTGAAATAATAGCACAAACAGTTTAGATTCAATTTTAGTTAAAAGAACATTCGTCCAATTGAGTGTTACCTTCTCTTTTGCCCAGCTAAATGCAAAGTTATAGATCTCTCCGAACTTATCTGCACATGAAATGTTAAAACCATAAGCCACAAGCAGTGAAATTATTTTATGAGGTTTTAGTATTAGCCCTTCTCATATGTGAATTGAAAATATTCAGCACAACAGGGGGTTCTATATGAAGGATTTATTAGTCCGGTAGGACTTCTCTCACTCATACATAAACTAAGAAACTAGAAACACACAAATTCATTAACCATCAATCCACCCCCCACCCCAAAAAAAAAACAAAGATGGTATGACAAAATTGAGGACATACGTTCATCTTTCAGCTCTGAACGCAAAAACGGAATTCTTTCTCTGAACTTTTCTATTGAATCGATGCTGCAAAAATACATCAGAAAAAGAGTTTTTCAGCATAGTCGATGTAATAGGAAAAAAAAGATGGATTGAAACGATTTTTCATATACTAACCCAAGAGATTGTAATCCTCCCATAAACTCCTGCTTTGAGAATTCACACATGGTAGCTGCCTTCATATGCCAAGAGATCACCAACTACAGTACACAACACATCAACATTGAGATGGAACCAAATTTAAAACTGATTAGTTCCTTTTATCATTTAGTTTATAAAAAGAAACAAAGTGGACTAGAGAAGTGTTGCTTTAGATCTTCAAACCACAGTATGTTTGAAACAGTGTAAATAATAAATAAGTAATTGAGTTGAAGCAGCATTACATTCTTCTCTTAAAGTGCTACTCTATTGTCTGCTTTTCATTATTTAAATATCAGATGTAGATTAAATGGTTAGTTGTCATAGTTTTGCGCTATGCTTCAATAAGGGGCACAATACACAATACACTGGCCAGTACAGCTTCAAAGAAGCACATATGCAGGAGAAGTTACATACTTCATATGAATTGCTATCTATAGTCTTTTCGTGACAAAGTCATGAATGCTTATCCAAGATATACCATATCAACCTTGTGGAATTCTTAATAAAGACAGGATTAAATAAGAATCATTATATATAGACTATTTAATATATTTAACAAGATCTATTTCACCAACATAGATAGGAGAGGGTATGAAAACAAATGAACACTCAGAAGTTTAAGAGACAAGCACACAAGAAAGGTTGAAGACAGATGGGGAAAATACAAGCAAACATGTATAGACCCTACACAAATATCCTTAGCAATTCCCAGAATTGTTAAGGGTCAAGAAAAAAAAAAAAAAAAAAAAAAAAAAAAAAACCACTCAAAATGTGAAAACTCAATAAATAAGCTAAATGAACACCCCTTAGTGCTGATTGGCATATCAAATATTAGAAAACACATTGAACATATGTAGCTGAACTACTATGTAGATCACAATTCAAATGATAGCAAACATATCATAGAGGTAAACAAATAGTATATTTGGGAGGACAGAACTTTCTATCATGGTTGTTTGGACGCCTTATAAACAAAACAGTCAAAAATTTGCTGCAGCCGTTGCTTGGACACATATAATAATATTAGAGGCAATATTCATGTACATACTACATAAATATGCATATTACATAGAAACTTTATAATTCAGACTTTTGGTGTCATGTACACAGCACCAATCAAGCTCATTCCATGCCTCATGTTTTGAAGCACAAAATCAGGGAATATTTCATATACTTTAAGAACCAATTATTGAGGCACAATTTAAAACAATGCAAGCTGGATTGTTTTAAACTGGATCCAAGGATATGGGCTGCATTAAGCAATATACATAAGAAATCAAATTTAAGCTTAATATGAATCATTAAGGGTGTGTTTGTTTGAAGGATTTTGGTGGATTTCCACTATTCATCCAATTTTTTCCCCCCAAAAACATCAAATCAAACACCTATTTTTCATTTTTTATATTATACTAAAAATCAATTTTACATTCAAAACATCACATCAAACCCTATTTATATCACATCATACAACTATTCAAATTCAAAATTTTTACTATTCAAATCCCAACTCAAAATCCAAACCCCCAAACAAACACACCCTAACACAAAACAACGTAAAACCAAAAGGAGTCATCAGTAACCAACAAAAACATGGTATGCTTGACAATTCCATGTAACAAGAAATTAAGTGAAACTGAATAAAGTGATACTGTGATATGTAGCATACCGTGACAATATCTTGAGGATCAACCTGCCATATATAACAAGAAAATAAGTATCAGATTCACGTTGATAAGTCAAAGGAAGCAGGAATATTAGGGTAGATATTAAGATATGATCCAAAATATTTCATGTTATGAAATAGAAGAGTTGTACTCTTACTGGGGATCCTTTTTTTTATCATAACTCAAATTACAGTTATCCACGTGAGTGGAATTGCTAAATCAACCTGAAGGTCATTGCACAGAAGAGTGATTCCATCAGCCAAGATCATATCAGCATAGGGATCTGAAAAATACAACATCGTGTAGTAAGACTCGACATTGTAAAGGCAAGAACATAAACAATGAAACATGACAAGTCACAAACAACCATGGGTTGCTTTCTCTGTGTACAGCCTAAATTTCTAATGCCAAAGAGAACAACATAAGAGAACGAAAAAATAACTATTCACCTCCTTTGATCCAAGTGTTAATATTTTTGGGATAAGTTCAACATTTCTTCCCCACCACCAAAAACAAAGGACAGCAAAATATCTCTTCACGCCGTTAATATACAGCTAATCTCTCACAGAACTCACAATTCAATTTTAAGTAAATATGACAGTTAGATTGAAGAAAACCCTAGTTATCAATTGACTAGCTAGAGAAACATCAGTTGGCTTCATAGTTGAATTGAGTATATTTCTGGAAAGGAAAACCTATATTGGAATTGCAGCTAATAACAAATCTGCAACAGTGAAAACTAGTTTGAACCTAGTCAAATAAATCTTAATTCTATGTTGCAGCAGCAAAGGAAAGACATATTGGGTGGCTTGTTAACATTATATATTTTCACCTACTTATGCTTTCCACCTAAGTTTTCCATTCATCATACTTCATTCTTTGCTTTAAAAACAAGTACACTATCCATTTCAAACTAGCGATTACTCATTGAAATCTGTTTTTACCTTCTTTACTATAGCAATTGTGACAATCAAGAATCCACATTTCAATTCTCAATCGTTGATATCTTGTTACAAACTAGTTAAAAGTGCACAAGAAGCTCAATTCTCTGGGTTTGACACGAACCCTAGTAGGTATTGGAGATACTGTGATTACCCCGTGCGCTTAAAGAGAATATATTGTCACGCACTATTTATTGAAAATATTTACAAAACCAAATACAGAGCATCAAATAGTTAAATCTTGAAAAAGGGAAAAGAAAAGATATACAACCCTACAACTACTTCAAAGGTCAAACTCCAAAGAAAACATTGTACATGAAAGAAATGGAAAGAATCATGAATCCAATAATAGTTAATATATAATCTAGCCTCGTCTAAACATGACCAGACCTAACGGCCCATATCTTGATAGCACAGGCCCAAGAACAAACGCTAAATGCATTGTTATCATGCATTCCGATTAAGATAAATTGAAATCAAAGATGTGTATGTGTTTGCATATGGTTAATTAAGAAAGTGCATTCTTCAGCATATCTAACGAAACTAAAGCCAAGAGATTTTACCTTTGTATCTATTATAAAGCTCCTCCAAATGCCTTGTATCAGCAACCGACTTCACATGGGGATGACTATAAAATATATCAAATGCTCCTTCAAATTGCCAATCACTAGACTTTAGAGCCTGGACTGCAACTTTTTCACTATATCATAGGAAGCAGAAAGCCAATTAAACAGATCGCCATGCAAAAATTCTTTCATATATAACAGAGAGATTGCTCAAGCACTAATAATAATGCAACAACTCGAAGACTGCCAGAAATCATCGCATTAAACATCAAATTTTATTTAAGCTATCAATAAGCATAACAAAACTCTAGAATATCTCATAACTTTAATCAAAAACAAGTAAAACGCTACTGAGAAGATCTTGCAGTAGGATTTAGCACAAGTAGTAATTGAGTAAGCCAGGAAACATGAGACGAATGGTATAAAGTGTCATATCCTCATTAGGTATAATAGATTAAGTAACTGGTCATAAATTGAAACAATACACAATAACCAAAATTAATCACATCATATTGTGGAAATTTAGATGTTAACACACAATCCTGCCGCAACTCACATCCAAAATCAAAAAACAAGCAAACCCTACATCTATTTCCCAGATTTTCTAAAATAATAAAATAGAAAGCACAAGATCCACAACACGGAATCCTCACTATTTGACAACAGTCGAACAAGAGCTGAAGCATCTACACAGGATTCAGTATTTAAGGTACCTTGCTCCAGTAATTGTCATGAACTGCTGCAGTTTTTCCCGCTGTCCTCTGCTCAACTTGTTCTGTCATGCAAACAACACCTCACAAAAAATCAATTCCTCGTACCACCGCAATTTAGATTCTTTTCCTCGGTACTTATCAAAAATAACTTCAATTAATAAAAAACGGCGAATTGAATAGCCAAAATACAGGAATTGAAAACACCAGCACCCACCATATCGAGAAGCGAATAGAGAGGCCTTATTGTGGATAATTGACCCCAACCCACCAAGTCCTGGACAGAATTACGGGGAAGAGGAGCTACGGTGTAGATTAAGCGTTGATATCCCGAGCGTGAGCCGCCCCAGCTCTCCCCTTTGCGCTTTTTCCACGCTTCTTCTTTCTTTCGGTGGATGGGATGGCTTCTAGAATTTCTTTAGGGCCGAATATCAGATGTAAAAACCAAAAAAAAAATAGAAAAATGGTTTTTTTTTGCTAGTTTAATTATCCATCAAAACTATATATATATATATAAACCCCGGCCTATCGTACGGAGTTTTAATTTATTCATCAGTGGCTCTCTTTACCGATTTGATTTTGAATTTTAATTTTAATTTTAATAATAAAATTTTAAATTAAAATACTTATTTGATATATAAATATGTATTACTTTGATATTTCAAATATAAAATTATAATTTATTGTAATAAAATAAATAAAAATTAAATATTTTTTTACATTTTGGAGAAAAAAAATAAAATAGTAAAATAATTAATAAAATTTTACAAGTAAACATAATAGCACGAATTTCCATAACATATTGTATTAAAATATATTACATTAATATAAATATTTTATTTAATTTTTGAAGGTAAATTAATATTTTTTCCATCTAGTTACAAATGATAGTATATATATTTTTATTTTGGGACGTTTAATTACAAAGTAATAATTTTATTAAATATTCAATTTGCTTTTTATAAATACATTTACTTTACATCGCATCATTACTTTTATATCAAAAAGTAAAAAAAAATATCAGTGCATTACTTTTACGCTATTATTTTTTAAATTTCGCGCCAAAAATAAATATATACTTATTATATAGACGGATGAAGTATTTTATATGTATATTGTGTAAATAGATTAAAAAAAAGTAAAATATTTGATATTTGATGTGTTATTTCCTGAAATAAAAATATATTTTTTTAAAAAAATTAATATATTATTGTAATTTTTTTATATTATTTATATAATTATTTATATTTTATTTTAAAATTTAATTTTTCAAATCATTTACAAAACAAACACTTAATATTTTTATATCATCCACATTATTCTGATATGCATTGATCCAAAAACAAATGTTTTTACTCCCAAAAATTTTAAGTAGGTTTCATTATTTTTAAAACATAAAAATAAAAAATATTAAATTAAATATTATTTTTTATTTATTATATAATATGAAATTTTAATTTTATATTTAAAAATATTTATTACAAATATATTTATATCAAGAGAAAAAATCTTTGGTCTTATTTAATATTATAATTATCAATTTTGGTTTCACTAAAAAAAAATTATCAATTTTGGTTTTACATGAAAATTTATCCATTTTAGTCCAAGATGGTTGACTGGGACTGAATATATATCTTGGTCTTATTTAATATTTTTATTTTGATATTTTGAATAAAATACTTTAAATTTTTTACTATAAATCTTTAAAAATATATATATATATATAATGATTATTATAAAAATATATATATTAATATATTATTATTTTTATATTTTTTTTGCAATTATTTTTTATATTATAAAATAATTATAAAAAATACTCCTATTTTATGAATTATATATATAAAAAATAATTTTAACCAATAAGTGAAAATAATAATAAACATAACTTATAATATGATTATATTGGAAATATAGTTGTGAACATAACCTAAAACATGGTTTCTGTTAGGAATATGGGCAGGAACATGACTAGAATATAGCTGTGTTGAGAACATCGACTGAAACACGTATGTGTTGATCCAACACGGCCTGGGACAGCTAGTTACCTTTTGAGTCATTTAATACAGTCGTGTTCAAGCCAATACGGCCGTGTTTAATTCCAGTTAACCATGGATAAATTTTTATTTGACTTAGACTAAAATTGATAAAAAAAAAAAAATTGAACGGAACCAAAAATAATAATTATAATATTGAATAGAACAAAAATAACTTTTGGAAAGTTATAATAACTTTTACTTATTGAATATCCTTTAGGGTGTGTTTGTTTGGGGGATTGGATTGGATTTATACTATTCATCCAATTTTTTTCTCCCAAAAATATCAAATCAAACACCTATTTTTCATTTTTTTATATTATACTAAAAATGAATTTTACATTCAAAACATCACATCAACACCTATTTATATCACATCATACAACTATTCAAATTCAAAATTTTTACTATTCAAATCTCAACTCAAAATCTAAACCCCAAACAAACAAACCCTTAATTGTTTGAAAAAAAACTAAATAATGTAAATATTTGATTGATTATTTTAAAAATGGTTAATTTAAAAAAAAAAACAGAAGAAGTTAATTTTTAAAATATTGCATATCTAAACGTTAGAAATAGATAATTTGGAAACGATTCTCAATAAATATTGTATAGATATTTTTAAATAATATATATAATATATTTATTAAAAAAATAATAATTTAATATAAAATATTATTTTATAAAAACAATATTAATAATTTACATTTTAAAAATAGAAAAGAAAAAGCGGCCGATTTCTTAAAAACACTGCACACAAAGCTGTACATGCGGGAAGGCAGCGGCGGAAACAGTCATGCAATGGAAAAGTTTGAGGGCATTCTCGTAATTTCAATACATCTCAAATTAGGGTTTCCTTCCCTCATCTATATATACACTTGTAAACTGCGAAGGTACTGTGGAATTTATTTGTTATCTTGCGGCCGCCTGAATAGCATAGCACACAGGCGATGGATTTTGCTATTCGATTTAATGGTTGTGTTTTGAAGGCCAGTGATGTTTTGAGAATTGTCCGTACCATCTGAGGTTTCTCTTGCAGATGTCTTTGATGTGAATCGTTCTCTGCCTTCTGAGGTCGTTTTTCTCCGTCCGGATCCGGTCGATTATTATCGTTGTTATCGATTTCCTTTTTCCTTTTTTTTTTTCTTTGGTTTTTCTATTGGCAGAAGTTGATTTCTGTAATCGTGATTTTGTCTACAGAAGAGGCAATGATGTCCAATTTTTACCATCAAACGATGAAAGCCTCTGTTTCAAGCTTGTTGATGTTAAATAAATCATTGCTCTCTGAGCCTCTCAATTATTCGATTTTTAATTTTGTTCATTTTAGTATCTTTTAAAGAAGCACAATTACTAAGGCAACAAATTAGAGTCACTGATGCACCTAAGATTTGATGGTGTTTTTAGCGCTGTACGTTGCCAATATGGATTCATTCGGCTCTGAGATTCTGGCACTTGCCTCACTCTAATGAGGCTGGTGCATTCAGATGAGCCGATATTTTTTATTCATCACTAGTTTGGTGTTTTTCACTCATGTTTATGGTTTTTTAATATTAAAGTGAGCGAATTTTTCATCGGGAATCTTTTCACAACCAAACAAACCATTGATGGATATGAGTAGATCATAATCTGTTATATAATGGATTCTGTATAGATGTGTTTGACACTTTTCCGAGGGCTCCTGCCCCATCCCGACCTTGCTCTCGAGCCATGTTTAAGCTTGAATATGTTTTAGGAAATTGTTTTAGGAAACGCTCCAGTAAAAATACTTCAAAATTATTTAAAGATATGGAATCTATGATTTTGATTTAAAACATATTGTTTTATTAGGAAATTTGTAGAATTTTCAGTAATTGGGTGCGTTTGTTTGGGGGGGGTTTGTATTTTTGTTTGGAGGCTAAAATCAGAAAAAATAAGAAGCTAGATTTTGATTTTATATTTTTGAGGTGAAAAAATTATACGTAGGGTGTGTTTGTTCGAGGGATTGGATTTTGAGTTGGGATTTGAATAGTAAAAATTTTGAATTTGAATAGTGGTATGATATGATATAAATAGGTGTTGATGTGATATTTTGAATGTAAAATTAATTTTTAGTATAATATAAAAAATTAAAAATAATTGTTTGATTTGATTTTTTTGGGGAAAAAAATTGGATAAATAGTGTAAATTCAATCCAATCTCCGAAACAAACACACCCAATATGTATTTTTTGAGAAATTTCTGAAACAAGCATGTTTGTTTGGGTGATTGAATTTTTAATCTACTGTTTTATTTTTTTTTTAAAAAAAATATTAAATTAAACACCTATTTTTTATTTTTTATATTATATTAAAAATTAATTTTATATTTAAAATATTATATCATACTTATTTATATTATATTATATAATTAATTATTTTTTATTATTTAAATTTCGTTCAAAATTTGAACTTTCAAACAAACACACCAAACAAACACACCATAAATATAGGTATTGGGTCGGCCTAAATGGGTATAACCATTTAGATTGGCCCTAAATGTTATTAGTTTTATGTTCCATTATATAAAAAAGAAAGTGATTTTTTCAAATTAAAGTAATCAAACATTAACATTTAAAAAAAAATTATTTTATACTATATAATTTTATATCCATGCATAACAAATTAATTACTATTTAGAAGAATACATTTTACTGCGTTACATATGAAAAAATATTATAAAATTTTTATAAGAAAGTGATTATAAATAGGTGGATTGAAGATTCAATTTGAATCCAATTATTTTATTTATTGATTCTTAATTTTTTTTATAAAAGTATAACAATATATGTATATATATATAAAATATCATATTCAATTATTATTTAATTTCAAAATAAAATAAGAGTTCAATAACGTCACTAATCAAACATTTTATTTAAATGCTTGTTTTTTAAGTGATATCTTTAGAAAATAATATATTTTGATAAAAATATTCTAATGACTATATATAAATTAATTTTTTAAAAATATCCCAAACACATTCTAATCATTTGCAATTAATTAGATATATAATTGAGCAAAATGTATGCCAAAAAATAGAGATTAGTTATATTTTTTTACGTTTTATTTGGAATGTTCAACAATTATTTGAAATGTTCTATTTTTTTATTTGGAATGTTCAATAATTATTGTTTTTTTATTTATTTTTTTACACGAAATTTACTTTTTTACTCTTACTTTATTTAGTTTTTATTTTCTATACATATTATTAAGGGTAAATTTGTCATTTTATAAAAAATTATAAATGCTTAAATATAAATTTTAAATAGGACATTAGAAAATGGATGGAGAGATTATAATATATATAACACATGAAATTTTATTTAAATATAATATGAATAGGAACATGAATACTGTATTTAATCATTATGTCACTAATATATATATATATATATACATATATACTTAGTTATTATTATTTTTTGACATATTATTTTTACAACCATATAATGTGATCACTTAAATGTTAGGTTTTTTTTTTTTTTTTTAAAGAAATAATTTATATTGATTGTAATTGCTTTTGTAAGTATTACGTAAAAAAAATAAAAAAGAATCTTGTAATATTGTGATTAATAGTAATTTGGGATTAAATTGGTTAATTATATTAAATCATTATTTCTACTATTATATTAATTCTCCCGTAATTTTTTTATATGAATATTTTACTTTTAAGGTGTTGCTAAATCTCATTATAAAAGGATTCACTTTTTACCATTTAGTATGCAATGGAATTAAATTTACTATATTAAAATTAGAATAAATGTCCAATAAACAAATTTGACACTGCCACAAAATCCAAAAGTGAATGTCATTTTTGTAATGAAATAAAGTTAATTGATGTAACTTAATATTAATCTCATACTTTATTATTAAAATATATTATCACATTTAAACCCCACGTACCAAATGTAGTGTAAAATGTAAATATATTTAGTTATTTAAATATCTATGGATATGTTTTATTAGACTTTTTCCTCAAATTAATCATTAATTCTAGTATGTAACAATGAGCTGACCTTTAATTTCAAATCAAAATTAAATAAAAATGAAAATATATATATATATATATATATATATGGTCTGAAATGATAATCAAGTGCTAATGAAATTACTTGAATGATTTAGTGCTAAAATATCATAATCAAAGCAATTATTTTCCACGTAAGTATTAATACCAAATACACTCATGCTATAAAATATAACAATGAATAAAATTCCCCGTACATGTTTTAATTTAAACATAATATTGAATCACATAATATTTCAATTTAAAATTTTAAGACTCCCTCCGTCTTGCAAAAAGATTATCTTGATTTTTTATATGTTAATTTTTAAATATTAATCATTATATCACTATACAGTACAGATGAAGAGAAAAAAACAGAAATATATTTATTAATATTTTATAATAGAAATACAATGATATTTGCGAAGTAAATTATTCAAATATAAAAATATTTTTAATATAAAATTAAATCACGTAAAAATCAAATAGTAATAGTTTAAAGACTTCGAATTTTAAAGAAGTAATAGTTTTTTTTTTTTTTCAAAAATATATATACTAATATATATATATATAATATAAAAGCCCACGTACAATTAAACATGCATTAATTGTTCTTCCACTCAAAAATAATTCTATAAATCAAGGTGCTTATCATATATAATTATATAAATCAAAATCAAAATCTATCTAATTCACTTAGGAATGTCCAAAATTGGCACAAAATCCTCACCGGAGGCGCCATCGCCGGCGGAGTGCCGCTCCCTCGACAAGGCTATTGATAATTTGATCGGAGATTTTGGGTAGTGCCAATTTTTCCAAGCGGCTATTCTATCGTTGGCGTGATTCTTCGACTCACAACAAGCTTTTATCACTATCTTTACCGATGCACAACCCAAATGGCATTGCAATGTTAATAATAAGACAATGTCGTGTAATAACACCAGCAACATATGCCGACTCCCCATAGGTTCTTGGTCGTGGGACTACTCAGCCGCCACAACACGGTTGTCCGAGTGGTCTCTGCAATGCGCTAATCCTATTATTCGGGGACTCCCGGCTTCATCCTTCTTAGCCGGTTGTCTTCTCGGAGGTTCGTAGTAGTAGTAATAATAATAATAACAAGAATTAAAATATACTAAAAACATTTTTTAAAAAATACATTAATGTATATAGTACTATCGAATATTTTTTATTTTATTTTGCTTAGATTACATTTTACATGGTTTTATATGTCCCATAACTTTGATTTTTTTCAACAATTTATCTTTAATTTATGAGTTATTTATTTAGTATATATATATATACTTGTTAATTATAAAAAATTGTGAAATTATTGATGGTGTTTTGTTGATTGAATCATTGTATGTGAATTGGGTATACATGACTTATTTTATCTAGACTTAGGTGAACACATCATTTGTTTTGGCTGATTTTATAAAAATGTATTTTTTAAAATAATAAAAACGAAAAAAATAAATCAATTTTAATATGTGTAAATAATAAGCAAAAAAATTACAAAATTTTTAGAACATTATTAAAAGGAGTGTGTATTGATTTTAATTGATTATTAATATGGTAAAGCCATAAAACAATTTATAGAAATTCAATTTTATTAGTATTATTTAATTACCATGACTATACACGTATACTTCGTACAGGTTTTATCCTGGCTGCAATGGCGGATTCCTGTCTGGGCCGGAAGAACTTGCTGGTCAATGCTGTCTGATTATGTCATTTCCGGCTGCTCTAACGCCGCTCTCCACCAACATATGGACCTACTCCGCCTTGCGATTCCTCAGCGGCTTCGGACGCGCCGCCATCGGCAGCTGCGCGCTCGTCCTCTCCTACGAAACCACCGCCAAGCGGTGGCGCGACAAGGTCGGAATATTAGGATTCCTCTGCTTCACCCTAGGTTTCCTGTCTCTTCCCGTCATCGTCTTCCTCCTCCGCGACCATTCATGGAGATTAATGTACCTGGTCACGTGCGTCCCGTGCCTGATCTACGCGCCGGCGGTTTACTTCTGCGTCCACGAGTCGCCGCGGTGGCTGTTCGTCCGGGGGAAGGAGGAGTTCGTACGGACGATTAGAACATTCTCGAAGAAGATGGACAGCTCATCAATAGCCGGGGATTTCGACACGTGGACGGCTGATATTGCGCCGGCGGGCGGAGTCTTATCGTCGCTGAAACAGCTGCTGAGCAAGGGTTGGGCCAGGCGGCGCGTGGGGGCGACGCTCGCCGTGCATTTCAGCGTCGGCATGGCGTATTTGGGGACGCTGAAATTCGATTTGTAGCTGAGCGCGGCGTTCAACGCGGCGGCGGAGATTCCGGCGGCGGCGGCGGTGTTCTGGCTGGTGGGGAGGGTGAATCGGAGGGCGGCGGTGATGGGGTTCTGCGCGGCGAGCGGGATCTGCGGGCTGGGGAGCGTGGCGGCGGCGGCGCGGTGGAAGGGGGTTCAGATGGGGCTGGAGGCGGTGGCGTTCGCCGGCGTGTGTACGGCGTGCGATGTGCTGCTGATTTATACTTTGGAGCTTTTTCCGACGTGTGTGAGGAACTCGACGATGACGGTGGCGCGGCAGGCCGGGGCGCTTGGCGGGGTGATGGGGCCCGTTTTGGCCGGGGCGGGTCGAAGCTCCGGGTGGGAGTCGTACGGGGTGTTTGGGGCGGGGATATTGGTGAGCGGGGTGGTTCTGGTGTGGCTGCCGGAGACGAAGGGGAAGGCCATGGTGGATACCATGGAGGAGGAAGAAGAAGAAGAAGTTAGGATTAATGGATGCAAGAATAAAGTTTCCATCTTGCCCTAAACATATATTTACCTATTTGTTCCGATCAGCATTTGTGAGCAATCAATATCCTAAGGGTGCATTTTCATACCGAGAATAAAATTGCAAGAAAAATCATAGAAGAGAACAAATATAGAGAAAAATAATTGATATAGAATAAGAATTAATTTTAAACAGAAAACTTTTATAAATAATACTTACATATTACATTTTACTTCAAAATTTTTTAATATTTAAATCTTAACTTAAAATTTAATCTCCCAACCACACTTTTTTTTTTTATATATTTTTTTAATAAATAAATATTTTTATTAACATTAAAAAAAACTTCATTTTTTCTTTTATAAAATTAATTTCTATTAATAGTAAATATATATTTTTATATCTGCTATTTATATTTTATATTTTAATTTTATAATCAATAATATTTTAATTTTAATTAACATAATTAACTAGTTTAATATTTATTTATAATTATTTATACTATATAATAATTATTTTTATTTATATACTTTTTAATTATTTATTAATTATACTTTATCTAAATTCTCATATGTATAATAATTATTTTTATTCGTATACTTTTTAATAATTTATTAATTATACTTTATCTAAATTCTCATTATAATAAACTATATAAAAAGTGGAACTAATGAGTATAAAATTTTATTATCACAAAATGATATTTATATTGTAGTATATTCTATTAAAATATAGTAGTATTTAAAATATTTAAATATATTCTTGTTCTATAAATAAAAATAACACAACTCACATATAATTTTAAAATTCACCACCTATCCAAATTTTTTTAATAAACCCACAGAACTTGCTAATTATAATACTCCCTCGTACTGGTTGCCTCTTAAAATCACGTTTACCTTTGTGTCATGTATTTCAATCCTACTTTGTCTGGGGCACTATAAATAAAATATAAGAATGAGCTAGATCAAGCAATAATAAACGAAATTGCATAAAAGCAGTGTTCGGTCAAAATTGCCAAAAGTCTTTACAACATTATTTATAATCGAACCAATTTCGAAAGTATCACTCAGTTCTACTCTTCAACTAATGAACCAAATGCCTATTCAGTAGAAGATTATCTCACTGCAAATCAAACTACCAAAGTCATCCACTTCACTTTACTCGATTCTTCTGTAAAATGAATCCCATAATTTGTTTGTTTGTTTGTGCTTAAGAATTATTCTTTTCAAATAAAAAAGATGGACAGATCTACCACAAGCTTGATTTCAAAAGAGGTCATATCAACCAATAACAACACAAGTTCAAAGAGCTTACCCAGTGGTGACTTCTGCTGCAAAACCCTATGGCAGGTTCCATCTTGCATATCTTTTGGCACAAAACATCATTTCATCTGCAAGAGAAACTGGGCAACACGTTTACTTGTATTGCTCAGAAACCTCATTCACAAGCATTTTCATGAATTGGCGTTTCTTGTTGAATCCCCAGCCCGGGTTGCTCTGCAGAGATCATTATAATTGCGAGAAAAAACCCTTTACTAAGATCTCATCTACCAGGGGAAGAAACTAATTTAGATTAATAATAAAGGAAATAAATGATGGAATTAATATAAACAAGCTAATAAACTACCATGAGCATGTTTAATTTGCACTAAAATATTAGAATAATATACAGCAGAGGATTGTTTTATCCAAATTCAAATACTAGGCCCTAAATTATAGTGTGCATAAAAGAGCACATAATCGAGCGAACATATAAAAGGTTAATGAATCCTACCATTTTAAAAATATATGCAATATATTAAGGGTGTGTTTACTTTGGGTGATTAGGGTGGATAATATTATTTTATTCAACCTAATCACATGTTTTGTAAGCATTATTATAGCCCGGGATAAAGTAAAACCAGGCATAATAGTAGCATAATTAAGAATTTTTAATCTCTCACGTGTGGGTGGGATTAAATAATGCTAGTAGTACTATTAATGCTAAAAAACTATTTTGGTTTAAAAGCTAACTTACTATTAATTTTATAATATAATTAAGAGTATTTTAAGCAAAATTAATAATTTTATGCAATAATCAATTAACGTAATTTTTGAAAAAATTTTATCATGTGATTAGACAATCCATTAAAATAATAATATATATTATAATCTCATCCCACAAAGTAAACACACCCTAAAAGTAGAAATGTATATGTGTAACACTATTGAATTTCGTAGAAGGTAAGAAACTGTAAAAAAATCCCATGCAAAGAAGAGAGTAGAGTAAATGATACTTTTATATAGAACATATATGTTGAAGCTAGTAGAATGGAAATATGCACCTGCAATGAGAGAACGGCACGGTCTGTAAAATTTTTGACCGAAGCAGGAGCACTGGCTGGGAGAGTCTTGGCAATTCTCTCTAGCTTTTCTTGCTGTTGCTTTGCAGTTATTCTATCTGGACCACTGTAATAGTTGACAATCTTTTTCATAAGTGGGACTGTCTTCATTGTTTCTTCCATAATTTCCTGTGGCATAGTTAGGCAAGAGAAAACTGTGGATGAAATGATTTTTTTGTAGATATCATGGAGGTAACAAAAGATGCAAATAAATCCAACATGGCAGCTTCTTTGGTGGAAAGAAATGTTAGGTTTAGTATCTTCACATGGCAACTACTAAATAAACACTTTCGATTTAATATAACTGAGTAAATACTGAATGCTCGGACTACATTCAGAAAAGCTATGTATCTCCTTTTGATCAAATTACAGCTTTAATACATGCCATCTCAACCTACATGTAATTCCTTGAGTTGGCTAACACAGGCTTGAATAAGTCGTGATTATGCATTTCTACATTAAAACAATGATGCCAGGAAGATTCTCCTCTGTATAAATGTTGCTAAAGTCAGGGAGTGATCATAATTTTGATTTCCATAGAAACCACAAAAACTTCTCGAACCAGCCACAGCAAATCGATGCCTAGAGTAGCAAAGTAGATAGCACCTCAATGAATTGAAGTTTTCAACTAACTCTATACAACACAAATATTTATACGTCACTCAAATACCAACGAATAACGTTAAAAGATGATATCAAAGACTAAAACCCAACAGAGATCGGATTACCTCCCACTCTTCTTGACTCTCAATCCCCTCATATGCCATCAAAAATGGCTTCATCTTCTCCAGAGCATCACGGAGAGGAATTGGGGGCTTCTCATCGATGTCTGGATTGGTACCAAACTCTTCCATCAAATACTCTGGCTCACATTCAAGCTGCACAACCAATAGCACCACTCCATTAACATCTAATCACCAAATATCAATCAAATATGTAACACAAAACACATTACCAAAAGATTGGTGTGATGTGCATCCACAAATGCGTCGTCAATAGGGGACGGCAACGCCCTGTACGACATCTCCTCAAATTCTTCAGCCAATTCATTCATGACTTTTGGCCCTAGCTTCTTCGCCAATTTCTCCTCGTCTTCGGGTCCGCCTAGAGTCAGCCCTACAGGTACAATATCTTCTAAGTCTTCATCTTCTTCCTCGCCCCTTCCCCTTCCCCTTCCTCCCCTCCCGCTGAACCTTCCTCTTCCTCTCCCTCTCATGTCTGCTCTACCGCGTCCGCCGAATGCGGCAGCTCCACCTCTACCGCCCTCTGGCTCTCCGCGTGTCAGTATCCCCATGGCCTTCTTCACCTTTTCCTCCTGACTCAATGATTGTTGAGGAGAATCAGCAGCTCTAGTCGCCTCAGGTGCTTTCGGCTGCGGACGCGCACGGATGTGCCGATTCTCCATTTGAGCCTTCTCGGCTGGGGCGGTGGTTGCCTTCATCGGCTTCCCCCGCCCAGAGCCGTGTAGGATACTGGAAATTTCGGTTAGGAGATTTTTGTCTCGTCTGGCTGGGGATGTGGATTCAGGCGAATCGAATTGCGCTTCACTGTTCAATGGTGCTTTATTCCCGATGTTTTGAAATTTGGAGGTTGAATCAGCCGTGTCTCGGGGCGGCGGCGTAACGGTCTTCGGAGGAACAAAACCACGGCCGCGGCCTATGGGAGGAGCTTTTGGATCATTATTCAATAATGAAGAGAATGAAGGGAGGATAGGAGAGGAAGGAAGAGGCTGGCCTCGACCACGGCCATGGCCATGGGGCGGCGGTGCATCTTCGAACTTCGAATTATCGGATTCGTTCTTTCGGGCCTCATCGACGGCGAACTGGAGAGGTCTCCAACCACCACGGCCTCTCCCGCCGCCACCGGCTGATGAGGTGGAGAAACCTGCAGAAGCAGACGAATCAGCGGCGGTGGCGCGACCGATCACCGGGTACGGAAGTTTTGCCAAATTTCTCCGCATTTCGAAGATGCAATTCTTGTACGGTGAAATGGTTCACTGCGACTTAGGGATTAGGGTTTTCATTTCACTGCTTCTCTATTTAGTTTCTATTTTCATAATAATAAATTTAGCCAGTTTCTTTTTACTACTTACTCTTTCCGTTTTCGTAAGGTATCTATTTATTTTTTTGGCGTTTATTTTGAATATTAATTATTATATCAAATTGTATTGCAAATAAAGAAAAAATGATAAAAATAGTATTTTTGGCATTTATATAAAAATATTTTCAATGTTAAATATAATAACACAAAATGCAAATGAATATTTTATTATGAAACGAAAGAAATATTTTAATTTGGAGTAGAGCTGGTAGATGTCGTTAAGTTAGCTCGATTCCCGTTAAATCGAACTGCATAAATAAACTCGTCTAGTTAAATAACGAATCTCAATTTTGTTCGTAAATATTCATTTAAATAATATATTTATTATAAATATTATATATACATCTAAAATTATAATATATAAATAAAATAATTTTTTTTAAAGATTTATATATAAATTTAAAAAATTAAGACAAATAAACTCGAACGAGTTTAATCGAGCTAAACGAGCCGAACACTAACATGAGCTCAAACAATAAAAATTCTTAACAAACCGAGCTTGAAAGCTTAACTAACGAATACGAACTTTGTTCGTGAACGTTAACTAACACTTAAAATTTGTTCAACTGGTTGGATTAAAAATCCAACTATGGGTTAAATGTAACGGTCAAATTAAGTCTATATTAAGTGATCTATTGATTTATTGGGCTTAAATGTGTTTAGTAAGTGCGGACCTCCAATGTACAGAAACCCGATAACTTATTAATTAGGTGATGAGGCCAATTAATAATAAGGGATATAAATAGGGTTCTGATCCCAAGTTTACACACAACATCCATTACTTTTCATATCTCATCGTGGGAGTAACGACAGAAAACCGCTGAGGGGTTGTGCCATAGGCTTGAAGAACACAAAACCCTTTGTCAATTTGCAGATTTGAATTCTTATTAGCTTTATTTTCTTAGCTAAATTATTTCAACAAGGTAGATTCTGGGCTTCGGGTTAAATTTCTGATAAGTTCGGCTCGGCTCGCTAACAGTTCTACTCCGGAGATTTTGTTTCCATAATACATTTTCACTCATTTGACACTATTTATTTTTTTAAAAAACACATCAAATATATATTTTTTTTCTCACAAAATATCAAATTAAATACTAACTTTTTATTTTTTTTCAAACTTTCAAAATTCCAAAAATTTTCAAAAACTTCTATCTAAGCCTAATTTTTTTTGAAAACAATATACTGTATACTTCATCCGTCCCAAAACAATACTTTCATTTTCATAAATAACCATATCACTGTAAAATTACCTTACTTTTTCATTATTATTACACAATTATTATTACTTTTTACACTAATAAATTCACAAAACAAAAGAATATTTTACCAGTACCTTTTATCTATTTTTAATATAATATTAATATTTTTTAAATCTCGCGTCAAATATAAACTATAATTTTGAGACTGAATGGAGTATCACTTATCGTTTCAAATTTATGGGCTCCTAAAAGCCCAAACGGAGCACCCAGTTATCGAGCCACCCAACCAATGTCCACATTGTCGTACTATATATAGGTGTATCATTTATGGACCGCATTAGCCCAAAGCGTCGTCGTTTTTGACGAACAAAGCGTGGGGTTTCCTCAGTTTCAAATTCATCTTTCGTCGTAATAATTTCAAGGAATAGCCGTTTCATTTATACTTCCGCAATTCTCAGAGAGAAAAGAGGGATATTTAGGGCACGCTCTCCATTTCAAGATCGTCGTCGAGCTTCGGAATCTTGACGGAGAGAGTTGTGGCCATTGGTAGGAAACGAGGGGCATGGGAATTGTTTTTTTTTATACCAGTGCTTAAATCGCGAAGAAAGATCGAGATATAAAGGGGTTCAGGATGGCGCTGTTTTTGTCGGAGGAAGAGTTCCGGGGGTGTGCGGGGAATGCCAAGCTGGTGGCGGAGAAGGCGGACGCGTTTATTCGGGAGCTCTATGCTCAAATTGAGACTGTCAAGGCGGAGGCCGACGCCGCTTCCATTACTTTCGAGCAGACGTCGTCTCTGATTGAACAGAAGTACGTTTCACTTTCAGCGGAATACTCCTCCCTGCAATCGCAGTTCGATGAACTAAAATCTTCCTCGGGAAAAGGCGCTTCTGAACTTGAACAGCTCCGATCCGAGAAGCAACAACTTCTCGTTCAAACTGTAAGTTTTAAGCTTATTTTGTGCGGATTCTGTTATCTGGTTCATTTAAATGTTTGGTGTAAACCTATAGATTGAGAAAGACGGGGAGATTGAGAGGCTGACAACGGAAGCGTCAGAACTGCATAAATCGAAGAGGCAGTTGATGGAATTATTGGAGCAGAAGGACTTGGAAATTGGCGAGAAGAATGCCACTACTAAGAGTTATCTTGATAAAATTGTACGTTAATACATTTTATTCTCAGTTTAGAGGAAAAATTGTCCATTAACCTTAGCCCTGAGTGTGTAGGTGTCCATGAATATTTGGTTGTTGAAGACCAGTGAACTATTTTCCTTGACCTATGCTGTTTAAATTGTCTACTTTTCCACTGTGAAAAAGATTCTCTATCATCACCTGATTTCATTTCCATATGTATTTGTTTGTGTCCTTCTTGAAGGTTTTTATTTTGCAAGTTGGAATATGTGATATATTATAGATGTCTGTGCTACAGTATTAGTGTTTTTCTTGAATCTTACACTGAAAATAATGTTATAATATATTCTATTGACTTATCAATACATCATCCTCAAATTGCACATTCTAGCATATTAGTTACATTATATCCTTGCCCTGTAGATCAACTTATCAGAGGCAGTAGCATCAAAGGAAGCACGGTTGGGTGAGCTGGAGTCCGAATTGGGACGAATGCAAGCTACTTCTGCCCGCGCTTTGCAAGTGAGTTGGCTTTTCTTATATGAGATGGTCTTTGCAGTTTCAATGATGCAGAATTACTTTTGGCGCATGAAGTTTAATTTCTTGCATTTTGTGTAACCCCTTGCCTTTCATTTCTTATTCCATACAATTGGTACATAAGCATGTCAAAACCACAGTTCTTTCTGAGGTTTAAATATGTATATATTTCGAGTTTGTTTTTTTCAAATTTAAAGGGGAATTTTCATTTCGATGTTAGTGAGATAATATAAAATTGGTGGAGCAGGAAAAGGAGCTTCTTGAGAGGCACAATAAATGGCTCAATGATGAGTTGACAACTAAGGTTGACAGTCTTGTCCAGCTGCGCAAAGCAAATGGAGAACTTGAGGTTGAGATGTCTTCTAAGCTTGCTGATGTAAGAATAAATTTCTCCTGAAAATGGGTCTTCTATGTTATAGATTTGATTTTCTACTTGAAATGCTTTATACTGATCGAATGCAATTGCTTTACTTCAGGCTGATAAGAAATTTCAGGAGATTTCTAGTTCTTTGAAATGGCACAAGGATAGAGTGAAGGACATGGAGGACAAACTTTGCTCCACAGAAAAGGTGGCTAATTTGTGCATTGATTGTGCTTCCATTAGTAGTGGCTGCTCTTTCTCTCTCTCTCTCTCTCTCTCACCATATATACATGCACACACGCATATGTCTCTATCCATCTCAATGTAATTAGCGGTTTTTCTAGGAATTGTTGGCAACTAAGGATGCAGCTGCAGCTGCAGAGGGGCGGTTCAGTGCTGAAATATCAACAGTAAGTTTTACCTTGTGATTACAGTTACACTAATTTTCTCTTGAGCAATAGTATTTTTATCAATATGATCACTAGAGTGTAGTGTTTGTGCATTAGGCTTTTATGATGTGTTCCTTCGTTTACTCATATTTACTGACAGAGATCTCCGTACTGATCTAATTCCTGATTTGTTTGAATGTTCTAATCTTTATAGGTTAACAAGCTTGTGGACTTATACAAGGAAAGCTCCGAGGAATGGTCCAAGAAAGCCGGGGAGCTTGAGGGAGTCATCAAAGCGTTAGAAGTGAGTGTACATTATGGGTTATTTTCGCTACTACAGTTTATTTAATGTGTACTCTCTAGGTCATTCCTAGGGCAAGTTTATGGTAGCTTGTTGATTTAACATGCACGTTAGTTCGTCCTTGAGCCAGGATGTGGTTGCTTGTTGTTTTAATGTGGGTAATGATTTTGCAATATTAAAATTTTTGTTTATACTGCTGGGCAGACTCATTTGAATCAAGTTGAGAGTGAATATAAAGAAAAGCTTGAAAAGGAAGTGTCAGCAAGGAAGGACATGGAAAAGGTATGTGATGTTTAACATCATTTTTTTTTTTTTTTGTGTGGAAGTGCAGTTGTGGTTAATTAGGTTTCACAGTTACTCTCTATTCATACTTCTAGATGGTCAGAAATATGGAAAATATGAATTGTATGCTATCTGTTGATTGTTGCACATTTATTTAAATATTTATACCCTTTGAACTAGTTAATCCCCCTCCTGGTTTTCCAGTAATCAGGATGTAGTCTAAATGGACCAGGAACATGATAGCTGATCGTTTACTCTTCAATGTGTATCCTCCTTTTCATGACATGTATTGCTATATGGAAGTGTTTGTATTTCATTTAGGAATTCTGTTGGACTATACCAATAATTTCTTTCTGTATTAGTATTCATGCAATCTGTGAAATTTAATGTTGTTTAATTATTAACTTAATCTCGTGTTCTTGGCATGAATCTCACTTGATGGTGTGATCTTTGCTATCACGAACCGTAACCCAGATTGATTCTCTATGTGATTTTTTGGTGGGACAGTTAGGTTAGCTGCATATAGGGACATGTAAGAACGAACGACATGTGATATATGTTTCATTAATTATCATTCTCCCTACTTGTGAAATGGTATTGAGTAAAACTCTTGTGTTAAATTATATTTGTTACTCCATTTATGCTTGTGTTGTCTTCTAGCATTTTTTTGTTGCTTCTTAAGTTCTTATGGGGTAGCTTGTATAGGTTTGGAAGAAAATAAATTTTATATATTTATATTTATATTCTGCTGGAATAGGAGTTTGCTAATTTGAAGGAAAAGCTTCAGACCAGCGAAGCAGAATTGAAGAAGTTGAGAAAAGAGAATGAACAGAAACATCTTTCTCTTAGTTGTTTTACATCAAACTTGTGAGTCAATTTTCAGCTTTTAATCTTTTGTGGGAATAAATATGTTTTTATTTTATTTTATTTTTTTTCACATTTAGAAGTACCTCTGAAGTAGAGGTATGGGATACTGGCTGATTATTTATTTTCAATTTTATTTTATACTCTTTATTATTTTTATATCATGGGTCAAAGATATTGACACTGAAACTTCTGCAGTAGGAATGAGAATGATCAATGAGGAGTTATCAACGCTAGTTTAACAATTTAATAAAAAATTGAAGCTCTTCTCATACCAGGGGAAACTATAGATGGAAGATAAATTATGAACATTATCACTCATTGACCTTTCTGAAAGTGATGCATATGTTGTGTTGAGGGGATAACATATGAATCACTACACGTCAAATATGAATCTCTAAAATATTGACTAGATATTGTAACAACCTAACGTCTTTACAATAGAAAATAACCTCATATATGAAAATAGTAGTAATTATAATAATGTACATGATTGTACTATGAACACCTTGCTCTCTAATAACAATTTATGCCTATTTTCTGTTTTAATGTATTCCTTTTATTTTAGACCACTGCCCTCAGCTGATACCAACAAAATTGAGGATGATCGAGCCATTGTACCTCATATTCCAGCTGGTGTTTCTGGAACAGCATTAGCTGCTTCACTTCTTAGGGATGGATGGCCTGTGAGTTTCATATTTGTTTATGATTCTTGTTATTAACCTTGTAAAGACACAAGTGTTTGTTGCATAGATGTCAAAAGAATAGTATGGAAGTCTGATATGCATACATGAATTGTTTCATTTCCTTCCGCTTATTATTTTGTCGTGACTTTTACAGCTGGCCAAAATGTATGCCAAATACCAAGAAGCTGTTGATGCGTTGCACCATGAGCAACTGGGAAGAAAACAAACCCAAGCTGTTTTGGAGCGAGTATGTTTCGTTAAACAATTACAAACATTTTGATGCTATTGTTAGCTGTTCTTTTAACTTGTCCAGTCCTAGATAATGGCTCTGTATTTTTGTTGTAATTAATTTTAATATACTCTTCAAATCACATTTGCCTGTCCTGTTGTCATATGCTGATGTTATAAGAATCTTATGGTTTGAAGTTAGAAAGTAGTAACACTGTGTGTGAAGAGAGGAATCTTTTTCTGATTCAGGCTCATGCAGGCCGTGCCTTTTGTTTTCATTTAGAAATTCTATCTTGTAAACTTCCCTGCAGACAAATGGATTGGTATATAAATGTCGACCTTCAAACTTAAGTTACATAATTTAGCAGCAGTTCATATATGTATTTAATTGCCTTCTTAAGCTATTAGAGATCTGAATTTGATGCAACTTACAAAGAAATTAGTGTCAATGAAGCATTGATAAAGAGGTAAGAAAAGAGCTAGTTATAAGTTAAATTAGAAGTTTGAGTCCCTTGCCTTCTCAAATGAAAGCTTTATTGTTGGGAACTTTTATCATATCATTGAGTAGGGTAGGATAATCTTATATATGGGTAGATTAACAATGGACTTGGTTATAATTACAGGCCTTAGTACATTAAAGTGTATGATTAGGGTGGTTTTAATAATCTATCCTTTGTGATCCCTAGGAGTGCGTGGCTTTTGTTGTTAACTTACTGGGAGATGAGTATAGAGTGTAGACAATTGCTAGCATTGTGTGTCTATCATTGTTCCTTTGGAAACTACATCCCTACTTTTGTCTGTGTGAGTGCTATTTATTTGATTGAAACTGACTGGATCGTCCATTTTCCTGTTATGTTGTTAACCTTTTATGACTGTAGGTGCTTTATGAAATAGAAGAAAAAGCTGGAGCAATCATGGATGAACGAGGTACGGTTTATCTGTGGATTTGCTGGATCACACATACCTGGGGAAACATTTATCAAACTATGACTTAGTTCTCATTTCATGTTAAATGTGTGTGTGAGGGATTTTGCACATTACAATGTTATATTGTCTGCCTTGGGCAGAAATGTTGCCTGCTGCTACTGTCTCCCTAAGAAGTCTGCCACACAATCTTTTGTCCAATGCTATTATTACCACCTGACTCAAGTTATTGTGGTTTGGCTTGAACTCAACATTTATGAACTGGAGTACCCTAAAGTTGGCTTATATTAAAAGTTCCAAGTAGTTAACGTTCATATTCAAAAACTTGATGAGTTGCTTACAATAGGATTCTGCTCATATATTTGGGGTTTTTCAGCTACTCAAGATTGATATGATGTGGATGTGGAACATGAGTTTGATGAAGCTTATGCCAATTTTATTAAGCTTATGCTCAAGATTTTGAATTTATTTTTGCCGCTGGATTATAACTCAATTCTGTGGAACTATTTAAGCTCAATTTCAGACATGAGAAATGAGTTGAACTTGCAATCAAATACGATGCTAAGCTTGACTCAATTTAATTTCATTCTTGGCTCATCTTTACATCTGTCCTTTATGAAAGGAAGATAAACTTTTACATCAGTGACAATGAAGTGCCTCTAAGATTTGTTAAGAAAAAAAGAGAGAATATATGGCTTCCCAATTCACATGAATCCGTAAAGTTGTCAGTAGCTAAGCATTTCTTCTTTTGATAACTCCCATCTTTTTGTTGGTGGAGCGAGTTGTTGGTTTTCTAAGTTTTTCCCATAAGTTGTTTTTGTCTTATAAGCAATATTTGGGGTGGTAGTAAGAAAGAATATGAATCTTTCTGAAGTGCATTTATTGTTACTATATGTTTTGGTCTTTCTTCAGCTAACATGAGCACATAATGTGAATTGATCATTCAAGAATTACCATTTTGCAGAGGAGCACGATCGACTTGTTGAAGCATATTCTACTTTGAATCAAAAGCTGCAGCATTCGTTATCTGAACATTCTGTTCTCGAAACAACCATTAATGAGTTAAAGGTTTGTGTTCTTCAATGTTCAATAAATACGGCATAGTGACCTTTTGGAGTGATGATGTTGAGGTTGACACATGCCCAATTCATTTTTAAGGCTAACATAAAGAAGCAGGAGCGGGAATATGCTGTCGCTCAGAAGGAGATTACTGACCTCCAGAAGCAGGTTTGATGGAACTTGTCATTTTATTTTTTTGTGGTTGAACTTTTCCGATATTGCATTTTTTACACAAGTGGCCGTTGATTTAATCATAATTGTACATTAAATCTTGGTATTTTCAAATGCTTTGTTTCATTGGGGTGTGCGTTATGTTCCCTACAATCGACTTACATTGCCTACACCTGCAATGCTGTGTTTAGGTGGCTGTCCTCTTAAAGGAATGTCGTGATATTCAGTTGCGATGTGGATCAGCTCCTCATGATGATGATGGACTTATTTCTGGTACTATCATATCACTGAATGCTGAATCCAATGCTGATGATATCATTTCTACACGTCTGGTAAGAAAATAGTCTTTACCCTGTTGAAGTAGCTTCTTACTTGGACAATGTCTTTATTGATGTAGAACTTTTGTATCATGCAGTTGACCTTCAAGGATATAAATGGACTAGTTGAGCAGAATGTGCAGCTCCGCAGTCTTGTTCGCAACCTTTCCGATCAAATAGCTTATAAAGAAGCAGAGTTGAAGGTATCATCTGATTCCCTTTCTATCTATATCTATCTATATGCATAAATATGCTTTCATTGTAACAATGTTGAGCTCACGGGGGTTGCAAAATATTCTAGGAGAAGTATGAGGATGAGCTGAAGAAGCACACCAGTGATACTGCATCTAAAGTCAACCAAGTATTGAAGAGAGCAGAGGAGCAGGCTCAAATGATTGAATCACTCCATACATCCGTAAGTTTATAAGTGCTTTGTTGTGCACTCTACATGTTTGTAATGCTTCTAGTTAATCAGGGGGTATTGGAACACAACTTTCTTTCGAGCTGATTTCACTATCTTTATTTTACAAATTGCTTTCTTGTGTTCAAATAGGTAGCGATGTACAAGAGATTATATGAAGAGGAACATAAACTTAGGGCGCTTCCTTCCCATTTAGAAGAAGCAGTTCCAGGTTCTCTCTGCATTCATCTGTCTACTCATGCCTTTTGTCCCCTTTTAAAATCCCTTGGTCTATGTTGTTAACTTGCTACCATTTCATTGATTTCACAGCTATGATAAGTTAATGGCTCCAATGGAGCATCCATATGAATGAAGTCCTTAGTTTCTGTTTGCATGGGTCCTAAGCAAGCTAATGATTTTCTATTGTCTTCTTATATATGTGTAATATTTGTAGATTGTGTTGGTCAATCAATTTTACATGGAGAAAATGAAGAATAGTTATGAATTTGGTTGCTTTCTTTATTTCTTGATCGGACTGCTTTTAGTCAAATTACAAACTTCTGAACAAACATCAAACCATTTTTATGGCATCTTAACAACTGTAAGTTGTAAATTTTCACATTGTTTTTCAACTAAAAATTGTGAAATTTTGTTAGAGATGAAATTAAAACTATGCTGTTTTCTTTTCATATAAGACATTATGCGAGCCCACCACTCAGTGTTGAGTATATACATTTCTATGTTCCACCTATTTCCTTTTCATTTATAAACTGTTCTTTTTTCCTTTCCTCTCTCTTCAGCTGTTCATTTTTCTTTCCTCTCATTGTTCACCTTCTCCTTTTATGCATTTCTTTGTGCTACTGTTTGACTCACTGTGTGGTTTTTGTTACCCTTTTTGTGACAATTGTTTTAGTCACCGCTTTTTATAACTGTTATTTGTACACTAGGAATGTGAACTATAATATTTCATTGTTAATTCAGTTAAGCTGATTATTTCACTTATTTTAACCACCTAGATTCCTGTTGGTTGTTTTACTGGCAGTTTATGTAATCCTGTTAACTTACTGATTGATGTTTCCTTGCAGTTCAAGAGCAAGGAAGTAGGGGGGCTATGCTTTTACTTGAGAGCAGCAGTGTATGTTTCCATAGTAATCTCTTTGAAGAAAAAACCTGTTGCTGTGCTTCCGTCATTTGTTCTGTCCATGTCATATTGATTTACCTTTCTGTATGTGATAGAATGCAACTCAAAAGGTGCAAGAGCATACTTTTGAGCGCTTGAAAAGTCTTGAAGAAGATGTGGCAAAATCTAGGTACATCATATTTTATGCTTAAATTACCTGCTATATTTTTTCATCTTGTTGTATGTACCACGTATATATGTGCTCTTGCCTTTGAGGTTGTACAATATTTTAACTTTTCTCTGTCGACAATGTGCTGTTAGTGGCCCTCCTTCATTTTACAATAAAGGGAGTATGTATTGAACCTTATGATATGGCTACTATTGAGAGTGAATTTACTTGGATGCAATTATATGAACCAATGGATTGTCCTACTCAAATGCGCTTGTATTGTGTGGCCGTTGAATTTCTTTGGTGGTATTTTTTATTATATCTACCGCGTGTGACGAGGTGAGAAATGAAGATTTTATTTTTAATCATTTTCAATCTTAACTGTTGTAGTTTCCTAGGAGCATCAGCATTCAGGCCTTCATTTTTTCTTGCGTCTTGTGCATGACACCTATGCAATTCTATTATGAGCTAAGATTAGGCAGTTAATTTTTGCTTGCTCAAGTTAAATGAACTTGTTTTATGGGTCACTGAATACGGCTGCAGGTATCAAGAATTGATCATGATTTGTCATAGGATTATTTTCTGTTATTGTTTTTACTGAGTTTGTCATGGAAAATCTATAAATAATATTATTACTTTTGTTATCCTTTTTTTTTTTGTAATTCCAATTTGATGTTTCTGCGCAATGTTTCAATTTTTAATTAATGTGCTTATATTTTTCTTTTAACTTTCTCTAAAGGGGTGAAATAATTTCCATGCGAGCTGAGCGGGACAAGTATGCACTGGAAGCACAATTTGCCCAAGAAAAACTTGATAGATTTATGAAGGAATTCGAGCATCAGGTTGACTAATTTAAAGCTGTGTCTAAACCCAGTGGTTTAATATTATGAGAAGGGACAGTTTCTTTTTATTTAATCATTGTCTAAGCTAATATTTGTTAGTCTGATATATGCTGCTTGTTTTATGGTTTATGCCAGAGACAAGAGCATAATGGAGTTCTTGCTAGAAATGTGGAGTTCTCGCAGTTGATAGTTGACTACCAAAGAAAACTGCGTGAAAGTGCTGAGGCTGTAGATGCATCCAATGAACTTTCCAGGAAGCTGAAAATGGAGGTTGTTTTGCTTTCCTCCTGTTTATGGAAAATGAATGTTCGTATGTTCATATTATTTTATGGAGTATACTTGTTACAGGTATCAATGTTGCAGCACGAAAAGGAAATACTACAAAACTCTGAGAAGAGAGCTTCTGATGAAGTTCAGAGTTTATCTGAGAGGGTTCATCGGCTGCAGGTTTTCACCTCTCAAATTATACTGATGGGATAAATAAATAACGTTGTATATCTATATTCATCGCATCTTATCATCATACTTGATTAATCTCTTTCCAGGCAAGTTTGGATACCATTCACAGTACTGAGGAAGTTCGTGAGGTAGCTTTCAGGCCACATTTTTCTTTCTGCAGTTAGTTATTGTGAATTATATATATTTTTTTTTTCTGCTGTGATTGAAGCTCTAACTATTAATATCTATTGCTTAGGAGGCTAGAGGTATTGAGAAGAGAAAGCAAGAGGAGTATATCAGCAAAATTGAGGTATTCCTATATCTTCCCATTATATGAAGTCTCTGTTTTGTTAGCAATGCATTACAAAGTGCTTTTTGTAGAGAGAATGGGCCGATGCTAAAAGGGAGCTTCAGGAAGAGCGAGATACTGTTCGCAATCTCACTCTTGATCGAGAAAGTACGCTGAAGAACGCCTTGAGACAAGTTGAGGAATTAAGCAAAGACTTGGCTAATGCCATGCAATCTGTTACAGCTGCTGAGTCTAGGGCTGCCGTTGCAGAGGTCCTTTTTAGAAAATTGTTTTCTTTTGTCTGTGATGTTTTTACTTAAAGCTGTTGCTGGTTTTTTTTCTACGAGTTTCTTTTTTAATGGGAAGAGCATTTTGTTCAGGCACGCTGCTCTGATCTGGAAAAGATTATAGAGTCTGCCACTACGAAGGTGACTTTGGATTTTTAATGCATGCTCATGCCCCAACATAAAAGTAATATAATATACACACATATATATATATATATAAGTGTATTGAACATGGAATAGTAGTTCCCTGATCATGTGTAATACTTGGAGCTGAAAACATCTGCCTTTCTTTTTCCTCTGCCTGATTAGAATGATGTATTATATTATTTTCTTCAGTTCGGATCTTGGTCAAAATTGTATTGATTGAATGTATTGTCACTTGACGCTCACATTATGCTGCAGGATTCTGATGGTAAGGAAGGTGCGGCATCCTCTGCTTCTAGTGATAAGGTAAGCTAATCAGTTCTAATTTTAGGCTACGTTTCTTCTGCTTTCTGAATTTTCCGATTTTTTGGAGGTCACTATGCTGCATCAATTTTTTGGGTTTTACATTAAAAAAATGCCTTTTACTATTTGGAGCTTGTTCTATTTATCATTGATAGGAAAATTATTACAATTGCTCGTAACTTGAAAATTTACACATGGTCCAGGCATTATAATTGGATTTTGAAGAGTTTGGATCTTGCAATTACTTATATTATCTTTGTTTGTTGTTGTTGTTGTTGTGTGTGTGTGTGTGTTTTTTTTCTCTTTGCAATTAATTACACTGACATATATGATTATTTTATTATATTTGGGGTCACTCAAAGTTTACTTCTCTTTGAAAAATGATTATTTACTACTGTCCTTGTAGTTCTCTCTGAATTTATATTTCTAGCTACAACAGGGGCTTTAGTCAGGTTTATTTCACCTCAATACACCAAAAGTTGAATTCTATCAATTATCATGTCGTCATAGCCCCTGTAGTTTCCTATCACTTCAAGTTATCCATTCTGTCTCTTGGATAGAATCCTCCTGGAAGGGTATAACTTATATGAGATGTAGTGTGAATATCTGGAGTGATCTTACCTGTAAAATAAAACCTTTGATGCAACTTCACTTCCAACTAACTGACAATTGTAATGTTAAATTCTATTGTATTCCATGATGTGTTGGGGGTTCTTATGGCTTCTTTCTTATGCAACCCATTTAATGGAGTTTGTTTTACATCATTGGAATTGTCATGAGGATACAATAAGTATCTTGACTGATATACTTTTTGAATGTCTTTGAGAAATAAAGTTAGGTTTAATTCAGCATCTTGCTTATATATTTGTTAATCAATGTGATGCTTCAGTTACTGGCAAATTACCGGGAGGAAATTGAAAAATTAAGAAGGGAAGTACAATCTAGCAGTGAACACATGCTGCAGGTATGTGCATGATCCTATATTTTCTGATGACTTCTACCTTTCAGGTGTTGAAGTTGTTTTATTCATTTTTTTATTTGTTTTCATATTATTATTTTAGTATAAGAGCATTGCTCAAGTAAATGAAGAAGCACTGAAACAGATTGAAGTGGCATATCAGAATTTTAAAAATGAGGTACTTCCATATTCTAGATCTTATGTTGATTTCAATGCTTCCATATCCTCGTCTGTTGGTGTAATTTTCATCCACTGGTGTTTTTTAGACTGATGAAGCAAAGAGGTCATTGGAAGCTGAGCTTCATTCACTTAAAGAGCGCATATGTGAACTTGAAAGTGAATGTCAACAGAAGACTGCAGAAGCAATCTCTGCAAATGCTGGAAAAGACGAAGCTCTTATGGGTGCTTTGTCAGAAATATCTAATCTGAAGGATGATTGTGCTAACAAAAAGTGAGTTTCTTTGTTTAAAATGCCCTAAAATTTTGGTTGAATAAAATTAGTGAAACAATATAATCATCCTGAAGTTGAACGGCACATACTGTTGATATTTATGTAAATTTGAAAAGAAATTTTGCAGATGTAATTAACCTGCAGTTCACATAGTTAAAAATTGTTAATACTGTTCCCCTGGAGGTCTGAAAGTAAATAAGTGGAGGCTTGTAAAAACTAATTGTAAGTCTGAGGTAGGCTCTGAAGATATTTGTTGCTGTGAATTTTTAGTGTCTGCAGTCTCTTTTGAATATGAAATCTTTGGTGCGACTATGTAAATGGAAGATGTTAAGGATGACTGTTTTCACAGAGACAAGCATAACCCAAAATTACAGTCATTTTCACTGATCTTATAGAAAGAACTAACACAATATGGTTAGTTACAAAGTTTGTGTTATAATCTATTCAGACTGCCATTGATTTGCCTTTTATTCTTCTACCAGATCAGAGATTGTGGTGTTGGAATCGCGCATCTCTGCCCTGAAAGAAGATTTGGAGAGAGAGCATCAACGATGGCGAAATGCTCAAGATAACTACGAAAGACAGGTTTCCTTAAAATTTCATGATTTGTTTCCGATATTTGGAGCGTATAAAGTGATTATTAGCTGCTCAGATCTTTTAAAATGGTTTGGGTAGGAATTGCTTATCGTACAACCCTGAACTAATTAGGGCTTGAGATTTTCTATTCGGAAAGCTATAAATCCAATGGTTGATATGTGTAGCCACCATCACGGATGTAGTTATCATGAAGTTGCTTGTGTAATTTACTTAGTGAGAGGTGATGTTGAATAAGAAAATGACCTTATTTTCTCTTCAGGTTATCCTTCAATCAGACACAATTCAGGAGTTAACAAAAACATCACAAGCTTTAGCTGCAGCACAAGAGGAGGTTGCTAAGCTCCGGAAAGTGGCAGATACACTTAAAAGTGAAAATGTACTGGTCCATGTTTCATATGAAGCCTCATCATTTGTGTTTAAGACTTTTTTTTTTTTATTTATGAATTGCACGTCCTTGCAGAATGAGTTGAAGTCACGATGGGAGATGGAAAAGTTAGCCATAGAAGCTTATAAGAATGATGCAGATAGGAAGTACGATGAAATAAATGAACTGAACAAAATTTTGCACAGCCGACTTGAGGCCCTGCATATTCAGGCGGCTGAAAAGGAACGAGGAACGGCTTCGAGTTCTCAGAACTTAGCTGATGATGATGGGCTGCAGAGTATTGTTAGTTATCTAAGGCGGTCAAAGGAGATAGCAGAAACTGAGATCTCTTTGCTGAAGCAAGAAAAGATTCGCTTGCAGTCTCAACTCGAGATTGCTCTGAAGTCATCCGAGGAAGCACAAGCAACACTTCGCATGGAGCGAGCAAAGTCACGCTCATCAGTCTTCTCTGAGGAAGAATTCAAATCTCTTCAACTACAGGTTAGAGAAGTGACTTTACTCCGCGAAAGTAATGTGCAACTCAGGGAGGAGAACCGGCATAATTTTGAAGAATGCCAGAAGCTTCGTGAAGCTTTCCAAAGTGCTAAGATTCAGAATGATAATATGGAGAATCTATTGAGGGACAAAGACACTGAATTGGAAGCTTACAGAAAAGAAATTGATATGCTGAAGCTGGAGAAAGCGCAACTCGAAAACAGAATCGATGAATTAGTTCAGAAGTGCAAGGATGTCGATGTGGATGATTATAATCGCATGAAAGAATCTCTTCAGCAGATGGATGCAAGTTTAAAAGAAAAGGATGCACAATTGGAGGAAATTAAGAAACATCTATCCGAAAAGCAGGATGCTATATCACTCTTAGAGAAAGATCTCGACAGAACCCGTACTGAATTGAGCAAAAAGGAGACGAGGATTAATGACATCTTGCAAGCTGATGCTTCTCTAAAATCTGAAGTTGAAAAACTTAAACGGATGAATATTGCATCGAGGAGGAAGTATGATAACTTGTTAAAGGAAAAGGATGATCTGAACAAAGAGGTGCAATCCCTTTCGAAACAGTTAGAGGAAGCTAAACAAGCCAAGCAAAATACGGTCGATTCTGCAGCCGAGCAGGCTCTAAAGGAAAAGGAGAAGGAGAAAGACACCAGAATCCAAATCCTGGAAAAAACACTGGAGAGGCACAGAGAGGACTTGAAGAAGGAGAAGGAAGATCTTCATAAGGAAAAAGAAAAAAATCAGAAGATGCGGAAAACTCTGATTGATTCTCGTACAATTGTAACTCAGGAAAAAACCATGCTCTCAGATGAGTTGTCGAAACATAAACAAGCTCTGAAAGAACTTCAGGATGAGGTGGAGAAATTGAAAAGCTCGGGTCAGCCAGAGAGTACATCTGTGATCCAACATTCTTCTGTTGCTCTATTGGAAGATTTTGCTTCGACATATTATCAGGCTGTTGAGAATTTTGAGCAGGTTTCACAGTCTGCTTGTGTTGATCCCGATTCTGCCGCCCTTGACGCTCCTCCAGATAATACATCATCTGCTGGTCAGATTGTCAGTTTAGCGAACCAAACCCCGCCAGTTCCTGCTGCAACTGCTCCGTTAGCAAGAACAAGTGACGACAAAAATAGGAGACTTGCTACTGCAAAGGCTAGTGCTAAAATTGGAAGACGACTGGTGCGCCCGAGTATTACAAGGCCCAAGGAGCCGCAAGGCGAGGTAGATATGTCGGAAGCAGACGAATCCAATACCGGGTTATCATCCCAAAATGCAGAAAGTCAAGGACATACAGCTACTGTTCCAGCTCCAGCTGCTTCCATACGCAAACGTCCTTCGACTTCACTGTCTTCTGAAATGCAAGAGGATTTGCCTGCGCCGGAGGAAACAAGCCCCGACTCAGCCGCTCCTCTTCACAAGAAGCCCAAAGGCTCAGAAAGTCTACAAGAGGGCGGAGAAGAACCCGGAACTGCTCCTGGAAAACTTTCCGAAGTTTTAGCTGTTGAGGAACCATCTGATGCTGCATTATCTAAAGACGAAACAGTTGATGTTGAAAGGGAGGATTTTGATGCTACAGTTGAGCAAGGAGAAGACCCGGCAACAGATGAACAGATGCAGGTTGAACTACCTAGCGAAACAGTCGAGACTGCTGAAGAAAAACTCGACAAGCCAAGCGAAACTGTGATGTCCGACGACCAGTTGAGAGATCAGACAGAACAAGACATCCAGCAGATAATTTCCGAATCAAGCGGCGACAGAGAAGAGGGTGAGATGGTCGCCGAGTACGGCGATAATGATGACAATAATGTAGCTAACGAGATGTCCGGCCTAGGCTCCGACGAGCTTCAGGCTGCTCCACAAACAGGCGAACCGGAGAACACACAAATTACTGACCCGATGAGTCAAGCAAACTTGGAATCTGGGGAAATCGATCCTTCCCAAACCCCACCATGGGAGGAAGATAAGATTGTCGACACGACTGAGAACATTCCCGACAATGCAAGCAAGCTTAAAGAAGCTTCGCCGGCTCCTCCTGATCCTGCAACCGACATTCCTGCCACCGGGTCAACTGTTACTGCAACTGAAGAAGCCTCGACCAGCAGTGCTGTGGATGCCGGCTCTTCCGAACAAGGCGGCTCCACTCCCCCACAGGATACGGGAACAGCGAAACCAGTGTCGCCTGTGAGTGGCAGTTCGACTACCATCAATCTGCAGGAGAGAGCGAGGCAACGGGCGCACCTGAGACAAGCTGGGATGGCTTCTTCTACTTCGACAACCCCCGGCAGAGCTCGCGGCAGAACGATTCGCGGTCGCGGCGCCCGAGGCACTACCCGGGGAGGACGTGGACAATCTTCAGGTTAGATGGTGAGGGACTTTGAAGTTTTTTTGATGATTGAGATATTCATGAGTCTTCACAATTTGGGACTTAGACACATTTGCTAATGCATTCTATTTTGTGTTTTACATTGATTTCCTTCTTGGTAGACAATGTGTATTGAGCATTCTATTTTAAACAATATTAAATACTGAAGATGATAAACGTATATGTATATGTTTTTGGTTAGAAACAAAATTAAAATTTACCCTACATTGGAATTGTGTAAAAGATTGAGTAGGATTTGTGAGTTCAATCAAAATTCTGCCCAATTAATTTTATATTTGTTTTAAAATATATATTCTTAATAAAGAGAACATATACAAATTTCTTGATATTTACTTTAAATAAGAAAAGTTAGTGTTCTTTTTACTTTATTCAATAATATCCAAAAGAAAGAAAAGCTACCAGTAATCCAAGCCTGCCAATGTTTCAGACATTTTTTCAGTCGTATTTTCAGGGATCGAAGATGGAATTACAGAAAGTATTGGGCAGTAAAAGATAATATCGAAAATTAAGTCCTACCCCACAATTTTCAGAGCTCCAAATGCCGTTCAAGTCGTCTTCCCCAATCTGGCCTGTCTCCATTTCCTCCCTCCACGTTTCTCTACCTCTCCTCCGACTTCTCCGGTTTTCTGAATAAAATATGGATATTCGATTCCTCTACCCATTTCTTTTACTCGTTTCCCGCAATTATCTCCGTTTGCTCATCCGACAATCCGACGTTGATTATTACCGCAATGCGGAATACAGAACTCCATTGCGCGTAGAGGCGATGAATTTCTCAAGGAATACGTTCTTTTCAACACGAATTTCTTTGATATTGCCATTACCGAATAGTTTCTCATGTGTGAAAATCCATTTGAAGTGCTTTTAGGAGGGAGGGGATCTTTCAGTGTACCTGGTGAGTTCTTAGAATCTCATCCCCGTGATTCGGAATGTGCTTTAATGAACGGTGACTCTTCGTATTATTTTTTTGATTGGAAAGAGCATTCGATCATTAAGGTTCAGATTCTGTCGCTGCAGTTTGGCACTTTTGCATTGTTTGTTCGTTCAGTCATTTCTTGCTAAAATCTATTTCAAATGCGCTTATCAATGTGAATAGGGTGCAAGCGAAAAAAAAACTCCATCAAAAACAATATTGATTGCCTCATCAGAGCTCCGGACGAATCGAAATTATGGAAAAATGCTTGAAATTCAGTATTTTGTTTCCTACATGCGCCATCGTTATTTAAGTGGAATAGCTTATGAATTGGGTGTAAATTTAGGCTTTCATGGCGTTCTTATGCTTTTCCATCGAAGAATTTCCGTGCATACGAATTTAATCCTTAATTTAGATACAAACAATTATGCAAAAGCTAAATAATTCTATGGAGCAAATACTAGTAGAAGAATTGAAAGGATTATGAAACCATTTGGGATAGAACTTTTAATCTATCCGTTGATCTTCTTTCATAGTCATCCATGAAACTGTTAATCATTGGCGTAAGATTCATTGTTTTATGCAATTTGTTCTTGCTGGTTAGTTTCGAAATTCAATGATTGGATTTCTAAACATTTTGTTTTCTCAACTACAGATGAGTCAGGCGCTTTCGGAAAGAAGCGCTAACCCGCGAATGTAATCCAATCCTACCACATAAACCACCGAATGGTTTTAGAAGAACCGAAGTGAAGGTCGAAACCTGCACGATTCCATGCACAATGCCCAACTCTAAACCTGCTATCAACGTCGATCATTTCAAAAGCTCGACAACAAGTGAATTGCCCGCTGTTTCATCCAATGTTAAAAAATGCAGTTCTACGAGCACTTTACTGAACATGGATTTAGGCTGGGGAAGTGCCGGAAACCATCGAAGTGACAGTCTAGAAAGTACAAGTACACAACACCACAAGCCTCACACTGGTGGCGATGCTCGGTGGGATGCTATTAATATTGCATCTTCGAGAGACTCTACACTCAGTCTTAGCAATTTTCGTCACCTGAAACGGCTAGGGAATGGAGATATTGGAATCGTCTATCTTGTTGAGCTTATTGGAACCAGTGCCTTCTTTGCTATGAAGATGATGGATAAAAGTGCTCTTAGGAGTCGGAATAAACTACTCCGAGCTCAGACAGAAAGAGAGATTCTTAGTCTTCTCGATCATCCTTTCTTACCGACTTTATATCATTTCTTTGAGAACGAAACGTTCTATTGCTTAGTCATGGAGTTCTGCTGCGGAGGTAACCTCCATACTCTTCGGCAAAAGCAGCCCAATAAGTATTTTACAGAAGAAGCTGCTAGGTCACTACCTACTTTCCTTACTTGTTCTTTGCGCGCCTCCCTTGTTCGTGTCATTTCATTCTTCTCGATTTTATTTACGATTCTTCCTTTACTTAGCATGCTAGTAAATTTTGTTAGTAGCCTTGGATATAGTTTGTTTGTTTGCTTGCGATTTTTTTCATTGATGAAGCTCTAGTAGGATCGAATTACTTTTCTTTTTTTGATGTCATCAGAAAGCCGTTTAATAGTTTTAGTTTTTTTGATTTATGGCAGGTTTTATGCGTCCGAAGTGTTGTTGGCGCTCGAGTATCTACATATGTTAGGAATTGTGTACCGGGATCTAAAGCCGGAGAATGTTTTAGTTCGAGACGAGGGGCATATCATGCTCTCGGACTTCGATCTATCCCTCCGTTGCTCTGTCAATCCAACGCTCGTCCCGTCATCATCCGTACACATGGGGAATTCCGGCGATTCCACTGCCGGTGGCACCGGTGGCATTTTAGACGACGACAGTGCCCTGCGCAGCTGCATCCAGCCAACGGGATTTTTCCCGCGCCTCCTCCCCAGCAAAAGGAACCGAAAATCCAAATCAGACTTCGGGTTGGCGAACAGCGCCAACCCGCTCCCGGAATTACTCGCCGAACCCACGAACGTTCGCTCGATGTCCTTCGTCGGAACCCACGAATACCTCGCCCCGGAAATCATCCGCGGCGAAGGACATGGCAGCGCAGTCGACTGGTGGACGTTCGGGATTTTCCTCTACGAGCTCTTGCATGGGATCACTCCCTTCAAGGGCTCGGGCAACCGTGCGACATTGTACAATGTGGTCGGGCAGCCCCTCAAGTTCCCCGACAGCCCTCAAGTGAGCTCGATAGCGAAGGATCTGATCAAAGGCCTGTTGGTGAAGGACCCGCATAAGAGAATCGCGTACAAACGGGGCGCAACCGAGATCAAACAGCACCCGTTCTTCGAGGGCGTGAACTGGGCGCTTGTAAGAAGCGCCGCACCCCCTCACGTGCCCGATCCTTTCGACTATAGTCACTACACGACTAAAGATTCAGACAAGAAGATCGCGGTAGCGGACGACAACAGAAAATGTAACTCTGCCGTCGATCCTTCTTACGTCGAATTCGAGTATTTTTAGACTATGTTTACTTCGTGTAAAGTTATCCATCGTTGTTTAAGTCCGTTCTTCGTCTTAATTCTTCAAAGTACGTACATTGCATCTTGAAGTTTTGTTATGTTTTGCTATGGCATGTACAAATGTTCTTCTTGTTTGTTTATATTTACACACTTTTAAAAAAAAAATTATGTAATTAAAATGTTGTTTAATTTCAATATTTGTATTTTATATAAAAAGTTATTAGTCAAACAAGCAAGCTATTCTAACTAATGCTGGAAAAAACTGATTTAATACGAACTTGGCACGAAATAATTGAGTTTAGGTCAAATATCTCAATTATATTAATTAACACGAACTTGATACGATAATAAACGAGCCTGGTTAAAGGTTGAAGCTCTCTAGTCACCCGACACGACAACCCAATTATAATATATTAATATTTATTAACATATTTATTATATGAGTATATAAAATAATCATAAATTAATTTGAAGTAAGTTCAATTTCAAATAATTCAACCATTCAAAACAATATGACAAAAACCAATTTAATTTGAATAAAGAATTTTGACTTAATTATCTAAACGGGTCAACACGAGTCAATCTCAACCGATACGATAATAAATGGTCAACAATAAACAGATCGAGTTAAGATTGAGTAATTTAACCTAGCTTAAATTAATTGTGACATACTTTAAATCGACGTTGCTAATAAAACTTCTTACAATCCCATTAAATAAATAGTAGTATAATTAATTTAGATTGCGTATTTATTACTTGTTTTAGAATTTATGGGTAAAATGTGACAGTTTTAGTAAATAAAATAATTATTTGGTTAAAGACTGGCAAGTTGCAGTATAAGAAGCGTCGGCAGACCAGTCGCTTATGAAGCAGCGAAGAAGAAGAAGAAAACTGTAAGAACTTCTTTCTAGTACTGGATTCAACGATGCTACTGCAAGGTTGGAGCGATTTCGGCTTTGCATTTCGGTTAAGTAGCTGTAATCAGCATTCGCGCAGAGGAAGAGGAAGAGGAAGAGGAAGATTTGGATTATCGAGGCTCCCCTTGCGTTGCGCCTTTGAACTCGCTGGCCAGAGTGTGTCGGCGGATGATGTCGCCGCCGTGTTTCACAACAAGGTTGGGTCATTATCCTTTCGGATTCAAATTTTGGTTGTCGTGCAATGTTGAGTCAACTCTGATGTTTTGAAAGCCCTTTGTCTTACTTGTTCTTATCTATTTAATTTTTTGAATGGGTTTTGGTGTTTAGGTTTTGGTTTCGGCGGTTGTATCGGCGGGGGTTGGGCAGGTTTTGAAGCCGTTTACTTCGAAATTATTGTATGGTAAAAAAATTGATTTGAAAGCTGCTGTTGGAGCTGGAGGATTTCCTTCCACTCATTCTTCGGTAATTGTATTTCTTCAATTGATTTTCGCAAATGTTTGTTTCAATCCATTGTTTAGACATACATACACAAATGTATATATATACACAAAAATGGATACTGCTAATGATTAGATTTGATCTGATTGTTCGTTATTCATTTGCCAAATTTAGGCTGCTGTGGCGGCTGCAACTGCTCTTGCCCTAGAGAGGTGATTTTACAGTAGTCTTTATATATATACCTCTGTTCTTTTATGCTATGAAACTGCACTTTGCTATTGGCATAATTGGGGTGAGCTACTGGTTATTCTTTGTCCTGTTTTTATTTTACTATTGCAGAGGATTTGCAGATGCAGTTTTTGGTTTGGCTGTGGTTTATGCTGGCCTTACCATGTATGATTCACAGGTTTGTATTCAATGCTAACTCGGTTCTCTTTATCTTCCGTTCATGCGAAATAATGCGAACACTGGAGTTGAATTATGTGTTTATAAATGGGAAAGACAAATGGGTAATGAACATTTAGGGATTCAAATGAAAGGTGTGGAAATGGTTTGGGTCCATTCTTGGTTATGTATATGATTTAGTCTTTTGCTTAAAAAATGGGGCGAAGTTAAGATAAGATCGAACTATTTCTGAAATCTGTACATGTGATTGTATCTCTGTTTGTTGCTAATTTCTAGACTCGGAATAAGTATTAGGTTTCGATCTATTATCATTGTCTCTTTCTTTGCATTATTGAAATACGAAATCTGGTTAGCTACATAGTGTTCTTGCTCGATTTCCTCAACTTCGTTGCAGGGAGTTAGAAGGGAAGTGGGAATCCATGCAAAAGAGTTGAATAAAGTTCTACTTAAGTCCAGATTACCTTCGGGTTCATCTAGGGAGGGCGTGGATGATCTAGTCGAGTCTTTTTCTAGAGAATCAGCGTCGTCAAGTTTAGACAACATCGACAATGTTTTCTTGGAGAAGCAGAGCACTCTCCAGACAAAACCGAAAACTTCTTCCTTGTTCCTCAAATCTGATGGAAGGAAGCCGAGTAATAAACCCTTTATAAATTCCTCTAGCGCGGCACCATCTGACTTCAACGGACAGCCAGAAAGCACAGCAGCATACAGTCGCTCTAATTCATTGAAAGAATCAATTGGCCACACTGAAACTGAAGTCGCAGCTGGCGCCCTGTTGGGCTTCTTGGTTAGTTTTGCTATCTTCCCTTACCTTTAGAAGCATGGGATCGATTGTTTTTCTGTTATTGCATTACCTAGTAGAAGTTTTCAATAATCTGTTATGATGTATTTGTAGGATTCTTAACTTATTTATACAATATGTGCCAACTAAATATGTACGAGTTCTTACAACTCAAATAAAGAAGTTCAATTTTATATTTCAACACTATCTTTATATCTTTGCGCGACAATCCCAAATGCTTGAATTCGGATACTGTTAGATTTTCATTAGCGACTACCTACTTATGACGGAAATGTTGCGAGTTAAGAGTCTTATGCGTGAAAATTCATGTCCACGGGTAGCAAAACATGCAATGAATCCTAAGACAGGGAAAGTACGTAGGCTTACAACAACACATAAGAACATAGTTCACACATAGGAAGTAAGTAAAAACTCTAACCTACTTAGGAAATCTTGAAAAATCGGTGTCAAAACTATGACAGTCGTTGTTGGGGAACAGGGAAAACCTCGGCGCCAAACACTTGTCCAATGGCGCAGTCATGCCAGGCTGCGTAGTCAGCAACTTGTCCAGAAACGTCCAGTCCCCCGACAGATTACTCTGACGGGTCTGGATGTCTAAGGCCGAGTCGGGGAGGAGCGGCGCCGGAGCATTGCCGCCGATAGCGGCGAGCACGTCAGGGCAGAGCAGTTGGGGGAGATGCATTGGAGAAGCGGTGTTGAGGTGATCCATGGTGAAATTGTTGGGGAGATTTGTGGGCACTGTGAAATTGTTGGTGGTGGTGGTGGTGGTGGTGGGGGTGGGGTAATGAGGGTAGGGATGATGGAAGGTTCTAGAAGGGTTGGAAAGGGTCTTCTTTTTGAAGACTCGGCAGATGACCCATCCTTCTTCGGGTAGGTGGTGGGTATTAGTAGTAGTGGTGGAGGTGGTGTGGTGGAGGCGATACTCGTGCATGATCCAGTCGGTCTTGTGGCCGTGGGGGGCTCGACCTGTGTAGAAAACGAGTGTTTTCCGCATGCCGATCCGCTTGTCGGCATGGTGGTGGTGGATAGGCTTGTCCCGCCCGGTCGCCTTCCAGAAACCGGCGGCTGTGGCGCGGTTGGTCCGGCTGCCGGTCGGATACTTCTTGTCCTTATGGCTGAAGAAGTACCACTCATTTTGGGGGCCTGACCCGATCCCGCATTTATCTGGGGGAAATTATGGTATTGATTTTCATTAAAAATATATTATTTTTTTATGAAACTACTATTAGTTGAACCCAAACCAAAACATTTCACTTGGCATTATTAGTATGTAGAAGATAGATAAATTGATGCATGAATTGTGGATATTTAAATTTAAGGTATTTTTAGGAATATGTGTTCTTTATTTTTTCAGAAAAATATTTATTAGTCATTTTAGTAATTTAAATATATATATATATATATTAAACTAGTATGTAAATTTGATGATACACACCTTTAATGCATTTCGTACACTACAAGCTCTTGTGCAAAGAGTAATGTGACTTTATAAAAAGAAAATACACTACAAAAAAATAATATATTTGTAACAGAATTTTGTCCCTAAAATTCACATAGTTAAAAGTAATTTCATTCTTAATTTTGTTTCTAATGTCATTAGTAACGAAAAAAAAGTAAATTTATAGACAAAAAAGTTTTTTTACAAAAATGATTTTTTCTTTGCAGTGATATGTCCATTAACATTGTCATAAAAATGTAAATTTATGTTTTACTATTCAGACTCGGTGTATTTTTTTTTTTTCTTGAGAAAAATTCACATCAAACTTAATATTGGAGCTGATATATTGTAAGAAATTTCCATACTGATTAACTTCTAAGAAGTCTAATTAAATTGTAAAATTCTCGAATAAAATGTGACTGCACGGGTAAATACACACGTGTGCAAGGTGTGTGTATGTATACGTTTTTGTTTGCACTGAAATTCCAAGAAACTTGATTAATGTAGGATTTTATATCTTTTGTTAATTTGGACATAATTATAATACTAGTAATTAAACAAGCTTAATTAAGTAATTATTTAATTAAAGAATCCTATGCTCACTCTCATTAATCAATTCTATGTATGAAATTATATATATATATATATTAATTAATTACGTTGGTAGTCTTCTATCTCATCCTAATCCCAATGACTAATAATTATATGATACTACTATATACATATGTAACATATTATTAAATCCTAAACCATACATTTTTGTATGAATCATATTGTTTACTTAATTATGCATCTCTGTTTAATTTTAGTTAACAAAAGATTTAAGGGCTAAATTTACTTTTTGTCTTCTACTTTAAAAGAATATATATATATATATATTCGTGTGTATGAAATTTATTTCGTTTAGTATGAATTTATATATCAAAACCCTAATTAACTTGCAAGAGTTGTGAATTAATTTATTTCAATTATATACTTGTGTTTTTCAATCTTATATATGCATCTATGATATATATATATATATATGTGACAGTACAATAAAACATTATATTGCATCAAATATTTGTTAAAAATTCAAAATATATCATGTTTAAATATATTTTTTGGATAACTCCATCTTAATTAATCTATCCATAAATTATTATGTTGATGTGTATAAGAAGTAAAATAATGAGGGTGAGGGGGTGATTAATTAAATTACGTACCTCGAAGGTCCCAAGGCTCAAGCTTGTTGAGATCGATTTCACGGATGACATCGAAGTCGATGGGCTCGTAGGATACCTTTTTTTTGAGGTAATAGTAGAGGAGTTCCTCGTCTGTCGGATGGAATCGAAACCCCGGTGGGACTGTCAGCTGCCCATTGCCATTGCCATCGCCATTGCCATTGCTGTTGTTGCTCATCATCATACAATGTTATATGTATGTATGTATGTATGAATTGTGGCCTGTAATGGCATTCTCTGTTATGTCACAAATTAATTGGCATATATATATATACACATATAAAATTAAATATTGAAGAGATTATGTATATATGGAATTGAGTGATTGATGCATGAGACCAAATAGGGTTTGGTGAATTTTTTGAAAATTATTTAGGGTTTGGAAAGCTGTGTGTGCGTGTATATATATATATATATATAGATATGTAATTTATTTTTACATTTTTTAGTGTTACTTTATATGTATGTATGGATGAATTTTTAGTTTTACAAAGTTACTGTATTTCCTCTTCCCTTTTTTTTTTTTTTTTCATACTGAAACATGATCACACGCATGGCAACCCGGCAGCCATGTGAGATCTGAATTTTCTTCAGTCTGAAAATGAACTCCTATGGTAACTTACAAGATTAAAATGCAACAGTTAAAATTTATACTAGAAAGGTGATACGATTGATGGAGACAGAAATATGGAATTGTATAAAGGCCAAAAATCGTAAATTTTGGAACCCTAATGATTGATGCATGCTTAGAAACCCTAATTTATAAGAAGTGATGGTCTATATAATGAAGGAATTAGAGAAACTAAAGTTGCAGTATGATGGATGGATGGATGGATGATGATACAAAACAAGTGTATATATATAAATATATATATATATATATGTATGAAGTAGACATGAATGAAACCTTAGAGATTACTTTACCTAAGTGTTGGTATTAGGGTTTGTGCCAAACAGAAAAGACAAACAAGTGGAAGAATGGCTCCCAATTTCAAGAACAAGAAGATGATGAAGATGAGGATGAAGATGAAGATGAAGATAATCAAGAATGACTAAGAAAGAAGAAAGCTTCTTTCCTTTGCCTTGCTTTGCTTGCACACATTTTCCGAGTCTATCTTCTTCCTATTAAAAAGACTTCAGCCTCTCTCTCTCTCTCTCTCTCTCTCTCTCTCTCTCTATATATATATATATATATATATATATCAAAATAGGTAGTCAATTTTGTCATGTATATACTTGATTACGATCAATTTTAATAAATTATTTCATATGTATTGTATGTCAATATTAAGATGCTCTCAACAGATAAAATTAAAATAATAATAAAAGAAGAAGAAGAAGAAATAATGTACCTGGATATATCATTTAGAATTATTTTAAATTCAAAAGTTTGATTATGTATGTAATTATGCATGCATGCATGTGTCTACGCTTGCTCATATGTATATGCAATTTTGAATGCTATTATTAGAGTGTTTTTAAAAGGATATAATAATAATACTCAAATAAATTAGTATACTAATCAGGAATTTAATCAAGATAATCAGGGATTTTAGTATATTTAAAATAAACTAATTAGATCCTCTAACCTATAATTATATTACTCTTCTAATTAGATTAATTGTAGCTATTTATTAAAGAAAAAACAAATTAATTTTTGAATTGGTGATTATAATGTTGTTAGTATTACAGGTAGAGTCAGAGCCCTAGATCATATTCATAAGAATATCAATGGTCCTGAAAGTGCGCAGTACGCAGAGGCAACGGTTTCGGTTTTACCCAAATCCCATTTTACATTATTTATTATTTATTTCAGAGGAAGTGAGTCGGGATTCCTACGTTACCCAACTGGCCGGTCAAGCCCTCGCATTCCACCTCTCAAATTACAATCTTGCCCCCCCTCTCCAAATACCCTTATTTTATTACTAAGTAGTAATAATAATAATAATAATATTAATATTAATGGCGCCGTCGCCTTCACGGACACTTTCCCAACATTTATTATTATGATTTATTCAAGTGTGCGTGCTATAATAGTAACGCTTGCATGTTATCGCATTGCATCACAATCAGTGACAGACACACATACATATACGCACTCTAATTAAATTAAATAATATTTATATATATATTGATATGATACGTTGGGATGGATGAAGATGCAGGTTAATTGAAGCTTCTATTCTCTGACATCCACCACCACCACAACAACAACAATAATAATAATGAATGCTCAATATTGATTTAGTTATTAAATTACAAAGTTGAGAATCCCAAAGCAAATACAAACAAATATGTATGTATGTATGTATGTATGTATGCAAAATACCAGGACTTGAACTCCACTCCTAACGAATGCATACATTACCAAACAAGGTTCCATCTTTTGTTTGTTTTACTTTTACTTTGCTTTTATCCTCATATTCTCAAAAACATAAGTAATACTTAACCTACAAATTTTTTATGACAATCTTAAAAAAAAATATGTAATACTAGTGACATATTTCTATATCATTATTTAGCTCATCTTTTTTAATAAAAATTTTAAGCTTGTTTATATAATCATTTTTAAAACCTTTAGCATTATTTATCAATAATAATTTTTTCAAAACTGATCATATAATATAAAGTTTTTTATTTCACAATATCAAATCAAATACTAACATTTTATTATTTTAAAAATATTTTCAAAACTCTCAAGACTTCTATCCCAAGTTCTGAAAATTTTGGGGAATAATAAAAAAATAAAAGATTTACAATAGATAAATAAATAAAAAATACCTGTATAGACACCCCAAAATTAAACATATGGTTCTACGCTTCTACTGTAGAATTTTTCAGACCAAGATGAAATTTTCTAAAATAATAACTAATTAATCATTTCACACCTGAATAAGTACTTTTTAATCTCTAAGTAGCAATTTATTTGAATAAAGTATATGTGTATGTAACAAGAAAAAAAAAGGCAATTCAAGTGCAAGAAAGAAAGAAACAAGTCCTCAAACATCATCAAACTCACCCAACAAATACTAAGTACACAGTACACAAGCAAGTCCTCAAATCACATTAAGAAGAAGACAAGGAGGATCTACTCGGATACCTTTTCGGCCGAGTCCGAGGCTCCTTCAGAAGTCGACACGATCAACACCTCTCCAGGAGGAGGGTGATCGAATTTGCATGTCGGTCCATATTTGCATGTTCCAGTCTTCATGTAGAACGGGCATTGTATGGCCCCCTTCAAACATGATTAGCAAAAACAAACACAGGTCGTTTAATAGACGGCTCCAATAATCGAGAATGGGGTATGGCTTCATTCATAGTGTATATGATCATGAAATTGAAGGCAATGAAATGAGACTTTTATCGAGGGTTTGGGAAGTACCTCTCTCCTAGGCAGACCTGCTAGAGTTAGCTTCACATTTTGCTGCTGAGATTCTTTAACTGATGCTGCAGATACCGCTCGATCAAAGGGATGGTGGAACTTGCAGGTATCTCGGAACTTGCATAAACCAGTTTTCATGTAATACTACAACAAAAGAAAAAATCAAATGAGCAAATAAGTAAAAAAATGTAGTTTCGCAAGAAAACAAATGATCTACAAACAAATCCTTGATATAGGTCTGAGATTTAGATTTTAAAAACAGAAAGTTGTGGCTAAGATTTTGTCAAAAAAGATGACCGAGAAGTCAAGTAAAGTGTGATTCAATAATAAATCATGCGCCAAAATCACATAACACTCTCGAGTGTAAAAGGTTGAAAGTCAGGAAACGGATATAATGTTGAGATAGAGGCACCAAATCCAGGCATTATGAATAACTAAAGGTTTAAAGGTACCCACATCACATTCTGGCCGTCCAGGTCGTTGAGGGTAAATTGTTGGTCCCAATCCAAGCTGCAGCAACCAAATGAAATAGCCCGTTAGAGCAAATTCAAAGTATGAAATTCCAGATCAGTAACAAATCCAACACGAAATCAAGCGACGTGCTCCCTTGTACGCCCTATAGCTTGTGTTGGATAGAATAAAAGTTTCAGTAACTCGAGAGAACATAGAATGCATGGGAGAGGCATAAAAGAATATAACAATACCACAATCTTAGAAACTAAGATAGCATTGCCACTATGAAACATCAGAAATGGCACACAATCTAAATTTTTAAATGCTTCAGCACTGATATATCATACTGCTAGCAAACACAAAGAAAATGGATGGTTCCAAATTACCGCGGACTGAGCAAGCCTTGGATCAAAAGTCGACAGAAGGGATGCTGCAGAAGCTACACCAAGATTGAACGGTGTTGAAGAAGAGGATAAAAGGGAAGGCACAATAGCAGCTGTTGACGGATCATATGCTGCATTAACTTACAATGTGTTATCATCACGAACTAATCAAAGAAAACAACAAGCAAAATGACACAAGCTAAAATGTTTCCACAAACCAATTCTGTTAGGGTGATTGTAGCGACAGGTGGCCCCGTACTTACAGCTGTTCCATAAAAGCAAAAGACCAAATTAGAACAAGTTGAACCAAGCTCAGCTACGATTCTTGAAAGAACAATGCAGGAGCAAATAAAGTGTTCAAACTGTGACTGGAACCACAATATACGTACCTGCCAGTTTTTACATAGAATGGACAATCTTCAAAACCCTATAGGTAGCGAGTAAGAAATGAGGATATAATACAGAACAAAGTAATTATTCCTTATCCCATTTAAGTCATAAAAAGTAGGTCATAAAATATATCAATAATGTAATGGATATTCATACAGGTCGAATTGGAAGGCCTTTACTGTTGTGCAACATTGCTGGAGTAAAATCTAGTTGACCAGGTGTTCCCACTCGGTTTGGCATCACACTGCCATTTTCTGCTCCAGCAGTTGGTGTATGCATACCCCTTGGGTGGTTGAATTTGCAGGTCGCACCAAATTTACATTGTCCAGTCTTCATAAAGAACTGCTTAAATTTAAGTCAAGTTAAGATATACACCAGAACAATGATAAACATTGTCAACGTGAGAAAGATTACTCACAGCACATGGCGGTTCTGATGGCCTCTCGGGTAAGAAAGCGCCACCATCATTATCAGCTCCATACTGGTGTCAGGCCAACAAAAGCAGTTGAAAATCTATAAGGGGAAAAGAAATAACAATGAAGTAGGAAATAGAAACAAAAACCTAACCATGAGAAGAGTTTTCTCTCTTGGGTGGTTGAATTTGCACCTCGTACCAAATTTGCATCTTTGAGTCTTCAGAAAGAACTGATACATTCACAATAAGATATAGATGATAAATTAGATGATTAAGCATCAGAATTGAATGTTAGAGTTCAGAGTTCAGCTTACAGGACAGTCTGGCTCTCCGGGCCTCTCTGGGAGGTATTCACTTGGTAAAAGGGGAACCTAGGTAAAACCGTCACAAAAACATACCAAATATATCATGGCGAAAAAGTAGGTGCGTCCATAGTTTCCACACAGAGATAGGAAGGCAGAAAAGTGAGTTACAGTAAAAACATGCGAGAAAAATAGCATTTAAAATCTGAATGACAAAAATAGAAACAACAAAAGTACAAAAAGATAGCATCCTTCTTCCAGGAGGCATAAAAGTAAGCCACTGCAAGCACCCAAGTGGTGATGTTGGCTGAAGCTTATTATTTATTCAGTGTAACTAAATTAAATAACATTTTACATCAATCAGCCATGCCAAATGTATGAGATAGTTGCAGAAAGAAATAACTTTAAAACACAACACAACACACAATGCATGCGCTCACACACAAAATAGTACTAATCAGATATAAATAAACAAATAAACATGCGTAATTGTATGATACAAATGGATGTTTCTAAGAAAAATGTTCCCAATTACAGAGCAAAATAGTGTTACTTCAATTATAGGAGAACAAAACCATCCATAATCCAACCCGAGTAGTTAGAACAAAAGCAGACTAACAATTACTTTAGAAAACCAAAGAAACAAATTATTAACCATTTCTTAAGGATGGCGTAAAAATTTACCTAAGCCAAAAAAGAGATTGATGACTTTGTATAGCTCTATATCTATGTTGGTCTCAATTATTTATTTTCCAGCCAAGGACTTATTGACAAGATAAACAGTACAGATGCCAAAAATAGCATAGATTTTATAGTATCAGCTCAAACATAATACACTTAAATATGAGAAAACTAGCTTTTGGTGGGGGGAATATTTCATCTATATTATCAATTTAGATAAATGAAAACACAAAGTACTGAACCACGTTGTAAAATAGCTTAAATTTCCTTCGCATAAAAACACAATGATATAAAATATAAACAAAATACAATATAATGTAGGTAATTAAATTAATTAAGTGGACAGTAGAAAATCACCTCTTTCCAATCTGGGAGTCCCCCTTCTGGAACCCAAATAGGATGGTCAAAGATGCAGCTATCTCCAAACTTACAGGTTCTCGTTTGCATATAATAAGCGCAATCCTTCTCTCCAGGTCTCTGGGGATAAATGGGCAAATGGCTCGTATTCTCATATCTAGGGCGCTTGGCTAAATGGTTCGTTGAATACGAAGTGTCAGAATGCCCGATTGTGTTATGGGCATCCAAAAGAGTCGGATGATAAAGGGCTATATAGATAATAAGCAAATATAAAGAAACCAATTACATATGTATTTATATACAGATATATTTTACTTATATAATGGAATCAACCCAGGGTATGAATCCTTAAATTATGAAGTTCAGACCTGTTTAAATTAATAAACATTAAACAAAGGTTTGATATGTCCAATTATAAATCAAGCTTCCATACATATACAAAATTTGCCACAAAAACCTGTTAACTCTCAACAAAATATTTAATAGTATATCCAGCAGTATCAAATCACAAAAGTACTAAGATAATAAACATGTATACCATGAACCAGATATACAGTTAGAAACTACTTAAAGGGTGACATTTATCGGAGAGCTCGAGGAGCTAAAATTGTTTTGAATTAGTCATGCCCCAGAAAAGAAATCATTGCAAGACAGAGTAGACATCTAAATTAAGAATAGTTAGATCTAAGAACTTAAATTTTCTATACTGATAAGTTTCTAACTTAAATATCAGAAGGATCTTATTATGCTAATTCTTTCTCATCGGTGTTAAACTAGTGGACTCGCATGAGATCTATCATTTCATTTCCAAACCAGCATCAAGCTTCATTTACCAAGTTTGAATAAATTCAAGCAGCTAAACCAGAAGTTGGTTAGTAAACTCATCCAACAAAGCTCTATTAAACGCCCTCCAGACTCTACCACTCGATCCTATCATTACTTCCATGAAATCACACGATTATTTACAACAAATACTATCTTCATTGCACATTATTCGTCGAAAATTAGGCAAACAGAAAAGCAGCAAACACTAGAGAAACCAAAAGGCCACAAATATTTCTTACATTCAGAGGAAGAACGCTTCAAATCGGCGTACACGGAAGCGAAGGTGGCAGCTGTGGACCCCATATCAACGCCTGGGGGCCCATACGAATGCGTTGGAGTCGTGACCGATACACCGGGAACCCTAGGAGAGTATCTTTCGTGATTGTAAAGCATTGACGACGAAATTCCTGCGGCGGAGAGTGAGTGAGACGGTGCTAAGACACCTAGATGAGGTCCTGCCGGTGGAGATGACGGAATTGGTATTGGATCGCGATGTGTGCGGACAGACGGCGGCGCCGGCGTAGCTGCTCGGGTCGTAACCGTGAAGAGTGATCCGCCATTGAACGACGCTTTTACTGACGGTGGTAAAAAGGCACTGAAGCCCTAATAGAAGCGTATTTTTTGAGGTAGCGCGACTTTAATAATTTCTAGTACGACAACGAGGTGTAATAGTACGGGAACCGTAATGTATCACAGCACCGTATCAACTCCATTTTTAATATTTATACTTTTAAATCGTGTTGGCCCATACCTTTTACCTTTAATTAATATTTATTCATTTTAAATAAAATTTAATACGCTAATAGTAAAAACTGGAACAAGCACAGCACTATAGTACGCATATGTTTAATCAAACTGTTTTATTCTATTAGAAGATAACATTATTATAAACGAGATCAAAAGCGCTAAAATATGGATTTTAGAATTCAATGATAAGAGGGATTTATATAGGAAGATCTATAAGTTTATTCTGTAGTAACAATTCCTTAGATGCATGTAGGTTCATAAGGCTACCATAACTATTACTGTATTAAATTATAAAATTCAAAACAGTACTAACAGCATATAATATAATCACACGACTTCTCCCGTCCCCGATGCATACGAAACTTCACCTACCGATCAGGTTAATCACTACTAGCAAGAAACTGGCATAGATCGGAAAACAGTAATAATAATGATAATAGCAGTAATGATACAAAGCACAGTTAGTTCTTCATATGCACAAAAGCACAGCCAAAGCATCGACAACATTCTCGAAGAAAAAAACTAGAACAATAAGAAGTTGAGGTGATGCAGAACAAGGGGTAGGTAGGTAGGTAAGTAGGGTGATTCCTCGTTGCATCGAGACAACCAATGGGATGTCCTTGTCTTGTCTTGGCCTCTATTGCTCGGTATGGAACAATCAATGGATGCCTCGTCTCAGACTATCCATCCGTCGCTGTTCAGCATCATTATTCAAAGACAAAAGCGCAAACCATGTTAGGAACACACTTGTGCTAAGAGATTTTGGTCACCTGTGTTTCTCCCCAACGCTAGGTAGGTACATACGTACGTATATAGATAGAAGATCTCACGGAGTGGGGTTTATGCGATGGAATCCAGATAAGAGTGGTTTCTGCACCGATTGTATTGCAGGAGGCTGCCGTAGGTACGATCCCACACTCCTATGAAGAGGGAGTCTGTGTCGGGACTGAAAGATATGCCAGATATCTCACCAAAGAAGTCTATCTCTTGCTCCTTCTCATAACTGTTCTTCACATCGTACACATGAACAAAATCGGCTGGTTCAGCCATTGCCATGAACTGCCCATCGGATGTGAAGCGAATGGAGCGAATGGCGCCGAGGTTGCCCTTCAGTACAGCAACAGATTTTGACAGGTTCCGAGAATCCCATACCCGACAAGTTTTGTCCTGGTTACCGGTGGCAAACATGTGGCCATTTGGATGCCAAGCAGATGCGAAAGAATAATCCATATGACCATGTAGGGGAGCAATAGTCTACACACGGAAATTCATCAATGAATTAACCCAGAAAAGGTGAAAAATAATTGCCCAGAATGTTCTGTACTTTGAAATTTAAACGGGTACCTTTCCCGTCAGTGAATCCACCAACATTCCATCAGGATTGTCGCCAACAATAGCAAGGATTTTACCATCAGGACTCAGGGAGGTATGCTGTGAATAAACCAAGAAGATGATTGTCAGAAGTGAATGGTAAGCCGACAAAAAATGGTATAAACAAAAACCCTGAACATACTACCAAGTACACTACTTTTTATAGATATCCTGTTCCTTGGTATTTCCACTGAGTTGCTACCATGATTCAAGTTTAATGGCAACTAAATCACTTCCATGTAGAGTTCCAAGTGGTTGCAAGTGTGGACGAGGGGTTCCAAACACTAAATAATGACTATTTTTCATGGTAAAACATGAATACCTAGAAATTGACAGTATAATGATAGATTATTTTGTCGAAAGAGTTGAATGGAATACTACTTCTAAAAGCTCAAATTTTCAAGGAAAGGTCAACGTGTATTCTATATTGCTTCAAATTCCCCGTTCCTCCCACCTGTATTTTGTGATTAGACCTAAAGCACTGCTAGAACTCTTTCTATCAAGAGTAATAGTGGAAATTTTAATGTGGGAGGTCACAGTGAAGTATAGACTGTGTCAGTCAACTTTCAGAGTCAAGCTTATTGGTAACTATCAATGAAACAACAAAACACAAAAAGAAGAAGAAACAATGCCAATAAATTTTTTGCTTGCTTGTTCATCTTTATTACCACATGCAAATACAAGAAATCAGCAAGCTATGACAATTCGTACTTACATTTACAGGCCAGGGGTAAGAGAAGTGCCTAACAAGCTGAAATTTCTCCAAGTCAAAATCCCGGACACCACAATCATTATTTGATGCTGTGAAATGAATAGAACCACTGAAACGGAAGCAATTAGTTCCAGGTCATTTGCTAATGTGATGGAAATTGACAATTTGGCACACTTGAAACTGTCATCGAACTTCCATACATGTTTAATCGCTTTTTATATGTGTCAATACATTTGTTTTCAAAAACAATGATGGTCGCATATATTTATTTACCATATGCCTAAACTATTATGATCATTTTTCATAGTTTGACTGAAGAAGACTATGTTAGTGACAAATATGGATAAATCATTGAAAATCTTAGAAATATTACTAACAATGATGTGAAGTTTTATTGTTTTTTTTTTTTTTGAAAAATAAAAATAAAATTGATGTCAGGAATATATTCAAGTAAAGAGATTAAATGAAAATTTGTTTCCAACTCTGACCAAATATTCTTGATTCAATATTGGCTACTTAGATTGTGAAACATTGGTAATGTTACCGAGTTTGAATCATTCATGGAAGTGCTAAAATTCAGTTTAGGTGAGACATCACTACATGCATATTTAACTGAACATATTTGGCCAGTTGATGGAAGGATGAAATAAAATTTTCCGTAATTAAAAATTGGCAACATATATACATGAAAGAGGGCTAGAGGTATCTAAGTCAGTTCTGAAACAGAAAATAAGCTTTACCTTGGACTATCATAGATCTCAATTGCATTTGTAATAGCATTATCATCATATGTTGTCCTTGTACAAAAGCTAACACCAGGTCGATCTAGATCCTGCATTAAACAAGGAATGCTTCACTGAGCAATCAAAAAGAAACAATATGTTGTCATAAGCTAAGACCAGGTCGATCTAGATCCTGCATTTTAAAACAAGGAATGCTTCACTGAGCAATCAAAAAGAAACAATATGGCTTCCGAGAGGTGCAATGGGGAATTTCCTTTCTCATTAGCTCCCAATATCAGCTAACAAAAGACAATTGAAATAATCGATCTAGTCATGCCAAAGATCATAAGCATCACACATGGTTATCATAAAGATTATCAGCCGTGAACATCTTGGGAGGAGAAATACCACATCTGATGCAGGAAGGTAAATGATGTACTGAAGGCACAATGAAAAACAGAAAAGTACCTTGCAAATTAGTTCACCCTGGAATCCCCCAGCAATTAACAAATTATCACGGACTACCAGAGTGCTTACTTGCGTCTGAGTAAATCCTTCTAGTAAATTTCCAGGGTGTTTCTGCAGAAAGCGATAGACTGCATCAATGACTCATATTACAAAGGGGAATGCTTAACTTAATGTCTCATTCACAAGATGTTGTAAGAGATGAACCTCAGTTGGAGCAACATGGCCCGAGACATTAAGAACCTCAGTTTTCTTGCAACTCAATGATGACCAATGGATGATTGAATAATGAGACATGAGGTAAACATCATGCTTTGATGTTGACCAAACCAGATTCCTTAACTACAATGAAAAACAAGTTTCAAACAAACTTCCTCAACAAAAATAACACAAAATGGCATGTGAAATCACTAAAACAAAATAATTTGCAACATCAGTATCATCAAAACGGCCATCTCCCCTCACCTGAAAATGAAGAATGGTGGACTTTACTGATCTGGTGTTTTGCCAAAAGTCATAATACATTCCACCTTTCCTTGTTATCTTGCATTCCTAACAAGATCACAAGGAAAAGTTAGGCAATCATTACATACATTAGGCAGAATCACAGGGACTGTGTTGTTATTAAGACTCAAAAATTACCTTCTCAGAGCTCTCTCCAGATTGAGGAATATTCTCATAATTCTTATATTGTTCTAATCTAGTTTGCCTATACTTTTCCCTAGATATGCTCAACCTGTCCCATGGAATTCCTTGGATATCCTTCCCTTTCCGTGCCTCAGCAGCATAAGTATCCGTAATTTTATTGTCCTAGTTCCACACTTAAGTTAATCCACAATTCAATAGCTAATAAGTATTAAAAAGAAGGGATGAGTGCAAAAGATGCAGATAGAACTGACCAAATAATCATATTCATCCTCGTACTCTTCAGAATCCGAGTCTCCCATTCTACCTGCAAAATACATATCCTCATCCACTCCCTCCAGCTCATAGTCACCAGGTGCGTAGTCCATAGCTTCCTCTTGGTAGGACATTTACCGATATTCAACTTTGCTCACTTATTAGCTGCACCAAAAAAGTATCACAATTTCCATCATATAAAATATAGTTACTAAAACAATTACTATAACTTAAGCCCCAACACCAGTTAGCTCAATTAACTATCCTTTCAAACAAAGATTGAAAAATTGCGATCATAGGAGATTGTTCTACAGCAATGAAAATTATGCAATCAGCATGCGGAACATCGCTGTAAAAAAGAAAATTCCCTAAAATAAAATTCTAACGCAGATCTAAGTGATTTCCACAAGAGAAAATTCGTCAATGAACAGAGAACTAAAAACCATCAAGTCAGGGCCCAGGGGCAAAACAAAAAACCAACATATATATGTAATAAAAATAAAATCCACCGGAAATATTCTCCACCGGCCAAAACCCTAGGCACCAAAAATTCTCTATACATAACAAGCAACAAAAAAAGCACAAACACAAATCAACACATCATCAACACAATAAAGATTTCCACAGTTTACACAACGATTAAAGAGCTTAAATTCCATGACCGACCTTCAATCCCCTTCGATTTTGCTTACCACCAACAATCGTTTGATTGTTGAGCAGGAAAACACCAATCAGAGCCTCGAGACTCCGATTTAAGATTTCGGCGAGATCTCCGTTCCTTGGATCGAATCCAACAATGGCGATCTGTCTCTAACTCAACCAGGAAATGTACGCCTCCGTCTTCCGAGGCAGCAGTTATTTCTTTATTCTGATTCTCATCAGAATTGGGAAATGAAATAAATTAATTAATAAGTATATATAATTATATTTTGTACTCCGTATTTATGTAATAAGAAAAAAATTTTGAAAAAAGAAATGTATTTTTTCATATTTAACCATTTGACAATTTATAAAAAAAATACCTAAAGTCGCTGGTAGCAGCAAACCGCGAGTCTTGAAATCGCATTTACGGTTTCCCGAACTGTGAAACTAATTCATCGTTGAGGTTATCGCTCCGAGCAAAGCTTCTGCAAATTTTCAGGCCACCATGAGCACCGCAGCACTGAATTCGATCGGCAGCACCGTCACGCCGCAAGTTCTCTGCTTCTCGAAACCTGGAACAAGGAAAAAACGATTGGTTTCTGTCAGGAATTCGGTGGCAATCGAAACCGCCAAGGACCAAGCCGCGGCGGCCGCCGCGGCAGAGTCTGTCCCCCGCCGGCTTGTGCTGCTCCGCCACGCAAGGAGCTCCTGGGATGATCGCTCTCTCAGAGGTACTATTTCTCGTGTTCTAATTAAGAATGAATCACGAGGATTGTGGATGAGCAGTTATTCGTAGAAATTACATAGAGAGTAGAGTGCGAGCAATGTAGCGGCAGTGATGCTCGTCGTCAATTTCGAATTGCGAGGGAGGATAATAAAATAAGAATTGGTTCAGAGAAGATTGAATCTCATTATCGATCTTCAATTTTGATATGCTGCTAAAAATTCATATCGCAACGCACTCGGTAGATTACCTCTAACGTTTTCTGTTATTTAGATCACGATCGTCCGCTGAGCAAATCCGGACGAGCTGATGCTGTCAAATTATCACAGAAACTAGAGCAGTTGAACTGGATTCCTGAGCTGATACTATGCAGGTGGAAACCGTCTCTTCTATCCATACAAGTGAGAGTAATTGAGTTGAATCCACAGAGCATCTTACATATCTATTCTCTCCACTTTGGCAGTGACGCTCAGCGAACGCGAGAGACATTGAAGATAATGCAGGAACGTGTGAGGGGATTCATGGAAGCCGAGGTGCATTTCATTTCAAGCTTCTACTCAGTTTCCGCCATGGATGGGCAAACAGCGGAGCACCTTCAACAGGCTATCTGCAACTACTCGAGGGATGAAATTCTTACAATAATGTTGAGTATTGCTGCAATTAGATCACGCTGCAATTAGAACAAATCTGTTTCGATTAACGAGTAATTGATGTTGAGATAATCATGCAGGTGTATGGGGCATAACAGGGGATGGGAGGAGGCAGCCTCCATGTTTTCCGGTGCCTCCATAGAACTCAAGACTTGCAATGCTGCCTTGCTGGAAGCAGCCGGGCGGTCATGGAAAGAGGTCCTGCTTTTTCTACTTTCTATAATCTAAATTACACAAACTCGTGAATGGAATAGCGAAATTACACAATTTTGCATCCGAACAAGCTGATTTACATGTTAATACATAGAAATAGACACACCGTCGTTTTGGTGGTGTAGAAAGTGGCATTTATACCGTAATCAAGTCAATCTAACACCGTGATATTGAAAACTTCAGGCATTTTCTACAGCAGGATTTGGAGGTTGGAAGCTGCAGGGCATTGTAAAGCCGGACAGCGATCTGTAGAATGTTTCCAACTAGCCATGGGTACATTTCTTATTGTTTCCATGAGCTCATATGCAAAGGAGATGAAGGAAGCTTGGTAGATAACCCTCATGTTGAGAACAAACTTTGCATCAGATTGAAAAGGTTTGATGGGTGACATACTGTGATCATGATATCTGTGATCATTAACTAGTAAGCTTAGGACTTTAAGTCGAGTGTTTTCACGAACATGATATATGTATATATATATATGCCTGTATTATGTACATGTGTTCTTATATAATGCTGTAACGCTGAAGCTATGTTTTGTTAGCGACTTTCAGTCGCATGTTCTATGAGTTTGGAAAGGACTTTAATGTTCAATGCAGGCATTGTATTAGACTCTACCGTGTTATATAGTATGTGCAGGCAATGATCAGAATATGTAAACTACATAGAATGTTATTGGTAACTTCTACATACATCACTGACACAGAGAGAAGTGCAAGGTAATTTCTGAGCATTCGACATTAAATATAAATCTCCGGGCACAACTAGAAATGTCATTTTCTAATGCTACGAGTTTTCATGACATCTAAATTGCAGTTAATGATTTTTCGACATAACATTCGGAGAGATATGACTTTAGCAACCAAGCATACAAATCGGCTAATGAGAAGGAACTGAGGTTCAGGTAACATTACCAGAATGTGTGGATCACAGGTTGCTTCCCGGAACTCCTTCCAACTGATTCTCGTTGACAACAGATAGTCCCGCCGCCCCTAACTGGTGATCAAATTGCTCCCTCGTGAAGAAAACCGAGTGCGGTGGTTGGCTCAAGCTTGATTCAAGAATCGAATGGGTAAGAACCATTTCTGGTTTGGTAAGCTCTGTATCACTGATCCCACGTTGCTTTTTTCCTGGTCTCTCATTTAGGCTCTCAACCGGTGATGTGGCGTGACAGCCAGAATCGGGGGTTTGTGGCTCGTTGTGGGAGGAGAAGGATTCGTCCACAGAATAGCTCTTGGCCTGTGTATGCTCGTTCGTGGGTTTGTCTAGAAAAGGAGGTTCGGATGTTGGGGCGGGGGTTGCTGGATCAGTTTTAGCATCGGATTCAGGGTGTATGTAGTCTGATCGAGGGGCATCTGGGGCAACCGAGCCAGGGGCTTCCGAAAGCACTCCAGTAAGGCGCTGTTGTTCGTCGATGATCTTCTTTAAATACTTTCCTTGCGCTTCTATCCGTAACTGCAGCTGCCTTTGCACCTGCAAGAGGAATGGTTTGTCAATGTAAGGCTCACATGCAATATTATAAGGCCCAACAATTTGTCGACAGCCATCAAACTTTTGTTGCTCATATTCGCTAGGATATATTAAGTGGCAAAATGTAGTCGAGTATAACGATAACCTAATGAAAAGACCGGAATACCTCCAATTGCTCGTGCAGGCGCTTTTGAACCTCCATCTGCAGCTTGAGTGCTTCGGTTATTTGCATTCCACTGTAATGAGAGAATGGAGTGACAATGTTTAATGCATCAAGGCATGGATTTATTATATAAACAGATGTTGTCTAGTTAAGTTTTCGGGCACTAAGGAATTTCACTTACGACGAACCATCCAAGCCCGAAAGAGCATCTCCGGATTCTTTTTTCTCGGGTTTTTTACCTGAATCAAGTCGATATTATTTGTGTGAATAATTGGGAAGGGATGCTCAGACAACTCCGAAGGATCTTTAATGGCCAATTTATATACACAAGAGGCAACTTCCATGCACAATGTACAAAGCATAATAAAAATCATCAAAAACCTACCATCAGATGAAGAATCCGGAAGGTACTTGGCAAGCCTGTATTTCTATCGGCGACAACAGAATGACGTGTAAATTAACTGGGTGGGGTGTGGTGAAATGATGGTATAGCAACAAATTCAAAAAGGGTCCATGGCATACATACCTGTAAGTGGCTTTTAACATGGTAAATTGTTAGTCCTTGAACACCCATAACTCTAAGAACACCTTTAGGTGTTGCCCCTGAAATAAGGTCATGCAGTATCAGATTCATTGATTTTTTTTCGACGTGGAGCTGCACACACACACATGGAACATGCAGATGTATAAACACGGACTAGCAGCATAAGGATTTTTACTGCAAAACATGGTAAATTCGATCCTTCCAAATATGCTACAGATCTTCAACAATTTGACAATACAATCTTGAATCAGATATGGTCCAAGAATTTCAGACACAAGGCTTCATTAGCCAAAACTGAGTTAGTGGAACAACTATGTTCAGACAGATCAAAGTGTTCGAGCTTCTATATGTCCCTACAGGATGTCCTAAGCAAACTTATATATATGTATTGCAAGATCAAACAATTTTTACTCAGAAAAAACCGGGAGTTCTTTTTAGTGTTCTAGATGTTTTATTCCTATTGTCTTTTTTAGGTGAAATAATTATTGAATTAATTAATTGTGATAACAAGAATGCATAGTATAACAATAATAATGATAAATGTATGAGACAAACTCAAGCGGCCATGATTGTTTTCTCTTTAAGCTTTAAACTACTACCAGTATTTTATCATCACTTAATTACTAAACAATCTTATAAGGTACCAAATATGAAAAATAACTCACTATCTGGTCCGCCAAGCTGCGCAACAGCATCGACAAATCGCTCATGAAGTTCGTGAGTCCACCGAAGACGCTGTTTAGATGCCAAATTGGGATTGTTGTTCGCATTGTTGCCTCCACTCGTTGGATCCATTGCACCACAGTCCACTGCCTGGCTTTGATCAACTAGATTTTACGTGAAGTAAGCCTGAATTAGGTACAGTTTTTGTTTGAAGCATACATTAACCTATAGCAGAAACAGAAAAACTTAAGTCAAAACTAAGCCAATGAATCCTAAAATCCTCGGGAAGGCCATAGACGAACAAATTGATGAAATGTTAAACCCTAAATCAGAACCTCTTTTCAATTAAAAAACATAACACTGCTCCTCAACTAACCAATCCACTCCTGACAACCAAAACAACATATAACAAAGCAGCACCAGCATTTTACAAAATTAAAATCACACAAAAAACAGCCTACAATTTTTTCCTTACTTCATCTCACAGAAGATAACGATAAATTAGGTATTCACACACCAGATTTCGGATTTTCTAATCAAACAAACTGGAGTTGACCGAATGCTCGAGACCAACAGTAGCCTAAAAAATCCAGAAATGAGCTCAACTTATAACGACGGCTACAGTAACTGAAAGAAAAACGAAATTCTCACACAGATCTGCGGAATTCCAAGGCATGGATCCTCCAAATCCCTCAACCACTCCCATTTCAGCCGCGGAGAGGTCAAATTCCTCCGAACCAGCTCAGAACCGTCACAAGGCCGGTCAAATTCAACGAGACAGCAGTCTTAATCGATGATCCCGATTTCTTTCAATGAATCGATCGATCGTGAGACCTAACCCCGAATGAGCTCTTCTCAACTCTGGAAATTTTGCTTCAGGTTCAAATTTGATTTCCGAATGCTTTCTGACGAATAAATTATTTTTTTCTCACGGCTCATCTATATATATGTGTCCATATATAGGCGCGTGTGCGCACGCGGGCACAAAGTCTCGCCTGATATCATAGGCGAGGAGTCTTTTATCCGCCTATATATTTGTCCTCCTCCCCACACTCATTTGCTTGTTTCTTTTTTTAATAAACTTTTTTAGATTGATCGCTTTAAATAGTTCTTTATTTATTTTATTATTTGAAATGTTGTTATAATTTAACAAAAATTATATATAAATAAAGTTGTAGTCAAAATTTAAAAGACTTTAAACAAAAATGGTCCGTCTCATAACTATAATTTTGGTTTTATTTAGGACGGAATTTAAGGAATATTGATATTATATGGGTAAAAGACTTTTTTTAGTTTTGTGTAAAAAATAGTGGTAATTATGTAATAATAATAAAAAAGTAATGGTAGTTTTATAGTGATATTATTATTTATGAAAATGAAACTATTGTTTTGAAATGAACAAAAATTATAAAAATGACTATTGTACTGGGACGAAGGAGTATTATATTATCCTTTTGTTTCACTCCATAAGGATTTTTTTGAAATTTTGTAATAAATTAAATAATAATAATATTTTATTAATTAATAAAAATATAAAAAGATGTGATATGTTTGCACTATAACTTTTATATATAAATTAATTATATATATAATGATATATTTGTAATTTAAATAAAAATTAATAATATTTTGATACTAGTGTATAATTATTTTTACTTAAATAAAAAATAATATCAGTAAAACAGACAAAAAATGGTAAAATAATATTTGAATTAGTAAAAAAAAAAAAAAAAGTAATTCATGGTGACTATTGTATTTGATTTTTTTTAAAAAAAAAATTAAATACAGAAACAACAATATAAATCCAAATAGTATATAAAATGTTAAATAAATACATTATGTCAATGGACAACATATGATATATTTAAGTCCATCACAATGTACAATTGATTTCAACAGTGTGATCAATTAAAAAAAATTATTATTTTGTTCATTATGCCAGATTTTTATTTTTCTTTATCTAAATTTATAGATAATTTTATTTATAATTAAAAAAAAATATATAAGTTTGTTGAATTATAATTTTTAAGTGAATAAAATATTTGTTTGTTCATAAAACCTTTTGGACATTATTCTTAATATATATTTTATCCTTATTAGTATTGTTTAATATAAAAATAATATATTTATATAATAAATTATTGTAAAATATAAAAATATTAATTATGTTAAGTTAATTATACAAGAAAACAAATATATTTATCATGGAACGAAAATTAATAGAAAAAGACACATTTGTTTTTAGCACTGCAGAAGTATAAGTTTTTCCTAGTGAAGGACTATTATGTTAAATTATTTTTTATTGAACTATCTAAGTACTCCTCCGTCCCACATAATTTGTTTCTATTTTATATTTTTATTTGTCCCACATAATTTGTCCTTTCTTTTTTTAAAAATAAATTATACACTTTAATCATATTTTAAAATTTAAAATTTTATTTTTTTAATCTTAATTAAATTATTTAGTTATCTTAATCTTAATCTATAATTATTTTTACTAATACATTTTTTAATTATTTACTAATTATACTTTACCTAAATTTTCGTGTCTACGGTAGTACACTCATATTACATGAGATGGATGGAGTACATACTATTCTGCACAATCAGTACAGATATTCGGTTGTACTCCTTTCGGCATAGTTGAAATGACTTTTTACATTAAGATAATAAAATTTAATTAGTTACTATTATTAAATCAAATTTTATGTTTTTTATATGAATATTTTTGTTGCAGTTATTAAAAAAAATAATATATGATTAAAATAAATTTAGAGTATGTATTTATATGAATATTTATTTATAAAAAATAAAATTTTAAAAAATACAAATAAATAAAATATTTATTTATTTATAATTAAGATAATCTAATTTAATAAAAAAAATGAGTTTTAAATGTCGAAAAAAATATATATTTTTATGAAATAAATTTTTTTTGACTAGATCTTACATAATGTATAATGTTATATATTAAGAAGTTAACAAGTTAATTTCATGTAAAATATTCATTTTTTTTTATTTTAATATGCTTTATGTAAATATTTTTTATTTTTTTAAAATATGATTATACATTTTAAATATATTTTAAATTATATAATTTATAAATTTTTAATTTTAATTAAATTATTAAATTATTTATTTATTATATTTTATATAAATTTTATATTATAATACAAATACTTTATCAGGAACCAATAAAGTAATTGTTAAATGTATTTTAATTTAATAAATTTGATCAAAAACAAAAAATATATTAATGGCAACAAACAGGAGTACAAGACAGATAAAAAAAAACAAAGAATGGAGTACTTCGTAACCTTAATTAATTACTTCCTCTATCTTACATAATTTGTCCATATTTTCTATTTTATCCGTCTCACTTAATTTGTCATTTTTAAAAAAAAAAAATTAATTATATATTTTAATCATATTTTAAAATTTAAAATTTATTTTTTTAATTTTAATTAAATTATTTTTATTAATACACTTTCTAATTAATTATTAATTATATTTTACTTAAATTTTCCTATCTACAGTAATAGACCCATATTAGATGAGACGGACGAAAAACAAAAATCGTGTTAAAAAAGAAAAAGCGGGTTTAAGAAAAATAAACGGGTAATGATTGAAGAAAAGACGTTCCAATGAAACGGGTTTTCTGACAGCCAATGGCTATGGAACACGTGTCATAGACCCTCAGTCAAACTACGAGACAAACTATTTTAAACCAATCAATGAAGGCTACTCTGCAGCTGCAGCCTACTCAGTAAACGTAGCTGGAAATATATAACCAAAAGTGAGGGGTAAAATAGTAACTCCGCACTTCTGTCCTCACCGACTACGGAATCTCTCGCTCGCGTGCGGAGTTGGGGTCTGTTTGGTTAATATTTCTGGTTTTCGGTATTTTCTAAAAATATTCTTTTTTGTGAATTTCTAGGCAAGACTGGACTTTGTTGTAATAATTATTTTTCAGTGACCTTTCACATCGCTCATGAGTTCAACGTTAAAGTCATTATTTATTTTTACATTGTAAGATAAATACGACTGTATGATTTTTATGCCTGAAATGAAAAGTGCAAAAATTAGTAATAACAAAAAAATGGCACTGTGCCACGTATCATTGTATTGTCTTTAATAATAAAAAGACGACAAAGTATTGTTCAATGATCACTGGAGATTGTAAATTTGTAATAACCAATCTCTAAATATTGTCTTTATCTGAAACACAGAGTAGATTTAAAATAATAGCAATATTTTTTAAAAAAATACATTCAATGAATAAAAATAACTTCTACTAATTGTAGGCATCTGCCGATGGCCGGCCATAGTCATACTTTCTTTGTAATTTTCGCACAAAAGTAGTATTACACTGTGGCTGTTGCTAAGTGAAGATTAAATAATACCAATTTATTTCCTATAGTGATAGGGCTGTTAAACTCTTCGACTCGACCCGATGCAAATTTTAAGTGTTCATTAATGTTCGCGAACAAGACTCGTGTTCGTTCGTTAAGCTTTCGAGCTCGGCTCGTTAAGAATTTTTGCTCGTTCGAGCTCGTTTATCTTATTTTTTAAAATTTATATATAAATTATAAATAAAATTTAAAATTATTTTATTTATATATTTTAAATTAATGTTTTATTTATATATAAATTATAATTTTATATGTATATATAATATTTAGAATAAATATATTATTTAAACGAACGTTTGCGAACAAAGCTCGGGCTAGTTCGTTAATCAAACGAGCTTGTTTATATTGTTCGACTCGACTCGTTAACATTCGTGAACGAGCTTTAATCGAGACGAACCGAACTAAATTTACGAACGACTCAATTCGTTTAACAGCTTGTACAGTGAGCATTAATGGCTTTGGAAATGAAGCCTTTGTTTAGGTGCAAACTATTAAATTTTTTAGTATTCTTCATTAACAATAACTACTTAAATAAAAATAAATTATAGTATATATCTATATTTTCAACCAAAATACCACCAGGTCGTTCTTTCTACTTCTTTCGTCCTCCGACAGATGACTGTCTTTTTTTCTTTTTTGTCCAGTCCCATTAAAGATGATCCATTTTTATTTTTAATAAATTTAATCTTAAATATATTTAATAAATATAAATCAATTTAATTAAATTTTTAACTTCTTAAATGTAAGACCAGCTCAAAACCCCATTTATTTCTATCTCTCTCCTCAATAAATAAATATTTTTTATCTATATTTAAAACTTCTTATTTTTAATAAAATTAGTTTTAAATTAATTATAAATAAATAAATGAATAAATTTTTTATTTATTTGTATTAGTATATAAAATTCTATTATGATATTCATATTGTATACTTTATTTTATTGATTTATAATGATAAAAATATTTAAAATACCAACAACATTATTCCATGTAGGGAGTATTATTTACTCACATTTTTCCAAAAAATTAATATCTTATGTGCATTCATTATTTTATATTTTTCTATATTATAATCCCTCCGTCCGCTTTGAAAATTTACATTTACCTTTGTGGAAGAAGGGAGTATCTCACATCAAAAAATTTAAGGATGGATTTGTTTTGTGAAATTGTTGAAAAAAAAAAAAATTGCAAGGATTCTATGCTAACATATCATAATTCAGTAGAATGGTGAATACATAAAATTTAATTATCTTTAACTAATATAATTAAATAATATAATTAATATAAATCCATATACTTAATTTACAAGTATTCTGCATGGTGCCTAAAGAAATTTTTCAACACCTGATGTTGGGCCAAAATAAAAATTATGTAAAGTATATGAAATTGTGTAAATATAAAAATAATGAATATTTCATATATAGTATTAATTTATTTTTGAAAATGGTGCAGAAAAAAATAATAGAAAGAACAAAGCCTACTTTCAAACAATCTCCCGAAACAAACCCACACCACATTACATATCAAGTTTTTTTTAACACACCCCACATCACATATCAAGTTTTTTTATTTAAATTTTTTCAAAACTCTCAACTTCCAGAAACATCTGTCTAGATAGAATCTTGTTTTAAATAATTTTATTGATGATATATGATCATATGATGTTGAATTATAATATGTCAACATCAATTGCAAATCTAATGAACTTCTTCTATATGTGTATATATTTGTGACAATTAATATTGATAATCCTAACTCTGAACTCAAATTCAAGCTCGAACTCAATCAACAACAAAGCAAGCAACCAATGCAAAAGCCATATAAAGATATATAAAGTCACCATTTAGATGAATTTTAACCAAATAAATTACCTTACAAGTCACGGTGTGCCAAATGACTTCCTCATTGCCTACAAGTTCCTCATTGCCTCTGCAAGAAGACACAAGCATCACGAGACTTAGAAAATTTTAAGCACTATTTGGATATAAGAGGTTTCGAAAATCATCTCACCCGAAAAGGGGGAAAAGATTTGCAGTCGACAGGATTATTAAGTCGCTGTTACAACTAATATGTCACTGGCAAGAAAAGCAAACACATGTGCTACACACATAGTACTGATCAAAATATGAAAAATAAATAAATTTACGCCCGCTAACACACATAGAACCATCTTTCCAGAATCAAATAGGCATATAATATTTCGGCTAAATAACATCAATATTAGCACCAAACAAGGAACAATTTCATAAGCTATGCTCTTCTTGAATATGAAAGATAACAGATCGAATATAATCATCAAATTCCTTTTCTATACTAAAACTTGTTAGCTCACACATCCATGCAATTCTACATTTCTTCTTCATCCGATAAAGGATATTGCCACAGCCTTGAATTTAACTGACAAACGCAATATATTTACACTAGCCAAAAACATGGATCGAAGAACACAGCATCCGCATACACTTTAATCAATTTAGTAATTTCAAACAAGATAAATATATCAATGAAGAAATCAAAAGGGGGATGAAACTAACACTGACTGCTGGCACCACCAAACTGAGCAAAAGAATATACAAACCTCTCAAAGAGATTATCATTTAGCCAAAAGATGTAATAGTTTCTTCCACATTCTTCAGCTGATGAGATGAATACCTTGTTTTACTTCATTCCTGCAATCATACCATTATTCACAATTGTATTTTAACAGAATAATTTAAAATTGAGTTATAGATTTTGAAAAATTACTGAACTCCCAGAAAATTGTATTTCCAATATACAAATACACAATCACATGTATGACATAAATACATATATGTATGTATCAATATATATATATATACTATGGGTATAGTCTGTAGCCATGCAAATGCTTAGACCATCTTCGAGCCATGGAAGGATCATGGTAGCTCCAATTCTCAACACTGCTGATTCTTCCCCCAATCAGACATTCATTCCAACACTCACTTATCTCTCCTTTGTCCCCAATACCTACAACAACTTCGCCGCTTTTAATACTTTCATCATCCTTGTATATATAGGCCACACTTACCTTGCCTGACTCACCTACAAACACTGGAACCCTTCTCTCCTCCCCACCTCTAAGCTCTTCGATGCTCACAACAATACCCATTTCTCCGATTCTCAGCTGCACATCTTCAACTCCACCACCCAGCATTCCAGCTAGGAATTCCTCAAATCTGTGGCTAAAGATGCTGTCAGGTGAATTAAATCCATCTCTGATGTGAAATCTATGAACTGGGACTGGAAATTGATCAGGGTCAATCCAATGGAAGGATCTTGATGGGGCATCAGTCAGATGGAGGATGCATGACCGTTGATTCTTGTGAAGTCGATCTTCGAGAATTTTGACACCTTTTCTTATCCCATCAATTGGATCAGCCTGTCCTGCGTAGAATAGATTGTCTATGACTTGTAATGCTGCCCTCTTACTGTAAGAAGTCATGCGCCGTAGGGGAAAGGCTCGTGCTGCACCAGAGGAATAGGTGATTATTGCCAGACGGTCTGTGGGGCGTAGTGAGAAAACTGTCAGCGCCATTGCTTGCTTCATCAGCCTCAAATGAGGTCCATTAGAACTTGCCACTAAAACCAGATCAATTCCAGGTTGATGCAATAATTTTACACAGAGATAGGCTCTGTTTCTTGGGGAAATAGCGTATGGGTATTCTCCATGGGAGGGTAAAATTTCCGAGATACGTGGGCAAGGAACAGATCCAGAAGCTTCATGCGGGCAAACATTTAAGTTTGGATGCAGAGACAGATGGAGCCGGGATTGATTGCTAGCATAGTCAGGCACAATTGGATCATCATCGTTGTATCTTATAGAAGGCAGAAGTGCATCCCTGCGCCCCGGGATATTGGCAATGGAGTTGCTAAGGATCTGTGGGGCAGGATCCAACTTGTTGTGTAATAAACAACGGGTGTTTACATTGCGGGGTAGTTGGGTCCAATGAGCACGGCAGATGGGACAAGTGACACTGCCATGGCGGATGTTCGATGTGATACACGCGAAATGGAATGCGTGGGAGCACTGGGCTGTAAACACCGGTTGGCTGAGATTGCCGCCAGAGATGTAACTCAGAGGATCCAGACATATTGCACACAAGTTCTGCCAGATGCATAGAGGAAACAGGTAAGAAAGCAATCCCTTTTTGTTTTCAACAAATACAACACTAATAAATGTATATCCCCAAGGCGAAACTCAAATAAAATCAGATATTCACAGACCAAACAGAAACTAAACAACCCTATGTCCTGTGTCTATCTTCGTAAAGGCAAAGTAGCACCAATAAAACATTTGGTTGCAAGAGATTTGAGCACCCAAAACCTCATTTCCTAGTCCAATTCCTTTTACTTATGTACATTTGTTAAGATTGAAATTGCAAATTGTTTCATAGGTTCATTAAATATCATCCAAAAACAGGTTCCTTTTCTTCTTCTTCTTAGTTCTTGCTGATGTTTCAAAAAGGAACTAATAGCTTTAGAAACTTGTCAGAAATCCTTAGAAACGTAAACCTTTTTATTATTTGTTGTGAAGACGACAAATTTCCGTTGCATCCGAAGAACTAAATCCTTTAAAGAAAAAAAGAACACAACACAGTATATAGACATACATATATATGTGTATATATATATATATATATATTAGAAAACAAATTGAGTTTCACCTTTCATAACGAAAGGAATAATAGCACACGAAGCAAATATATGTATATTAGAAAACAAATTGAGATGGAGAAAACTGCAAGTGAAATGATATATGGACATATATAATACCTTCTCGGAAGAAGGACTCGAGTGTGAAACTCCCTGCACGATGATTTCCGAAGAGATGTTCTCATTTTCCAGTGAAGAACTGTTGGATGAATCACGGCATACCTAATCACCAACAAAATTTTCAGAAATCATGAAATTTCCCAACCAAAACACAGCATTACATTCCAAAGCACAACATATATGCAGACATACACACATAAATGTGTGTTAGAGAGAGAGAAAGAGAGAATTACTGGCGAAACAGCAGCGCAGCTGTCAATAACCATGTTTTGCTGGTCTCTCCGGCAGAAAGAGAGCCACGTATGCCCTAATAGTTTCCTCACCGCTTTCTTCAGCTTCCCCGACGCGCCGCCGCCTCCTCCACCGGCACCGCCACCCATTTCCACCGCCACTCTATGAAGAAATCCCTTTCTAATCCCTCACGGAAAACCAAAGCATACACCTCTTCTCAAAATCGCCAAAATCAATTGTAGATCCTATAAATCTCCAATCCTCTTCCTCATCATTTCACAAGCAGTTCTTCTCCTACGACTGAGGATGAGATCGATTCGCTTCGCGTGGAATCTATTTTCGCACTGGCGTCGCTCCGCCATTAAATACTGTTCATTTGCGTGCCTACTCACTGTGCTTTAATCATTTTCATATTTTATGAGGAAATAATTTTTTTTATAATAATTTTCTACGATACTGTGATGATTACTGAACTTTAATTATCAGTATTTAATTGAATTTAATATTTATATATATATATATATAAAACATTACATTGAGCAGGTATGTTTTTGTATTTTTATACTTTTTCAGTCTACCGTCTATTTATCTATTTATTTTTTTGCAAGTAAATTTTAATATATTGATATGTGGTATAAATTGATATACAATAAAAACTATTATATCCCTTAATAATATTAAGTGATATAATTTTATATTTTTGTAGAAAATATATTTACTAAAATGTACATGACAAAATAGATAATTAGCTGACAGATGGAGTATTTTAATTATTTTGAAAAATACTCTATATTAACTTTATTAAATATATCTAGACTATATTTTTTTACTTTAAATAACAAAAACTTGATGAATACTAAAGCAAAAGGTGTAAGAAAGAAAAAGGTTATGGGCCCAAAATCTGAGACCAAGTTTGATTTTTTTTTTTTTTGGTATCTCCATATATTTGAAATAAAGTAAATTTGAATGTATAATTATTATCGTGATATTAAATTATATATAAAAAATGAAATTTTATTAGAAACATGAATAAACAAATCCAAATCACAGATAAAATTACAAAAACAGACATACACAAGTTTGTGGCAAAGGAAAGTACACATTGTAGTATGTTATTCCACACTTGGCCTTTTAAATGTTATTTTGGATTATACGATAAAAATAAAATAATAATTATATTCAATACTTTTGTATAATTAATCCATAAAATTTTATTATGAATTAGTTTACCCTTTTTGTTTCATTTTTCATTACTTAATCTTATAATTTAAAATATATAAATTACATTCAACTACTCCCTTTGTCTAGGCCATCCATTTTAATGTAGACACAAAAAAATTAAAGAGATGTATAATTAATAAATATTAAAAAATGTATTAGTAAAAATAATTATTATATAATAAAATAATTATAGATTAAAAATAAAATATCTCATTAGCTTAATTAAAATTTAAAAATTTATATAAATTAAAAAAATTAAAATAAGATTAAGATATATAAATTTTTTTAAGTGACAAAATAAATAAAATAAACAAAAATAAAAAGATGAATATAATAAGTGGTGGGATGGATAAAGTATTATTTTACCTTAAAAATAAATACTATTAAAATACAAAAAATTCTAGCAATAAATCCCAATTAATATACTCCCCCGTTCCATAACAAAGTATCTATTTTTCCATTTTAGTCCATCCCATAACAAAGTATCCATTTCCTTTTTTTTTATATTTAATAACTGTACTATCTACCTAACATTACAGATACCCTTACAACTTACAATATATTACACAAATGCCATTACCTTTATATCACATATACTAACAAGGTTATTTTAGTTATTTATACTTTATTTCTACTATATTCCAATATAATACTAATATACCTAAAACTACGCGTGAAAAATAATTAGATACTTATTAATGGGAGGGATGAAGTATTGTTTTTCCAAAATAAGATTCTACTGACCTATATTAAAAATAGTCATTTTATCTTTATTGAACAAATATATGTCTCCGTTTTTGTTTTTTTTCTTTTTTTTTTTTTTTTTTTTTTTTTTTACATTATTCACTTTCAACTATCAATTATATCACAAATCAAACTTTTGTTTTAATTTTTTTTGATTTAATTTGCAAATTATTAAATTAGATCAAAATTTATTCAAAATATACTAAAAAATAATGAGTGCAAATTTTGATTTGAAAATGTTAAATAAATAAATAAAAATATATACTCCTAATAATATAAATCAGTGGAAATACAAATATACGAGTATTTTATAAGTAAAGAATTTTTGAGTGTTTTTTTTTTTGTTGGAACCGTAGTTGCTATTGAAAGTGCGCAATGAGTAAATCTCTGGCCGAACTTAAATATTTTGGGAGAAAAAAAATATAAAAACATTGAGTTTAAAATAGTAAAAATTCAATGGTTGGTAAAAAATACGTACCCAAATATTTAATATCCGGTCATCGTATTCTAACCGTTGATACCAATGGTGGTCTGTGTCTCACTTTTGTACCTCAAAAGAATAAAAAGGCCCAATTGGGCATTATCGTTGCGGACATTTAAAATGAATAAATAAATAATGTATTACTATCTCCTTTTTACATAATTTATTTATATCCTATTTTACATAATTTTCTTTTTAAATTATTATATGCTTTAATTTTATTATAAACTTTATAATTAATAAAAAATTTATTTTATTTTAATTTTTTATTTATTATATAATAATTATTTTTATGAACAAATTTTCTAATTACTTATTAATTATAATTTATTTAAATTATTGTATATACAATAATAGAGTTATATTTTCCAAGGGGAATGAGTAGTTTTTTTTATCTCAAAAAGTAAATAAATATAGTATTTTTTCATTTACCATGTCTACGTTGTCGTTTATGTCCGTCGCACATGTAATGTCACTTTCATTTTTTGAAAAATGATTATCCATCTTAATTTTATTTTAAATTTTTTAATTTATAGTTTTTAAATTTTAATTAAATTAATTAGTCATTATAATTTTAATTTATAATAATTTATATTAAAAATTAATTATTTTTAATTATTTATTAATTATATTTATTCTAAATTTTCGTGTAGGCAGTGATAGTAAATAATAATGGCTGATTTGATTTAAATTAATGCATAGTAATCTGCAATTCTGTCAGTCAAAATGGATGACCTAATGATTGTCACTTTGCCTTTTGCTTAATTCAACAATATTCACCACTACAACTATAAGTCTATAATTCGAAACAAAAAGCATCAACTTAGAACAGATAAAAAAAAAATGTATATTTTAAAACTAAAGAATTATTTTTCACATTATATGTATATATATTATATTCTTTCAATTTTTCTGCCTCTTTCTTATTTTCCAAATAAAAATAAAAATAAAAATTGATTGAATTCAATTCCTTAGAAAATGCACTTATATATTTTAATTGGGCCTAAATTACGACCCAATCTCATACCAATTTTATGCACTAGCCCACAAAAAAAAAAAAAGAAAAAGAAAAAGAAAAAACGTACACTTAGTTCTCCAAAAGAAAACACTATATAATTAATTTATTTAGTTATTATGATCGAGAAAATTACACGAAACTAATTAAATAAATGTATATCCCAAATAATTGTGATGATGAAAAATTACACGTCACCAATAAATATACAGATAAAAACATCATTAGAAAATGACAGTAACTCAACGATTAAGAAAAATACCAATTTGGCAATCAAAACCAAATAGAAAGACACCATCCACTTACCTCCAAGGCCCCGGACCTCGCTCCAGAGCAACGAACGAACATACAATGATCCCGGATCACAAGTCCACGTACCTGCAACCTAAGAGAGGCATTCATTCCTGCCTTCCAACAGGCTTTTTGTTTACATGTTTGAGCCAGCTGGATATGTGTGTAAATTCATGTGTATATATATATATACACACTTAACATAACAAAAATAATGTAAAATAGTTGTATTTATAATAAGTGGTGTGCACAAATACACCACAGCCCAGCTGGAGATTACAATAAAAATAATAATACATTTTTATTTTTATTTTTATTTTTATAAAATTTACTCCGTATAAATTCGAATAGTAAAAAATAAAAATAATTACCCAGTAAACAAAATAATGTTTGCTTGCATCTTCAATCTTTTTTTTCACAATATTCATCAATATTATTTTTTTAAAACTATCATATCGAATATTGAAGTCTGTTTACACATTTTTTTTTTATTTTTTTTAAAAAAATACCATTCTCCATATAGATATATATATATTATCATCTCACAATCTCACAAAAGATTTTTCAAATTGAAACACAAACAATCAATTTTTTTTACCTAAAATATTACATCATCACTCCAATCTTCTTTGTATATCACTCATCTTTCTTTTTAAATTTTTATACTAGTGTCCACAAATATACAATAATAATTCATTTCCCACAAATATGTAATCACTATTTAAACCAACAAAAAAATTAAAAAAATAGAACTTCAAAATTCACAACATTTCCAAATCATATCTATCTATGGGCACCCATTAAGATTCAATCAATAACCTCAATAATTATCAAAACAATATAGATATTACATAAAAGACATAAATAAATATATGCATATCTACATACACACACACACACACACCCAACTGCCTGTCGGCAGCAAAGACATTATCACATTATGGTATATAAGGTTCCAACAACAACCTATTATTAATGCCAAGGAAGTAACTACAAATCTACACAACACAAGATTCATAACGACAAAAGCAAAACCAATCGATGGAAAGAAACAAACAGCACATATTAAAACAGGAAAAATCGAAACTTATCGATATAAGAGGGCGCTTCACATATCGAACCAACGAAGAAAAAACGAATAATTGTATAATGCACATAGACAACACGGCCTGGCAGCACATCTACATCGATTTAGATCAAAAAAATAACAAATGTATAGAATCGCAGAATCGAATCGAATCCAATCCTAGGATGCTCCGCTAAGCCAATATATACCCACAGATTAAATAGCTTGCGTTAACGAAAGCTAAGCTCATTAGCAAAATACAGACCTGCAATGGCGGCCCGACGGGGAGTTAACCTTTTTTTTTCGTACATTACGGAGTGATGTTGCATTCCCGCAAATACGACTGATCATAGTCGACGTATTTTGCCCAATAGTTTCGGAACTTCGGCAAGCCAATCTCAAGCCACGGTTTCAAGTTCCCGTTGTAATGGACAACAGCTGCTTGTTCGATGTCCTTTTGCGACACGTTTGGATTGTAACCGAGTCCCAAAACATGCCATGATTTTTCGAGTGCGTATGTGTGGTTCCAAAAGGTTATTAGACCTGGCGGGAGTGTACCAAGTTTCCACAACAAACGATCCTGATTCTGTGTATAAACAAAAACGAGCAATTTTTAGATACAATAGCAAACATTATCGAACAGATGAAAACGGATCGAAACGAGATTTACCAGATCCTGCCATTTGTGGTACAACTTGGTGATATCTTTCTTCCTCCACTCATTCAAGTCGAAGATATTCATTCCGAAAGCCCAACCACAAGCCCGGGGGTCGAAATTTTTTGAAATCGTAGGGTTTGAAAAGTTGAGGTAATGGTGGAACCGGTGAAAGCTTTCTCCGCAAGTTTCAACCACTCCAATGACCTTTCCCTTTAGATCAAGTGACCAAAGACCAGTGAGATCCTTCTGGACGACGACATCGTCGTCCAAGAACAAAACTTTGTCCAAGTTCGGGAAGATCTCAGGCAGGTAGAACCGGAGATGGTTCATGATCGAAAGGTACTTCGGATTTCTATATTTCAAGTTGGAATCAGGTTCAGCTCGCCGGTTTTTGAAGTAATAGTCGATCATGGAGCGCAAGCCCAACTGCTTGAGAACTGGGCTGTAACTCGAATTCAGCCACGTGAACTCCTCGACGTTCTGAACCTGAATCGTTGCATTGCCGGGAGGATTGGCTAAAAACCACATTTTCATTGCCGCGTAATTCAGCCTATCTGTAACGACATGGAAGACGTGCTTGGAAGGATCCTGCAATGCATACTCGAACGTCACACTTCTAATGTACATGTGAAGGCAGCAAAACAATTCGACAAATTAAACGTTTGTTAAAATTAGAAATAATTTAGGGCAAAAGAACACTATTTACCAACAAAATTACGAAAACCAGCATTCATAAAACACAACAGCACTTGTTTTCTTACCTTAGCGTGTGTTATCGTCGAGTTCACCACAACTGAAGCAGCCAATATATTGTCCGAAAACAGGGCATAGTGGAACAACATGGGATCACCTAATTTTCCCCTGTTTGGGAAAAGCCGTTGTGACGAATTTAGCGTGAAATAGTCAAGCGAAAGGCGCAAAGGAAGGCAGTGAAGCCCTTTCGGAACCGTTTTCGCCGCTAATTGCGTCAAAAATAAACTCTGCTTCTTGTGGGCACGGAGTTGCTCCTCAGATGAATGCAGCATCGCGCGGAGTTTCTTCACCACCGACGCGCAGTCGTCTTGCATCTGTCTCCCTTTCAACAGAGTCTGTTCCATAGCTTTCACCTTCTCATAAGCACTGCATTCCAACACAAAATCGAACAATATGAGAATCTGCGCAAAAACCAAAGGTATCGTAAATATCCTGGGGTAAAAAGCTCTCACTTTCTTGGCAGTTCAGCATCCTTCGTTGCAGTTCCGAGCGCGCGCTGAGCTTCCCTCATACGCAATCGGAGCTCCCTCATAAATTGTGCATTGTTTCGAGTCACAGAAAGTGAGAGGTAAACCTTCGCTTGGACGAGCACGTCTTTCAGCTGACGAACTATGGTATCTGGCAATGGTGTTGGCTCTGTCGGTTTTCCGGTGCTCGCCCTTGCTTGCTCCCTAGAAACAGCATTGCGCCTTGTTCGGGAAGAGTTCCTTCCACGTCCACGTTCCTGGAACAGAATCAGAACCGATGCGATCAAGATTATGGTAATAATAACTCGGCCAGACGTAACGGTTTTTAACTTCCATCTACTTAACAATTATACAAAGACTTTACTCGAAGATACTGATCACAATCTTTGTACCTTTTTCTCCGGGGCAGTTTTCACGGCGCCGTCATTCTGTCCAAGCGTCGATTTCTGCAAATTTGATTGCTCTTTCTGTGTCTGAACATCGGCGGGATAAGTCACCTGCTTTATGTGATTCTCATCCACGACCTGCTTTATGATTGCATCCGAACTGGATGAATTTGCTGTTCGATTTTGGGCTAATTCTGTTATATTCCAGAAAGTGGCTCAATACATAAACTTTGATTAGGTATAACAAAATCGATGATGAAAATAAGCTGAATAAGAAACCTTCAGTTAGCTGTCTGGTGATCCGACTGCTGTTCTCTTCAGATTGATTGAAACCAGTCTTGGTTGAATTTTCTAAATAAATTACACCCAATGGTTCTTTAACTGTTGTTGATGGCTCCTGCGGATTGCAACAGCAGTTAATAAGTTAAAAAAGAGAATCCAAAACAACTAAGATCTGTGAAAGAAAAAAATTCTTGGATAAATTGAAGAAATCTATACCTGAGGTAGTACTTTTAAAGCCCTAATTTCACCCCCAAATGTCTGCAAACAGAGTTTCGTCAATCCATCATTCCCAATCAAAATTAACGCAGAAATTTGAAGAACGCAGGACAGATTAGGGATGAGAACTTACGAAGGATGAAGGATCTTCGACAAATTCATTCCTGGCTGTAAAAGGCAAAGAAGAAACCAGCATTCAGTTATAAACCCTAGAAACGCCAAATAGGGGAAACGAACCAATCCAGTTCTTCAGATACAATGAATAGAAATGGAGAGAATTACAAGAAGATGAAGTGAAATGGACTCCGAGATTGTCGGTGTAGAGAACAATGGGGGCAAGAACCGTCACCAGCAGAAAAAATAGCACTGATTTCCTCAGCCTCATCTTCATCTTCAAGCCAGCAAATTCCACAGTGTCGACTTCCGAATCGAAATTAGGTTTTCCCAAACGCGTAACTAAACATCCGGAAGCAACTGCACCGAACCAATTTCTGGAAGTTCCAGACTCGATTCGTTGAACAATTCTAACACCAAGCCCCCAAATGCGGACCAGATAAGACGCAGTATTTCTGTTCCTCCCAAATTAGGGTTCCACAAATCGGAAGAACAGCCCGGATTCAGATCAGTCAAAATCACACGCAAAAAAATAATTATAAAAAAATAAAGTAATCGAATCGATTGGAGCAAGCAATCAAGGCCGTGAGGGAAAGGGAAAGAACGCGAAAGATTAATCCAGAAAAAATGCTGATAATGGCGGATTGGGATATGGGCTTAATGTCGCGACGATTATAATTATTGTTTTTTTTTTTTTTTCGGTTCTTTCCGTTGGTCGAAAGTTTGATATGCAAACTGTGCAGAAAATTAGGGAAATGTGCATTTATTACAGCGCTAATTAATCAGGATTTTATTAATTTATTAATTTAGTTGAGGAGTGTAATTATCAGAAAGAAGACGCATTGATGAAACACGGAATGCGACAATTGGGAGGCGGGCCCGACGGCGTCATGGAAGGTCCAAGGAGTTAAACTCCAGGGGCTCCGCTCGCACAGCCGTTGATTGTGCGGGCCCAAACGGTTGGGCTCTCGACTCCCGGGAGCGTGTGGCAATGTAGTAGTCCGCCGACGGGAATAGATATATACCTTTCTCTTATTGTACGTTGTTACTTTGTCGGTACGTTAGGAGTATGATTGTAACCATATTGTTAGTGCCATTTCGAAATTACGTTAAATTGTAATATTGCACTAAATAATATCGAATTTATTTTATTATATGCAGTGAGTATTTTTGCTGTTATTGCATTGTCATCGACATAAAATGTATACCGAAAGTACGCAAATATAAATTGAAAGTACAAATTATATTTTAAGATAATATAAATACGTAAATTAATAACGTCACCCGGGGGTACGGGATGAACTCGTAGGCAATTATGGACAAGATTGTTTCAATAAATTCATAACATTGCATGATCATATCACAAAACGCACAATAATAGAACCAATAAATGTGTTCGGAGTGAACATTTCGTCAAATTAACACAAATCACACATTTTCGATTCCAAGAATGGCATATAAAGCCCATAAAAAACCACCATTTTCATACCAATCGAGTCGCCGGAGCTTCTTTTGCCAGAGTTTTTTTTAACACATATGCAGCAACCGACAAACTCTGGTCGAGGTGCTTCATGTATCATCGACTTGAGAATGAAATACGAAGCTCGGGAAAGTGGTGGTAATGTCTCTGTTCATTGCGAATTCACCGTGTTAGTAAAAAGATACGTTCAATCTTCGGCGTAAATTTGTTCCAAAACTTACTTGAGGTATTGAAGGGTCATGTTCTTTAGAAGAGACGGATGTCGCATCACTAGGCTTCGCCACTCTTCTTTGTCGATCTTTCCGTCGTGTTTGGTGTCTGCTTCCTCGAATGTCTGAAATCGCACGATAGTTAGTTAAAAAGGTTTTATCGAGTGAAAAGAATATGAAAATAAGCATGTGTATTCCGGGACATAAAGAAATGTAGACTGCAATGGAGAAACACGTGTAAATTGATGTAGATCCGATTGGTAGTTACCTTGTCGATGATACTTTCAATGACATCATCGGATAGGTTCATTCCGGACTCTGCCAGCGTTGCAACTACCATTTGCTTTACCTAAAACAACCGATTTCCCGAAAAATAGCTATGGAATAGTTCATACCAAGAAATTTAGATTTACTGAGAATTTTTTTACCTCCTGTCTTTCGATGAATCCCTGCTGCTTGAGATCGTATAATTGAAATGAGACTGTGGCATTAGAGTAACTAAATCAATCCGAAATTGAAACAAATGAATCCGAGGGAATAAGCACAAAGATAGTGCCACGTGTAATTACAAACTCGTAATGACATTAGAACGAGAAGCAACCATGGACAGTTGAAACTTACAGTCAATCTTATCTTCAATGGGAGCATTAGGGTGAAAGACTGAAAGGGCACGTGCAAACTCTTCGAAGTCTAATATCCCATTGTGCTTGGTATCAAAGAGGTCAAATACCTTGAGAATATAAACAAAAAATATGTACGGATTGGTTTATCCGGGATGTAAAGCAAATAATTGGAGAGGATAAAGACAATGAACAATCACGAACTGACGATGATGGAGGAAAAAGAGGAAAGCTGTGTTGTGGAATAGACAAAAAATAAAGACGAGAGATACAGCTTAGGTGAGATAAAATTTCATCAACCTTTTTTCACTTTGCCAAAATATCAGCTGAATGTATGAATCAACTTGCAATATTTGGAAAATAGAGACTAACCCTGTCAGCGAATAGGCTCTCCTTTTTGTTTGTCTTGAACAGCGCAAGCTGGAACTCTTCCTGGAAGGAAATTAAAATGGAAGAGGCAGAGATACCCAATCGAACTAATCAGTAAGAATGTGCAGTAAAAGAAAGCTCTAATAGTATCAAGCGACTAGAGGAAAATATAAACTAATTCCATGCGAACAATCACAATAAAAAAACTAATGTCATAAAAAATGCCATTCATTACCTTGTTAATCAAACCATCGTCGATCACAGCACTGCTGATTTTTTTAAATAACTCGTACAAGGCTTCTATTTCGCTAACACTAACTGCATAAACATAGCATGAAAAAGAAAAGAGTGGGTACCGATTAGTACTCGGTGGGATAAGTATAATACAAATTGAAGGGCTTGACAAAATTACTACTGAGCAAAATTTCTCTTAGTTGTGTAAAAATGTACGTGAGAGTGTGCAGAGATAGTTTGGTGGCACATTGTTGAAACAGGGAAAACTTCAAGAACATCACATCTCATACAATCAATGAGTCAGTATGATTGTGTACAAAGAATTTTCAATATATACATATGGCAATATCTAAGCCTGTTATCCACAACCACCTACCATCAACTAAAATTTTGTGATAGCCGAGATATTTAAACCTGCTGATTTTATAGCATTTTGGGGGAATAAATGGCTTCGAACTCGCAATTAATTATGTTAAGAACATCTAATTAGTATATGAGATATACAAAACCAGCAACTAACAAGAGGACCTCTTTTGTCTTTATACCGAACTGCCTTAACCATGCATGAACGAACTCTACTTAAATGTCATTATTTCTGCGAAGAGTTGAAATTAGTGTCACTATAATACATGAAAATGCCAATTTCTCTAATTTGTGCCAGAAATAGAGAAACAAACAACACCATTTTGATATTTAACATATTGCAGTAATATTCACTGATCACAGATAATCGAAGTTATAAAATGACATACACACTGTCTCCCTTGCTAGAGCTTCAGGATTTTCCAGGCCCCGATGTTGCTTGTTAATCTCAGATGCACAGCAATTTACGACAGCAAAAAGCAGATGCTTCACTCCATCTAGGCACTGCACCATTCTCTCTTCTGGATAACAAAACACTCCATACCTATACATCGATAAAACAAAATTATCAATCCTTCATCGTTAGCGAAAACTATACACCAACTCATTAGCACATCTGCAAAACATTCTTACAATCCAATCAGCAATTCTCAAGGACAAAAAACACTTAATTGTGGGTTAAAGATACTATCCATATCATTAAAACCATTGCCTTCATCTTCAAATGCCTTGTATCTATCACCAAATAGCAAAATAATTAAAAGGCTAATGTTCTCCTTTCTTCAATCCTCAACATTTTCCCTCGAAAATGAAAAATTACATATGAGCCACTCCAAGTGCCTTCCCATTAAATGTACATGTCAGCAAATGAAATATACATATTTTTCACTGCATTTTAAAAATAAGTGTTCGACGAGCTAATGGGATTGCAATGACTGTTTAAGATGGTCAGAATAATTTTTGATACTGAAAGCCAACAAAAGCTTGATGTGGAACAAAGTAAACAGCTACAATATTTTTCACATAACTGACTGCAATCAATAAGGTTCAATCATCATATACATTTAACCAGATCAATCGACTGCAGCTACACGGATTCTGCAAGGAAATACCTACAAATATTGATTATATATTGAATCACATCCTAATCAACCTAAAAAGCGAGAATTGAGAATCTGAAAGAAGAAACCTGAAATGGCATTAGAAATTCGCACGAATACACATACAATGAATTCAACAGAGCCACAATTCGACACATGAAATTGAAATTGAGATTGCGTTTGAGTTTGCGATTCTGAAATAAATTAATTATTGAAACAAAGGCACGTCCGCCGATCCATTCAGCATATTCTCGCATATTCCGAGGATCTCATCCGACTTGAAACAAACAAAAAAAAACCATATTCCAACGACGCGAACGCGGAAATTCGAACCTTTCAAAACACAATCATGGTAGAAGGCAACGGACAACACAACATTGCGCCGATTGGATTCACCTTTCTCTGAAACGTTTAAACAATCTGCCTTCGGTGATTAGGATTGGGTGTTGCAATTGGAGGGGTATTGTGATTTACTCTCCTTTTTCCTTTTTCCCCCAGAAATTGCAAACGAGAAGGCCCCAATTCGAGAATCGGCTTGATTATGGTTGAGGAAAAGGTAAGAAAGAGTGGAGCAATTATGGGTGAGAGAAGAAAGAGAGAGAGGCGCGTCAGCAAACGGAAGGCTGACCTGTTTCGAAGGGCTCGGTTATCAGGTGTGGTGCAGTGCACGGCTTTACTGTGATCGAGGGTCTTATGACCGTTAGATAAGATTCTATATGACCGTCAGATTAGATTTTACTTTTCATGACCGTTGGAAGGCAAATTATAGGACGATGACGCGGTGCTCAATGGTTATTTGATATATATTTTAATAGAAAAATTTTTGGTGTACATTGTTGTTACATTGGATTATCGTAAGTGTATGTTTAATTTAAATGATTAAGTCAAATAATATTATATTATTCATTTTAATTATTTATTTACTTTAGAGGATTAAAATTTTAGGCAACCAGAGCCCTCTAATGGGCATAAGCATAGGTATAATGTTTATTTTTATTTTTTCTTTTTCTAAAAAAATAAAAAGGTTTTGACATCTCCAAGTCATAAGAGGATGTCATTTTTTTTGTAAGCTATTGAGTGTATATATTTTAATAGATTCTTGGATGAGAAAGTAAAAATAGACACGTAAGAGTCGTGTTATGAATGGAGGAAAAAACTATGGAAAATCATTTTTGTATATGATTTTAAATGATATTCATAGTAAAGTCCACGTCACTTTAAATAAATATTGTATTGACGGGAAAATGAAGAAAGATATGATAAATACTCCAACAATAACAAATACTATGAATAAACATTGATACGAAAATTAATTTATAATACATATAATACATGATATATCTCAAATTAAAGAATGAGAATCGGAACGGAAATCAAAAGTAGAGAGATGATCATAATACAATACAATACAGTAATATGACCATATATATCATCGATACGATGTCGTCCCGGAAATGTATTCCTTCTCCAAGGCGCTGGAGATGATCCGGAAGCGCTTCTGCAGATTGGCGGCGATGTTCTTAGCAATCTTCTTCTTGTGCTTGCAGCTCGGCTTCACCCACGAAATCCCCACGTACACCTGAATGCTGCTGCACCCTTCCGATTTCGAGGCCACGCTCTCCACCACGTACTTCAAATGAATCTACAATTCATCCAATTACCAATTCATTCATTCATTCATCAATCCATCCTCAATTTATATATAATACATATATATGATGTCTGCTGCCTACTGTGAAGCAGTCGGCGAGCGTGAAGGCATGGGGCGCCGCCACTTCTTCGATGAGCCAGCCGTTTCTTCTGCCGGGAAGCAGACACCTCTTCTGGCTGCTGGCCACCTCACCTCGGTAGTGGGAAACCAGGTTGTCGTCGAACCGGTATCGGACTTGGCGCTGCCACACCTCCCCCTTGTCCGGCACCCATGGCTCCGGGAAGTAGTCCAGGCATCCCGCTCTCTCCATCACGCTTTTCTCGGTCCCGCCCCCATTGAACACCTCCATCAAGAAACCCATCTGTATCGTGTATAGTTTTGAATGAATGAATGAGCTCGATCGGACAACATCAATTATTGATGATACTAATATTTTGAACGTACGGGAATGGACACGACGGAGGAGTAGACGACGGGCATGTCCAACGCCGGCTCCTCGTCGTCTCCGGCCGACTGACTGCGGGGGCTCTCCACCACCATCTCGTCGCCGTTTTGGGCGTCGTTGGCTGCGGATTCCTCGGCGGCGATTCGCGCCTTCTGCTCGGGACTCAGGGCTCTTGCCCTCCACACCGCCATGATTGTTCTGTTCCTCCATTATCATCATTCATTATCATTAAGACAAAAATATAAAATAAATAAGCTGTGGATTGACTTGACTACCGGTGGGCGAGGTTGGAGGAGACGAAGGACTGAAAATGGAAGCGCAGCCTGCCTTGGGCGTCCTGCGACCGGGCTCCATGGCGCGCATCGTATCCCCTTCGAGGCTTTAAGATTATGATGATGTCCATGGACGCCAGGCGAGGAGGTATGACCTGGATGTCCTCCACGTCTTCCCAGAGGAAGAAGAACTTTATCTTATGACCAAATATGTCCGAATGGAAACCCACTGTCCTCGGCGACACAAACACCCGACCCTGCAACAACACAACAACACACACACCTTAACACTTTTAGCATCGACACATAATAAACTATAATGTAATTCAGTATAATACCTGGTGCGGCATTTTTCGTTTCAAGTTACAATTGAAGTCATTGATGAGGAACTCTTCCGGAGGTAGCCCGAAAAGCTTCTGGAAGGCGGCGTTTGTTTGAGTCGAACGCGGTTTCATCTGCCCAGCAAAATAGTCGATGATCATCCATCCTTGATTGAATCAAGTAAGTATGGTTAAAAAAGAGTGCTCAGATCAGCTCTGTTTTTACCTTCTTTCCGACCATCTTCTCCATCTTAGTAGTGTAGTCTTTCACCGCGTCGTCACCCTTCGTGTTCTCCAAGAAAATTCTTACATGGAGCTTCGGCTCGCAGCCGAACTCCATCTCTCTCCCAAGAGGAATCCACATGTCGGATAGCTCCGAAAAATTGGAATTCAAGAAGTTGATCTCAGCGCGTCCGATAGATTTAGCTTCGGCGAAAGGCCCGCTGAAGCCGAAAACTTCTACTTCCAACAGCGACGGAGGCTCATCCATTGCATCGTACTCAAAGAACTCTGCAACAATGGAAAAAATGAGTGTCTGCAAATGACAAACTTGTAAGAACATTGAACTCACCATTCCAAAGAGGATCCAACCTCTGAAACTTAGTCGAGCTCATTCGTTTCCTCCCATTGCACGTAAACACCACATAAGGATCCGAAAATCCAGCCGAGTAGGCGGCTATCAAGCTCCTCCCTTCGATCAAGGCGACCGTGAGCAACCAGCCATCTCCACGCGCCTTAATTCCATGATCACTGCCTATATAAATTGCAAACATAGGACGTTCCGACTCTGATACCATGTTAAATGTCATAAAAACTTAAGTTTTAAGGGATAAAGCGAACCTTTCAGCATCCTGGCATGCATGAATCGGGAGAATAACTCCAGCGTCTGTTTTCCGATCAAAACAAGCACTCCCGACACCATCACTTCGCTAACAGAGTCCGGCAAGTCAAGGCTAACAAACTCAAGTCCTTGAGTTTTGCCCGGCATAGCGAGCCAGATATGCGCTGCGATGAAGAAACCCAATGCTACAGCCGAAATGACAGTCAGGTTCATCAAGTACTGCACGACGAGCTTCCAATCAGACTGATGCTCGGCGTGGAGCGACGCCAAGACCTTGTCCTTCTCGGAAGCAACATCATGAACTACTACAGGCTTCAGAACTTGAGATAGGATCTTCTCATATTGCTCGAAGTTATCCTTTAGCCCCTGCTTTGCGCCGCTTTCGATCATTCCTTTCATCATCGTGCTCTGCAGGAAGTTGATCCTCCACGAAACTACAAGCCGGGCAGACGGCTGTCCCGACAGCTGCATTGGCCCCGGAGTAATGCAGTACAAAACCTCTGCCTTGAATGTCTTCCCATACGGCGCATCCGGTGTGTCCACGCTGGCTAAGACGGCGAAACTCTTACCATCGCCTTTCAAATATGTCTGCTCCTCTATACCCTTCACGCCTTTGATTATTCTCGTCGGAGCTCTAGTATAAGACACGACTCTTTTGATACTTGCCCCGCTGCTTTCAACTCTCCACTGCCCTATTTGCAGATCTGTTGAGCCCACGGCGTCAGCTGTCGACTTCCAAAAGGACGAATCCAAGGAAAAGATCATCGAGTTCAGCTCATGTGGCGCCAGAGAGTATAGTTGATCGAGAACCACCCCTCCCGGTAAAGGATCGGGGATTTCGCCTCCTTGTTGTTGTTCTTTCGCCTCCAAGATTCTCATCACTTCTTCGAAACTAAGCGATGTTGATTGCTCCTCTGAATACGCCGAAAAAATGCTCTTGTGCTCTGGCAATGGATCGTCCCTTTCTCCAACCGGCGATGAATCCACATTCTTATTAAACATGTTGGCAATTCTGTTGGCGAATGTCGACTTATCCTCTTTGGAAGGCCCCGGAGGCGTGGCGCCAGGGTCTTCTAACCTTGCCGGCGAGAATGTTCCGGAAGGTGAGGTATGCAGAGTGCTGGGACACTTCCTTAGCAAGGCTTCGGAATCTCCAACAAGTGGCGCGTCGGCGGGGCTGCTCTGTGCGAAACAAATGGTGAGGAGAACTTCCCCTGTCATTTTAGAACAGAGCAATTGTTCGAGTTTCATGCTATTATTCTAACAAAGAATGAACAGAAATGGATTATGTAAGGTTAATACGCACCACATTCAGTGTTCCTGGCCTTCTTGCCATTGTTAATGGGATGCAATTTGTACCAGGATGTGCCGAGGGACTGATCCTTGGCTTCGAAGACGTTAATGATGGGGACTTTGATCTGCCCGACGTGGTCGTGGTTGAAGTACTTGTCCTCGTCCAGAACAGACACGATTAGCTCCTCCTTCAGATCTTCGACTTTGAAAGTGAATTCCTCGCACCAGGTCGGGTCGGTGCGTTTTTTCACGACGGTGCTCCTGAATTTCTGCTTCCCGAGCTTCAATTTCACGTACGGATCGCCGTATCCGTTCGGACCCGTCGCCGGAATGTTCCTGGCTTCGATTAATCGGACAAGGAGCTTCATCTCAACACAGAAGAATCAACGCAATACGAATCAATCGATTGCCAAAAACAACGCGGAATCGCTCGTCACATTGGGGGGAAATTTTTTCCATAAAAAAATCACAGAACATGCTAACACGAAAACCAAAGCAAAATCTATGACAAGAATTAGCAAACCCTACGGAACCTGGGAGAAAATGGGAAGGAAAACCATGAATTTCACAAAATAAACATGGAAATTGAAAAGGATAGCAAAAATTAGGGTTTCGAAACTGGAAATTGAAGAGACGAATAAATTAACTACTACATATGGATGGATTCAAGTTAATTGCTGCTTGCGATGAATCGAAGCGGCGGTGATCTTCTCTTCCCCGGTGGATTGGAACTCGGATTATGGAGGCGTGCGGATCAATTCTGCTCCTCCTCCCGTACGAAAGCAAGAGAAACAAAATTGAAGAGGCGAGGCGAGGGAGAAGGGCAAACGTAGTCAGAAGAAATGCATGCAGAACGTTGCATACATTCTATTATTAAAATTTATTATTACCCTAAGAAATTTTAAGAAATAAATAATTATTTCTTACTATATATTGTATTGATTTTGACATTTACACACAATAAATATATTATATATGTAAGACATTTTGAGACATATATTACTGGTGTGTTTGTCTGGAGTTTGGATTTTGAGTTCAGATTTGAACAGTAAAAATTTTGAATTTGAATAGTTGTATGATGTGATATAAATAGGTGTTATTCGACGTTTTGAATATAAAATTAATTTTTAATTCAATATAAAAAATAAAAAAAATAAGTGTTTGATTTGATATTTTTGAAAAAATAAGATGAATAGAATCCTCCAAACAAACACGCAGGTACGTGTTAAAATAATAATAATCTATTTGATTCTTTAGAGAAAAATAGCAAAACATATTTTCCTTAAAATATGGTTAGAAAAAATTAGTAATTAAGAACTAAATTTAAATTGATAAGAATGAGAATTGGATCATATGGTGACATATATATATATATACATGAACAATACAAATGATATGCTAAATTTTCGAATTCAGTCCCTTAACCATTGATTTATTATATATATATATATATATATATATTTCTAATTAAGATGATTAGATTTAAATAATTAATGGTTGGATTTCAATTCAGCGTATACTGAACTCATATGCAGCATATTAAAATCCAACCGTTAATTCAGCACCGGTGTTGATGTTTAATTAATGGTATAATTATATTACATAATTAATAATTAATTAATTAATTAATAATATGATTAATTATTGTATTGAGGTATATGCTGAATTTTAACTACTTGCATCTTAAATAGTATAAAATATTAGCTCGGTTTATTTATACACTTAAAATTATTTTTATATTATTTATTAATTTTCAAAATATATTGTATTTAAACTAATTAAAATAACGTGTGTGTTTACTTGTGAGGTTTTTATTTTGGATTTTGATTTTGAATTAAAATAGTTGTTTGATTTGATATTTTTTTTAAAAAAATAAAATTAAAATACTAATATAAAGAGTAAAATCTTACAATAAAATCACTCATTAAGAGCAAAATCACTCAACGTGGAGCATTGGATATTTTGTTTATTTTATTAATTATTCAAAAATAAATTATTATTATTATTATTATCATCGTAGAGGAAAGTGCGAATAATGATCACTTCACTGTAAGTCTGTATCGTATTTAAATATTATTCTTTTCCATTTCGGTTTTACGGAAAACAGCATTAATGGAAATTGGAGTTTCCCGTCTTCCCTATGTGATGATCTGAGAAAATTATTCCTCCGATAATTCCATCCCATCCATCAATGCTGGTCCCCTCTCTTCACATCACCTGTTCAAATCAGTTGTGGTGGTATTTATGGAGTTGTCTCCCTATCCATTAATTCACGGTTCCTTCAATTCGCGCAAAATTTAGGGAGGAAGCAGCTGCGGGAAACTCCTGGTCAGAATTCAGAACTGAAGTGATCGATGTGATTTCTGGTGTCTCAGCATCGTGATTGAGTGCCGCCGTAGGTAGTGTGAATCGAATACTGCGAGTTATTACTGTTGGTTTTTTGTTCAGGGTTTGAGGACGTGGATGAAAACCTTATAACTGCGGTTTGATTCATTCACCTCTAATGATTTGACTTGTTGGTTGTTGTTGTTGTTATGGTAATTTGAAGCATTTAATTTGCAGTAATAATTATGGTTCCCTCTCGTCCAGTTGTTGGTTGCTGTCACAGCCTCAATGGTCACGGGTACAAAAACCAACAATGAGGCATAGCCATGGAGCAGTTCCTCTCTTTTCTGTAGTGCCTTCTTCTTTTTCACAGTCCTAAAGCTAATTTCTGAAAAATTCTGTTCCATGCGAAATTAGAGGTGCTTTTTCTTTATCCTTCTCTTTCTTGTTGTCAGCCTTTGCGTTTTTTTGGGTGTATTCTTGTCCTCTGGTTTAAGATTCTCTTAGTATGCGTGGTTCACTCTCTGTTCTGGATCTGGTGGTGAGTTTATCCGTTTAAATGTAGGTTCGTGATCGAGATCTGATTTCTACGGGAGAATCAGGCTGCTGTGGAGCTTCATTTTACAATTTTTTGTTTCTTTTTGGGGTATGTCATCTAAAATACGGTTGCATTTTTACAAACAGCTGACTTGATTCATTGCTTTTGGGTTTGTTTTTTCTTCTATGGTCATTAATTCGCTACGTGAATTCTACTTGATAGGCTTTTCTTCTTTTGACACTTTTTCGTGCTTTAAATTTGATGGAAATGGGGTTGTTTTTTAACTTTGCCAAAGCCTCTTTTGTGGGAAAAAAAAAAAAAAAAAAGGGTGTGTTTGTGTGATTGACTGGTACTCTTTATTTTGTCATCACAACTTATCTAATTGCTACCTTACTTTCTCTGTGTTCAATTGATGTTTGATTAAAGTTTTTCGCGGCTTTTGAATTACACGGGATAATATGTTCTGCAGATTGGATTAAAATCAGTCTCTGGTTTTCTTCCATTTTTTTTGAGTTGATGGATATGAGGTGTGTCTGAGTAATCATCTTGATTGTGTTAATATTACTGATTGAGTAACATCATGGGCATAGTAGCTATAATGGTCTCTGCTGCATCAGTTTAATATAATCTCAAGTAATCAATTGTTTTTTGGGGCCTCAAACATTGATGCTCACCATTGAATCAGCACAATTTTACCTTTCGCAGGTGTCAAGACTATTTTACTCAAGCTGATCAATATTGAACAGTCAGTGTAGCAGAACCTGAACAACTGACAACTGTGATGCCGAAGGAAGATAGTTTGTCGGGGAACTTAGACTTTGTTATGTCCGAACCAGCAACAACACCCAAAGATCTTGAGTTGAGAAGCTCATTGGAAGCATATACGGATCAAGAAAAGAAATCATCTGGGCTTGGGAGTGTGAAGAACAGTTCTGTTTCTGTAAAGACTAGTGATGGAGCCAACAGTATAACGAAAACCAGTGGAAGTGCCAAAATAACTGACCGCGTAGATATCATTGAGAGTGGAAAGAGCAGCTTCTGTCGAGGAAGTACTAGTAGTAACGTTAGTGATGAAAGCATTTGTAGCAATTTTAGCACCAGCATCAACAAGCCGCACAAGGCAAATGATGTGCGGTGGGAAGCTATACAAGCTGTCCGAGCCAGGTATGGCTTCTTGGCTTTGAGCCATTTCATGTTGTTGAAAAGACTCGGTTCTGGAGATATTGGAAGCGTTTATCTGGCTGAGTTGAGTGGCACTAAATGTTACTTTGCAATGAAAGTCATGGACAAGGCTTCTTTAGCAAGTCGCAAAAAGCTTCTCCGCGCTCAAACGGAGAAAGAAATATTGCATTCCCTGGACCATCCCTTTCTTCCAACCCTCTACAGCTATTTCGAAACAGAAAAGTTTTCAAGTTTGGTGATGGAATTCTGCCCTGGAGGAGACCTACACATTCTCCGACAGAAACAACCAGGGAAACATTTTTCCGAGCAAGCAGCAAAGTAAGAGCTTCGCAATTTTATAGAATTGATTTTTCTTACTTAATACCGCATCCTTCAAAATTTCTTACATGCTCTTGTTTCACTGCAAACATTTTCAAATCTGTGGCAGATTTTACGTTGCGGAGGTGCTCCTAGCGCTCGAGTATCTGCACATGCTTGGCATTGTCTACCGTGATCTGAAGCCCGAAAATGTTCTTGTGAGGGACGATGGACATATAATGCTATCAGACTTTGATCTGTCACTTCAATGTGCTGTTAGCCCAACTCTGGTGAAGAGCACTTCTTTCGTTGTAGATCCTCATCGTAGAAATTCCAATGACAGTTCTAAGCATGGATGCATCGAACCGTCCTCCTGCATTCAACCCTCATGCATTGTGGCACCAACATGCTTTTCTCCCGGTTTCCTTTTCTCTAAATCCAAGAAAGATCAGAGGCCAAAAACCGAAATCCGGAGCCAAATCAGCCCACTCCCGGAGCTGATTGCTGAGCCAACCGATGCTCGGTCAATGTCCTTCGTTGGAACTCATGAGTATTTAGCTCCCGAGATAATCAAAGGCGAAGGCCATGGTAGCCCCGTTGACTGGTGGACATTGGGAATCTTTTTATACGAACTTTTGTTCGGGAGAACTCCTTTTAAAGGATCTGGCAACCGAGCCACGTTGTTGAACGTTGTGGGACAACCTCTTCGGTTTCCAGAGGCACCCATGGTCAGCTTTGCTGCTCGGGACTTGATCAGAGGCTTGCTCGTCAAGGAGCCCCAGCATCGACTTGCGTACAAAAGAGGTGCTACAGAAATAAAGCAGCACCCCTTCTTCGAAGGCGTGAATTGGGCGTTGATTCGATGCGCCACCCCTCCTGACATCCCGAGGCCTGTCGACTATGCCCGGATACCTCATCCAACTGCACAGGGGAATGCCAATCAGAATGGCGGTGGTAAATATCTGGAGTTTGATTTCTTCTAATTCGACTGTCGCTTGAACCTGTCCTGAACAATGTTGAACCACAACCGCTGCTGGTTGAGCCACCGTTGGCGGATGATGAAAAGGTTCGTACAAAGCGACGAATATCGATAATTCCATATAGTAAAATTATATACTTTTAGAGTGGTTTGAAAGCAGTGTGTTGTGTGGGGTGGGGGTGGGTCTATCACATGGCCACAGTTGAGTTTTTGGTGATAGATTGATAATGAATGTCGTCTGGTAAAGATTATGAATGTGTGTATAATTTTTTGGAAGAAAGTTTGTTGGATTTGAGACATTGTAGGACCAAATTTTTGGACAGCCAGCCAGCCCATTGTGCATTTAATTGGTTAATTGTGACCCTCCTTTCTCTCTCGCTTCTATACCACACAAAGCTTAATAATAATAATAATAATAATAATATAGTTCCGCAAGGATATTCTGATGATGTAGGGATGAACTCGTGATCTAAGACTATAGGTTCAAAATTCCAATAAGTTCATCCGTGATTGTAAGTTTATGGGTTCAAAATTCTGATAAGTTCATATTAAAAAAAATGTCAACTAGCTATCTTTGTTATAGTAAGGAATGTTAAATGGAATTGGAATAGAATACATGTGAATTTGATGTCATAATAATACTCCTATCTTTGGATGGCCAACCGAATTAAACACTGAAAGCACACACTTCAACTGTTTGATAAATACTCACACCCACACCCTCTAATTTCATGTTCTTATAGAAATAATATACAAATATATATATATGTATTTAAATTTTTCCATAAATCATTATTTATTTTTAAATTAGGAAGAGTAACAGTGGAATGGTAATGTTTTTTTAAAATGGCAATCAACGTTGTTTTCAAAATATATTTTTTTTTTGAATAATATATATATGATCGAAAGGAATATTGAAGCGTATGATTGAAAAAAGAATATATTGTTGTTATTCTAAAATTACGTTACAAATACGTGGCGATAATTAATTAATTAATTAATCAGGGATTGGGACTGCAATGCCTTTTGTTAGTTCGTGGCCATTAATTATTTTGGACAAAATTTTAAATTGTGATTGGACCTATCAATTTGGCACACTGACAAATTATCTATACCAAATAATTAGCAACTTGTGAATGACATTTCAAATTGCTTTTATTGGTAAATTGTACTTCTAATCCTATATTTATAATACTCAATCCGTCCCATATACCAGAAGCTCGTTACTGTAAATATCAAAATTTAAATAAAGTATAATTAATAAATAATTAAAATAAATATTAATAAAAATAATTATTGTATAGTAAAATATGAACTATATATTATATTAAAATTTCTTACTTTCTGTATAAATATTCGTTGATTTAGTAATATAAAAAGTTTATAGTCTTGATTTTGTTGTCAAAAATAACAACTCCATTAACTACCCTTATTATAATATGGATATGCATATATAATATTACCATATACACGCGGAGGAGATAATTTTTAAAAACTAAGAAAATTCCAACTTGATATAACTACAAAGTAAATTTGTTTGTTTGTTCTTTTAATTTCAAATCAAAATTACTGGGGCATTATTTAAATTCTTAATATAAATATAAGATTTCAAATTATAACCCTCCACTATTTAAACTAATATTAATAAAAATTTAAATTCAAATAAAAACAAATCCATAAATTTTTTGGTTGTATATAAATATATTTTTGAAAATATTTCAATAATAATCAAAGTGTTTTTTTATACATAAATTAACTTTTAAAAGTTTTACTATGTTTAAATAATAAAATTAAATTAAACTTCAAAAAGGGCCTAAATTTTTAATATTGTATTTTAAATAAAAATATATTACATATAATATAGTTTTAAAAAAAATAAAAATTATAAGTAAATAAAATCTCACGTTGCTATCATTTGAAAATATTTTAAATAGATTTAGGAATAATAAAAATTAAATATAAAATAATTACTTGATATAACTTAAATAAATATTCTCTCCGTTTATTTAGAAATTAAATACTTATCTTGTACTATCTTGTACATATGATATATTGATAGGTAAAATAAATATGAATATATTTATAATGTGTAATGAATACTTAAGGAAATGAAATTGTTTGAATAATTAAAATAATAACTTCCTCTTTCCTATTAATTTCATTTTTATTATTATGTCCAAATTACTGTAAATATTACATCTCATTTAATCCTATTCTTTGACATAAAATAGTGTGAGTGTAACGAAGTGTAATATTTAGAAGTTTTTTTTATATATATAAATAAGACAATTTAAAAGTCTTACATTAGCCTAAACAGTTGCAACTTTTGTACAAAATACTTCCAAAAAGCTGACCTTGCTTTATTAATTTCCTTATTAGCGACTGATTTCTTTCTGCCTCATAGTTTTCAACTTTAACGATTCGAAGGAAAAAAAAAAAAAAAAAGCTTAAATATATATACTTCGGGATCTGAGCAATATTTTCGTCGATTAATTTAATTCCCAAATTGCCGATCATCCTGTTCCTGCATTCAAGTCAACTTTGCTGGGAGCAGAATGTGCGGCTGTTCACCATTGCGGGAGTTTTCTTTTCTCTTTAATGGTAGACAGACTTATAGAGGTTTGCTGCATTTAATTCGTCGCTGTCTCGTCATCACTCGATAGCCATTTTCGTTGGAAAGAATCCAAGATCGGATAATTTGTATGAATTAATTTTCAAGGAGGAGTACGGATTTGATTAGGGTTTTTTTAATTTTTTATTTCCCCCAAATCTTGAGAAGGGGAAGGAGTGGTAGAGAAGAGGGGCTGTGGGGGCTTCTTGACCTTCTTTAACTTCTATTTTAATTCTCTCTATGTATATTTCTTGAATTAAAAGTTGGAATATTTGGCCTCCTTTGTCTCTCTCTTGTTCTCTCTCTCTCTCTCTAGCCTGTAGTTTTTTCCTCCCTTTTAACCAAGAAAGGGGAAAGGAGAAACTTGTGCTGGGATATGCAATTGGGAATTGAATAAACTGTGGGGATTAACTGATATAAAAGTGGTGCTGAATGGCTGTGGTTCCACAAGAAGCCCTCAAGCAATTTGAGGAATTAATGGAGGAAGGTCTGTCTGTCTGTCTTTGTTGATCCTCTTTTTCTTCACCTTTCTTTAATGGCAGCATTGCTTATGTTTGTTTAATTCCTTTCCTTGCAGTTGATGAATCCCTCAAAATAACATTCCAGGTTTGAATCTGTTTTCAACTCTCTCTCTCTATATTTATATATACACATATATATATGTGTGTGTGGGTTGGATTTTGGGTGATCTTGTGTTGCTGATCTGCTATATCAATTTTGGTGATAATATGAAAAGAAACAAAAAAGTCTCTCTCTTTTAATTTGATAATCTTACCCAAAGTGATGCAAGTCGATCCATTGTGTGATTTATGTGATCCATCAATATATATATATATTATATACTGTTGATGATGATGTCTTTCAAGTTTCAGTACACACACCATTCTTTATAGTAAGTGTGGCAATGATCATAGAATACTGATCCAGATATATGAGTTGAGCCAAATCTGTGAAAAAGATTCATTTCAGTTGAATGGATCATCACTTAATTGTTTTTTTTGTGGCAATTTCTTGTTTGATTTGGTTGACTTGGATCGCATAGTAGCGCACATCTGTAATCCTTTTTTTAGCATTTATCGATTCACAGAATATGCATCAAGGATATCCTCATGAAACTTTGGGACGATTCCTTAAGGCAAGAGAAGGAAATGTTGCTAAAGCTCACAAGATGGTCAGCAAGGAATTTCGATTAATATCAATTCTTTCTACTTAGCATATGTTCTAGAATTCTAAACTGATTCGTTGCTGGTTGATTCGATATTTCAGTTGGTTGATTGCCTGAACTGGAGAGTACAAAATAACATCGACGACATGCTGGCTGTAAGTAGTAAATTTATTCGTTGTGCGATTTCTTGCATCTTTAGAGTTCTAAACTGATTTGTTACATTTCGCTGTTTTGTCTCTTTTATGCATTTTTAATATTTAAGTTCGCATCCATGGCTTTTGCTATCTCTGTTTTGTTTTGTTCATTCATTTTTTAAGAACTGAAAGGAACTGTTTTCATTCTTCGAACCACCTCAAAAACTTGGACACTGAAGATGTCGAAAATCTTGCTATTCTTTTTTATTTTTTTATTTTTTTTGACAGAAACCCATCGTTCCTGTAGAGCTTTACAGAGGAATACGCGATTCTCAGCTCATAGGGCTGTCTGGTTACTCGCACGAGGTATAAATACGATAGAATTGAAGCAAGTTCGATGATGTTATTCGCATATGTCTTCTGTAATTTCAATTTGATCGCACGACTAAAATTGGAGCCATTTTGGCAGGGCATCCCTGTCTTTGCTATCGGCGCAGGGCTCAGCACGTTAGACAAAGCATCGGTGAGTCTCATCTATTAAGCAGTAACCATCGACGTTCATGTAAACGATTATTAGTTTATTTTTCGTGCTGTTTGTGTCCGTTTTAGGTACATTATTACGTGCAATCCCACATCCAGGTCAATGAATATCGCGATCGTGTGATTTTGGTGAGCATTCTCGTGCTCTCTTTCCGCAATCTTGAATTCGATTAATTATCCTGCTGTCGTTATTTCAGCGGGCTGCGACAAAAAAATATGGGAAGCACGTTAGCAAATGCATAAAGATTATGGATATGACTGGGTTGAAGCTCTCGGCATTGAACCAGATAAAGGTACACTAGCATCAAGGTGAACAATGTTCCTAGATTCTTCGAGGAATCGAAGTTATGGCACTTAGCATCAGTTATGTGCAGATTTTGACAACTATTTCTTCCATCGATGATCTGAACTACCCGGAGAAGACTCAAACTTATTACATTGTGAATGCGCCGTATGTCTTTTCGGCTTGTTGGAAGGTCGTGAAGCCGCTTCTTCATGAGAGGACAAGAAGAAAAATCGATGTACTGTCCGGCTGTGGGCAGGATGATCTGTTGAAGGTAATATATCAATCTTGGACGCGACATTTTTATATCGATTAACAATATGTGTTGTGTTTTTGTGGTGCAGATAATGGATTATTCCTCCCTTCCTCACTTTTGCCGGAGGAGATCTTCGGGATCTTCAAAAAATACAGACAATGGCGCCGAGAATTGCTTCTCGTTGGATCATCCGTTCCATCAACAGCTCTACAGTTATGTCAAGCAGCAGTTCTTGGTTCGTCTGCCAGTCGAGCCCTTAAAACAGGGGTCTGTGCATGTTACTTTGCCTGAAGGCGCCGATGAAGAAGACATTGCAAAGATTCTAGAATCCGAGCTGGAGAAATTCAAGGGTCTTGCAGAATCTCGGGATTCTTTGAAGGGCCTGACAGTCGTCGATGATAAGCGCTGAACAAACCAGTCTTGATGTATTTAATTACGAACGTTTCATCGTTGAGGAAACAGTACGAGGCTGTGTTCAATACACGCTGCCCGGCAATGGAATAAATTGCGTTAACCAGGTATTTGTTACACTCGGTTCTGGTTCGTGTTAGATTATCGCAAGTTGTAAAGAAAGCGTAGCGAATGTTAGAATCCCGCACTGTTTTTATCCGTTTGTTATAAGCTCTTCGATGTTCATTTCCGTGTGTTTTTTTCTTTTCGCGGATGGAAATACTTCGTTTGATTGTTCGAGCAATCCGATCTGTTTATAAACATTCGAAGTTTTGCTCCTCGTCTTACACTTAAGATCGTATTTACTTTCGATGATAGGATGATAGACATTCGAACGCATCGAGTGAAAGGTTAACAATCCCGTTGGCGGGATCGTTTTCATTTTTCTTCAGGTATAGAAGTTGCTTCTCCGTGTCCCGTCTCGAGCCATTTCCCAAGCTCTTTCTTGACGACTGATTTTGCGACCTCCGCCACCTCGGCTTGCTTCTCGGCATCCTCGATCTCCGACTGTGTAGCCTCACATTCTTTCAATAACTCCTCAATTTTCTTTTGCACTTCATTCTTGCGATCGGTTAGGCTCTGTATTTGCGCCATTAGAATCGCTTCCTTCTCGTCCGCCTGCTTTGTACTTTCCTCGATCTTATTGTTCATCGACTTGAATTCCTCCGTCGACAGCTTGATCTTCCTGATCGGGATGCTCCCTGAATCTTTGTCGACATCACCTCTTGGAGAATTGTAAATTTGATCATCTGCTTGCTTTGACGCGACTTTCGCTGCCTCCGCCTCCTTGATCGCCATTTCGAGCTTTTCGTCGACTTCCTTCGATGCAACCTTAGCTGCTTCGGCTTCTTCCCATAATGACTCGACTTCCTTCGTTATCTTCTCCGCTTCGCTTCTGTCCTTCTCGGCGTCTTTCAGTAACTTATTCAGCTGCGCTTGCGTTTCGCTTATAATGTCCCTCGACATTGCGGCGTCGAGCTCTGCCTTCGTGTTCTCCAAATCGAACTGCAACTGCTCGACCTTTGTCTCTGCTTCCAGCGCGATTTTATCTGATTCTGGAAGCTTCTTCCTCGCTTCCTCGAGTTGCAGAGTCAGCGAAAGCACGAAATTCCTGATCACCGCCTCTTCATCCGTCGATTCTTTAAGTTCTTTTCTTGCGGCGTTGAGCTCCGACTGCAACTCTGTTAACGAATTCAAATCCGACGCCCGCACCCCCTTCAGTTGCTCCTGCAAAACCTCCGTCGCGACGCTAGTTTCTTCGAGCTTCTCCTGTAGATTCTCGTCGTCTCCGTATTCATGTTTCAGCCGCTCGATCTCCTCCTCGGCGGCTTCCTTGGCGGTCTTATGAACGATGAGGTGAATCTCCTTCTCGGCGATGAGTTTCATGTGGTCCTCTTCGGCCTGGAGCGACGCGAGCTTGACTTGCTCGAGCGTCTTGTTTAAAACAGCGACTTCCCCCAAGAGCTGCTCGCGCGTCTCCTGGTTCGCCTGCGCAGCCTGCGCGGCGTTCTCCGCTTCCTGGAAGGCGGCGAGTTTCGCCTCCAGGGCGGCGTCGAAGTCCTGCCGGAGATTCGTGAGCTCCTGTTTGGAGCTGATGAGTTCCTGCGACGACGACTTGTAGAGTTCTCTCTCGGCATCGACGTCGGATTTCCAGGCGTCGACGCCCAAATCGGCCTGAATCGACTTCTTCTCCTCGAGCTCCATGGCGCGAGCTTTCGCAGCTTCCGTCGCTTGGATTGCATCTTGCTTCGATTCGCTTAACGCCTCGAGTTTGTTGGTGAGCTGTTGGACGGTTTCGTTCGCCGACTTGAGGTCGCGCGCCGCCTCCGCCTTGGCGGCTTTCGCCGCCTGCAGCTGATCTTTGTAGTGATCGAGTTCGCGTAAGATCACGTGGTGCTGCGCTTCCTTTTCGAGCAATTTTTGCTGCAAATTAACGGTAGCATGTGCAGTGTAAGACTATTGTTTTGTATTATTTAGTTATACCTTTATTTTCGTCTCAAAATAAAACTATCATTTTCTAATTTAAGTAAGAGAATCATTTTCTAATTTAACAAGTGTACTAACTTTTTTAATTTACAATATATTATACAAATGTCATTACTTTTGTATTACACATAATAATAACATTATTTTTATCTTTTTCCGCTATAACCTAATATAATACTAATATTAAAAAATTTACATGCAAAAAAATAAATGCTCCTTTACTTTTTCTTGTTACTTTTTTTTATAAAAATATTTGTGTTGTATTAATATAAATTATATGTTGTCTGAATACCTCTTCCGCCTTGGTCTTTTTGGTGACGGGCCTTGCGCGGGGAGAGCCGGAGTCGCCGAAAAGGCTTACGGCAGCCCGGACGGACTCGAAGGGCGCCCGGGTGTCGATCTCCCCGACCTCGTGGCCTTTGGGGGAATCGGGCCGGCTGGGCGAGCCGGAGGCGGAACCGGGAGAGCCGGTGGAGCGCGGCGAACCGAGGCCATTGGCAAGTGTTCTTACGCTGAAACCAAACATTCTATGATTTTTTCTTGCAACTGCATGCACCAAAACGATAAAATATTTAGGTCACTCCTCGTTAGTGTATACTATTATTTATTAAAAATTTTCCTTCAAAGAATATCACGTTTAATATCTATATTTTTAAATGTATATATATATATATATCTATTTTTTTCAAGATATTTAGTCCAATTTGCAATGCATGTTTACATTGAGTGTGCTTGGTTTAAATTTGTATAACTGTGATTTGATGTGGTATTTGAAATACATATATTTACTTAAGAATTGTGTATAAAATTTTTATTTAAAATAATAAAAAAATAAAAATAAAAATAAACCGAATACAAGATTTCAAGAATTCTAAATACCACCCAAATTTTAGCACTGTACTTAAAATATGGAATTTAAACTTTTTTTTTTCTTGTTTTTCAAATTACATTCAAATAATCATAAAATTGTAAAAAAAAAAAAAATTATAATAACTAAAAATAAGTACTTAATGTAATATAAATAAATATTAAATGTGATATTTTGTATGAAAAAAATAAAATTTGATATCTAAATAAAAAAAATAAGCATTTTATTTAATATCTTTTAAATATATATAATTCATTAATAGTGTCAAAAATCATTTGAATATAGTGTAAGTCTAATCACTAAAAATACATTAAAAAATCAAACACCACATCATTTTGAAAAATTTGCATTTATTCTGTAACAATTTTATCCTTTACAATAATTAATAGCAAAGATTCCAAAAGAAGACTAATTACTTATTTTAAAAAAACACAACCTTTGAATCTAAAACACAAAAAATGCGCCCATGTTAATTCATTCAGGCGTTGATGTTAAGATCACCTGCAAGTTTTTGAATAATCTGCTGATCTAAATGATGGGAAAATGTCAAGAAACTGGGCAATAAAATGTTTTTGAGGACAATTCATGGTAAGAAACCAAAAAATGGAAATGGAATATTAAGACAATAATAATAGTAATAATACCTGATCGATCTGAGCAATGTGAATTGTTTCTTGGAATGCAGATTAATATTCATCCAAAAAACTGTAAATTAAATCTGAAGAGAACGGAATCATTATGGTTGTTGCTGCTGTTGTCTGAAAATGATGAGAATTTTGTGCTGATTGAATCTAATTGATCAAAACTTCTTTGTTTTTATTTGTGGAAGCCCTTTTTTTGCTCTCTTCAAATACTAAAAGTTTGGATCAATTAACAATTTAACATCAGTTTTATATTAATTAATGAAGGACGAAATTAATGATAAATGTCATGACCAAAAAAGAAAAGACAGAGAGAGATTCCCAAGTTTAATTTTTGCTTATTTTAGTCCAATTTTAATTAAGTAGACTATTTACATGACTAACAATATATTATCAACATTCTAAAATACAAATAGTTAATATATTGAAATAATATTGTCAACATTCTAAATATATTATCAATATTCTTAATTATCAACAATATATTCTCAACATTCTAGATATATTATCAATACTCTTAATTTCAAGTTAGGTAAACATTATACAGTGATGCTCAGTTTTTGTCTTTTAACATTAAATTGTTACGAGAATTCTATTAACAAAAGAAAAAATACTGTTAAATAAATAATTTAAAATAAAGAAATCTCTTTAAATTATTTAAATATAACTCGAAATATTATTTGAATTTCTTTGTTAAAAAATAATATATATTTTTTAATTATTTAAATTTAAAATTAATATTATTTATTTCAATTTAAAATTATTTAAATTTTAAAAAAATACATATTAAATAAAAAAAAACACAGTCAAAATATATATATATTTCCAAATAGATATATACAAGTATATACAACAACAAAAACCATATAGTGTGCTACAATGGCGATTAGATAAAGTCTCTCCTAACAGCCACTTTTTACACATGGATGGCATTTCCCAAATTAACAAAATAAGCTTTTGTCGTAACCAACCACCATTTTTGTACCAACAAAAAAGTATATTTTAAACTCCAACTAGCACAGATAATTTACATTTGATCCTGACGCCTCTTAGTCTTGCCGGTTATATAAGACTTACCTAATGTGATTTATATTCGGTCATAAGTTTATCTAATATGCACTTGATGCGGCTACTTATTCCACATAGATGACAAAATATTTGTCGCCCCCCACCCTCACCCTTTCTTCACACGCCGCCTCCACATCCTCTGCAATTTCGAGAAAAGTTAGTAAGACCATTATAATTGCAAAATTGCTTTACATATTTGTTGCAAGGAACTGAATACACATTAAGTTTGAGTACCAAAGTTTCATTGTCAGGAAGCTCGTCTAGCGCAGAATTCTTACTCCCGTGTTTGCCACTCTTGTTCTCTGCGCATTCTTTATTGGTCTCATTTGATTTCCTTTTTCGGCCAGAAGATTTGTCTTCACTGTCTGAACGGTCAGCATCGTGGGAATCACTAGTAACACTGTGTTTCTCGCCATCTTGGGAGTCATTTGAGGCTTTTCCTACGTGGGATAGCTCTTCACTTTGATCAATATTTTCTCCCTTTTCCACATCTATATTTTCAACCGAAAATGGGAAAAGTCAGTCGCTTTCGTCTCACATTTTTTACACAATACAAAATTAACCAACAGTTTGCCATTAACCTAAACCGGATTTATCATGTTCTTGTTCCGAGGTGGGATCAGTGCTAATCTCCAGCTTCCCTCTGCCTTTTCTAAGGGATGTACTCCTTGTAATGATATTTGATTCTTGTCTTAGACTCTTCTGTGGTGTGCGTTTTTTACTGCTAGACAAAGACCTGCCAATAAGTAGAAGAATATAAGCAATATACAATCAAAGAAATACAAAAGTAATCTTTTTTAAAAAAATAATCTGCAAAATCAATCAAGAGTAGATATCCGATTACAAGCTTCTCTTATTTCTAAATCATTTATGCATACATATACAAAAGTGCAATCAGAATATCTATGTAATCGATGGCACTTTTAACAGAAATTGGTGCATATTGTATACGATTGGCTGAAAGAATATAAAAATTGAGGAGAATCTAATCTTTCCATCTTAGAGAGTTACCGTACATAACAATTTTAGTAGATCATTCGAAGACCAAGCTAACTGAACATTACGTATCATGAATGGTAAGAAACCAACAAAAGACAGATATACTAACCTTTTCTATGCAATAAGAATGATTAAATTTTGGCCAATTAAATTTTAAGTAATTATTTTGTTGTTCCCAAAACAATTATGAGAGCACGACATGCACCAAAACACGTTTACATGATTAACATGTTTGGTCATTCAAATGGTTAAAATAGTAAAAAATCTATACAGAAAAAGTTGTCAAGCTATGTTGATTTTTAACTACAAATAGCGCAGAAATATGTGAGCTCAACGAAAGAAGTCAAAGAACTCACTCTTTCTTAAGACAAGAACCCTTAGACAAACTGAAGTCCTGAAAATGGCAATGAGGCATGATCAGATATATTCCCAAATTTAGGTTGATGTCGGGGAATATTTGAATGCAATTAAAATAGGATAAATATATTCACAAGAACTCATAAACCTTGGCCTTTCGATCCTTTGTAAGAAACTCCCACTTCTCTTCATCCAATTTAAGAACTTCAACTTCCCCATCGTTGTACCGTATCTTTGAAATAGATTGATAAGTAATTAATCTTTATTTTAAAAAATTGATTCAATAAAAAAGATGTAAATTTCTTATACCTCGTGCTTCCGGTGCTTAGATTTGAAGGACTCCACAATGCCTTCATAATAACTGACCATATATAGATAAGTAACCGGAAAAAGATGATAAGGCTATCGCAAACATAAAAAGTAAGATACTACGGCAGTTACGAGGGTGCACCTCGTATGTATGAAACTTGCACTTGATATACATTAAAAGATTGTTATGGGAATGCATAACTTTGCAACTATGTCTAAATCTATTGTACAGATCAAAGCAAGAACTTACCGATTATCCAAGGGCCACCAAATTTTTATTTTCCGGCCAACTAACTCTTCTCTTAAACCTCCATTGCTCTTTGTTGTTTGCTAAAACACAGTAAATCGAAAGCAGGTAAGTCTACCAAAAGAAAGTCCTGAGAATGTTTTGCTTATCAAGTAAACACCTTAGGAAAACAAGCATTAATAAACGTTATAAATGCATAGAGTTCGCATTAGCAAGTTTGCATAAATCTAAAAGCATTTATTATCACTAACCTTTCGTAATCGAGTTACAGTTTTGGGTTTTTCCCCATCAGATTCTGACTGGGAAGAACTCGTAGGGCAATCGGGAGCATCATCATAGGGTTTTTTACCTTTCTGTTCATTAAAAGATGAATGTAATCTTCATATCCACGAAACAAAATATGCTTTCAACTAATTTCACTTGCGGTAAGATAACACCTTGGCTGCCAACCCATATTTGCGCGTTTTTCTTTTGCCTGGCTTCACGGAGGAGCTGAGCCTTTTGCTTGTCCTTTTTTGAGAAGAATGCACTTGGTGTTCTGGAGCTTTATCAGTCTCGTTAGGAGCTGGGCCTTTTCCGTTTCCTTGTCCTTTATCACTGTCTGAACCAGTTGGAACCGTTTCAGCCCTTTTGTCAGAGTCAGGGATAATATTTTTCTCATTCTCATTCTCACTAGTAGGCCCCTTGGAACCCTTTGAACTAACTTCTAAGGGAGGCTTCTCAGTTCGAGGAATACTAGTCCTCCTGCGTTTTGGCATAGGAGCATCAGTTGATTCCCCAATCAGCATTTTACTCTTTTTAAGCTCATGACCACCTCTCCTTCTGCGGGTGTACACATTGTAATTATCTAATTTTTTAGTAGTACCAAGATCAGTCGCTTCTATTTCCTCATCCATTTTCATTATTTCAAAATCTTGTTCGTTTGATAATAAAGCCTGTACAGGCTCATATCTTTCCTGTCTTCCTCTTGTTTCTTCAGCCATCAGACGTTTTATCAACTTCTCATGGAGCATATCACTGCCCTCTCTTTCGCTGTCCATCATGACTTCATCGTCTGGATTTGTTGATTGAACCTGAAGTTTGCAAAGAACCGTATTATTGAATTACCATACACGAATGGAAAACAAAATGAAAAAAAAAAAAAAAAAAACACTTCTATTTTGCAGACTTACAATTATATTGTCCCCCAGATCAAATGATTCGAAGTGGTCTGAGACACCTTGCAGCCATAACCTCTCTTTGCCAAACTAGTATCCGTAAAAAGACAAAACATGAAATGGACATAAAGGATCATTATAATGTTGAGTATAATTTTTTTACATCATTCCACCAACTATGAAAAGCTTAAAGAATTGTAGAACACGAAAGAAACAATGATTCTAATACGGAAATGTACAGGAAGTAGGGTTACATTGCAGTAAAGTCTGATTGCACATACCAGAAAGATATTTTCTCCTTTCATCACATCTGGGTTGTAAAGCATGGAAGGTAGGGCCACAGGCGTGCTTGCATCTTGAAAATTATCTTGGTCTGGACTGAGCAGTTTAAGAATTTGCATACCAAGGATACACAGAGCATGCGAATTCTGCAACGTACGGTTTTAACATGGATGCACAGCATTAGAACAACAATCCCACTATAAGCTTAAAATTCAGTTTAATCCAACAAATCAATACCCAGTCAATTCACCCATTATCTGTGGGTTGCGGGTGGGCGACAGGGTGGATTTTCTATTTCTAAAAATTTCGTATGAATTATGATTGTATAGTGCAAAAGTTTAAACAGAATAATGTTTAGCATCAAACCTTCGATTTACTGGAATCAACAGCATCTTCTGAAAATCTGATACGTTGAAATATTGAAGACAACAATGAAACGCTGCTCCCCATGTCCTTGTTGATCCCGACATCAGATTCTCGGTCTGTGTATTCATGAACCAACATAGACAGGAACAAATACAACTTCCTGAAACAGACACAAATTCATCAAGTGGATGCCATGAATAATACACAATCAGAACAGGTCATACTAACACACAATATCAGGGTACAAATAGACGTTGTAGATTAATACCGGATTTAAGCAAATGGCCTCAGCCAAGGACTCTGCAAATTCTAGATACTCAAAGGTCACAGCCCAAGGACACTGCAAGATCTAGATACTTACAGTCTTGAAAATAAGTGTATCTTTCGCAATTGCATTTACCATGGAATCTGTAGAAATCATATCTAAATAGAAAGAAATCGACAGCACCCTTACTAACGTCATGGGGTTAATTGTTCCTTCTCGAGCATGTCCTTTGCAGCCTAGCAACTTCCTCACTCAACCTCAGGTGAAGCTAGTACAACCTTAGACGAATCTTATAAAACTAAACAAGCACACAACAACACTTGAAAGAAAGATATCTATTGCTCAAGAATCTTTATACTTGAGTGAATGAATATACAAATGACCGAACCCCTATTTATACACCTTCATCTCCATAATGAATGGTGGAGATCAACTTTGATCTAGCGGCTCCTATTGGTCCACTAGAAGGACCTAGAACTTCTACAATGTTCTACACAATTCTAAAGATTATCTATACACATGTACAGATTTACCCAAGGGGTCTCAAACAGTCCAGAGAATTCCGTTAGCCTCTGGGCCATCCCTATTTCATCTTTCTGATCCAGCATCCAGCCAGCGACACTTGATACTTGGAAAGTTACTTTTCCATTTTAAGCAATCACATATTATTGAATAAATGCTAAGCCAAGCGCAAATACTAAGCTTTAAAAAAATGTCATTCAAAACATGTGCACAAATCGAATGGACCAAACAAAACAAATTAAGAACACACATCAGTACATGACTAAAAAACTGAAGACACATAGCATCACTATTAGTCATATAGAGACATAATATTTGGTCCATGTAACTATGGGCAAGTTTTAGTTTTCTCTCATTATGAAGTGAATAAGATGTAGTAAGCAAAGTGAAATTTAAAGCAAGAAACTTCAAAATAGCTAATAAATGTCGCTGCAATACCTTCGTTACTGATATATAAAAAGCGTGTGCTTAACCCAATAATATAGACTCTACATGTACACCATAATACCAAAGCTGATATGGCACCCAATTTGCATATTTAGACGCATATGTTATAGTATAATAATTCTGAACTAATGGAAGATAAAAAGGTTCATATAATTCAGCAAACATCACTATCACGCCAAACTGAAAAAACACAGAACAAAATTTCCAAAATTGAATATCCTGATAATACCAGTCATCATAATCCAAAGAGGATGATGATATTCCATCCTGAGCTTAATAAGATGGAGAATTTGTGATTCCTTTCACTCTATTGCTTAGAAAATGAATCCATGACATAAGGATGAAGTCAAACCAAAGATAGAATGGAAATCCTCATACATGCGTCATTATCAAATCTTTTTTGACGGCTAACCCAGACATGGGGATCAATGTCTTTCTTGGCGATTGATTTGTCTCACATTTACAAGTCTTTATTGGTTCTTATGGGGGAATCCAACTCTTGAAACTTCAAACCACTCTTCCTTTTCTAATCTATTCTAGCCACCTCTTATTGGTTGAGCTCAATGCTTGTCCTTTCCTCCTTGGGTACACTTTCCCATGCAATCAACGAAGTACGGGAAAGGAAATTATGAACTCCATGGATTTCGTGTTAGTGTATAATTAATATTGCCATGGCTGCAAATTGTTTCCAATTTGAATAGTTCATCTAAGGTAGTATATCTTGGATGATACTCAACAAAATTGTTAACTCAAATTAATGAGCATCTTGATCACTATCCAACTAGAGCTTAAGAATTCACAAGCATAATGAATTTGTCACAGCAAGGAATTCAAATCGGATTGCATCATTCTTCAGTCTTATCACCCAATTGGTGAATGGCTGAAAGTATGGATATTCCCTTTGGTTGGTTTCATACTTAACATTATTAAAGACATCATTCACGCTCACAACCTACACAAATACCATTTTAAAAAAAGGAAAAAGATTTTGTGAAATCCTTCGGAACCATCATGGTGGAAATAAATGCTGACGGGTCAACTTTTGGTAAGCCATTATTAGTGGATATCATTGCAGTCATCAGAGATCATCTCACTCAGTTCCTCTTCATCCTCTAAATATTGTCATTAAGGACTCAAATGTGGCAAAAATCTTACCATTGAGTTCACTCTGAACTCAGGTTTATAAAAAACAAAAAGTCCCCCTTCCCAAAATATAACTGTTGAATACAACTCATCGAATGCTCTCAAATGAATCTTGGGTTCTCCCCACAAGACCAGAGATAATTAATGTGGTTGACATATGTGGCTTCATCCAATTTCAACAACAGACAACTAATAAACGCCTCAAGATCATATTATTTTTCTTCCGTACCAAATTGCAAGAAGGTTGGATCTAGTTCAACATTAATTTATGATGCTCAATCAAGCAAACTCAAGCTCATCACATTGAGATGAACATGATATACAAATGCTAATGTTATTAGCTCAATTCAAATTGAAAAAACACTGATCCAATCTATGGAGAGATGTAGATTCTTACACCTCCACTGTGGTATTTAGGCCTGTTTGTTTAAGTGATTATGTGGGATTAGTTCCTGTTTAAGTAAATCACTTCTAACCAAAGAAGTAATTTACTCCTTCAACAAGATAACAGGTGAAAAAATGCCAAGTAAATACATTCACGTCATACAAAAAAAAAAGGCAATAATTTAAAGCAGTTTCATTAAGTTCTAACCAAATAAGTAAATTTATTCCTTCAACAAGACCACAGGTTTAAAAAGTAATTAATTACATTCACATCATACCAAATAAGACATTTTTAAACTTTGGATAATTGCTTCAACATTGCATTAAGCAGTCTCATTAAGAAGAAAATTATATTAACACCAATGATAACTGAAACGCCCAGCCAGGGTAAGAGTAAGGAAGCATGTTCAAAGTACTGGTTACGAAACAACTCAATACAGGCATAGTAACAAGGCTTCTATAAACTTCTACAAACGCATTTTTGTTGGTTTGATTTCATTAACTTAATTTAAAACCCAAAATTTATCAAAGGTCAGGGTGAAACCTATCTACAGGCTTCGATAAACTTCTACAAACCGCATTTTTGTTTGCTTGATAACAGTAACTTCATTTGAACCATAAAGTTCATCAAAAGTAAGAGTGAAACCTAAGTACCTGGTCATAGGTTCAAATGTTGTGACATCTTTGCCATCAATACTAGGAAAGGATGGATGATGAGCAAGTGAATGGACCATGTATGGAAGAATGTACTCTGGATAAAGGCTTGGTGAGCTCAAATAATTCTGCAGAAAAACATTGCATCCCCTCCTTTCCCGACACATTTTGATGATGTCATATAAATAGAAATTACACTGCAAAAGGGCTTAGCATAAGTATTACTGTTCATAGAAGAAACATTTAGAAGTTCCTATGGGATATAGAAACTTCTAAAACCAAAATAAAGAATATAACAAAAACCAATTCTCATACCAATTCTAAATCTGATGGTGAAGATGAAATATCAAAGAGGAAGGCACATGCGTACTTTGGGTCTAAAATGCAGTCCCTTATATATTGATGAACCTTCTTGACAAGGAATTTTCTTACCTCAGGTAAGCTATCCTACAAACCCAAGGTTGAAGAACTAAGAACCATGATCTCATAATATAAACAAACATACACCCGAACTCGAGTAAAATCTACCTCAGAAGTTTGCAATGCAAGGTAAAGAACATCAACTGGAACTTTGTTTTCCCAGTGTTTTGAAAGGCAAAGAACAGCTTTTGCAGCAGCAAGTTTCAAATGGGCCTTATCAACCAAACTGAAATGTGAAAAATAAAAAACATGAGTAGCAGAAAATCTTGAGCAAGATTATGGGAAACAGCTAAGAAAATCATAATTGCAGCCTTCAAGATTAGAAGTACATTCATTTATCACAATTTCCAATATTACCTTAAATTAGTCTCTCTCGAGATATCACCAAACAGAAGTATGCTCTTGAGAATTATAATCAAGCCATCAATTCCACAACAAAAATGAGCATCTTTAACTTTTAGGTAGCTCTTCACCAAAGCCTTAATACCAAAAATCTGCAGAGATGATTATGATATTTAATTAGTCATGTGAACTGTGAAGTTTTTCCAAGATTAAGCATTAAGGTTGAGTATACTACTGAGAGAACCTTTAAGGAACAAAGTTCACTTCTGTCATCCCAACTAATTGTTTCCTTTCCTGAAATCTGTTAGTGAAACAGTCAAATATTTTGTGACATAATAGGAAATGGATCACAAAAATCAATGCACTAGTAAACACATACATATCGAAGCTTTAGTATTTTTTCCTTAATGAACGTTTCAACCTCGCTTTCTCTTGTTTCAAAGACAGACCTAGCAACCTCTCCTATACATCCAAGAGATTGCAATATAGATGGCAAATGGGATTTCTCTTCAAGCATATTCACCAGCCTCTACTCATTATAATGAAAAAAGAATTAAGTGTCAGAGTTTCATAAACACACACATAAAAGCATGAGCATATAAATGCAGATCAGTTATGGAAGAAAATGGTAAAAAGCACATGAGGAGAAAAAAAAAAAACCTCATAAAGAGCAGAGATTGCCATGAGGCCATTCTCTTTCGTGATGGCTTCCAAAGCATGAACTGCACGCTTAGCCTGCCATCGGCTACCCTCAATGCAGATGCACTCAAGAATGGATTCTAAAGATCTGCAAGGCAAAGAGTAAATGAAAAGGTAAATATAATATATATACTGATGAAGAAGAAAGGTAGGTGGTTTGTTTGTAGTCTAACCTCAATGAAAAACCCAATTTTTCCCGGATAGTTTCCCCTGCCATAACAAGAATATGCAGAGTACTCTCCTTTATAATTTCATTATCACCTTCAAGAAGATGAACCAAATCCTCTTCAATTCCAAATAGCAGAGGACAAAATTGTGCAAGAATCTGTTGGAAAACACTCAAATGAAAATACATTCCAAATTTATCAAATTAAGTTCCCAACAAAAATATTAAAATAGCTTTATACCACAAGAACAGACATGCAGAACAAAACTCCCTCGTTATTTCCGGAAGATTTCTGAACACGAGTCTCCAGAAGGAGTTCTTTGACATGATCTTTGCAAAACATAGAATAAGAGCATTTTATAGAAAGAATTCTCAGAAATTCACACAGTTGGTGCTCCTGCCCGAGGATATTTTGCAATTCATCCTGCATTGGATCCACAATATATTATAACCCTGGTATATAGCAGTAGTATTCCGCACATTCAGGTAATACTTCAAAATAAATGAGATAAAAGAATATTTTCCTTACCTGCATGTCAATGGCTTGAGGGGAGCTGATCATCGGATCAATGAGTTGCTTCAAAATTTTCCCGAGGTTACAGTCTTTTAACTTGTCCAGGGTCCAAAAATCATCCTCTGCCTTAGAAGGATGACGAAAACAGTGAGACATAACACGGAAACAGGACTTTACTTTCTCTTGGATCTCAGATTCCTCTCCTTCCTGTACAAATACTCAGAACCAAAAAAGATTCATCAGAAGAAACACCATGACATTTCCGGTTGTCAAAGACAGAAATATAAAAATCTTAATGCCAAACCTGAGACAACTCTCTTATCAAAAGGTAGGTCTGCATCTCTTTCTGTAACCTACACCACATTAGACAGATTTCATACTAAATCAAATTTGCCTAATCAACCAACAATATACCAGAAACAATAAAAATAGGTCCCATGCAAACCTCTGTTTCTGTTGTAGTATCTTCACGAAAGCTCTAACCTCAAATTTGTCAAACCCAGAGAAAGCCCTAATCCAATTCTTCACTTTATCTTTTATAGAAAAACTATCTGGGAACAAGGATAGAAATAGGATAGGTTCGATTGTATCCGATCTGCAAAGAGAAACAGGGATTTCAGCATGATATGTGAGAAATAAAAAATTAACAAATTTGTTGCATCACCTCAGATAACATTTTCATAAAACCAAATTAACATTGAAAAGAATCTTACTGGTGTTAGTTCTCAATTCAATGATGACATAATAATAAATTGGTTTTGTAAATTTTTCAATCCATTAACTAACAGCTAAATTGTTGTAGCCCAAAAATCTAATGCTTACCCGAAATCTCTATCGTAGAAGCATCTCAAAAGCTTCCTAATGATCCAATCATATTCGCCAACATTTGTTCCGCTGTTAGGCTGATTCTTGCAAGATACTCTATGTATATCAGCTAACCTCTCCATTGTATATTTTTTAACTAGAAGCTGGAAGAAAACAACAGGACATGAGTAAAGCAGATGCAGATGAAGATCAAGAATACGAAACAACTAAAGAGATAAATTAATATACTCACAGATTCATCCTGTAGACGTTCTGCAATCATCTTAATAGTTTCGACTGGTATGTATCTCAGATCGTGACATGCCACATCACAAATTACAGATACAACTTTTTTACGAACATTTTCATCATTGTCCATCAATCGATCACAAAGACCAGCTGAATATTCATTCAGATAATCAGAATATAGGTAACAGGATAAGTTGAATAATGTGTACAAGCAATCCTTACATATCATAGGTTGAGCTTCAACTTTGAAAGGATTCTCCAAAAGACAATCCTTGACATAATCAATAACAGCCACTCTAACCTCCATATCTCTGTCGGTCAGTCTTGTCAGAAACTCTGAAAGAACCGGCAGCAATGCTTCATGTATAATAGGTCCAGGGAGAGAAAAAAGACCCCCCACTAAATTCACTGCCTTCAGACGAATATCTAGATGTTCACTCTGTAGGACAAGATTTTGAAATTGGTGAAAACACACTAAAATATGAAACATAAGGTTGAACAAGTATGAGAATTTTAATAAAAAAAAAAACACCGAAGGAGATAAAATGATATTTAATCACATACATCAAAACAATGAAATATCTTTTTGTATGAATGCATATTTGTTTTCCCTAAATGAGAGCATCTTGTATTACGAATCATAAACTAAAAGATTATTATGGTGTAGCACGACATGTATACAATGAAGCAACTAAAGAATTACCAATAATTCTGCGGTAAGATAAGAAATGACTCCAGAAAAGATATGTGGAGCACTGCAACAGATATCATCAAGTATACGGTGGTAATTGATTTCAGACATTTGAGGACTGTTGTTTCCTGACATCAAAGACATAAAAAACTGTTTGATCCCATGTTCTAGTTTCGAAGCACAACCACTTAATATGTTCGTAGCCAGCCTCCGGGCAGCCATAGTTGACTCCTAGGATAAAAAATCAAATTCAGTATTTTTATTGAGGGGAAAATAAGAAAGGAAAAAAACTATAATTCACAATAACTAAGCATGGATAAAAGTGAAGCTAACCTCTTTGCGACAGCCTAGAGTGGACAAGAGAACGAGTAAAAAGTTCTCCATTACACCATCGCTTTCTTCCAGAAGAACTTCAATGGTTTTCTGGATCAAAGTCAAAACATTCTCATGATGCTCATCTCTGCATGCATGTAAAAAGATAGTCACTGCAGTGAAAGAAATTGTACATGCGCAGGCTATAAGTTATTTAATAGGGTGTTTTTCACTGTAAAGCAGCAAAAGACATTTACTTAATACTTAACTACTTCAAATGTGTCAAAAGTTACTGACTTGCGTGTGAAAAAGGTGCATGAAATAGACATATAAGGAAGCAAAGATGAAAGTTGGGAAAGCAACAGAAAGTTGAGTTCCTCTTCAAATGATAAATCTTTCCAAAATTCCAACATGAAGCACTCAAAACATCGATTTATGACACAACGAAGACTTACGATAATTACAAACAAACAAATGGTTGGCATGATACTTCATTTCTACAACATGCATGCCCTCGAAATAGAGTGAAAAAATACATAGTGAATGAAATATGAAGAATCTAGGCTGTGTTCCTTTCCTTATGTGTTTTGGGTGTTTTGTATTGTTTTGAAAATAGTAAAAAATTTAATTGAAAATAGGATGTGATGTTTATAATGAAAAATAGGTGTTTAGTGTGATATTTTATAGGGGTTAGAAAAAACTTATTGTAGCAGACATAGTGCAAAAATAAGTAGGAAACACTAGGGAACACACCCTAAATGATTAGATATGCATGCCACAAATAATCAGCAAATAAGCATAAACTATGTAAGCACTCAAAATAACATGCTTCAGAACTGGAAAGGAAAGAAATCAAAATCATAAGCATACCTCACAACATTAAAGAGGGTATAAATCATTTCATTAATGAGATCATCACATTCAAGATCCAGCATTAAGACGCACGATCTATATGTTGCCAAAGTTTCAAGAATCTGAACCCTCCTTTGAAATGATGGAGCTTTTATATCACTTAAGCCACTTAAAGCATTTACAATCAGACGGAATATATCCTGAAATAGATTAAAAGGAAGTAATCAGAAAACAATTCCTGGTAACTTAAAAACACCACATGATCAAGATGGTATATGATTCCGTACTTGTAAAACTCCATCGTCATAGGGAGCCTCGGGTGCAGTAATTCGAGTTAACTCACTGGCACAGGAAGCCACAAAGAGTTTCACCTCCTCATTTTCATGTTTCAAGAGCGCTGGTTTGGCAATGGCATTCATGAGAGGCTGCATAGCCACCTTCATTGAATTTGAAGGTGTCTGATCTAATTTTGAGAGACACGACACACAATCCTGCACGAGGAAGAGTAATTACTGCAACCAGACAATCAATATAGAGACTAGCCCATGCTGTAAAGCAAATACAAAAATCAGTGCATATGGAAGACTATAAAAAGCATGAGAATTTTAACTATGAGAATTTTTCATTCGCTGATAAATTTGAAAGTAGTACGAGTAACTGCTCCTTCCAGGGAAGGCAGAATTAAATGTTATTAATATCACTAAAAGATTCGAAGTTTAGACCAAATTACGGAAACAACTGCAGCATGCATTCACCAATCAAACTTCTTAACAAATACAAAATCATCTCCACGCAGATAGAAGAGAATTTCATCTCCAGAAAAAGCTCGAACACGTAAAAGAAGAAGTCGATACCTTCAATATTTCGACGACAGCGTCTGCCGACGACGGAGCACTGCCCAACTTTGATCCGAGTTCTTTAAGTTGCCGCTCCAGATTATGAGCCATTGGAAACTAAAATTCACTGGAGGCCCCAACCGAAATCGAGATTCTTCGGAGATCCGCTGCCCGGTCTTTAGCAAAACTTTGCCACTAGGCAGCGTTCTTCTGTCGATGCTGAAGGTATTTTGATACGAACCCTGGCCAGGGCTTGATTGTGCTGTGCGCCTGCTTCCTTCGGTGATTCTGTTTTCCCCTCTCGCTCGCCGTTGGTTCGCCTTGGAACAGGAAACCGAGAAAAAAAAAAACCTCCCTTTTACGTGCGTTTGAAAATCGATGACGAATGAATCACTTCACACTTTTATCGATTCTTTTACAACACGGGCTTCCTTTTTGGGAAAATAGGTCTGTTTGGTTGGTTTTGTCAAACCCTCAAACTTTTTATAAAATATTTTATTAAATATATATTTTTTGAAAAAAAAAATATTTTTTTTATAAAATATTTTATTAAATATTACTCTCTCTATTCCATATACCACTACACTGTAGATACCAAGAGGTGTAATTAGTAGATAATTAAGAATATATCAATAATTATCCTATAATATAAATAATTATAAATTAAGATTAAGATAACTAATTAGTTTAATTAAAATTTTATAAAAATAAAATTAAAAAGTTTAAAATGAGATTAAAATGTATAATATTTTTTAAAAAAAAGTGACATGTGGACCGACAGAAACGGCAACATGGACATGATACGTGGGACGAAGAGAGTATTTTAATATTAATTTTTTTTAAAAAAATTGAACTAATATAAAAACCCTCTAAAATTTTTATTCAATAATAATTTTTAGATATAAGATTAATAAATAGTGTATTTTTTGGAAATTTTATTTTTTATTTAATTTTATAGTTATTTAAACTTATTCATGTATCTCTTTAAAAAAAAATTACTTTTTTTTACAACTAATTCTCTGTACCCTAAATTTTAAAATTATATAAACTTTTCCTTTTTATAATATTAATTTGCTTAGTCTTTTTTAGGTGTCAAAATTATATGAATAGTTTTTCTTTACCAATAAATTATACTCCTTCTGTCCCAAAATTATAGTCTGGTTATGTTTGACATGGGATTCAAGTTTTATTGATATTATATTGGTAGTTAGTAAAAAGTACGAGTAAACGATTTTTTTGCCCTCGTGAATCTATTAGTGTAAAAAGTAGTGGCAATTGTGTAATAATAATGAAAAAAAAGTAATGATAGTTTTATAGTGATATGATTATTTATGAAAAATGAGACTATTGTTTTAGGATAGAGAAAAATAGTAAACAGGACTATTGTATTGGGACGGATGGAGTATTACATTCGTCCAACCAGAAAATAGACATATATTTTTGTGTTGTTGTATTTAAAATTAAAAATATCTACTTGTTTAGTTTACTCTAAAAATATGATTGTATTTATATTACTCTCTCCATCCCGTAACAAACTATCAATTTTTCTATTTAAGTTCGTCTCATAACATTATTCATTTCACTTTTTTAGTAACGGTACTATATGTCTAATATTACAAATACCCTTACAACTTACAATATATTCCACAATGTATTACATTTATATCACACTATACTAATAAGGTTATTTTATTCATTTCTATTTTATTTCTACTACATCCCAATATAATACTAATATTTATAAAACTACGTGCAAAAAACAAATGAATACCTAATTATGGAACGAAAGGAATACAATAGACTAACAGATGTATTTTTGTCATTTTTTCTTTATTTGTACTATATTTTTATATAATAGTTAATATTAAAAAAAATCATTGTGTACTTTACGGCTGGACGGAGATAATATAATTTTTTATTTTAAGTTATCCATTAAATTAATGCCTTTTTTTTTGTTTTCTATATGTCAATATTATGTTTTTTTAACAATCAACTAAGGGTGTGTTTGTTCATGGTTTTAGATTTTGAGTTGGATTTGAACAGTAAAAATTTTGATTTTGAATAGTTATATGACGTGATATAAATAGGTGTTGATGTGATGTTTTGAATGTAAATTAATTTTTAATATGATATAAAAAAATAAAAAATAGGTGTTTAATTTGATGTTTTTGGGAAAAAAAATATGATGAATAGTTGAATTAAAATTCAATCCCCCAAACAAACACACCCTAAATTTATTTGTAAAGTGCGTTTTTTTAACAAAAATATATATATGTTTTTTTGAGATATATTAATATATTATATATATTTATTATTTTTATAAAATATTACGTGAAAATATTGTTAAATCAAAATTATTAATTCAAATCAAAAGCAAAGAAACCCTCGTGTTTCAAATTCAGGTGATGTAATAATTTGTATGTTTTGCAATCAAAATTGTTTTTTTTTTTTTTTTTTTCTTAAAAAAAATCTGAATTATTTTATTAGTGGTTTGAATTTGAAGATTTTATAGTGTCTTTGTGAAATTGAGTTCAAATATCTGACTAGAAATTTCAGTTTCAAATTAAAAATCTAAAAAAAGAAACACATGCAAAATTTGGTATGACTTATCAATCACTTGAAATATGTATCGAAAAAACTCCACAAAAATCGGCTAAATTCTTCCATCGTGATCTTGCTTTTATTTTGTATATATTTTATTTTAATATTAAAATATTATTATTTTCTAGTATTTATATAAAAATAAAATTATATATTATTTTTTCTGATTGCTCGAGTATTATATATTAAATTAAAAATCAATTTAAATTTTTTTAATAAATCAAATTTAGTATTTATTTAGGAGAAAAAAATAAGAAATTAAAAAATTTTATAGCAGTAACCGGAAATTTTTACTTCTTCCTCAAGTTATTATATTTTCCTGTTATTTCATTATATTGATTTTTATTAATTATATTTTTTTGAATTTTTGTATAATTTTTTAGTCCTATTTTTTTTTTCCCTTTATCTCTTTGTATTACAGAAAAGATTGTCACCAGGAGAAGAAGATTCTTCAGGCAAGTTTTACAACGTGTTTTTTTTTTTAAATTTAATTTATGGCAGAAGCCGAAAACTTTTACTTATTCTTCAAGTTGTTATATTTTCCTGTTATTTCATTATATTTATTTTTATTAATTATATTTTTTTGATTTTTTTATAAGTTTTTAGCCCTATTTTTTTTTTTTTTTTTACTTTATCTCTTTGTATTACAGAAAAGATTGTCACCAGGAGAAAGAAATTTTTCAGGCAAGTTTTACACGTGTTGTTCTTTTTCTAAAATTTAATTTATGGCAAAAGCCGAAAACTTTTACTTATTCCTCAAATTCTTATATTTTCCTTTTATTTCGTTATATTCATTTTTATTAGTTATATTTTTTGAAATTTTTAATGGTATAAGACAATTTTTCTACGGAAAAAATTGTCACCGGAGCAAGAGGAGGAGTCCTTCTTCTTGAAGTAAGTTGTTATATTTTTCTGTTATTCCACTTACAATGTATACATTTACTTTTAATTAAAAATTAAAAGTAGTGTAATGACATTTTTGCCCTTATTTTTTGTTATAAAAGTAATTATGTGATGTAAAGTAAAAATATTTGTAGAAAAAAGTATGGTATGTAATGAAATATTTATTTTGTAATTTGACTTTCTAAAATAGAAATACGTAAAATTTTTTAGTTGGACGGAGAGAATATATTTTTTTTTGAATCTTTCGTCATAATTTCTTCATGCAGGAAAGTAGATTTTACATTCTCCATGTATTGGGAGCCTTTTAGTTTTGGACATCAGTCTTTTTCTTTCTTTTTTTTTTTTTTTTTTCTAAATTTAAATATCCTGAAAGAAGTGTGCTATCTAAGGTTGGTGATATGGAATTTGATCTGAATTATGATAGCTAACAGTCTACGGTTGGTGATATGCTAAATTTGATCTGAATTATGATAGCTCACACTCTACAGTTGGTGATTTGTAAGTTTAATATTCTTATTTTCATCATGCAGGAGAACCATTTATCAATGGTCAGGCAGTTCCTTATGATCCAAAATCTCACGAGGAATGGGTGAGGAATAATGCCCGAGCTAATGAGAGGAACAGGCGTAATGACAGACCTCGGAACTTCGAGAGAAGAAGAGACATTAAACATTAAACAAACAAACCTAATAATTTTTAAATATATATAAATGTTTATTTATTTATGAAAGATAAAAACAAAAGGTATAAGTAGATTCTAGTTTAAATTTTTTAATGAACAGACCATTATTTGGTTTGTTTGGTTGTGAATTAAAATTGATTTAATTTGGGTTTTTATTTAAATAATATTTTGACATGATAATTTGTAAAAAAAATTGTGTATTTTTATTGAAAACTATGCACCTCCTCATTCAATTTATTTTTACTTTCTTATTTTTTTGATATCATTCAAATATATTTTCGTTTCATTTTTAGTAAAAATTTATGATATTTCTACTACTATTTTTTTACCATAAAAAGAAAATTTTCTATTTTTATCCAATTTTATTAATATTAATTTTAAATATACAACTCATTTTTGCTTATATCATCCTATATGTATGAGTTCTAAATTAATTTATGCATATTTTTGTTAATAGTATTGATTATAATTTACTAAGATATCTATTTATCAAGGGAAATATTAGAAAAATCTATTCAATTTCATTATAATATTTTTTTTTCAAAATAAAATTAGAACATAATTCTCAATTATTAATTTCATTATCACCTTATATATACTTCCTACAATTACAAATTAATCATTTTTAAAAACATATCAAATTAAATATTTATTTTTTTATATTATGTTAAAATTATTTTGAAACAAACACATGTTTAATCAATTTACATAAAATACGAATCCCCAAAAATGAATTCAAAAAGGCCCATGTTTATATATTGTAGTTGTACTACAAAATTAATGTGGATTAAGCCCAACTTTGGCCCGGCCCAAAAGTATCCATCAAAAAGTTATTGGGCAATAACAAGAATCAATAAAAGGCCTAATATATTTTTAGCGAGGCCCATTAAAAAATCAATCAGTCGCCAGGAAGGACACAAGCTTCGAGCGGAAGCTGTCAATCGACAGTCATCGAATCGGGAACCACCGCCATCCGCCAGCCGGAAACTGGCGAACGTTTGCTCGCCGTCGTAAGTGGAATCGACCAGTTCTCTCTATTTTACCTGTTTCATCCTTTTTTTCAGTCTCTGATTCTATGCTTTCTTCTATTCTATGTATAGATAGACGAGTGTTGAACCGCTAAAAGAATTAGCGTATTTGTATTTTCTGTAAGCTGATGCTGAAATTTAGGGCGAATTAAGGAACAGTGTGCTACTGTAAAGCGAAGAGGATTGCGATTAAGAATTAACCTTTTTTTTTTTTTTTTTTTTTGTGTGTATAATTTTTGCTATAAGCTCCAATAAATAGCAGCGATGACTTTTGTCAGATTCATCTGTCGGCCATCTGCTGTCTGTTACGCCACTTGCAGAGTTGTTCCTTTCCCCTCGTTCAGTAGACGCGCCTTCTCCACTTCGAGCTCATCGATTTCATTTCAAGGTGCAGAATATTGATCGGAAGGCCTAATTTGTTTTCGAATTTGGAAGGTTTATAATGAATTTACAAAGAGGGTGAAATTTTCTTTGTGACTATTTCAGGGAGATTGGGCAAGAGGAGATTTGGTATATACCAGAGCATCAGATCTTCAATGAGTTCATCATCTCCATCATCCGTGTTATCAGAGAAGCAAACTCCACATGTAGGTAGAATCCTTGAGGGCAAAAATGATGATCATGGAGGAGTGATAGTTGAAATGGCCTGTGAACCCATGGATTCCATTGCATTTGCTTCTATACTCAAAGCCTCACTCTCACATTGGCAACAGCAGGTACTCTCTTCCCCTCTCTTCCTATACATATATATAACTACAAGAAAGCACAAAATGTTACTACAGGATCCTCATTTTAAAGAGCATGTGCTATCTGCACTATCTGAGCTTTTGATTGGTGTTTATTTGGGAAAATCAACATTAACCAAAGCGATATCCTAAGCTTAAGTATAAATTCTGTTTTCCACATCAAGCGGCAGAATGTGTTTTGTTGTTAGATTCTGCGCGTAACTGTGGGAGGGATGTGTTTGCAGGGAAAGAGGGGTATTTGGATCAAAATCCCGATTGAGCTTGTGAATCTTGTGGAGCCTGCTGTTAAGGTTAGTTGTTGCCATGTTATACTTGGAAAGGTTATATCACATATGAGGAAGCATAGAATCATCAACAAAAGCTATGTTACAGTTTTTGTAACTCTCGGAATGGACACCATCTGTTTCAGGAAGGATTCTATTTTCATCATGCAGAGCCCAAATATTTGATGCTAGTGCATTGGCTTCCTGACACTGCAAATACACTTCCGGCTAACGCCTCACATCGTGTGGGTGTTGCAGCATTCGTCCTGAATGAAAAGAATGAAGTATGTTCTGGAATTTATATCATTCACAATTTAATTTGAATTTGAGAATAATAAAGGAATATGAAGGCCTTGAGAAATTTATCAACTGCTGATGCATAATTCGCTTTGTTTATCTGCTGTTGATTTATATTCAGGTTCTGGTAGTTCAGGAGAATAGTGGGATATTCCGTGGAAAGGATGCATGGAAGTTCCCAACCGGAGTTGTTGATGAAGTCCGTCTAACTAGTCCTCATTTTTTATAATTTTTAAATACATATAACCATAACTGAAGAAACACTGCCCTATAAGAAACTACTGATTGATTTCTGCAGTAACAAAGTATATGTTCGCAGGGTGAAGATATATGTAACGCCGCTGTTAGAGAAGTGAAAGAAGAAACTGGAGTAAGACAACTTTGTCGTCTGGTTCATATTCTTTCAAAAGCATAGCTCTAGTCGTCTAAATATTGTTTTTACTTTGCTGTTGATTCTATTTCAGGTCGACTCCAAATTTTTGGAAGTACTTGCATTCAGGTACTTTTACAACCCTGTAGTTGAAGTATGGATTATGTTCATTTTATTTCACTAGCAATCGTTACATATTCCTGGAGCACCGGAACTGGGAACAGAATATTTGAAGTTTTTCAAACAATTTACACAATCCAAAGCATGCTGTTATAACCGCAGTTTTCTTTTACACAATCCCATCTGCTCTGTTGCTAAAACAAGAAAATTTGCTCGAGTTACAGACAGAGCCACAAAGCGTATTTCGAGAAGTCGGACCTGTTCTTTGTGTGCATGTTACAACCATTGTCCTCGGAACTCCAACCACAGGCAGCAGAGATTGAGGCCGCCCAGGTTTGCTTTCGACATATTGTGCTAAGTAAAACTAGTTAAGATGATACATTCTATATGAATTTTTGCACACATTCCACTTTACTGCATTAGGACTTGTCTAGTTTGTTGACATACTAATTAATATCTATGTTATAGTAAATACTAATACTTATAATTTATAAATATTAAAACATAAATATCAGTTAGTATAACTAAGTAAATGAGGAGCACTCAGTAGGTCACCAACTGAGAATATTTGTTATGACAGTAGGCTCTCTATGGTTACTTCATCTTTCGATCTGTCCATAGATCGATCAAATTGGCATGCTTGCCATAATACTACTACATCCCGAGCTGGGTATGTGTCTAATTATCTATATGTGTGCGCAAATTCGCTATTATGTAACTTTGCAAGTTGTTTCCGTTATTGAAGATTCTCATACCAGATGGTTTATGGTTTCAGTGGATGCCATTCGAAGAATACCTTGCCCAACCATCTGTCCACAAGCATGAACTCATTAAAAAGATTGCTGAGATCTGCCAAGCAAAGATACGCGGAACCTACACAGGATTTTCACCTATTCCAACTCCGACTCCTTTTACTGACCGGACAGCGTATTTGTATGTTAATGGCCCAGGTCTCGATATTATTTGAAATTTACTGCATAGTCACTATTGAAAATGGATACTTTACCTATGTATTGTTTGCTTCAGTATGGAAGCTTAATCAAATGTTATTGGTCCTCTGTAATTATGTTAGATTATGGATTTCCAGAGTTGATAGAATCAGTAGAATATGTTGTACTAATATTTATAAGTTTTAAAAAATTTTAATTGAACAATTATACACATACAATTGTCTTCTTATGCAGATACATGCAATATTAATGTTAAATAGAAATTTAATTTCATGTGTAGATGGGAATGGTTGAAACAGGCTTGAAAAATTAGGTTTACTGTCAAAACAAGAATGCCTAGTGTGACCATGACATGATTAATATTAGGCAACCTACCTGCATATCTTAAGCCTTCTATTTCCCAACTACAATTTTCCCAACTATAGTAGATGAAATGGCTGCTATAGCCCTACACTTGATGAATGCTGAAGATTTCATACTATAAACATCTAAGTTGGAGGAGGGCAGAGTTGTAATTTTGGGATGTCGAGACCGGCATGTAAACCATGTAAGATCTCTCTATATATTTACATAGACAACCTGGTTCTCAGTTCAGCAGGACATGATAAATATGGATTCAGTGAAGATAATTTTCTTGGCTATCATGGTTATTGCATACCTGGAAATTCCGACAGTGTTGGCCACAGGGAGTGAGGATTTGGTGGCTGAATTTTCAAGCAGAGAAGATGTGGTTCGTTGGGGTGGTTACGGGGAAGATAGTCTGTCCACGGTAGTAATTGGTGGCAAACTTCTTTGCCATGATCGTGAAGTTCGCTCCAAACAAACTCCAGTCTCGGGTAATTGTCATCTTTTTTCATCTTGTACAGATTGAATGATTTTGCTACTCTGCTCATGAAATCAAGTACTGCAAGAACTATGACAAACTTCATTTTCTGTTAATCAAAAACTACAAATTATAAAGCTCGAAACAAATGTATATGCCACATTTTCAATTTGGTAACTGAAATCATGTATAAATTACAACATCTTCAAGTTAGCATTTCCTGAGGTATTAGTTAATCTGTTATTCAAGATTTCAAGTAGCTCGTGAAAAGCTAATTGAATTAACTTACTGTAAAGTGATGCTACTACATTCTCACAGATGTATATGCATACATTTTGCTAATAACAGGAGTGAATAGTATGAACTTGGAAGAAAGTTAGAATTTACACAATGCAGATTCAATTTGGAGTGTCTTCTAAACACATTACATCAATCAGCCTAACAATTGGTTTGTTTGTTAGTTAAAAGATGGGATCACTACCCTTGTTTCTCAGTCCTTTCTCTCTTCTTCTTTCTGGTATATGATCTATTCCCTTTTACTACAAGTGCATTCATGTAACTACACAATTGATAGTGTTTTCTAATTTTCGATGAAATATAATCGTTACTAACAGCTTACATGCAAAAGTGGGTGTAGTTTTAAACTAGGAAAAAACAAGACCAACACTTTATGTCTATGCAAGGGACTCTAAAACCAAGTCAAGAAAATAATATTACAACCTAATGAAATTCAGGCATCATAGTTAGCATGAAGATAAAACCATATAAGAAATCTGTGTACCGTTCTATAATTGCAGGCGCATCAGTAGCTGTTTTCTGTGGCAGCAGCGGTAATCGAAAGAAATCATGGGCAAGAGGCAGCACCAATAGTTATGGAGAATTCCTAATTGATCTTCCCTCATATCTCCATGCTATTCCTAACTTGGAAAAGGTGTGCCTTGTCAAAGTTCTTTCTCTTCCAAAGAGTAGTCTTTGTCGCCATTCTTTCACCGGAAAGCATAAAGCCATAAAGCTGTCGTTCCTAGGCGAAGGCGTTCGCACTTACACAACAGATAACATATATTTGGCGACAAATCCTAAACCCATCAGTGAGACACAAAGAGAGAATCACATGTGATATATGTCCGGTATCTAAAACAAAATATGCAAATTGATACTGATTAATTGCAGAACAAGAGGATGGCGCTATAGTCACGCTGAGCTGCAGGCTACAATGGGCATCTGCTTGTTATTTAAACTTTTGATGTATTGTACTAAAGCATGTGTTCTGTTTGGTGTATAATATACATAAAACAATGGTATATGTTCTGCCGCATGAATTTATTTTCGAGAAAATGGAGAATCAAATCTCTGGAAAATTTTCATGATGTGAGCACAACAACAGTGTCATGTAAACATGGTAACTGAACCAACCAGAAGAAGTTAACAAGTAATGCCCTATCACTATTGAACACAATTAGCAGCTCTCAGAAGCTTCTTCAGATGAATTAGAAATGATGTACTTAGCAACATCAAGGCAACACTTAAGCTTATCTGCTTCGGAATCAGGAATCTCGACTGAAAACTCTTCCTCAAAAGCCATGACAAGTTCCACTCTGTCGAGGCTATCAAGGCTTAAGTCCTTCTGGAAATCAGCAGTTTCTGTTACCTTCGACATCATAAGTTCATAACACTGTAAGTAACTATGAATCTGCTTTCAAAAAATGCACAAAAATATTTCGATAGGTGGTTTGTCAAACGAGGATGCAAGCATCTAAAAAGATGTTAACTACTATGGCAGCAAGTCTCCAATCCTTGCCACAAGTGAGAAATGAAGTTACATTCTAACAAATGCACCATTTCTAAACTGCTCACAGGAGCACACATAGAACTAATCTTGCAAATTTCATGACTATTGAATAACAAGAATATGTATCATTGAGCAGAGAAAATTATTACTTTAGTAGCATTAATCTTGTCAAATTTCTTCACTAGATCGATCACTTTATCAACAACCTCATCCTGGCTGCTATTTGCAGCAGTGCTGCACATACACATTAGTTGCTCATGTTTGTGTATTCCATTCAGATACTGTGGAACCCAACGTCCTTTCATAGGGACCTCAACTCTCATGTAAGCCAATATAGCATTCCGAAGTGATTGCATTTTTCCTCTGTCAAAAAGATCAGGGGAACACTCGCAACAGTTAGGAAGCTAAGCAACACGTGAAATTCGAAGTCAAATAAATGCAAATCATTAATTATTTTTTCCTGAGGAAACAGATAAGGATCAATCAAGAAACTTTCGATGTATCTTTCGCTTACAAGCGATGGCAGCTGATTTTAACAGTACAAGCATAGATACCAAGCCGATAAACAGTACACTTTGCTGCAAGTGAATATATATATATATATATGTACAGAAAAATTCAAAATGGATACAAATATACAATCGAATCCAGGAGAAGCCAAAAACTTTTAACGAAGCTTCAAGTTTTCAAAAATGTGCTGAACTAGAATACAATGAAAATAATAATAAATAAATAAGAATAAAGCCTGATACCTTAACAACTGATTATCTATAAGCAAGGGAATGCAAAACAACACAACATTAAGCCATTATGAAAACACAATTCAATCCAACAATCAAGCAGGCACATAAAATTGATAACCTAAAGATCAACATCATCCAGTCTCCAAATGAAACATTCAGCGACAAAAACGCAGAAACACACACACACACACATCGAAGCAGGAACTCGCGTCACCGATCGCCTCACCTGCAATCCGTTCGTTCACCCGGCTGACAAGTCGCACCATCCCGTAGGTTGATAACAGTACAGAATTATGGGCTTTATCTTATAATTGGGCTTCATCTTTATAAATGGGCCTTAAAAAGTCAAATAATTTGATTTGTTTTAATTTTAATAATATTTAATATATTATTCTATAAAAAAAATTATATTTTTATTAGAAATATATATTGACTATGATAATTTTGTTAATATATATCTTAATAAAATATAGCAATAAATATATAATGTATCATAGCGAATAATTAATTTTGGTAGTATGTATATTTAATATAGTTTATATAAATTAATTTAAAAGAACAAAGAATTTTAAATATAAAATATATTTCTTTATTTAAAAGACTTGAAAATTAGTAATATTACATTATAGTGTAACACTTTAAGAGAAAAAAATAATTTTAAAAAATAAAATAAAATTTCAAAGTACAGTAGTATTCTCTCGGTCCACTTACAATATTTATGTATTTCTATTTTGGGACGTTTAATTACAAAATATACATTTTATTAAATACCTTTTTTTTTTCACAAATACTCGTACTTTACATCATATCATTATTTATACATAAAAAAATAAGAGCAAAAATATCATTATACTATTTTTAACTATTTATTATAATTAAAATATTATTATTTTTTAAATATTACCTGAAAAGTAAATGTAAACATTGTAGGCGGAGGAAGGGAGTATTAATTTAGGTAGAAATGTAAAACAAAAGATACCCTTGTGTGTTTTCTTTCTCATATAGGTTAAGGAAATTATTATTCATGTCAAAAGATTGGTTATATGTCTCTATCTACAAATAATTTGTCATATAAAATAATTGCGATGAATGAAATATGGGTGAATAGAATTTTGAGCTGTCTTCTGTCAGGTGGGACCCAGAGGGCGAAAGTCGCATTTGCCATTTAGTCCACCATTTGATTGTGAAGTGAGATATTGTTAAGTCGCTTTTTAGAGGTAACACGATTTCTGAGCAATGTAAATTTGTTCGAATAAATTACCCTTTTTTTTTAAAATATATATATAGTAATAATAATATAGGGTTTGTTTCATTTTCATTGATACGATTTTATGTAGTATTTTATTTTCAATATAAAATATTAATATTTTTTATATTATCGATAATTACCCGTATTTCACGTAGAATAAATATCTCAAATTAAAATACTACTAAACAAACACAATATTTTATTTAAATAATATTTTTACAAGTTTTGACTATAATAAAAAGTTATATGATTAGCATGATATTTTGTGAGATGAATATATATTTTATTTAATATTATATTTTTTTAAAGAAATTATTATTGATAAATAATATTAAAATTTTTAAAAATTAGCATATATAAGTAAAATCATAACAAATATTATTCATAATCAACTATAAACTTCTATATTTTAGCAAGACAGTACCATTTTATATTCCATTGTCCTAATATGTTTGCCTTTATAAAATTTGACTTTTATTTATTTATTTATTTATTTTTAGGGCAAACTTTTATAAGTAGTATTTAGAAGGATAAAAGATTTATATAGGAGATTGTTAAAAAAATATATATATATGAAAAAAAAAATTGTGTAAAAAATATAAAACTGATAAATGTGTATAGTATATTATTTTTTATTTTTTATTTTTAATTTTTGAAGGATATTTAGAGAAAAATAGTAAAAAAACAAAGCCTAATAATAAAAGTTTATAATACTCCTTTTATTTTAGTGGAAAATGTATATTTGTTTTTTATTTGTTTTTAAGTAAAATAAGAAATAATAGAGTGTGTTTGTACAGTGTAATAATTTGCAATGATATAGAGAATTGTATAATTAATATAAAATTAGTGAATGGGTATAATGTATTAATTATTTAAAAATACATGTAAAAAAAAATATAAAGAAAGCATACCCATAGTATTTTATTGATTATTGATTTCGATATTGTGTCGAAAATAAATATTTTTATAAATTTTTTTTATTTTTATATATAATTATTTTTATTATAAATAAAAAATTTATAATTTTGAGTTCTTCGACATAAATGAATTGAAACCCAAAAAGTAACATTTTTTTTTTAAATGATGAAATATTCTCTCAATAGTTGATGCCCCTATTTTGATTTTAGGTTAATTTATTAATGTAGGAGATTACTTTTAACTAAATTTTTTTAATATATATTTTTTAAAAAACATAATATATTACATATATTCATTATTTTTATATTATTTATATTTCATATAAAAAATATTCCTTCAAACTTAAATACAAAATAAACACACAATTACTATTTGTTTATTCTGTATATATTTTTAATAAAGTTTCAAATATTTAAATTTTTATTTAGTTTGAAAAAAAATACTACTCAATATAAAAATTTCATACAAAATATTATTTTAAATATTTATTTAATTTTAAAGTATTCAAATCACAAATAAATAAAACACATTAAGTTTGTTATTTCAATTCTTTTTTTACCGATACGATTCTTTATATAAAAATCAATATTTAATATAAATTACTGTTTTTTTATATTAACAATATAATTTTACATCTCTTACATATAAAAAAATTTAAAACTAAAACACTGAATAAACAAAAAATATTATGTAACAAAACCCCCAAATTTGGAAGTTTTATTTTGTTCAATTTAGCCTCTCCAAGATAAATACTGTAATAAAATATTTATATGTATTTATTGAAATTACTCATTACTCGTGCTACAATAAAGTTGAGTTGCATAATACTATTATTGTAATTTAATATGTAGTATATTCATATAATTGTATCAAGTTATAGAGCAATCATGATGAATTATAAGCTTAGAAGTGTTTCATCTATTCAATAATCATTTCAAAATGCATACCACCTTAGGGTGTGATTTTTTTATATTTTATATTTATTTTTTCATTAATAGATATTTGAGATTCTTTTTTTTTTTTTTTCATATTTTTTGGGTTTTATTAGGAAGTTTTATTAAAATATATTAATACTTTTTAAAATAATACTCTCTCTTTTTATGTAAATGTATTCTCATTTGATTGAACACGAATTTTAATAAAAATGAATAATAATTGTTAATTTTTTTATATTAAAAAATAGCACAAAAGTATAATGATTTTTTACTTAAAAAAAACAATTTTATGTACAAATTTAAATATAAACACAAATATATCAAAAGAACAACTTTTGTTATTTGGCACAATTGGGACCTCATTTTCATTTTATTAACGGAAAAATTAATTTTGGTAATATTATAAATTGTAATAATTAATTTTGATTTTACAGTAGCGAATATAGATTGAACAGTGTTGGCTGTTTATAAAATTTAACTTCAATCAGCTTTGTAATAATTTAGGAGTTCAAGATAATACGACTATGTTTATTCTGTAGCTATTATGATAATAAAATTAATTAATTTTATTTTTTTATGGAACATAAGATTGATTAGTGTGACTTATATAGTGTCGCTTGTATTAATTATTTTTCATTTTTTTAATAATTTTTCTATTTATTTTGTTAAAGTTCATAGATATTTTATTTCAATTTTCTTTTCGATATAAACTAAACGAGCTATATATGAATGATACGACAAGTAAAGAAAGGGGAATTAGGGTTCTAAAGATTCCTCAACCCAAGATCTAGAGAGAGGGATTTCGATCGATGGGAAATTTCCGAATTTCTAAATCCCAATGAAAGCGTCTGGAAAGTATGATTAACAGTGGGAAATTATCAAAGCGATGAGTAGTGATTGAGGTGTTGATGTGACCTGCATCCCCCCATTAAGCCCTACACGATTGGGCCCTTTTTACTTACCACCATAGTTCCAAACTCACAGGATTACATTCATAATTCGCACCCACTTTCGAGTAATCAGCAATCGAGAATCCATGTTAGGCTGGTTTGGGATTCATTCTGAGACCGGAAAGGGTTTGGGTGCTTGATCAGGCGGATGATTTTTTGTTTTTTCCTTTTTAATTTACCCAACGCCTTTGTAAATCGAGACTCCTTTTCGTTGTCGCCTTTGTTTTTGTTCTGTTTTGATTTCCTTTGCTTCTACAAAAAACATATTAGATGTTGCGGAGAATCTTTGAGTAGAGATTTCTCGTAGGACTCGATTGCTGAAAAATGGGAAATGCTAATGGAAGGGAAGATGGCGCCGCCGCCGGCGAATCTGGTGTGGACGTCGGCGATGGTTCTCAGGTAAGCATGGCCGACGGAGACGGCGCCCCGAGCGGTGAGTTCGTGGAGCCCTCGCCTCCCTCGAGTCCTAGGGCTTCTCAATCTCCTCTGATGTTCAAACCTCAGGTCAGTAGCGTTAATTCGTCCTTTTTCCCCAATTTGCTAAAACTATCGGAAATTTTGATTCCTCTTCTTCCTCTTCTGGTAATTTTCTCGATTTCCATGTTTCCTTTGATATAAGATTCTATAAAGGCGGGATGCTTCTCTAAAACCAATTGGAATTAGGGTTACTTCGTTGTTTTGATGTTCTGTTCATAGCCATTGGTGTGGTATATGCATGGAAAACTGTAGCATTCAGTAATTAGGGCAGATCTGATGACTTTGATGATGATTATATTTTGCCCCGATGATTATGTCATTGTTTCATTTCTTCAGGCACTGTATTCATATATATATTTATATATATATGTACCCTTGAATTTTGTATCTATTTTTTCTGGATTTTGGTGTGTTCATAAAACCCTCAGATTCGGAGGGCAGCTTGATTATGTCTTTAGATTATCTCTGCTGGTTAAATTTCGCAAAGAGATGTGGTTATGATGATAAGCTCAAAAACTTCTGAATCTTTGCTATATCTGTGGTGTTAGTTTGTAATGAATGTAAGTGTAAAGAACATGAATTTAAGATTAGTCGGAAAGGCTGATTGAAATTCTATCCTCTACCTTCGGTTCAGATGCCAGTGGCTCCATTAGAAAGACCCGACGAACTGCAGATCCCCAACCCTTCATGGATGCAGACTGGCTCGGGTTATGAAGACTCGTACAATGAGCATTGCATTCCAACTATGATAACGTGGAGCTATGGTGGCAACGAAGTGCTGGTTGAGGGGTCATGGGATGATTGGAAAACAAGGCTAGTCTGCTGCCTTACACTGCCCCGATTTCTCTCTGGTTCTAAAATTGTAATCAAATTTCAATTTCAAGTTTCTGTTTTTGGCTACTTGTACAGGAAGCCTTTGCAAAGGTCGGGGAAGGACTTCACTATCATGAAAGTACTTCCTTCAGGAGTTTATCAATACAAATTTATTGTTGACGGGGAAAAGAGGTACACCCCGGATCTACCCTGGGAACAAGATGAATCAGGAAATGGTTACAACATATTAGACTTACAGGTACACCCATCTCTTACTTTTATTTCCAACGGTTTTCTTTCTCCTCAATTGGACATGTTCAGTTATTGCATTATTCTCGACTTTCTTATAAAGTTATATTAAACACAGAGAGAACTGTTTTCATGGTTGGTGCCTATTTCACTCAATTCTACGTAGAATAATCGCGACCTGTCTACTCCAGGTTTATCGGTTTTTGATTTTTTTTTGCTTCTGCGGAGTTGTTGTGAACTAGACTCGGGTATTATCCAAATTTGCAGGCAAACAGTCTTTAAAAGTGGAAATGTAATTTATGAAACTTTGGACTTCATAGTATAAAGGTTATAAAGTATTAGCAGTCTTACCTGCCTGAAAATGTTTAATTAGGAACTAAAGTAACATATGCTAAATGATAATATATATATACATACATACATTTGTGCATTTTTATTCTCTGTGCTGTTAGTTGTAGGCATGCATTGTTTCTTTTTTCTGTATTTGATGCATTTTCTACTTCAATTTGTTATGATGAAATTAAGTTCGACCAAATGTTACTAACTGGCAACTAGAGTTAGAATCATTTCCTGATTTCTCTTGAACCCTTTTTTTTTTTTTTTAATTGGAAAGATTTCTCTTGAATCTTGATTATCTTACATGGGTCGGTTCTTCTGTAGCACCTGAGTTAATTACAGTCAAAATATCGAAGCACTAGACGTCTGGGATCTTTTTCGTTGGTGATGGATCACTGGCAAGTTTTGTATGCAGAAAGGCCTAATATTCGAATACTATGTGCTGCAGGACTATGTTCCGGAGGATACCAACAGCATTTCCGGATTCGAACCACCTCAATCCCCAGATTCAAGCTACAATAACTTGCAACTTGGTCCAGAGGACTTTGCAAAGGAGCCCCCATTGGTTCCTCCTCATCTTAATATGACTTTGCTCAATGCCCCATCTTCCAACATGGAGATTCCACCCCCTCACTCGAGGCCTCAGCACGTTGTCCTAAACCATCTCTACATGCACAGAGATAAAAACCGCCCGGCAGTTGTCGCACTCGGTTCCACCCATCGCTTCCTTTCGAAATATGTAACAGTGGTGCTCTACAAGTCCATACAGAGGTAACAAGTTTACTTTTTCTATAGATGTAATCATCAAAGGTACTGTTGCTTGAGTCTCTTATGCACACTTGGGAGAAACCCGTCATAGAGAAGGAACGCTTTGCGGTGATTTTGGTGATACTTGGCATCATGATTGGGCTTGTCTTACTGATTTGCTGTCTGTTTTTACTGATCTTTCCATGCTCATTATCGATGCCCTTTTACTATTGACCTTTCTATTTCTAGTTAGTGTGCATCTCATACTTGCAGACATGATGTTCTTGACAGATGAAATATAGATCACATTAGAGAGCATTTGTTAGTGTTTTCATCCAAAAATTTGAGGAGGATAAGCAGAATTATAGGGTACTAAGTGGCATCCATTCACTTTTCAGACCCGCTGCAACGATTTTCTAACCTTTTTTTTCGTTTTCATCGCGCTTATCTTCATTCTTGGTGTTTGTCTTAACCATTAGAGGGTTTCAATTGATCCTTTCCGTAATGTTTCTGTGCCCTTAAGTTCACTAGAACACTTTAACCTGCCACAGACACTACACCTGCTAATGCATCCTATTTTAGTTTCCGGAAATATTTGTCTATCAGAAGAATTGGATGTGTGTGTGTATATATATACATATATATGTCTCTAATGAATGTATCTTTGAGCTTCTGGTTGGGGTCGAGTTGCAGTGCATTCGAAACTTGAACGCAACTCATTCTTCGTTCATATTTAGAGAAAATACCTTGAAATCGAATGTCGCAGTCCTTGCTGTGAACGGCATTCGTGGTCTGCTCTGTTCTGCGATGCTGTTTCTCGTCTCCTTCAGCCATTCGCATGTTTCTAGTCTCCTGCCGTACGAATGTCTTTCTTCTTCTGTTCTACTACTACTACGACGTCGTTTCTCATCACATTTCCTTCTGCCAAACAAGCAGACAGATGAATCAGTTGCGGAAGAGTAGAAGTGTGAATTTAAGCAGTTAACATATAACAGGTGAACTTTATCACAGTTACGGAAACTGATCGCCAGTCAATTGGAACATCCAAAGTCGCGATCGGTAGCTCTTGCTCCTCCGAAATCTTTCGCGAACCTCTCAGGTGAATTGTTGCTTCTTTGATATATATATATATATATATATAGTTGCATGATATGTTCTGTCTTTATTGTTGGTGTTTAGTTTCCCTTTGACCATTTGGCCAATTGCTGACTCAGCCTCTAACTGTAATATTGAAATAATCTTTTTGGTTGAGTTGGAAAAAAATTATTTTGAATTTGGTATTAAAATAATATTTGATGAGATATTCTGTGGAAGAGAAAATAATTCAAATAATAAAATTTGTGCATAATTATTTTTATCATTTTTATTTGTCAACTCAAAACTATTTATTTATTATAGCAAAACTAATACTTCATCCATCCCTTATACCAATTAAAGTTTTTATTTTAGCTTGGTGGTATTGAGAGTAAACTTATGAGTCTAAGGTTATAGATTCAAATTCTCTGTAATATTAATATTTTTTTTATCTATTAAATTTTAAGAACATAATAATATTATTTTTTAGTTTCTATCCAACTTTAATATATCATTTTCAAGCCAAAAATAAATTATTGGATAATGAAGAGTGTTGAAGCGGTTGAATTATTTAATGGAGTTAGATGGGACACTGGCCCATATTGAAGGCTGCTTTTTCAAGTTTTCTAAATTCGAAAAAAAAAAAAAACAAAAAAACAAAAAAATGGATGAAGGATGAAAATTTAACATTTCATAAAAAATTTAAAAAATAAAATATAATTTTGATTAACAGTACTCTTTCCATCTCATAATAAAATATTTATTTTTTCAATTTATCCCATAATAAAGTATTTATTTATTTTTTAATTGTATTATCTACTTAACGTTACAAATATCTTTACAATTTACAATATATTACACAAATATCATTACTTTTATATCACACCGTATTAATAAGATTATTTTAATTATTTTTATTTTATTTCTATTTTAGAAATAATATAATACTAATATTTTTAAAACTAAACGTCAAAATTAATTGAATACCTAATTATGAGACCGCGGTATATTAATTATTTCATAAGCATATATGTAAATACAGCCGAGTACATTGGTCTATTCGTCAACATTAATTTCACAAACAAAATCCCCTTAAGGTCGGTGCCGCTGTCAAATCGGAAACCGCCCTATGCGCCGGAGGTTCTCCGGCGGGACCCACACTACCCATGCACCATTAACTCAAATATTTGATATAAAAAGAAAAAAGAAAAAGAAAAAAAAAGTGAAAATTGTGATTTAGCTTGTAGTAATTGATGTGAAAATAAATAAGTGAATTAGCTGTAATTTTTGTAAATTACTATGTTGGCCTTTTATATTATACAAGTATTCTAAATTATTACAAAACTTAATTATATATATACACATCTATCCTAAGATATAAATCTATGGTTCTGTAATTCTGTTTACACATGATTTTGGAAGTTATTTTTGTTCTAAAATTTTTTAATTTGAATTTTTTTTTTTTTTTTTTTTTTTTTTTTTTTTTTTTTAATGTTGGAGTTTGAAAGATGTTTAGAAGATATTTGCAAATGTTTTGGATTGTAAAATATTATATACTCTAAATGATGTTATTTATATGTAAGTAAAATAATAATTATGTGATATCTCATAACAAATAAATTAAATTTAGCCTTATATATGTATTTCACTCTATTAATCTTGAACTTTGAAGACACATCAACTCTTGAGTTACCAATGGTTGTAATTTAGGTGATAAGTCTCAAATTAAGATGTCCTACTTTCTATAATAAGAATAAATTTAGAGACACGTGAAAAAGACTTTAGAACATGCCCAAACATACACTAAAATAGTATTTGCAATATATTAGTAGTGAAATCAATTCCAATATATTTATATACACTAAAATAGTATATGCAGCAATATATCGATTAACATCATATATACGAAATTAATAAGATAAATATTATCTAAGATACAATTTTGGACCTAGTGGGAATGAAATAATTTTTTTTTTACAAATAAAAAATAAAAAAATTTGTTCCTCGGATTCCAAATTGGAGTCCACTTATTCTCCTTAGGCCACACAAAATGGTGGCTGTTGAAAAAGTGACTTTGTTAGGTGCAAACAATAATACCCAATTGTCAATTTGCTCTTTTCTTCTTTCTTCACATAATTTTGCACTTGAAACCAAACCCCTTTTTATCTCTACTTTTACTTTGCTTGTGGGCTCAATTTCATTTTTATCTAATTTCATATAAATCAGATAAATGATGTGCCCCTATGTTATGTGGTTATAATTAATTTAATGGTGCCTTTTTGTGTGTATGTGCTTAATTTAATAATTAAGATAATTCAATAACATTTTAGTGTACTTTTAGAAAAAAATGGCCTACATGATTGAAGATCTCGAAATTTCTTCATTGTGTGGTGTCTGTGAATCAACAGGCATTTGGGTTTTTTATTTTTGCCTAAAACTGTTGCAATAATCACACACACACACATGCATATATATGTATATATATATTGATTAAAAATTAATTTTATAATTATTTAATTTGATCCTTTTTCATTTATTTGGTAGGAGGACCCAGGAGTCGTTATTCCCAAATGAATCTACAGCATTGGTTGCTTAATCTGGACACGTACTCCAGGGACCTCCCGCAACCACCGAAAAGAACGTAAGCCGTGTTTGGCTGCTACCCATGTGGCATGTGGGGCTCACCTTGTATAATGTCAGCTCAACAAACAAGGCCTTATTAATATTCTCCATATATATATATGTATGTTATGTGTGTGTTTTTTATTGTGAGTGTATAAAAAAGTATTTCTATGTGTAGCGGAAATGCACCTTGGTTGCTTGCTTGCGTATGAATGAATGAATGGATGGAGAGACTGTGTTGAGTCAGTAGGAGGAATATTGGAAGGTGAGTTGTGTCAATCAAGGCCAGCACATGCAGACAACTGAGTAATTGGTCCGCAATTCGCACTCCACCAATTGTGATTATCTCATCTCACTTCATTTTCCTGTTTTTGTAAGGCTACAAAGTTGATATCTATCACAATTCTTAGTTAACGCTCTGTGTGTGTGTGCGCGTGTTTTTGTTTTTCTCTCTCTAGAGGCGGCTTCGAGATAATTGACGGATTTGTGGTTGCTGCATTCTGTTTTGCCCATGGCGACTGAGAAGGTAATTGTAATGTGCATTTGGAGCTGATTTTGTGTGTTGGTTGAGCGGTTTGTGTACTCTGTTGGTAGTGGCGGTTGAGAAGGTGATGTGTGTTGGTTTGTTGTGGTTTGAATTGATCTCCATTGCTTGAGTTTGATTTTTGGGGAGATCTGTGTAGTTCTTCGTGTTTTCGAGGTTGCGAGGTGAAGAATTTTGATGTTTTGGATGGAGGTAGATTTAATTTTTCCATTGTGCGTTCCGTGAATCAGGTGACTCCTATGGTGCTCAAGGTTGATCTTCAGTGCTATTGCTGCTACAAGAAGATCAAAAAAACTCTCTGCAAGTTTCCCCGTGAGTGTCTCTAAACTGTGTTACCTGATACATTTTCTTATGCGTTCATCGCACCACTGTTCAGTGAATTTATAATTGTTTTCAATCAATATCACCGGACGTTCTGCTCCACATTTAATCTCAACATTCTCACACTTTCGATTCCGCTTGTTTCTTCATTTTTTTGGTTGTAATTGCTGAGCATTTTTGTGAAACATAACTGAGTTTTGATGAATTGTTCATGTGACGCTAAAAAATTCGGGACAAGAGAAATTAGAGACCAGGTGTTCGACGAAAAGAACAACACGGTGAGCATCATCGTCGTGTGTTGCAGTCCGGAGAAAATTCGCGACAAACTGTGCAGCAAGGCCGGCAAGGTCATCAAGGGCATTGACATCAAGGATTCCGCCAAACCGAAGGAGCCTGAGAAGAAAAAGGACGCTGACAAGCCAAAGGAGCCGCCGAAGGAGCCGTCGAAGCCTAAGGAACCAGAGAAACCTAAAGTAGTCGCCGAGAAGCCAAAGGAGACTGAAAAAAAGGTCACCATAATCGAAAATCCGGAAAAGCCGAAATCCAATGGTAAAGCCGATAAGCCGAAATCCGACGGAGCACCGCCGGCAGAAAAGCCAAAGGATGCGCCAAAAATGGATCCGGCGAAAATACTGGAACCGGCCGCGAAGCCGGCGCCGGTTCCGGTCGCCGCCGCAGCGAAGGGACCCGACCCGGTTCCGGTTAATGGAGTTCCGTCGGTTTTCCCGTACCTCGGACCGAGTTACGATGCCTACGGATCCGGCCCCTATTACCACGGGTACGGGTTCCCCCCTCCTCAACCGCAGCCGTCTTATGATGGGTATTACGGGTACGGGGCTAGCACAGGATACGGGCCTGCTCCCGGATATGGGTATGGGTATGGTCGGGTCGGGCAACCCATCAGATCCGATTGCTACTTCAGCGAAGAAAACCCTCAAGGCTGCTTCATAATGTGAAGGTCTGCCACATAAAAAGAAAACGAATTATATTTTAATAACAATAATAATAATAAATATTAAAGTGGAATTAAAAATAAAATTATTGATGATATAATAGATTAAAATAATGGAAATGATAGTGTCGGTGAGGGGTAGTGCCACATTGGGGTGTTTCAAAGCTTTTTATGAATATTAATTTCTTCTTGTATTATGTTGTACGAATAGAAAGGTGTTGCAATATAGTCACAACTTTTTTTTTTCCTTTTTTCTTTGTTACAATTCTTACTTTTAAGAAACTGCTCTTTGGCTTGCTCCATTGCTTTCATTTGAAAAAAGGTCATTTCTGATGAATTGACCATTGTAAAGAGTCACTTTTTTTTTTAAAAAAAAAAGAATAGCTATAATTTCTAATGTAATTCTAAATTTATTGAATTTGCTGGTGTTTACTCAATTAGTCTTCGTTTATCTGTGGAGATTACAAAATTGAACGAGGGGAATCAAGTTATAGAGTAATGGTTATGCAAAGAACGTTAATTGTTATTATTTTTTATAATCTAGGAAAACTTTGTTCTTCTATGTGCTACTAGAATATGAATCTTAAATTTAAAAGGGATGGGAACATGAATTAAAAATATTTAAATTTCTTTATAGTATCAAACCCATTGTTTTTTCGTAATAATTTTTACAACAAATTCAACACATATATTTTATGATTATGTGTAATTGAATTTTCCGTATCGAGGAGATTGCAGATGTGTTTGGCAAATTGCGCAATATGGAGGGATGTTGGTACATTAGCCAGATAATAATAATGGGACCACCTCATCTATGACTATGACTATGACTATGATATATGATACCCAATGAAATTACAATGTTGCACTTGCACATTAAATATTAGGGTGCCAACGGGTCAATATAGGGTGGGCATATGCATCTAATTATTAAAGACATTTTTATTATATTAGAAAATAAATAAACAAATAAATATATTTGCAATCCGGGCAATCGTATCACCATAAATGTATCAATGGAAGGAGATGGAAACGTCCAAGTTTAAAAAGTTGTTCTTTGGTAATTATTCGTATTTTCGACAAACAATTTAATTTACGACGATTAATAGTCACTATCCAAGATTGCTCATTGGCTACCAAATAGCCAATACGGCTATGTATAGACGGATATCGACTTTGTAACAACCGGAAATATGAACACCAAACAAATCATACATAACAAAGGGTATCTTGCATTGTCATCTCAAGTTCATATACATCAAACTTAAATATTCTACTAAGTCATGATCCATTTAAGTGTCATTTATATGAACATATTAGCATGGGTTCAATGCTGACAGTTAAAAATTAATTATATATTATTATATTATTACATAATTTTATTGTAATATAAAATACCCCTTTTAGCTTTGGGTTGAGATACATCAATTATAAAGCACTCTGGTTTAAGTAGCGTGGGTAACAGAGAATTGTAGCTTTGTCAACCCAATTATAGTGGGCCTAGTCCAATTCAATTTGGCCCATACCACAAGTCATCCACTATTATTATTATTATATTATTGATTAGTAGTAACATTTATTTTAAATAATGATTAACCAAAAAAATTTCGCCCACACGAAAGAGTGAGGTCATTTAGGTAAATTCAGTCTTAAACCCCCAATATCAGAGATAAGGGCCATCGCTCACTCTTCCTTGAACCTTTAGTAGCCAGCGGCGGAGCAGCCATGGCGCTCAACCTCTGCGCCACGCCGGCATCCTTGCGGTCAAACGAATATCGTATCTTCTGCAATTTTCTTACCCCTCCTTCGAATTCCTGCCACTTTGGAATTAATATTGACCTAAAATTCGCTCCAAGGTATTCCTCCGCAAAACCCTCGTTTCGTAACTCCTCCTCCCCCAAATTGTCGTTACAAGAATTATCTCTCAGTAGCGTCTCAGAAGAATCTAAATCTCCCCGGGAAAATACTACGGCTTCATCGAAGCGTTACATATGGGTGAATCCGAGGAGCCCCAGGGCGTCGATGCTACGGAAAAAATCGTACGACTCCAGGTACGCTTCGTTGGTGAAAATAGCGGAATCTTTAGATAATTGCAGAGCGGTAGTAGAGGATATTTCGATTGTATTGGATAGTCTTGGGAATAAAGTAGTAGAACAGGATGCAATGTCTGTTTTGAACAATATGTCGAATGCTGAAACTGGCCTTTTAGTGCTCGATTATTTCATGAAGAAGCTGAAGAAGGTGAAGGAAGTTCTACTGTATAATGTGACATTGAAAATATTTAGGAAGTGCAAGGATTTAGATGGAGCAGAGAAGTTATTCAATGATATGATTGAAAGAGGAGTTAATCCAGATAATGTTACATTCTCCACGATTATAAGCTGCGCTAGGTTAATGTCGTTGCCGGAGAAGGCAGTCGAATGGTTCGAGAAGATGCCGTCATTTGGATGTGAACCTGATCAGGTTACTTGCTCGGTGATGATAGATGTATACGGGAGGCTCGGGAATGTCGATGTTGCTTTGAGTTTGTATGATCGAGCAAGGAGTGAGAAATGGCGGCTAGACGCCGCAACTTTTTCCACATTGATTAGAATTTACGGTTCGTCGGGGAACTTTGATGGATGCTTGAATTTGTATGAGGAGATGAAGGCTTTACGGGTGAGACGTAATGCTACTCTGTATAACTCTCTGTTGGATGCGATGGGAAGAGCGAAAAGGCCATGGCAGGCGAAGAATGTATATAGGGATATGCTTAATTGCGGGATCGAGCCGACTTGGGGTACTTATGCTGCATTGCTTAGAGCGTATTGTCGGGCTCGATACGGGGAAGATGCAATGGCTGTGTATAGAACTATGAAGGAGAAGGGGTTGGAGTTGAATGTTCTCTTGTATAATTCGCTTTTGTCGACGTGTGCTGATGTGGGATACACTGACGAAGCTTTGGCGATTTTTTCGGAGATGAAGAGTTCGGGGAAGTGCTTGCCGGATGCTTGGACGTATGCGTCGTTAATCACGATTTTTTCTTGCGGCGGACAAGTGGAGGAGGCGGAGAGTGCGTTGACTGAAATGCTAGCTGCCGGTTATGAGCCTAACATTTTTGTTTTGACGTCGATCATGCAATGCTATGGGAAAGCCGGTCGGAATGACGATGTGGTGAAGACGTTCGATCGGGTGTTGGAGTTGGGAATAAGTCCTGATGACTGGTTATTGGGTTGTCTTCTCAGCGTGATGACGCAGGCGCCGGCGGAAGATCTCGAGAAGGTGATGGTGTGCGTCGAGAAGGGAAATCCTAAGCTTTGTTACGTCGTGAAGCTAATCGTTCAAGGGGAAAACTTCGAAGGTGAGTTCTTTAAGAAAGAGGCTTGTGAGCTGTTGGAGTCGATTGGCGCGGATGTGAAAAGGGCTTATTGCAATTGTTTGATCGATCTTTGCATTAATCAGAACCAGATGGAGAGGGCGTGTGTGTTGTTAGGCCTCGCCGTTGAACTCGGAATATATACCGACGTAATGTCAAGAACTCCGACGCAATGGTCGTTGCACGTGAAGAGCCTCTCTCTTGGAGCCGCCTTGACTGCACTGCATGTGTGGATAAACGATTTAACGAAAGCGGTTGAAGACGATGAGGAAATGCCGTCTTTACTCGGGATCAACACAGGACATGGGAAGCATAAATTCTCCGAGAAAGGGTTGGCGGGTGTGTTCGAGTCTCATCTGAAGGAATTGAATGCTCCGTTTCATGAGGCGCCCGACAAAGCTGGGTGGTTTTTGACGACCAAGGTGGCTGCACTGTCATGGCTGGAGTCGAGACGTACTCAGAATGATGTAGCTTCTGCATAATCGAACAAACGCTTGAAACTGCCGGCATTTTCATTCGGTCCTTCTGCTCGACTGGTATGGACACGCTTTTCTCAATTCTCTGCTATTTTGAGGAAATTTTGTCGGGATTTTGTCCGCATGTGGTGTGCTGTTTTAAATATAATCTAATGAATTTAAAGGACTCTTTGTTAACAGCAAATGACATATGAGTTTTTGCTTGCTACTACACTGCAATATGCATGTCTGAATATCGTCGGAGAGCCAGAAACAGGAAAGTAAGTCAAACATTATCTTTATTACATATGATCATCATGTGCACGGCTGTTAGTATGTCAATAGTTCATGTGCTGCAGCTATATATATATATATATAAAAAGAGGTTGACAAAGTGTAGTAGTAGTATTATTATAAGAAGCTGACCTTGGAGTTTCAACGTCTCTGCATATTGAAAACATTATCATTGAATGTGGAAGAGGTTGACTGTTTTAACATTATTTATCATAGAAACAGCTCATTAGTCAGCTCCTAATCTCCATTGTAACAATGTTGCCTGCACGTTTGCTGACTTTGCCTGGACTGGACAACAATGGACACACGCACACACACACACATATATATATATATGTATGTATGTATCAATGTCTATATGTAGGTGAAGGTGAAGCAATCCATTCCAAGTGAGTGCATTCGAAATGGGAAACTGCATTAGAGCTGCTGCATATTACAAAGACTGCCCGGCAGACACGGGCAGGATGGAAGGTAAGAAGCCATGGGAGGTGGCGGAGTCGGAAGAAATGAGTGGACTGATCGGTGGTCGGCGGCGGGGGAAGATGATCAAGATAGTGATGAGCAAGAAGCAGCTGAGGAGGGTGCTGATGAGAAGCCAAATGAGTGTCCAGAAATGGAGACCCTCTTTGGTTACAATCCCCGAATTTTAGAGCCGTTGCCCGAAGATACGCTCTGGGTAAACCTCCGGTCGAGCCTAATAGCCTACAAACTAGACCCGACGAGATAAGTTACACTAGATGAACCATATATGACAGTCAAGATTTGGAGGCGCAAAGAGTTTGAGTCCTATATTTTACTTTAGTTAAGGTTAGTTTAGATCACATTAAATTCCACAAGGAGGAGGACTTTAGGTATATCTTTTTGGATGCGATTGTATTAGTAAAAGCATCTGATTGATGAAATTGTATATGGCAGAAGTTCTCCAGAAATTACTGTCTATGAATGTGAACAAGATGAATTACATTATAAGTACACTTAAGTATTGAGTCTTTGTATCAGTGATTGATTCCTTATGATGTTTTGTAAAAAGGATTTCATAATTTTTTTATAGAAATTCTAAGGTAAAAATAATCATTGTGACTTATCAAAGTGTTACAAACTTTGAATAACTTATCCACTACTTACATAGAATCTCTATAATTTTAATTTTAATTTTTTGAAAAAGTTTAATGTAGGAATAATCAAAATCTATGAATTAAGGTAAATAATTTTTGTAAAATTTCTTAAATGGTAAATTGGCTGCAGGAAAAGAATAAAATCAGGAAGTACAAGATCAATTAAAAGCAAATCTTGATACCGATCAAAAAATAAAAAATAAAATTAAGCAATATTTCTGAAGCTGATTTTATTATTATTTTTTTTTTCTGAAAAAAAAAAACTTTAAAATGAAAAAAAAAATTGAATAGAAATATTTCATATAAATAGATTTCACAAAAAGTACTACTAATACTTTATATAAAAAAAAATTCATTCATATTTTATTATTACCGTTGGGTATTCAACGACCGGAGTAAATTCAAAATATTATAAGCTGCCATTATTAACGTTCCATCATTTAATAGCAATTTATTAACTTTACATATCTTGTCTTTTACCCGTCAAAAACAAAAATCGATTTTCATTAGGCATTCAATAAAATTTGATTAATTACCATATATATCAAATTAATCATATTTAATAGTAATAGCAAGTCAAGTAGTATATATATAAATCAAAACCATTGCCTTCGATCCTCATCACGCATTGCCGCGGAAAAAAAAGCAATTTGAATTCAGATAAACCCTAACCTTCAAATCGGCGATCAATTCCCCCAAATTGCAACAACTGTCGAGATTCAGATTGCGCCAAATTTTGTTTTTCTAATCGTGAAATGGCTTCTTCAATCAGGCCTGAGACTCGATACGCCGCCGCCGAGGAAGCGGACGCCTCATCATCCTCCGAATTCACGGCGGCGGGAGACCTTAGCACGAAGAACGGGTACGGGAAAATCAACCTCGGATTCACGGTGAAGAAGTTCGTGGACAGCAGAATGGCGAGCAGGAACCCTAAATTGGCGGATATTTTTGGGGAGGATTTGAAGAAGGCGGTGAGAAAGGGGGCTGAATTTGGCGGTGGTCTGCAAAAGAAATTTGCCAATTCGAAAAAAGAGGAGCAGAGTACGAAGAAGGCGTTAACGGAGGTGAAATCGAATACCAGAACATTGGGGATGGTGCTGAGGAGTGAGAGGGAGCTTCTGAGTAAGAACAAGGAGCAAGAGGAGTTGATTTTTCAACTGAAATTGCTGCTGGAGCAGAAGATCACTGAGGTACCTCTGAATTTAGCATGTTGAAATTTTACTGGTTTGTCAGAGTTATGTAATATGAAGCAATTTATTAGGTTGAGAAACTGAAGGATTTGTGCTTGAAGCAAAGGGAAGAGATTAAGTCTTTAAAGAGTGCATCGAATTCACACGATCTAGAAATAATGGTGGTGAAGCAAGGTTGTGAATTGAAACAGGCTAAAGAACTCATTCCCAGTCTCCAAAAACAGGTCACTTCACTCACTGGACAATTGCGCTGCCTCGCCGATGATCTTGCCGAGGTAATCGGAGCTTTTGCTTTTGCTTTTTCTTAATCCATGTCTGAAAAGATAAGATTTTTTAAGGCAAGAAATGTTTTTTGCGTGGACAGGTGAAGGCAAGAAAATGCTATGGGAGAGGGATATCCATGGATCAAGATTGGGGGACTGATTCGACCACCTCGGCCTCTTGTTATCGGGTTGATGATGGAGCTGATTCTCTGGTAAGAACATTCTTTAACTGTTGTTGTCTTCTTGTATACCCGTGGCCAGTTGGATATGTGCCGTAACTCGAATTGGATCAGGAATTCTGCTCTGGAGGAGATTATTACACTACTCCAGAGGATGAAATGCTTGTCAAGGATTTGAATCCCTGTCTCACTCCTTACACCACAAAGTCTTCTTCTTCCCTGGTTGGTACATATAACTCTTCGAAAATCACATGGGAATTTTCTTGCATTCTAACAAACTGATTCTTGCAGCAGTTTGATGACTGCGATTCCCCCTGGGGAGGGTAGATCGAATCGAAGTAACATAGCCTGTATACACAGTCGATAAGAGTTTTCTTGGATCATCTTCCTGTCTACACAAAACAACTCATGGGAATTTTATAGCATTATGCTTGCAAAGTGGCTGCTGAGAAGTTTTTACAAGAACATAGTTTAAATATGATAAATGTAGCTTTCATTTGTATTGAGATGAATTTTAGATTTCATACACTCGATAGTTTAGTAGGAAAAGTGATAAACAAGGCCTTACAAGCATGTCATATGCTTGTCGAAAGATGGCAATACACAGTAAAGCTTGGTAAACAATAGATCTGTTCTAAATAATCATGTGAAGCACCAAACATTAGCCTATACAGTAACATTTCCTACCAAAACTGGTTCGCTATAGAATATACCACCTGCCTACCAATAAGAGATACGGAGAATTTTGATATCCACAGTGTCGGGATCAAACTATACCACACCTAATGCAGAGGCGAACTTATGGAATATAAGAGTATAGTTAAAACTCTCACCGAAGCATTTCTCACCAATTCTGAAACTCGGAGGTCAAGCTTTTGACAATAGGGTGGTATTCGGTGTGCAGATGTCTCTTTGCCGTCTCAGAACCAGGTTCCCCAAGCCATTCATCATATAGCCTTTTGATACGAGGATTTTTGAAAGGATCAGCAACCAAAACCTACAAAAATAGTAGCCTTGAGTAACTGCAGGAATTAGGAGATTAGGAAATCGACAACACAAATACTATGATATGAAAGGTGGAAAGACCATACATAGTATCAACTACGAGTTTATAAAGGCATTAGAATTACTTTTCCATTTAGTTCATTATTATTCGTTGAAAAACCATTCAAGGCACAATTAGGGAACAGGAATTGTTGAGAAAGCATATTCTTTCAAGAAAAATCTAGTTGAAGTGGGCTTACATTCTCTGCGTAAGTTGTTTCTAACAACTGGATCAAATCTTTTGCTGATTGCCCTGGCTTAGGCTTGATCTGACCCCCACCATTTAGGCACCCTGTTAAAGATGGCAAACATACCAAAGTCAAAATGAATCTTGTAAAGCAACAAGCATATAACAAAGGAATTTGCATGAGAACTACAATAGGGTTATGTGCTACCTGAAGGGCAAGCCATGATCTCAACGAAATGGTACTCGCACTTCTTACTTTTAATTTTCATAACAATGTTGCGGAGGTTCCTGAATCCATAACATAGAGCAAATCTCAACACAATTTGGCCATCTACCTGAATAGCATGATGCAGAAATTATTAATTAGAACCTCCCAAGAAAAATACAAATATGAAGCTAATTATGCAATGTTAGCACTGTGCCAAGATAGCAGTAAAGCACTTAAAAGTCCCAATGTCAATTGTCTAGCAAGACAAGCCAGACTTACTTCAAGAGTCACTTCACGAAGATCCGCGTTTTTTATAGTCTTATACTCAAGAGGACCTTCAATTTCCTTTCCAAAAAGTACTTTTGCTGCATATCGGAATATAGTGTCGGCATATCCACCGGAACTTCCACGAACACCGAATAGATGGCCTTCTTCGTCAACATTTGACAATCTATGAGAAGTATGAAAACAATACATTAGTCCTGAGCAAGTATATTCAATACAACGATGACTTTGCAATTTTAAAGGTTCTTACAGTTTGTCCACCGGAGATTCTTCTAAACCAGCAAAATCAACGGACTTTAACTGCAACATATTCTCAAGATATTACAAAGTCGGAAGGGAGTTACAAACAGAATAAACATTTGGATTTTATCAATTTATAAATTACCTGAATTAAATCTAGAACTTCTCCAGTGGTTAATACTGAGTCTACCTCTGTGACTCTTTCACCATCTGTATCTGTTTGAAAGACAAAGTCATCTCGTGCAGCTTCAAGCTTCTTGTCATAACATGGCATTACAGTAACATGATATATGTCTGCTGGCCTGAAGAAAAATTTAACATCAAAATCTTAACAAATCCTCCCTTAATCCACAGGCCATTGATGTACTTACTGACTAATTCAAAAAGCACTATAACTGACTAGCATCTGTTCCTAATAGTTTCTTAGGCACTAGACGGTTCAAATTTCCTAACAACTTGATGCAGCATATGCCACTAATTATATCCACCTAAGGGTGTCTTCTGGTAGTTCTCATCATAGGGGTATTAACTCAAAATCAATGAAAAAAACAATTACCGCAAATGTAGTTTCTGGCAAAGATGTTTCTTAATAGCAGTTCCAATTGCTTGTTGAGGACTTTTCACAGATGAAATATATGGGAGAATATAAGAACCAAGAGTTTTTTCTGCATAACAAATCCAACCTGCAGCAATGTATACAGGAGAGGAGTCAGATGTAAGCATGAAAAATATCATCTATATAAAAACATGCAGTAGATGAAACTATGAAGAATAGGAGAGATTTTATCTAAACAAAACTCTGTGCCTACCAAATATATTCTATTGGTTACTACAAATTTAAATAAGTTGCATACCTGGACATGAAGATGAAATCACAGGAATGGATGATTTTGATTTCTCATCATCATTTAACTTGCTCTGTTTATAGCGTGCAATGAATTCATTACAAGATTCAATGAGTGTTAAATCTCGACTGCAGCTGGTATCAAAGACTGATATCACACCTAGTGATTTTAATAATGCTGTGAGTTTTGCGAAGACCTGAAACACCCAGTAAAGATGTTGTAACATCAAAAACACACGGCCAAAGTCAAAGAATGCACAATATATCCACTTAACATGGTACAATATAAAACTGAAGTTGTATTACAATACATATTTGGTTCATTTGTAATGGTGTTGTCTACCTGATGATTGGAAAGACCAAAATGAGCAGCAAGAGAAGCTCTAGATTGGGGAGAGAGGGAGACAATAACAGCTTTTCCTTCATTGATATTTGAAAGAAACTCATCTAAACTCTGCTTCTCGAGCATAACTGTTTCTGCAGATGTTATGCACCCACTGCATGAGTAATTGTAAATGTAAGAGTTTGTATTTTCCATTCTATATTACAGGATACTTAATTTATTTCCTCCCTCCTCTCTCCGGCACACAAAGATCCAAACAAAAGACTAGTTATCCATAATTACTATTACTAACGAACAAATAATCTATTTCTTATTTAACCACACACAATAAAAGATGATTATGTAAAGTTTCAAATTAGTGATCGAAAAACAAATCAGGTTCCATGGTCTCTCACTCAAACCCACACACACACACACAGAGAAGTTCATACATGCGTCTATAGACATACAAACCTATCACATTGAATAATACTAATTTACCTGCAAGCTAAGCAATCTTTCAGCGAGATCTTCACAGGCTCATTCGGCACTGTTTTACTAGTGGTCTTCACTTTCCCTACATTTCCTGCATTCTGTACACATCCAGCCAAACTATTACTACTTACATAACGATAATAAAACATCAAAACAACAAATGAAAACCGTAGAACCAAACAAAACACCAGTTAAACGATAAATAATGAATTTCTAGGGAAGTAAAATTTTCCAATCACTGTCCCCAAACTTGTTCATTTCGTTAATTAACATCTGAATATCCCACCACAAAGTAAACATTGCGGAACCATAGCATATGGCAAGAAACGAATAAGAAGCGCTACAAATTACAGTCGAATTTCAAGTCAAAATCAACAGAAATCGGAAAGCACAATCGCGAAATTCTACAAATTCCTAGAACTCAGTCCTTACCTCCGTTTTGATCACGCAACCCTGTGAAGGTGCTATGTAATCATTCAAGTCACCAATTCTTAGCGTCGCCGAGAATTTCTCCATCGTTCTTTCCCTTCAGCGTATATACGCGTATGCTTCAATACGTGGAAATACAGATACAGAATCTCCCGACGAATAGTTTCCCGCACTTGGAGCTGAAATTACGATCCAAGGTGCAAAATTTGAAGTTTCTGGATTTGGAAAATTACACAGAAAAATTAAAAAGTGCTGAGGCAATTATAGGCTTTGAAATTAGGAACATCAGATGAGGCGGCGAAGGCGAGACAGGAAATGATTCACTACGTCGGCGTGTGTATAAAACGACAGCGTATCGCACTTGGACCGGACCGGACGGGTTAATGGCCCGGTTTTTCATTCAACAAAAAGTCAAAAGAAACCGCTTAATAAGATAAACCCTACCTGCTTGATGAATCCAACCACCGGTTCTCCACCAGTTGAGGATTCCGATCATGGTCCGCCGGAATCATTACCAGAGCTGCTTCCGACGATACGATATCGAAAGGCGAATCGATTGTTTAATTATGATTTCATTATATAATTGAGTGGACTCCCGAATCACACGGAAAAAGGTAAAGTTGAATGGCACATGTACCTGACTACCGGCTGCAGCAGATCTGCGGCAGGAGCAGAAGACGATGACGTCGACTCAGAGAATAAGACTGCGGCTGAGAATTGGGCTGATTCGAAGCCCATTTATTTTAGAATTGGGCTTAAACTCGGCCTATGCTTTTTTATTTGGGCTTTTAGTCGGCCTTTACTTTTTTTACTTTTTCTTGTTGGAATAAGAGCCGGGCTTTTTTTTTTTTTTTTTTTTATTTTTGTGTTTATGCTTTAATTAAAATTATGTACTTTATATAATTTTAATACTTAATGGTAATAGGAAGGGGAAATAAGAATAGTAAGTTTTCACAGACCAAATAAAAAAAAAAGAGAGAAAATAAATTAAATAACAACTAAGTTAAATTTGAGCTACTATTTTATTGATGAGGAAACACATATATAGTCCATAGTTAATTATTATATATTTATACTTCCTTTCTCTAGATACATTAATTTTATTACTCACTAATAATAATTATACGACACAAACAAAACACAACCCTTTTTATTAGTACAATACATAACATATATATATATATATATATATATATAATTAAGTGAGAGATCCGGCGACGACCAGCTGGAATTCACTTGCCATTATTCCCCCAAATTTTCTTCTTACAGTCACCATACAAACGGAAGAGGCTGAAGGCCGAGACGCCGGACAACGTCACCGCGGCGAGGCTGAGCAGAACGGCGCCGGCGATGCCTTCCCCAACCTGATTGCAGAACTTGGCGTACATACCGCATATTTTCATCCACTGCATATCAGCCTCCCCCACCTTCGCAAACACCGCCGACTGCGCCGCCGCCGCCACCGCCGCCACCGTCAAGTATGCCACCGCCTGGATGATGATCAATTAACCACAAATATATATATATATATAATGATTAAAAGCTTAGATCGATATACTGTATTTAATTATGAATTGAAATTGAAAGGACCTGGTCGGCGGAGAAAATGGCCCAGGCGAGAGGTTTGCTGAAGAGGACAGTTCCCTTCACCATGCTCATAACACATCTCACTACTTGAACCGCTGAATACGCACCAGCCACGCCATTGCTCACCACCAACAAACTGCATATATATATATATATTAATTAATAATCAATCAATTCATTCATGATCATCATAATGATAGTGGAATTGGAATAATTAATGAATTACTTACATGAGGGCTTTCATGTCGGTGAATTTTGCGCGTTTCTGAACGGAGAAGATCTCCTTGACCTGAGTGTCGGATCCGATGAGGGCGGCGGAGGCGACGGCCAAGGCGATGACGGCGCACCTGAGCAGCAGCTCCGCCAGCCTGACTCTCCGGTCGACGAGGCTGCCACTGCCATGGTAGACGGGGACGTTGCCAGGACTCATTCCCACCCCCAAGTAGCTCATGCTTTCCAAATTACCTACCTAACTTTCTTTTTTATTACTAAAATTAATTTTAATTTTATTTTATTTGTCGTAGAGAAAGCAAGGTTGCTCCCTGCCTGGTTTGGTTTGGCCACTTATATATATATATCTAGAGAGAGAGAGAAAGAAAGAGGGGGAGAGAGAGATCAAGAAAGCAAGCTGGTCCCATTGATATTGATATCCTAGGACTTTACAACGAAGTCCGAAGATCATCAATCAAATTAAATACGTCTGCATATATATATATATATATATGTCATATTTTTATCTTCACTGATCACTACTACTGTTGTTATATATATGTGTATATATATATTTGTTAATTACTGTTGGTGGTCTAAAAGAATTAAGTTAGATGAAAGGGGATGTAAGCTATATATATTGGATTAGGGTTTCTGAGTTGTCTGTCATATGTAATTGAAGAGAATTAAACAAGAAAGTAAATGTGTTGGATTTGGGATCAAATATGTGTATCGAATATGTTGTTAAAGTCATTATTTTATTCAGTCTTATTATTTAAGTGATCTAATTAATATAATTAATTATTGACTGATAGGTTTGATTGTTATGGAATGAAAGTGCAGCTACCCGTATAATATTATTATTTTGGTGACGTGACAAATTAATAATATTAATTAAGGGCATAATTGTAATTGCAATTATGTTTGCCCTATTATAAATAGGCTAGGGTTAGGTCCCCATGATCAGCACGCCGTAAAAGAGATCTAATTCTCCCTGCAGTTTCTGCTCCTCACCCGTCAAGGACAGAAAAGAAGCCGGCTCTCTGATCTTGGAAGACCAAACCTTTAATCACCCAAGATTTGTATATGGCTTCATCAGGTACGCTTCCGCTTTAAAGGATCGGGCATTTAAATTCAACAATTGGTATCAGAGCCAAGTTGAACTATTTGGATGTTTTCTTGAATTAATCCATGTTTAATCGGATCGCATTTGATCCCCAAAATAATTCAACTCCGATTTTGGGAAAACTTGAATTTCTTTTTCGAAACTATCAGAATAAATTCATTCCTGAAATAATTCGTTGCTTTCGATGACGCCGTCCGACAATAATTGATTCGAATGATTTTGTGTGAAATCTTCAAGCATATCTGGGCATCTATTTGATTATTTGTTCACCTATTTCCTCTATTTGCACAAATATGCAAATTAAGATACACACCCAGTGACATTATTGTGTCTTGATCTTGGAATCCGTGTACATAATTGAATGCCTTGGAATCCGTGTACATATTAGTAATCTTCGTTAGAAATCTGTACATATATACATAATTGGTTGATTTGATTTCCGTGCCAATATATTTTATTTTATTTTTATTTAATTTATTTGTATCTATTATTATTGGCAAATATATTCTAATATATAGATAAAGATTCATGATACAAAATTTAAGTATAGCATGGAAATTTATATATTCATTCATTTATTATATTGATTAATTTATGTATTAAATACACGCATATTCATGTTTGTGTGTTTGTTAATTTATCATGAATATTTTGAAATATATTGTTTATGAAATTGATGTATGCATCTTCAGAAATTAATTTTTGCCTATATTGCAAATATTTCAACCATCAGAATTGGAAACTCATTAATAATGTTTGCTGCGTTTTGACGGTGAAAATCTAGTATTTGAAGTTGCCAAAGTAACCTCTCTTATATGAAATTTTTTCTTGATAACGTAAGTGTTTATATGTTTATTTTAATTCATGTGATTATTCTTCGGCCCAAAGGCAGTCGATAATTGACAGAATGAAATATACATCTGCGATAATATGTATGGGACAATTATATAGATTTAACTTATGTGAATAGTAAATCAGTCCAAAGATTGGTTACTGTTTGACATTACCTTATTGTCCGTATATGATTATTGCAACAAGATGACTGCTTGCAGTTAATGGCATTGATCCAAAGATTAAACATTAATGTTGCGTTTAGTGTCTTGAGATGGGATTGCATTATTTTATTTTGAGTTTCATTATGCTACTTGAGTACTTATGTGTATATTAATTCCTTGTTATCTTCAGGATCGAATCTTTTGGTATCTTCTAACTATTCAGTCCCAATACTGTCTGGGGACAACTATCAGCACTGGAAAGAATCAATATTGATTCATTTGGGCTGTATGGATCTAGACTTGGCATTAAGGATAGACCAACCCCCTTCTCCTACGGAAGAAAGCACTGCAGATGAAAAGCAGTTGTTTGAGAAGTGGGATAGGTCTAATCGCCTTAGTCTAATGATCATAAAGAAAAGCATTCCAGAAATCTTTAGGGGCACGATATCTGATGATATCATTACTGCCAATGATTTCCTTGTCGAAATTGAGAAACGCTTTACCAAAAGCGATAAGGCGGAAATGAGTACTCTTCTCAAGAGTCTCATTACCATGAAGTATAACGGCAAAGGAAATATAAGGGAATACATCCTGAACATGTCTAATACTGCTTCTAAGTTGAGAGCACTTAAGTTAGACCTTTCAGAGGACATGTTAGTCCTATTGGTTTTGCTCTCACTTCCTACTCAATACGATCAGTTTAAAGTCAGTTACAACTGTCAAAAGGAGAAGTGGACTCTTAATGAGCTCATCTCTCACTGTGTTGAGGAAGAAGAAAGAATGAAGCGTAATAAGACTGAAGAGGTACATATGGTGGATACCTCAAGGGATGCAGGCGGCAAGAAGAGAAAATATAAGGCCGTTAAGGTTGAGACTGCTAAGGCTCATGTTCCAGCTCCAGCTCCTCGGGCTCGTCCTGAAAAGACTTGCTTCTTTTGCAAGAAACCTGGACATGAGAAGAAGAATTGTACTAAGTTTCACGATTGGCGCGTGAAGAAGGGTACGTTTCTTACTTTGGTTTGTTCTGAGGTTAATTTAGCTTCAGTACCTCGAAATACTTGGTGGTTAGACTCTGGATCAACTACTAACATCAGTGTTTCAATGCAGGGTTGCCTGAGCTACCGAAACCCAACTGATGCTGAAAGACGCATTTACTTTGGAAATGGGGACTCAGTAGAGGTGGAAGCCGTGGGCATTTTCAAGCTGTTATTGAGTACTGGACATTTTCTTGAATTGCAAGACACTTTTATTATACCGTCATTTAGACGGAATTTGGTTTCTGTTTCTTATTTGGACAAATTCGGTTATCATTGTTCTTTTGGAAACAATAAAGTTGAGTTGTCTTTTAATTCATGTTTGGTTGGTTTTGGTACTTTTATGGTGAATGACAGTTTATATATGCTCGATATTTTGGTTTCCTATAATGAGGCACTTAATATGGAATCAAAAGGTACTAAGCGAAAATTTCATGACTCTAGTTTATTGTGGCACAAACGTTTAGGTCATATTTCAAGAAACAGAGTTGAAAGACTCATTAAGGATGGAATCCTTAATTCCATAAATTTTTCAGACTTTGACGTTTGTGTCGATTGCATTAAAGGTAAACAAACCAAGGTTAAAAGGATAGGTGCTTATCGAGCTACGGATGTCTTAGAATTGATACATACAGACATTTGTGGGCCTTTTCCCACTCCTTCGTGGAACGGTCAACAATATTTTGTGTCATTCATAGACGATTATTCTCGATATGGTCATCTGTACCTTATTAAGGAAAAATCTGAGGCACTGGACATGTTCAAAGCATTTAAGGCTGAAGTTGAAAATCAACTAAGCAAACGCATTAAGACTGTCAGATCTGACCGTGGAGGAGAATATTACGGCAGAAATGATGGCTCGGGTGAACAACGTCCAGGTCCTTTTGCTGACTTCCTTAAGGAGTGTGGAATCGTCCCTCAATACACCATGCCCGGTTCACCTAGCATGAACGGTGTTGCTGAGAGACGAAACCGCACATTGAAGGATATGGTTCGAAGTATGATTAGTCAATCTACTTTGCCACCATCATTATGGGGAGAAGCATTAAAGACAGCAGTCTACATCCTTAATCGAGTGCCAACTAAGGCGACTGCCAAAACACCCTATGAACTCTGGATTGGGCGCAAGCCTAGCTTAAATCATCTTAGGGTGTGGGGTTGTCCAGCTGAGGCGAAGGCCTATAGACCAAATGAACCAAAGCTAGCACCTCGTACAGTAAGCAGTTATTTTATTGGCTACTCGGAACGGTCAAGGGGGTATAAATTTTATGATCCCACATTAAGAACTATTTTTGAGACGGCTACTGCCAAGTTCTTTGAGGATGTTGAGTTTAGGGGGAGAAATACAGTTTTAGACTTTACCTTTGAGGATCAAGAAATCACTGATGTGATTGATAAAACACCTCATGAGTTAACAGTCATTCCAGCTCCCATAGAGTTTCAAAGTGCGACTGAGGAACCCGTTCGCATAGAACAGGAACCTATACCTATGGAACAAACTCAACAAACTCAAGAACATACAGTTCAAGAGCCAACGCAATTGCGTAGATCCACTAGAGAACGGAGAAATGCCATTCCGGATGATTATGTGACATTTCTTCAAGAAAGTGAGGATAATGATGGCATGACTGAGGATGATCCAATTAATATTTATCATGCCATGAAGGGTCCTTATTCAGATAAATGGATTGATGCGATGCGTGATGAGTACAAGTCAATGCAAGACAATAAAGTTTGGGAACTTGTCCCATTGCCAGAAGGTGCAAAACCCGTAGGTTGCAAATGGATTTTTAAAACCAAACGGGATGCAAATGGTAATGTGGAGAGGTATAAGGCACGTCTTGTAGCTAAAGGCTATACTCAGAAAAAGGGGATTGATTATAAAGAGACTTTCTCTCCGGTTTCTTCGAAGGACTCTTTTAGGACAATCATGGCTCTTGTGGCATACTTTGATTTAGAGCTCCATCAAATGGATGTTAAGACGGCGTTTCTGAATGGTGACATTAATGAAACGATCTATATGGTACAACCAGAAACTTTTGAGGTCGGTGACCCAAAGCAAATGGTTTGTAAATTAAGAAAATCCATCTATGGGCTCAAACAAGCGTCTCGACAGTGGTATCACAAGTTTCATCAAGTAATTCTCTCATATGGTTTTGAGATGAATGTGGTTGATGATTGTGTTTATCATAAGTTCAGTGGGAGCAAGTTTATTTTCTTGGTTTTGTATGTGGATGACATTTTGCTTGCCACAAATAATGTGAGCATGTTGCACGAAACTAAGAAATTTCTCTCGAGTAACTTTGAAATGAAAGATCTTGGTGAAGCATCTTTTGTATTAGGGATCCAAATATATCGTGATAGATCTCGGTGTATTCTCGGATTATCTCAAAAGAGCTATATTGATAAAATACTCGAGCGATTCAGCATGCAGAAATGCAAGCCGGGAGATACCCCTATAGCTAAAGGAGAGAAATTAAGTCTCAGCCAATGCCCTAAAGCAAATCTGGAAATTGAGGAGATGGAAAAAATCCCCTATGCCTCGGCAGTTGGGAGCCTCATGTATGCACAAGTATGTACGCGTCCAGATATTGCGTACATAGTCGGTGTGTTAGGCAGATACCTTAGTAATCCTGGATTGGATCACTGGAAGGCAGCCAAGAGGGTGATGAGATACCTGAAGAGAACCAGTAATCACATGCTCACATATAGGAGGTCAGACCAATTGGAGATCGTTGGATACTCTGACTCCGACTTTGCAGGATGCCAAGATAGTAGGAAATCTACATCTGGCTATGTTTATATGTTGGCTGGTGGGGCCATCGCTTGGCGCAGTGCCAAACAGACACTCGTTACCAGTTCCACGATGGAAGCTGAGTTCGTGGCGTGTTTTGAGGCATCACAACAAGCGATTTGGCTAAAGAACTTTGTCGCTGGGCTGCGAATCATTCCGATGGTTGAAAAACCCATCAAGATTTTCTGTGACAACAATTCAGCCGTTGAATACTCCAACAACAATAGGAGTTCATCCAGGTCAAAACATATTGACATTAAGTTCCTAGTTGTGAAGGAGAGAGTGAAAGATCATCATATCTCGATCGAGCACTTAGGGACGAAATCTATGTTAGCAGACCCCCTAACTAAAGGTGTAACGCCTAAGGTCTTCCATGAGCATACTGCTCATATGGGTGTGTTACAATTTAAGGAAGCTTCACTGTAGTGGGAGTATGCATTTACATTCTTTTGTCCTTCACTTGATATTTGTTTTATACTCTTTTGATCATTATTTCGGTTATGATGTTTTGGACATTATGATTAAGTAATTTACGATCTCATTCAGTTTGGACCAGTAGAAAATTGACATATTTAGATCACACTTATGTAATTTTCTCTCTGCACGTTCCATGATTGATCTATGTCATTTGATTACACTGATATTTGTGATTACTGTGAGTTTAGCTGTTGATACGGCGAATGCTTCTTTAGTCCTATATTGCTGTGATTGATGGATCAGATTGTTGCAAGCCTTGTTTTATAATGACTGAAAATTGAGCTCATAAGGAACAATATGTTCATTCAGACACATACTAGATCCAGTGGGAGATTGTTGGATTTGGGATCAAATATGTGTATCGAATATGTTGTTAAAGTCATTATTTTATTCAGTCTTATTATTTAAGTGATCTAATTAATATAATTAATTATTGACTGATAGGTTTGATTGTTATGGAATGAAAGTGCAGCTACCCGTATAATATTATTATTTTGGTGACGTGACAAATTAATAATATTAATTAAGGGCATAATTGTAATTGCAATTATGTTTGCCCTATTATAAATAGGCTAGGGTTAGGTCCCCATGATCAGCACGCCGTAAAAGAGATCTAATTCTCCCTGCAGTTTCTGCTCCTCACCCGTCAAGGACAGAAAAGAAGCCGGCTCTCTGATCTTGGAAGACCAAACCTTTAATCACCCAAGATTTGTATATGGCTTCATCAGGTACGCTTCCGCTTTAAAGGATCGGGCATTTAAATTCAACAAAATGTGCTTTGGTTTGCAGGGGCATTGAATGAATTAATGATATATATGCAGCAGCAGCAGCAGCCTAGTCTAATAATCTTAATTAATTACTAATTTGCAATGAATAAGACATGTATATGTATGTCTGTCTGTCTGTCTGACCCTGTCGTGAGACCAGCATTCAATTCAATTCAATTCAATTGGGTTCATTTAAGAACAAATAAAGGCCTGCTAATATTTAGGGCTTTAATATTTCTAGAAAAGGGCAAAACTTTTGTTGTTCCAAGAAAGAAATAATTCAGAGAAATCAAGAAGAAAGTGAGAGATGAGAAGGGTGGGTTTCCATTATATTTCACGAACCCATCTCATATAAAAATTCATCGATCATATCATATATACATATCCATCAAATTATGAAGACCCATTCCTCTTTTTATTGATCTTCCAGATATTATCACCATGCATCCTCTCCTCGTTGCTTAATATACATATATATATATATAATTAAAATGATGATGAGCAGCAAAACATATTCACAATAATATGTATATATAAAAGATCATATGATGGCGATGATGAGATAATGATGATTCAGGAAGTCCCATTAATTGTATTGCAGCAGCGGCACGTTCACCGAAACTAAATTTAAAATATATATATGACACAATTGCTTACTTAATTAATTATTATATGTGACGATATATATATATATATATTTAGTTGAGCAGAAGCAAATACCAATATACAAAGGAGTAATTAATTCATAATTATTTGGGAACAAACTTTTGATTTCATTTACTAATAATTCTGATTGGGAGTGAGGGGTTAACTTAATCAAGACTTGACTACTTAATTATATTAGCCATGCATGCATCTATATATATATATACCTTGCATTATTATCATCGCTACGATTTTATTGAAAGATATGAATTATATTATTGACTTTGATTTGCATTCACAATACATATGATAACATACAAAATATATAAGCTTGACCCCAAGAAAAGTTCTTTTGGTGATTATTGAATTTTGATTTTAATATTTTATTTCAGTGGTAAATAAAAAAATTATAAAAATTAAATAGTGAAAATTTTGGGAATAAAATTTACTAACCAACATATTTTGTAAGTCACTTTGGCAATGTGTTTTTCGTTCACTTCATTCAACACCTTTCTTGTACAATCAAATATTTTAAATCATTCCGATCAAAATATATATATATATATATTTTAAATCATAATTCAAATTGATATTCTATATAGTTTAATACATTTATATAAGCTTCAACACATTTTTTACTCAATGTTCAACAACATAATTTCAGTGTGTTAGATTTGGATATTTATTTAAGTGATAAGACAAGTTAAAAACAATATATTATATACTTATAGATATTTCAGTGTGAAGCTTGCATAATAAAGAAATTAAAAAAATAAAATAAAAATCAAAGATAACATATATAGTCGTCTTGGTGTTATCACTTCGAATTTTGGAGGTTTAAATTTGAATTTTGATATAAATAATATTCTATAGTTTGTGAAAAAAAAAAAAAAAAAAAAAAAGAAGAAGAAGAGAGAAAGGAAGAAGAAGACACCATATTCTTCCGATAACATGAGTTCATTCGGCGAATGTAATAACACGTGCATAATGCCCTTTCTAGTTATATACTATACATATATATGTATGTATCACGTCGCCAACTTTACATGTTCGAAAATTATTTGTAATTATGGATCACGACACGCAGCAGCCGGATTTCTTGGTCGGCGGCGGTTGTTCTTGCTGTTGATCATCGTCGACTGGCCGCAAGACGACGGTCTTACTCTTACCCTTGGAGCTCCAGCTGGAACTCCTGAGCTGTTCTTCATCCTGATCATGATGATCCACTGAAGAAGGCTGCTGCTGCTGCTGTTGCATCACTGATCTCCTACTGATCAATATGCTGTAGATCTCCTTCACCACCGTCTCGAACGCCGCCGACACGTTCGCAGAGCTCAGCGCCGACGTCTCCATGAAGAACAACCCCTTCTCCTCCGCCATACTCTTCCCTTCCCCCGTGCTCACCTCCCGATTGTCTTTCAGGTCCGACTTGTTCCCGACCAGTATCGTCACCACGTTCATGTCCGAATGAGCTGTTACACGTTTAAATAATTATGATCACTATTCAATTCAATTTAAATGATACTCTGTTTTGCACGTACCTTGGAGTTCATTGAGCCATCTTCCGACGCTTTCGAAGGTAAGGCGGCGGGTGATGTCGTAGACGAGGAGTGCCCCGACGGCGCCTCTGTAGTAGGTGGAAGTGACTGCTCGGAAGCGCTCCTGCCCGGCGGTGTCCCAAATCTGGGCCTTCACTTCCTTCCCGGAAATGTCCATTTTATGTGTCTGAAATTCGACTCCAATGGTGGATTTCGAGCTGGGATAGAACTCGTTGCGCGCGAATCTGGACAGCAAGTTTGATTTCCCCACAGCTGCGTCGCCGATCATCACTACCTTGAAAAGATAATCCTCGCTTTGCTCCTCGTCTTCTTCTGCATGGTGATGGGATTCCATATATATATATATATATGGGTTTGGGTCGGGTGTGCCTACGATTAATTATAATGCATGGCTAATGTATGCAAGAATTGGGACACCCGTGGAAGGAAACAGCAAACAGGACATGTTTGCATCTCCAAAGGGATCTAATTAATATATATCTTGATGAAGATGTATCCCTCCCCCAAACTGTTTGATTTCTTGGTCCCTCTGAATTAATTCAGGGAAAGAAATGGCAGATTAATTGTGGGGAGGGATGAAAGAATGATAAGAGGGACTTTGGAGGGGAAGAAGAAGATGAAGATGATTCTATGGAAAGGGATAAAGAAATAAAAAGATTCCCGGGGAAGAAGCTTTACCAATCCAATGAGTGGATGGCTGATTATAACTCAATGATTAAATTGGGATCAAATATTCCTTACGGACCATAGCAAATATTTTGAATGAACAATATTTAATTATATGTAATATAATATATTATGATACAATACAATACAATACAATACAAATACAAATACAAAATACTTCATAACCTATTAAGCACATGCATGTACAAGTCAGTATGGTAACTGCCGCGTATCATAAATGGATAATAAAGAATCCAAGTAAGTATAGGTAATATATGTCGTAAATTAGTTTTGATTTACGTGATAAAATTGTAACTTAAAAAATTAGTATATATAAAATAGAAAGAAAATGAAATGTGCTTACGATTGTATTAATATTAATAGCCACATGCAATTATATTTAGAATGAGCAAAAATTATAGTGGCCATATATATATATATGTCAGATATGCACAGAAATGACGAAGCTATATTTACATTAATTACCTTCTTTTTTATTGCTATTAAAATTTTCAGATTCCCAACAATTAATATTATCTGTCACAGCCAATACTTTTACTAATGTAGTCAAAACATTATTTATTCGAAAAGTTTATCCAAAAACTGACTGGCTTAATATGATCCAAAATAACGAGAAACATAGGAACACTCTAGCACCTCCCCAATTCCCAATTTCTTAATCTTACATTTGAAAGAAGATTTTTCCTGTTTGCCCAAACTATCATTGATTCATACATTTGTATCGCATGCAGAAAAGGAGGAGCAGTGAAGCAAATCAATCCTAACTGAGGTAATCATGAAGATTAACCCTAATTTCATGGTTACTTTGCTAGCTTTTGCTTTTGGAGGGTTTCATTTCTGGTTTCAAGTATTCATAAGTTTCGGTTAATCATTCTTATTCAACTGCTCATGATATATAAGAACTCTCTAAATCTGATAAAATCCCCAATCTCAAAATCATCAGATTAACCCTATATGTAGAGGGAAAATTACGATGCATTGTGCTTTTTCGTTTTATATTAATGATCATCGCTAATCAATATGAATATGTCATTTCGATTATCTTTTGATCATCCTACAAAGTGGTATTGCTAACAGATTTTCCTAAATGGTAGAAATTAATTGTTTTCGAGGGGTGATTACTGAGGGTAGAAGAAGATGGTGGAAGGAGGTGTTGTGAAGGCAGATAAGACAGAATTCACAGAATGTTGGCGTGTCACTTGGAAAAATCCCTATATTATGAGGCTCGCCTTTTCGGCAGGTATAGGAGGGCTGCTATTCGGGTACGACACAGGTGAGGTGAATCGCTATTGGTTACTTAATCCTATGTCTTTTAATTTACAGACGAGATTAGAAAAAGGAAATGATCAAAAAATTCTGTTAAAAGCATATAATTTTTGGATGTAGCAATGCTAACCTTAAAGTGTGATGCTTTACCAGGTGTGATTTCCGGGGCCTTGCTCTACATCCGGGACGAGTACAAGTCTGTTGACAGGCAGACATGGCTGCAGGAAAGTGAAGAATTAGGCTTAATCTTAACTATGAAACTTTTTGCAATCCTATTAATGTTAGCAGCACCTTATTTGAGCAGGAAACGATCGTGAGCATGGCTGTAGCAGGAGCTATTGTTGGTGCTGCTTTGGGGGGATGGATGAACGACAAGTATGGTCGAAAAAAGTCCATTCTTGTGGCTGATATTCTATTCACCATCGGAGCATTGGTCATGGCTGCTTCTGTAGGTCCTTGGATGATAATCATTGGAAGAATAATAGTCGGTTTTGGAGTTGGGATGGCATCCATGACGGCGCCACTTTATATCTCGGAAGCATCTCCTGCAAGAATCCGAGGAGCATTAGTCAGCACTAATGGATTGTTGATTACCGGAGGACAATTCTTGGCATATCTCATTAACTTAGCATTCACAAAGGTAATTAAGTTAATTGCAGAAGACTTTGTTGCTATAAGTTTCAAATGGCTGTTTCGAGAAAGTTTTGTGTGCGCGTATGTATGTATTTAAGGCACCGGGAACCTGGCGTTGGATGCTCGGGGTAGCTGGAGTTCCATCCATTGTTCAGTTCGTCTTGATGTTGTCGCTTCCCGAGTCTCCAAGGTGGCTGTATAGACAGGTAATAGTTTCTGTCAGCATCAACAATAGTTTCTGGATAATTGAAAAACACATTGGAACTCAATTGTTTCATTGAATTTCAACCAGGACAAGATTCAAGAAGCCAGGGCAATTTTGGAGAAAATATACCCTGCCAACGAGGTGGACGACGAAATGAAGGCTCTACAAACCTCCATTGAATCTGAGAAGGCTGAGGAAGGAGCCATTGGCAATACTTTATCAGCAAAGCTAAAGAATGCTTGGAAAAATGATGTTGTCCGAAGGGGCCTGTATGCGGGAGTCACCGTTCAAGTTGCTCAGCAGTTTGTTGGCATAAACACTGTCATGTACTACAGCCCAACCATTGTTCAGCTGGCGGGATTCGCCTCGAACAAGACAGCCTTGGCCCTTTCCCTCATCACCTCTGGTCTGAACGCCCTTGGCTCAATTGTCAGCATGGGGTTTGTCGACAGGTTTGGGAGGCGAAGGCTGATGATCATATCCATGTTCGGGATCATTACTTGCCTCATCGCATTGGCTGTGACATTTTATCAAGCCTCCGCTCATGCACCGGGAATCAGCAACATCCAATCCCTCCACTTTGGGAGGAACAACACTTGTCCCCAGTACTTGGAATCAGCAAAGGCATCATCTTGGAATTGCATGTCCTGTCTCAAAGCATCTAAGGACTGTGCTTTCTGCACAAATGGACACAATCAAGTGAGTCTCAAGCATCATTCTTAGTGCTTTTACACTCATGATCATCCATGTTTTAATGCCATGTTCTTACCAGTATCATCCCGGAGCATGCCTGGCCGCAACGAATGCAGTGAAAGGCATGTGCAAAGCTGAGCATCGGACGTGGTTCAGCCAGGGTTGTCCAAGCAAGTTTGGGTTTTTGGCAGTGGCGCTTATGGGACTGTACATCATAACATACTCCCCTGGAATGGGAACTGCACCTTGGATAGTGAATTCAGAGATATATCCACTGAGGTTCAGAGGCATTGGAGGAGGGATTGCAGCAGTTGCCAATTGGAGTTCCAATCTGATAGTGAGTTTAACCTTCTTGTCATTGACTGAGGCACTTGGTTCTGCTGGGACATTCCTGCTCTTTGCCCTGTTTTCCTTCATTGGGCTTGTGGCCATATACTTCCTGGTTCCTGAAACCAAGGGGATGCAGTTTGAGCAAGTGGAGAAGATGCTGGAGAGGGGCTTCAAACCTAAGCTGTGTGGCAAGTCAAACAATCAACAAGTTAGATAAGACACTGTGTAATACGATGTCACTGTTATTGTTGAAGATGGACCATATAATATTCTTTTCAAGTGTGATCATCAGTTTTTTGTTGTGTACTACTACTTCTTTGTAAGATGTAACTGTGATGGTGATGCTCTGGTTCATCTGCTGTTGCCAATGTTTTGTGTACAGCCAACTTTTAAACATCATTGTATATCTCAACCGACACTCGAGGCTGTGATGATACAGCAACAGTGATGACAAGGGACACACTGCTGTGCCAGCTAGAGTAATAATTAATTTGCAGCAGGGGGAAAAGCAAGGAAAACAAGAAAAGCAACATGTTTACAAAACAGGTAATTCTGCAGTGATGGTGAACATTTAGGAGTGTCATGTTTGTGTCCTTATTCTATTTTGGAATCACGCTATTTATTATATTGAAATACCAGTAATGTTTTATAGTACTAAATGTTTACCTTTTTGTTCAGAAAGAAATTCTAAATTCAAAATATCTAAACGTACCATAACATTTTGAAGTATCAGAAGGTGAGGTAGTTATCTACTTAGCAGCAAAGAATCAGGCCCTGAGGGAGGTCCCTACCCATGGTTCTACTTTAATGCTACTGCAGGTTGTTGTGGCAGCAGGAGGTGAGCATGAAGGTACACCAAAGGCATTAATATATGATAATGAAAGTCTGAGTATGAAAAAAGCCACAGAGAATGAATGAACATATTTTTATATTACAAGAACTCTTACAAAGAATATCATATCCCAACAAACCTAAGGCCAAGAAAAATGTCATTGTAGTGGTCAACCAAAGTTACAACTAAATGTCAGCTTTTCACGCAAGAACCCTAGAACAGACTCTCTCTCTCTCTACATTCACACATATACATATAACTAATTTTCCAATGTGCAGCCAGCAGGAACCAAAATACAAAAGGAACTAGATATATCACCATTCAAATTCATTTACCCATGTCCTTTATTGAGAAGAAGAAGAAACATCCGGCATTGGTTCTTTCAAATACCCGAGAAGTGTTGCAGCCTGCGAAAAGTAAAGCGGATACCCTATGAGTCAAAACAGCGTAGCGTGAAGAATATTGCGGCTTTTAATTCGCTGAAAACTACGCGCACGCACGCAATAATATACTCGGCCATCAGCCATCACCACAGTTAAAGAAAGCATCAGTACAACAGTTATTTCGCCATATTCACCGCTATAGAAGACAGAACACTTGACAGAAATATCCAGAAGTGGGAAAGAATACAAGACCACATCAGTCCCCAACAAAGTTATCATACCAAGAACAAGATTTTGGACAAAAACAATACAGATGCCCACTTAGTTGGCATCACAACTTTTGACAATTCACCTTTTTTTGTTTTATTTAGCTTGTTAGGAGCACTTATCTTCTGAATGTGACCGCCAGTCTATTTTAGGAATAGTCGTAATACTACAAATAATATGTGCAGCTGAATCACCATCCAATGATGAATCAGAACCGAATTCTCGAACATATCCCAAAAGCAAATTGCAAAGCAAACCAAAAATTAAAAACCCATGCAGAATTATGTTCCAAGACTGACCTTATGCCTCGCCTTGACAGTCCCAGTCTGCGACAAAGAAACCAACGGAGGAATACCCCCTTCCTTCACAAGCAATCCCCTTATAGCAGCACATTCCCCACACAATTGCATCAATGTCAATACAGCAAATTCCTTCCCTTTGTCACTTCCATTTTCAACAGCTTCTATCAACACACTCATGCCACCAGCATCCATAATAGCATCGCGTCCCATCTCAATCCCAGCCAAGCTACTCAACACGACCATCGCTTTCTCTGCCAGTCCAATTCCCTTTTTTCCTACCAGTCCTACTAAAGGTCCCACAGCCCCTGCGTTTACCGCTCTTTCCTTGTTTAACTTTACCGTGCACAGCTTGTAAAGCGTGGTGAGCGCATCCTTTTGGCCTCTGTTGGACCCGTTTATCAGTAATGCTACCAAAGGAGGTATTGCACCAGACGCACCAATCGAGAGTTTATTCTCCTCGATCAAAGCTAAGCTCAGCAATGCGCAAGCAGCGTTTTGTTTAGAAGTCTCTGTTCCTGTTTTCAGTACGTAAATTAAGGATTTCACTGCACCTGAATTCATAATTAGCTTCTTGTTGCTCTCGTGGAGGGAGATGTTGAACAGAGCCGTCACAGCTTCTTCCTGCGTCCCCGGGTCGGAGCTACGGAGGAGCGGAATAATAGCCGGTATCGCTCCGGATTCTCCAATCAAGGCTCGATTATCCGCCCTATTCTTCGCCAAAAGCCGCAGTTTAGCGGCTGCCGACTTTTTCAAAGCAATCGACGACGACTGCAATCCATCAACACAAAGTTTCACAGTCGGTTGAAGATCCTCCGGAGAGATGCTTTCAATAATTTCCGTCGAAAACGTTTCCCTATCCAAAAATCCAGGGCACGGTTCAGGTTCAGGCTCGATCTCTGAGCTCGGACCTTCCTTTATTTCAGGATTAGGTAGAGCAGAAAGACGTTGAAGATCCCCGGAGACATCGCTTGAGCAGGCCGACAAATCGCTGAAAGCACACGAGAAATCCAGCGCATCGTCGATATCAGACGGAGACAGGCTCTTCGAATTACTCAACGTCTTACTAGCCAGCTCACCGAGGCGAAAGTCGATAACCGAGTCGGTGAGATTTTCCGACACGAAAGGCGAATTCTCGGGAATCGGAGGGGAGTGTTCGGCCTGGAAGAGGTTAGACCTTATTGTACGCATGGAGCGGCCCAGCGTCCTGGTGAACTTCGCCGGAGACGGCGGCGGAGTATAGTAGTAGAAATGCCGCGTTTGGGGGCACGACGAAACTCTAATGCTGCCGGTGGTTCGAGAATCTTCCATGGCAATCATCACCAAGCTGCAAAATCCCCAAACAACACCAACCTCAACGAAGATGATTATCGCAAGGAATTGGAATTTCTTCAGAAGATATTTCTCTCCGGAGCTGATAAATTGTGTGAGCTTGGATTGGAATATGATGCGAAAATGGCAATGGCAGCTTTATAGAGGATACTGTGTCATTCTTTTTATTTAGTTTTTTAATAATGAAAGCCTCTGACCTTTTTCCAATATTGATTTTCAAAATTAGTTATAGCAGCGTATGAGAAAATTAGCTGCCAGCTGTGTAAATATGCTAAAAGATAAATATTTTTACATAGAATATTACTCCCTCGTCCCACATATATTGTTTTTTTTTTCTTTTTAAATATGATTATTTACGTGATAATTATTTTTATTAATATATTTTTTAATTATCTACTAATTATACTTTATTTATATTCCTTTTATCTATAGTAATACATTCAAAATATATGAGAGGGAAGGAGTATCATATAAACAATCTAAATTATTAATTTTATAATTTTTCATTGTTTATTTATATTTTTTGTTTAAAATAAATTTTATAAAAAAATTTGCGTTTATAAAATATAGAAAAACAATGGATATGTTTAGATTTAATTTTTTATTTAAATAATATTTTAATATAATATTTTATTAATAAATAAAAATAAAATATATTTATTGACAACCGATCAATATTATTTTTAATAAAATATATATTCCCTCTGTCCCATGAGAAGGTATCTATTTACGCGCCATTGTATTTAAGTTAAAAATATCTTTATATTTGTATAATTTTTTATACAAATGTCATTATATCAGTATTATAAAACACTAATAGAAATATTTTTGCAATTTTTTCTTAATTTGTAATACATTTTGATATAATAATTAATATCCAAATATTTAACACTCAAAAAATAAATGGATACATAGTTATGGGACGAGTATATTGTTTTAATCTCCATAAAAACTAAAAAAATGTATAAGTAAGCATAGTGTGATCATTTACCATTCAATTTGTCTTCTCTTCGATCACTATTCAATTTCAACAGCTGTATCCGTTCCTCTTTCATGGTCGAAATCGACCCAATATTTATTTATTTATTTATTTTGATCTAAATTTAATTGTCACTCGCTCTATAATGACGTGGATGAAATCGATTGTGTCGCTTCTTCACCAATAAAAAATGAAGAAAATAGAATTAGCTTATGGTGTAAACAAATTTATTCAATTTCATAATTTTGCAATGACGAAGAATAAAGACCTAAATTTAACGTGAACCTAAAAAATAAATCCAACTAATTAAAACCTAATTAATATATTTTCTACACAATGTTTTGGCATCCAAAGTCCAAACGTTTTAATAATAATAATAATAATAATTTTATTTTTTCTAGAAAAAAAGAAAAAATTTGGTTGATATTTCTTGGTCATATATTAAATGTTCATATTTTTCACTTCATTAATCCGACATAATTTGTTTTTTTTTTTAAAAATAAATTATAATTATATACTTTAATTATATTTTAAATTTTATGTTTATAATTTTTAAAATTTTAATTAAATTATTTAATTATTTTAATTTATTTATTACTATTATATAATAATTATTTTTATTAATACACTTTTAAATTATTTATTAATTATATTTCTTCTAAAATTAGTGTCTAATTATATATTATTTAAAAAATAATTATTATTAGATTAAGAATAATTATTACTATATATCTTTTTTAAAAATATAATACTCCTTCGTGCCATTTAATATGAGTATATTCAAATACAAGAATTTAGATAACATATAAATAAGTAATTAAAAAATATATTAGATAAAATAAGTATGATATAATAAAAATAATTACAAATTAATATTTTTTAATTAAAATTTAAATTTTTTTTTATAAAAAGTTAAAATTTAAAATATGAATAAAATATATAATTATATTTTAAAAAATAGACGGATCAAAATAAAAAATAGAGATAATTTATGTTGGACGAAAGGAATAATATTTAAAAATAATAACATATGAAAAAAATAAAAAAAAAAAGCACGCACAAAAAAAATACTCCTTCTATCCCTTATTCATTTTTCTATTTTGGTCCGTCCTATTTAAGTAATTATACTATTTACCTAACATTAGAAATAACCTTCAAATTTAGATATCATTATATTTATATCATACAGTACTAATATGATTAATTTAATCTTTTTACTTTTATTTATACTTTATCTTAATATAATACTAATATTTTTAAAATTAACAAATGGATATATAAATATGGACGGAGGCAGTATAATGAAATCTCATTGTTGAAGGATCCCTCTGGTGGAGTGGGCCACGGGCCGTTGGATTAGTATACGTGGACAGTTGGATTTCGAGATTAAATTGGGCAGGGCTGTGTGCGCGTGTAAAGTGTGTGGGGCCCATGGGCTGAGCTGGACGCACTCTCCATGTGGATTTGTGGGTTCATAATATCACAGTCGATCAGTCACAGCTCCACTATATGTTGCTGGTGCTGGAGAGACCGTGTCATAACAAATATCACGGCCACTGTCGAGATAGCAAAACCCAACGGGCTAATGGATAGTGATGCCGCTTCCAAGTCGCCGACGTCTCTACGTCGTCGTTTTAAGCAATATTAACCGATGTGGATTGAAGAGATTTTTTGATTTTTATCAACCACAATTAGGGATCGGTTGATCAATTGATGTCTACAATTTGATTTTTTTATTTATTTATTAAATTTAATATTTTTTTTAAAAATATTTTATTGTAAAGTATATCATTAAATAAACTTTTTAAGAAAAGGTAAATGATTTGAATGAGATTGTCCATTTAACTTTACATATTCCCAATCGACATTGAATATAAATTGGGATCCTATGCATGATATATAAAATTTAAAATATTTAATTGTATATTTTCTTTTTTTTTAAACATATATATTACATAATAAATCAAATATTAAGTAAATAAATTATATCTAATATAATTTTCAACTGCAATTTGGAGTTGAATTGGAGGTGGGAGTTTGAAAATTAGTGAAATTTTAAAATATAGTTACTTAATGTAATATGAATAAATAATATTCCATATAATATTTTAAATATAAAATCAATTTATAGCATAATAATAATAATAATAACAATAATAATAATAATAATAATAATAATAATAATAATAAATAATGTTTTTTTAAAAGAAAAAATTAATGAGTAACAATCGAAAGCCCATACATAAAGAAAGTTTAAGAAATTTATTGAATTTTGGCATGGGGACCTAAATCCATTAATATGAAAGCTTAGCCTAAAAAATATGTAACCTGTCCAGACGGATGACAGTGTCTCGAAAGTCCAGTACATAGTTCAATTTTTGGACCCTAAAATGTATTGTCAGCCCATCAAGAACTATGAATATATAATTTATTTATTTTTTATTAAAAAAAATTGTAAATTTCAAATAATACTTTTTCTATCGCATTGATTAAAGAACAAACTGCAGGTTTATAAAAATATAATTTTATTAATCCAAAGGTAATTAAAATAACAAAGACAGAAGACACTGCTAAAACAACGTACGACAATAGAAACATAAACAAACTGGTAATTAAAATAACAAAAACACAATAATATTAATAATAATAATAATAAAAGTATGTAGTAGAAGTAGTAGTAATGGTTGTAAACGATGCCGGATTATGATTCCATTCTTCACTCAGATTTCTTCTCTTCCTCGGCTTCGGCTTCGGCTGCGGCTGCCTCTGCTTTCTCCTCTACAGCCTTCTCTTCCGTCGCCGGAGCTTCAGCTTCCGCTACTGCTTCCACTTCCTCCGCCGCCGCCGCCGCCGCCGCTGCCTCAGGCTCCGGCTCGGCTACCGGCTCCTCAGCGACGGCTTCTTGAGCCACGGCCGGAGCCGGCTCCTCTTCCGCTGCGGGTTCGGCTGCGGCTGCGGGCTCTTCCGCCACGGCTTTCTCTGGCTCGGCTGCCGGAGCAGGCTCTTGTTCAGCTTCCGGCGTAACTTCTCCGGTGGCTTCCGGTGGTGGGGCTTCCTTGGTTGCCTCCTCCTCAGCCGGTACCGGAACCGGAGCTGGAGCTTTCTCCTCCGCCGGCGCCGCCTTTTCAGGAACAGCCTCGGCGGCGGCGGCCGGCACTACCGGTGCTGGAATTGATTCGATCTGCAAAATACACATGAAATTTGATCGATCGTTTAGTAAATGTAAAATCTGTAATACGAAGCTGATCAGATCGATCGATCATAAATTCTTCCAAATTAAAAATTAAAAATCGATCAGTAAACCCTAATTCAGGCATTGATGTAATAATTAAACTCAAATTCATTGGATCATAGTGTAGACATGATGAGGATCAGTAATAATAAAGTAGGTAATATGGAAGGGAAGTGAGTAGATCGACTATACCTCAGCAGTAGCCATTAACGAAGAAATATGGAAAAAGAACTTAAAATGTAACTGATGTGTATGTAGTTGTGAGTGAGTGTGGTATGCTGATGGGAGAAGAAGATCCATTTAGAGGGCTATTTATAGGGTCCCAAATCAGGTCTGCAACATTATTATATTCCAACTACAAAAAAAAAAAGAAAAGCAAAATTCACAATTAATTATTTATAATATTTTATTTCATAGTTCAATATATTTTATATATGGATTAACAATATTACACAGAAGTTTGGGAAATTACGAGAACAGTAAAGAATTGGGGGTTTATTTTGTGCTGTGGTTTAAAATGGATTTAAAATGAGGTATTAATTTGAATTTTTATTTAGCTAATAGTATTTTATTTGATATTTTATGAGAAAAAATAATATATTCATAGTAAAAATCATGCAAGATTTGAATAATATTGATTTTAATTAAAAAATTTAACCAAATATTGATATAATATTTTATAAAAAAAAAAGGAAAATATATTTGATATAAAAAAAAATTCCAAAAAGGTTAATTGTTGATCAATAATGCTAAAAGTCTATAAAATGTAAAGAGTATGTTTATTTTGGTTTGATTTGAAAAGATTTGGTTTAGATTTTGTATTAAAATAATATTTGAATGAATAATTTATGAAAAAAAAAGTATATATTTTTTTTTAAAAAAAGTTGAGTTGAAATAATAAAATTATTATTATTATTATTTTCCAAAGAAATGCACCCAAGTGTTTGGTTTGAATTAATTTCAAATCTAAATAAACACTAAAAGAAACCCTATTACTCTCCACATTTTGAGTTTTCTTTTTCAATTTATTTTACAATATTCTTTCATCATTTTATAAGATTAGTCTCATTTCTCTTTTGTATACAGTTTAAAAAATATTATGTTAAATAATTATTAGTTTGATTTATGTTATGTATATTGTTGTAGTAGAGTATTATTTTATATTTTTTTAATGGGTAAAAAATGATATAATATTTGTTTAAATTTTTTTTAGGTTGAATAGTAAAATTTTTATATGGAGTATTGAAGAAAGGCTTGTATTAGTGTATATTAAATAGTAAAATTTTAAATTGAAATAGTTATTTGGTGTGAATTTTTAATACAAAATTAATTAGTTTAATATAAAAAAATAGATATTTAATTTGATATTTTTAGAATGAAAAATTAGCTAATAAAATTTTGATTGAAAAACCATGAACAAACAAATTAAAAACCTTAATATTTTTATAAAAATTATCAAATTTTCAGACAAAATGTTATTATTTAATGAAAAAAAAAATATAAAAAAAAAATCAAAATACCAAATTAAACATAAAATAAACAAATTTAATATATTTGTATAAATTTATGATAAGTTCAATAGTACATCTTCTCTATCTTAAATATGAAACTGAAATTCTCTATTTTAATCATAAGAATATGTATATATTTACAGTGATATACCAAGAATCTTACTAATATTTAAGACAACTACTATAAATATAATATATTGTTTCTAAATATATTTTAACACACCTCCTCAAACTCAAGATACGATCGAACAAACTTAAGTTTGTCAAAAGTGATCGAAAAAAATATAGTCAAGATCTTTCATGTACGAATTTAAATTCGCCAATATTTATTGAAAGTGGTGTAGCCGTCAATTAATCAAATATATTTTAACAATCTCTAAAATTATGTATTATGGGATCCAATAGCCAGATATTATAATAAAGATCTATAATGAGGAAAGGAATTGATATATTAAAAAAATAAAATAAAAAGTTACAGGGATAGAAGAAGAATCTTGACAGATCAACACAAGTGATGTCCAAATAGGACACATAACTAAGGCATGCCAAGTTGTAAAAATTAGTTTTGCTTTATTGAGTTCAGTTTTAATAAGCAAAAAGTAGACCAGATGGGCATTCTCCCTTTTTTGTGATCCATAATTATTAAAATCTTACAATTTTTATTATATATATAAACTTTTTTGGATATGGGCATATGCAGGCACATGGTGTAGGTCATTTTAATCCTAATTTCCCTACTTATATACTCCCTCGTCCCAAAAGATTTGTCTTATTTTTTCATTTTCGTTCGTTCTAAAACAATTGTCTTGTTTTTTTATTTAGTAGTCATGGTTCCCACTTTATAACAAAATTATTCTTACTTTTTCATACTACCCCTAATTATTACTCTAACACACTCTTTAAAATCTTTAAAAAAAACAAAGGCATTTTAGTCATTTACATTTTATTTTATACCCACTTTCAATTAAATACTATTATTTTTTAATTCTCTCAATAAGACACTTCTTTTGGGACGGAGAGAGTATATGTTTCTTTTTCTTCAATTTGGGACATCTAATTTTGGGTACATTATCTTAGATCTTTGTTTCGAAATTTATTTATTTATTGATTTCAATATTTTTTTGTAGATTATTAATTGAAGTATAGTGTTGTTGAATTTGCAAATTAAATTGCCGTGGAGATCACGATATATATATATATATATATATATGAGTGTAATTTTTGGTAATTGAGTATAATGGTCTTCCAAATAGCTTACATAAAATCATTACAATATTCCAATCCCTATGAACTTCCACGTGGTATTGCACCATATCACTTTGTTACATTATTTCATTTTATTGAAACACACAGTTTTGTCACTTTGATTTCTTGTAATAGGAGAAATTTTTGTAGGGTTTTGATTTACATATGTTTTGATACTTAGGCAAACTATGATAATATAGATTAATATACCATCCCCAACACAGTATGTTTGTTTAGTATTTATGATTTTAGGTGCTTTTATAGTAAGGTTCAAGAAATGATGAAAATATTACATATAATGATATACCTCTTTCGTCCCATATTTATATATTCATTTGTCTTTTGTACAAAGTTTTAGAAATATTAATATTATATTGAGATAAAGTAGAAATAAAGGTAAAAAAAAAAGACTAAATTAACTCTATTAGTATTATATGATATAAAGGTAATGATATTTGTGTAATATATTGTAAATTGGAAGGTTATTTGTAAAGTTTGGTAGATAGTACAATTACTAAAAAAAAGAAATTGATACTTTGTTACGAGACGGACCAAAATGGAAAAATAGATAGATTGTTAAGAGACGAATGAAGTATATATTTTGTCAAATTTTGTATATTTTGGATAATATTGTTAGAAAATTTTGTATATTTGTGTTTGTTTTGGAGATTGGATTTTAAATACACTATTATCCTATTTTTCTCCCCCCCAAAACATCAAATCAAACACCTATTTTTTATTTTTCTATATTATACTGAAAAACAATTTTACATTTAAAACATTACATCAACACATATTTATATTATATCATACAACTATTTAAATTCAAAATCTTTACTATTCAAATCTCAAACTCAAAATCCAAACTCCAAACAAGCACACGTATATAATTTCTTACTAAAAAAATATACAAAAAATTATTTTCATCCCTTACTCTATATAATCAATCCCATAAACTCAATTACGGGGTGTCACAATTCAAACTTTTATTATTCTTAAAAAATTTAAAATATTAAAATTCTCAAAACTATATTAAAATATTAAAATTTAAAGTAAAAAGTATTCAAATATATATGTATATATATATACACCATCAAGCAGGCCAATAATTTTTCTTGGTCCAATAAATTATTATTATTATTATTTGAAACAAAAATTGTTTCTAGGTTTTTATTGATCTTTTAAAGTGTTTTTTTGTTAAAAAATAAATAAATTATTTTTTACCGTGTGAACTTTAGGTTCTTTCTAAAAGTAAATATTGAATAGGTTTGTTTAGTGTTATAGTTTCGAAAAAAATTTTCGTAAGATATGTGAAATTGGGTTGATAATATATATAAAGTTATATTTTATATTAAATTATATATTTTATAAAAGAATTGAATATGAATATTATATACTCTTTCCGCCGCTAATTTTATATTAATTTATTTTGTAAATTTAAAAAAAATATATATATATAATTGTCTGACAGTATTTATATTATGAATCATGTTAATACAAAAAATAATTTGAAAGAACACATTAAGAGTACTACTTCCTTTGTCCCAGATATTTTGGGCATATTACTGCAAATACGATAATTTAGATAAAATATAATTAATAGATAATTAAAAAATATATTAATAAAAATAATTATTATTTAGTAAAAATAATTATATATTAACATTAGGATAAACAAATAATTTATTTAAAATTGAAAAAATTATATAATTTAAAATTTAAAATATGATTAAAGTATATAATTATATTTCCAAAAATATAAATAACAAGTTATGTGGGACGGATACGTGGGACAGAGGGAGTATTATTTTCTTCACAAATATCTCATTAAATATCATCTAAATATAAAATTTAAATTAAATCTTCCCAAATCAATCGCCAAACAAACACATCCATAGTCATTTTATACTAAAGATTTTGCATATAATCATCACAGGATTCCACTTTCAGAACAAAATTTACATTTTCCCGAGAATTAAATGTGAAATGGAGTATATCTATGCGTCAAAATTAGAATTTATGAGATATTGAAAACCAATAAAGAAAAAAGTAGTGGCGGGCTGTGGCGGGACCACCTGCACCGCCACCTATGACTACTACTGGATGCTGACGTGGCACACCCCTCGATTTTAATTCGTCCGATTTGAAGAAAGTTGTGCGGAGCCGTCCTTTACTGAGGAAGTGGGGCCCTACTGAAGATGCTTTTGCAGTCGTACTCTCGTGAACGGGTCCCACGTGCGTGCTGCCACGTGGGATCACAGTCATCACTTGTATCGCCTCACCAATCTCAAGAGTACTGCACTCATGTCATTTCCATTATTTAAATAAAAAAATTATATTTTAATTAGGAAAATAGGATTTTTAATTAGGAAGTGTATTAGAATTTGCCTTCTGGTCATTTTAAAAAATATATTGTTCTAGTTTTATATTTTTCATAAATATATATTTTTTTTCAAAAATATTGCATATAAATTATTATTCAAATAAAAAAAGTTAAAATAAAAACACTAACTAAACACATCTAATGATCTGTAGGTTTTATTTCTCCTTCTATTGATTTACAAAAAATTATACATATTAAGAAAATTAAATGCATCCATGTGTTGTTATTCAATGTATTTTGTAATAAAAAATATTAAATACAATTTCTTAAAAGTAACAAAAATAAATAGTAGAGGTTGAAAAACACAATTTGTGTAGTTTCTATTTGAATATGAAGTTTTTTATATGTAAAAATATTGAAATCGTATTAAAAAAACAGGTTTCACATTTTCTATGAAAGTATGAGTGTATATAGATTAGGCGAATTGAAATTCGATTTAGGTCTGAAAGTCCAGGCGATGTTATGTCACCAGGATAGCAACTTTTCGATAATATTTATTTTTATAACTTTCTTTTTTTTAAATTTGAACAACAATTAAATATTATTTTACACACAGATTTTTTTATCTTTTTATATTTTCGCGACAAAAAATTATGTAATTGAAAAGCCCGACATAGCCTTTTTTTTATCTTCAAATTTGCAATTTCAACAAAGTATTCAAATATATATATTTTTTTATTTTGTGATTTTTTTTTTTTGTACCGATAATTAGTGGAATATGAAATTTTGCTACTATTTTCTATAAAAACGTATCCTTAATCTTAAAAATATGTGAATAATTATTTAAATTATACTATAAGAAAAAAGAAAAAAAAAAGGAAAAAAAAAAGTATAACAAATTAAAAGTTATAAATAATATTTCCGTCATGCCTGTGCATCGGAAATATAGTGTACAGAGTGTAAAGCCGAAAAATAGACGGTGAAGATCGGCCCACGTGGGATCCACCTGGCTTGTCCATGAACGGCAGCCGTGGAATCGCCCACTAACATTGCGCCACGTAATGTACCCCCTACGCCGTGATGTTTCCCCGCCCCGTTTTCAAGATTTGCTTAAATAATGTGAAGAAACATAAGATGACAGCCATGGCGTTTGGTTGTTTTACTTTTCTTGTGTGTTTCTCTAAAATAACAATTAGATGAGATATTTGTATAAGAATTGTATTTTATATAATATTTTTCAAAAAGAAAATATGTTAAATAATAAAAAATACTGTAATAAGTATATGTAAAGAAAATACTATGCTCTACTGTCATTGGAATAATCGAATGGCGTGGGGATGGACTCATATGTTCTATTAAAAAATATTTATTTTTAATAAAATATTTTTAATTTTTATTTAAATTATATATAGATTATTAAAAAAAATATTATATATATAAAATTAAAGAATAAAAATATCAAAAAAATTTACACGTTTTATTAATAAATAAAATATTATTATTTTTTAATTTATTAAGATTACACCGAGGTATGAGACAGTATTTAACAATACTTTCTTTTTTTTTTATAAAGAAAACGCATTCGTATTCTTTTTCAAAAATAAATTCTAGAAGCCGAAGTTCAATAAGGTGTAGCCCATCAATTTCAGTCACTAATGGCCCAAAGCCCAATGATTTTATTGAAACGGGCTATTCTCAAACGGCCCATTGTAGCCCAATTTTTGTTAACAAATACTTAAAAGTAAAAAAATAATACTAATAAATAAACGAATAAATATTTTCTGTAAGAATTTTTTGGCGCAGCTTGCACACAGTTACAATGGCGCAGGTCCTAATCGCAGGCAAACCTATCTCTGGGTCCTATCAAATCGAGACTAGGCACAGGCGGCCGGCGTGCGGCCGCCGGCTGGAGCTCTCTGCACCTTCATGTTCTACAGAAGAGTGGAATTCTCTTCGACAGTCTCTCAAGTGCAGTGGCAGGTTTTCGTGCCTCTTTTCTGATAATCGCAAGCAGGTATTTATTCACCTTCGTTGATGACTGTTTGTTTCTGTAGACACGCGAGCTGCTTTTTATGCCTGTGTAAGTTTTCTTGGCATGTGATTGGAGCAAATTAGAAAATAATGGAAATTAGGGATGTGGCGATAAATGGAAAGAGTAGTGAAAACTTCGGAAATCTCCACTCGTTTCTGCATTTTAGGGTTTCCATCGATGTTATTGATTATTTTAGTAATATTAAAGTGTTGTCTTCGATAAGATGTGTTCTAGGCTTTAGAACTGTGGCTTGTTGCGTTATGAGGTAGGCATTTGGGAGTGCTCTTTACCTGGAAAAGTCGTCCTTCCGATTATAGACATTCCATTTGAATCTGATTTAGTTCATTTTACAGATTTTAATTTTTGGAAGCAAATTATGGTTATGAAATTTGTGTTAGATTGCCCTCAAACGCCAATGAATAGTGTTTCTCAATGAAACAGCTTGGGGTTTAGGTAACGGATGAACTTTCTGTTTCTCTTCTGCTATCTCTGTAAATTTCCTGCATTTAAACAGCTTTGTTTTTGACTTAGATTTAGTAGGTGAAGAAGAAAGTTCCTTCACTATACAAGAGCACACAACTCAGGTTCATTTTGTCAATGGAAACAATTATTTCTCAACAAAAATCATTTGTGTTCTAGATTAAGGTGGTTGTGATTAGGCAAGCCGAGGAAGATGCTCAATTAATGACATATATATATTTTGCAAATACAACTAGTTGTAAGTTTTGCCCAACATATATATATATATATATAAATATTACCTCACACACACCCGGGTCGAAACTGGGTTCATAGCTCCAAAGAGGAGGATGCGTCACCACTTGATATACACACATATATATTTACCATGCAATGGTTGTAAAAATCTTCCACTTTCTCCACCTAGTAAGTCCATCCATTGTGTTGTTGATCCGGCATATATAATTGTGAAGTTATCTTGGTGCAGCAAACAAATTTTTAATTAACTCTTTGCATTCATGCATTACAGGAAGAGGCTCGCAAAGCATTAGAGAGTGCCCTAGGTGGAAAGAAAATAGAGTATGAGAAATGGGACAAAGAGATGAAAAGGAGAGAAGAAGCTGGAGGAGGAAATTCAGGTGGGGGTGGATGGTTTGGATGGCGCAGATGGTTTGGTGATGGCGATCATTTCTGGCAGGAAGCTCAGCAAGCGAGTCTCGCAATTTTAGGTATTCTTGTTGTGGTAAGCATCTCTAAAATTCTCAACCACCTTATATGTGTTTTCATTTCTTCTTCTTTCTTTTTCTTCATTCTCTCTCTCTCTGTATTTTCTCAGATGCTCGAATTGAGTTTTACATACATAACGTTTTATTGGTGCAGTATCTTATAGTGGCGAAGGGAGATGTGATGCTGGCTGTCATTTCTAATCCATTGCTCTTTGCTTTAAGAGGGACGCGGGATACCTTCTCTTTTGTTACTTCAAAATTTGTGAATAGGATTCATCCTAGAAGGTATGGAAATGTGGATACCCAGCAGGATCAAGTTCCTCCACCCGTCTCTGCAAAAGAACGAGTGCTAGGAAAATGGGGAAGCAATTGATCTTGTTCCAGGTAAAATTGATGCATCCCACTGTTGGAATTTGAGAATTTTGTGATTACTGTTACCTACAACTACCTGAGGCCGAACTCTAATTATAAACGTATTGTGGCTCTTTAGATGTGAGATTCTTTGATTGGTTGAAAATGTTGCTTCACATTTGATCTGCAATTACAAAATGGAAGCTTGTTTGTATTGCAAATGCTAAATTTTGGAAGGAGCTGATACTTTTTTGTTTCTGTGATTTGATGATTGATATTGATGATGAGTAAAATGTGCAGTGGCAGTGGCTGTGGATGTAATAGAAATAACAAAGGAGGTTTTGTTGCCCTATTATTTCATTGGTGATTGGTGAGAAAATGATTAATATTTTGGTGTATGTATTTTTATGTTAGCCAACTAACCATTGAAGGACAATGGCATGTATGTATATGTGTGTGTATATATCTGCTTTGCATTTTAAGTTGCCCTACATGCATGTTCATTATTCAGTTCTCTTCTTCTGACTTGCATAATATACTTATTTGCATTCTCAAGAATGAAAAAAGTCCAGTTATTAGCAGCGAAGGAAAATGTCAGTCATGGCATGGCAGCAACCTTTGAGAATTGAGAGGGGTGGAGGGGCAAGAATATATATATATATATATATGTGTATATTTTTATGGCTACACCTATTATTAAATATAAATAAAATAAAATTAGTTGATTTTGAACCCCCATTATCATTATTATTTTTATTTATGTATATAGGTAGGAGGGTATAATTAGCAGCAGCAGGGCTCATGTACACCATCCAATCAGAAAAAAGAGTCGACGGCGGGCACATGGTACAAATCTGTATTCTGATAGCCAGCCAGTTAAACTGCGAGTTTAGTGGGCCTCACGATCTAATTTATTTAATTAATTAACTACTTATTATATTGTAATGAATGATGACATCGACGCATATTTTAGTTTAAATGCAAAAATCCGGATCGCCACATGACCCTTTCCCCGTCCCCTCTCCATACTTTTGCTGTCTCCTTTACTTTTTTTGCCCTTTTTACCTTTTCCTTTTCCCGCTCAGAGTCGTAGTCAGAGATCCTCCTTTATTGGATTCTTCTTCTTCTTCGATTTTACATCCATTCCGATATACTTTCAATCCTTACGTTTTTTATTCATCTTTGTAATGTGTTTTGCAGTCTTTGCTATTCTGGATTAAATTGATTTAGGGCTTTGGCTTCGGCATCGGTGGATGCCTTCTGAGTGTATGTAGTTAGGTTTGCATCGAGATCGAGTAGTTCCGAAGGCATGGGATTTGAGGAGAAAGAAGGCAAAGCGGCGGCAGCGGAGTCGGAGTCGGAAACGGAGACGGAGAGGATCAGCCGGAATCAGAGTGAGAGCTCCCTCACCACCGAGGATGACGACGACGATGAAGTCGAGATCAAGATTCAGTTGGGCCCTCAGTACACTCTCAAGGAGCTATCCGAGAAGGATAAGGTCACTTTGATGTCTTCTGTTTTTGAAATTGTTTTCTGGGGAATTGTGGTGACCATTTTTTGTTTCTCGATTGAATTTTTGGGGATTCTTTTGCAGGATGATGAGAGTTTAAGGAAATGGAAGGAACAGCTTCTTGGCAGTGTGGATGTGGCTTCTGTTGGTGGTAATTGACTTCTCTTCTCCATATTCGTTTGTGGTATTAATATGTTTTGATGTTAGATCAGCATAGAGATTCTTGAATGGTTTTAGCACAAATTATTGGAATCATGATTTGAATCTATGGCAACTCACTCACACTCTGAGTTTAAATGTTTCTTGGACACTGTTTTAGATGTGATTCCTACAAGAATACTATATGTTACCAGATGCTGTCAATGTTATGTAATTACATAGTTGTTGAATTAGATGATCAGAAAAGAAAATGTGTTTGTCCACTAACATTTTAAATGAAATTTTTATATGAGTAGAGCGAAAACAAAGTTGAATACATAAGTAAATAGAGTCTAAGGGCTATGTTAGCAATGCCGGGTTGTATTTACTTGCCTTGTGTTCTGTAGACACTCTCGATGCAGAAGTGAAAATTCTGAACCTTACTATCAAAGCTTGGGGAAGGGATGACATTGTTCTTCCCATTCCGGAGGATAAGAAGCCCAAAAGCCCATGGTTTACGTTGAAGGTAGGTAGCACGTATAGCCTCAAATTCGCTTTCAAGGTCAGCAACAACATTGTGTCTGGTCTCAAGTACAAGAACACCGTCTGGAAAACGGGCATCAAAGGTTTGCGAATTGATCCCCCTGTATATACATCAAGTTATCAACACGGACTAGATAGAAATAATTCTCACACATAGTCGAAATTCTGATTCTTTTGATTTCAGTCGACAGCACCAAGGAGATGATCGGCACATTCAGCCCTCAGCCAGAGCCCTACACGCACGAGATGCCTGAAGACACCACCCCATCCGGCATGTTTGCTCGTGGGATTTATTCAGCCAAAACACAGGTTTCTTTTTGTTTCGCCCTTAGTTGTTGTTATAATAAACCGTAGCAATTTGATGAAACACAATCGATTTATACTAGTTTTTGTAATGCAGTTCCTTGACGACGACAACAAATGCTACTTGGATCTGGAATACTCGTTTGAGATCAAGAAAGAATGGCCATCACAGTAAGCCCCAGCATCAGCGGATCGAAGTACCCCGTTTAATTCGTTCTTTGACTGGTTATGTTCATGTTTTTGTCAAACCATAGCATTATTGATCATTCAATTTGGACTTATTTTTCTCAATCTCTTCCATTTATCTGAGGTATTACTTACTGTCATGAAATGGACTTATTGTGTGTTCCAACCCAAACTATATGAAGATGAAGATTGCAATGAATCATGGGCTTATTACTGTCCTGTAATGGGCTTACCAACAAACCTAGAAATATGAACAGGGTCTCCATTTCCATGTGTTTTCTCAGCAATCAAGAATTGTTTCCTGCTGCAGCAGGTGTAATAAATTCACCAAATGGATAATACCAAGAAGTCATAATAAATATTGAGCAAATCAAGACACCCTTTACTCGCACATCATCCATTTTTATTTACAACCATCATCTCATCTCATATTGTTTGGTAAGAAATGGAGCTGTCAAGAATAGGGCTTCTCTCCATTCTCATCATGCTGCTGCTGCTCGATGCTGCCTCTATATCCCGGGCTTGCCCGTCCGGCGATGGCGGCACCCGGTGCCGGGCCTGCATCGAAAGCCAGATGAAGACGGCATGCCCTGGCTGTGTCCCGATCATGCAGTGCCTGTCCGAATGCCTCTGGAACGGCTCCTCCCGTTCCAAATGCACCAAGCAATGTGACTGCAATACCAACGGATATCCACACCTCCCGGATTGCAAGAAGTGCCTGTCGCAGTGCAAGTGCAGCTGCTCGGCTCCGGCCTAACCGGAGGGACAAGAGTCGAATCTTTGCAGCATATATCGCAATACATATACATATATATATGGGCTAATGTATGTGTTTTCTTCTATGTTGGATGATAAGGTTTAAGAAATGGAGTGGCTGAAAGAATGAATTGAGAATCTATCAATCTATGTATAAATGCAGCGTTCTGTGTCGTTTGACGCATAGCGCAACCTGCACGATTGGTGTAGAATCAGCTTGCGCGTCGAGGGGAATGTCCCTGCGACGAAGGAGAACTCGTCGCTGTACTCCTCGACCCCGTCGACCAACAGCTGCCATATAAGAACTCCGCCCCCGGCCCCCCTTTTCCTTGCGGAGTTGTAAATTTTGTCATAGATGGTCTTAAATAGAACATCTCTATCGTACAATCCAGCCTTCTCCATTGTCGATAGCGCGCCTACTTCTGTGAAAAGCACCGGCTTCTTCAGCAAGTTCTCGCCATCGCTTATGTGCGCATCAGCCCACTTCGAAAGGTACTTCACTTTTGCTTCCAACTTCGCTTCCGGAATCCTGAGGGATACGAACATTTTAGGCAGGTAATGAGATGACAGTACAACAGGTAAAATTATAAAATTCGAAGCGGCTGACCAGCTATGCGGATAGGCGTGGACTGATGCGAAGTCGATGTCTTTTATAGCCGAGTTGTTTAGAAAATCGGATCCAAGGGATGCAGCCCAGTCCCCTGGATTCGTTTCGTAGTTTTTTGATGATTTTGACGCGTAAAATCCTTCGAGGCCAATGGTTACGAGATGATTTCGATCCAAACTTTTCACATAGGCTGCCATTTCCGCGATCCAAGCCTGTGCAACCGTATAACGAACACATAACTGAATTCAATCCAGTGCCTTTCGATTAATCGATTAATCACTATATATATATATATGTACCTGAAGGGTAGGGGCAGATGAAACGGAGTCGCAGCGGGGCTCGTTCATGAGCTCCCATGCGAAAATCGACGGCTCATCGGAATACTTCACTCCGGTGAAGGAATTCCTCCGAGTCAAGATAGCCTGCAATGTGACAAAAACTAAGTAAACTGTAATAAACTAAACCACATAAGAACTAAGTAACCTTAACTAACATAAGGCCTAATTAACCTTAACATATGACTTGTAATAGGCTTTGATGGAGGGGTCGGAAAAGAATGAATCTTTGGAAGAAACGTTGATTCCCACAGCCTCTGCCCACTGCAGATACTGAGTTTTCCCGCCATAAGCTTTCAGATTATTCACCAGGCTCAGAATCAGTCGGACTTTATGTCTCCTTGCTTCCATTACAACATAATCCAATGCCTGAGGAATATTCACAATCATTCTCATGATTCTCAATTTTATTTTTAATTTCCAATTTTTGTTGGTTATGATAATCGGACCTTAAAAACCCGGTCGTTGAAGACGCCGGGTTTCAGCTGGAGGGCGTCGGCGCCGCCGCCGCCGCCGTCGCTGAAGGCCCAAGTGCGGCAAACGGTCATCCCCAGGTCGGCCCCTTTCCTCAGCATCTCCGAAACTCTACGCCTCGCCGGGCCGTGGCGGCGGGCGCTCTCCTCCATCAGCCAGTAGGAGTTCCACCCGTTGACGTAGAACTCACGCGCCGCCGCGTCATCCAGGAGCAGGAAGCGCGTGTGGTTGACTCCGACAAAGCCCATCTCGGGGAGATTGCGGACAACCTCCGGGAATGTGAAATGGAGATTGTCTTTGAAGTTGAGGTAGAGAAGGGAGACAATGGCGAATGCTCCCACGATCGGGTACAGCTTCTTCTCCCTCCACTGCGAATCCATCGCCGCCGTTGGATTATGGATTTGGAGGGGATTAGGTTATTATTGCCGCCGCATTTTTTTGTGTCGGTGGCGGTGATGCCGGCTGCCGGCGGCGGTGAGAGAGGAGATGACGTCTGTGTCGTGGGGGTGTTTTTCGTTGTTTGAATTTTTTTGTTTGTTTGTTTTTTTTTTTTTTTTTTTTTTTTTTGTGGTTTTGGTGAATCGGATGAGAGATGATTGGGGTTTTATTCAAATTAATCAATTAATTGAATGACAGACGATTATATTCCTCCTAATTTAGTGTGTATATATCTATAGAGATGAGTTGACTTTGCTATATATTTTAAGGTACATTCCATTGGAAGATTTTTGTAATGTTTTGTATAAGTCTCTATTAAGATAATGCTTTATTGTTTCAAAACACTTTATAATGTTTTTAAAATAAAGTATTTAATTTTTATATCACATTTCATTTATTAAATTACTTGAATAAAAATAAGTAAATATACACTTCCCTTCCAATCACTGTCACTAGTCACTTAAATTTTTTTGTGGAAAACAAATATTAATCATATGCTTGAAAGGAAACTTTTATGATAAAAACAAGACAGGTACGAATCCGTATCTTGTTTTACTTCATCAACATTTTTACCCAAAATCATGTATTGGAGTCCGTCCATATAACTTTGTTCTTATTTTTTATTTTTATTCGTTATACATAATTTGTCTTTATTTTTATCTATTCTACATAATTTGTTTTTATTTTTTATTTTTATTAGTCTCGCACAATTTGTCATTATCATTGTACACTTTAATCACATTTTAAATTTTATAATTTTTTAATCATAATTAAACTATTTAATTATTTTAATTTTAATATATAATTATTTTATTATATAATAATTATTTTTATTAATATATTTTTTAATTATTTAATAATTATATTTTTATCTAATTTTTTGTATATACATTAATATATCACTATTTAGTGTGGGACGGAGGCACTATATTATAGAGCTCAATATTATTTTAAATTTACATCTAGAATACAGGGATTGTCAATTTAAAACTGTTGCCAGGTTTCCCATTCTGCCATGTGTCCTGGCAGCGAATTGGTGTCGACAGTTTAGTGTATTCCCTTGGGCCTGGGCCTGGCTAGGTGTCCTGGCAGCAAATTCGTGTCGGCAGTTTAATATAATCCCTTGGGCCTGGGCCTGGCTAGGCCCAGATCTTACCCTCTCCAAATCAAACAAATCTGGACCGTTCATCTTGGAACCCTTCCGGGTTGAAATTTCATTGGTGGTCCGTTGATGTGACCCGAACCACTTTGACTCCATGTACGCCAGGCGGCGCCACGGCGGCACCAGGATTCCGACGGCAGCCATCGACCTCTTAATTGCTTGGCACATTAATTGCACCACCTGCCTCAGCTCCTCCGCCTTGCCGACGTATATTTGGGGGAAGATGTCCAGCAGGGCGCGGTAGCCGTCGGTAGGACGAGCGATGGTGAATTCTCCGGCGAGAAATAGTTCGATTACGTAGCGAGAATCGCCGGCGTTCACGTCGACGAACTCGTACCTCCCGTGCGTGTGCGCACCTTTTTTCTCAGACTTTGATTTACAGAGGCCTGCAATTTGATAGAAAACCTAATTTGAAATCTGAATTCCTCGATGTATGGATTTTGAAAACCTAATTGATGTTTTTGATTGATTTTGTGTTTTAGGATTGAAGAAATTACCAGCATCGATGCCTCTGCTGCGCAGCCGATGCATCAACCGCCGTTTGAAATCCGGCGACGAGGAGGAGCTATTTCCACCGCCGGCGACTAATTGAATGTACTCCGACTCCACCGCTGCACGAACGCCTCTTCTAACGGCGTCGTTTTCGCAATCAAATAGAATCTCCAACGAAGCTCGAGATTCAATTTCCGAGTTGCTTTCCAAATCGCCATCGTCGTCGATTGCAACACCTTCGTTTCGTCTCTGTTCCCCAATTTCTTCTTCGAGAAACGAATTCACCAGATCGGACAAATCAGCGGAATGCTCGCTTCCGCTACTCTGGCAAGGCCGTACTCTGGACAGCTCGTCAAACTCCGCCGCGAATCTCACCGGAATCCTCATCAAATTTCTGTTTCACGTATAAAATGAATGTGCATATATATATATAAATACATACAGATATATTATTATATAGCTTAATTAAGATAAATGTAGAGGCTTTTTACACGTGACAGTGAGAGTGAACCTTCAGAAGAAAACTGTCCAGATTCATCACGACAAACTGCTGAAACGACGACGTTTTATATTTTTGATGAATCGGGACGCACGCACGCATGCATGGTTACAAGTGATATCAAATTAAGAACTTAAGATTGGTTCATAAAAGGATGCGGCGACTGAACACCGTTGTTTAGTGGATGTGCTCTGCCCGAACTCCGTCTACATACATTCAATAGATATGTATGTATGTAGACTGAATTATGGATCGTGTGGTTTCATACTGTGACAACGTAGAGGCAACCTCGGACGTGAGCAAAAGGTCTGGTCTCTTCCAATTTGATAGCCCAAACAGTAGGCCCATTTTACCCAAACTGGAGTCAACCCAACCTTGGATTGAATAGTCCAAAAAATTAAAATTTAGGCTTGGTTTGCATCTATAACCAATTCTGATCAAATCTTGCAACAGTCATAGTTAAGGATTATTAGGCCTGAAAATCCATTTTGGTCTAAAAATCACAACAAAGATTTTGTTTTTTTTTTTTTTTTTTTTGGATAAAGATAAGATTGATTGGAGGGGACCCTTTCTCTCGTTGGTTGCTTCTATTTTGTGTTAAGCTCCAAATTTTCATTATCCATCAATTTATTTTTGCCTGTTTTCATTGACTGCAATTTTGTGCAGCAACACAGATGGATAAAATATAAGTTTTTTATTGTATCAAAACTTATAATAGAAGTAGTTAAAATTTTGATCCAATGACAGATATGTAATTTTTTAATCACTTAATAATTTAATTTTACAGTTACTGCTTCACCTCTCTCGCTATTATAAGAGACCATCTGTTATGGAGCATGAATCTATAATATTTGGTATACAGAAATATATATATATATACACCAAAATAATTTTGGTAGTTTCAACTTTAGGTATGATAGCACATGTCAAAAATGAACTTTGATATATTTGACTACACTGTAGGATCTGACGTGAAAATTTCGACATATTAAATGAGTGTTCCGTGATCATAGTATGTTATTACAACATATTTTATAATTAATGCAAATATTATTACTTCCTCCGTCCAATTTCTATTGTCCTAAAGTATATTTGTACGATTTTTTAGGTGATTGTCTTTTTGTTATGAATTGACAAATTTGTCCTTAATTGTATAGTAGAGATTAAAAATAATAAATGAATGAAAATAAAAATGTAAAATTTTGTATTTAAAAAAGAAAATAGAATAATAATTATTGATCGTTTCAAATAAAAAAGTAGAACATTAATTCGAGTACGATGCAGGGAGAGTATTATTGTTAGTCAATTCAAACTAATCTTTTTGACTGATTTATTATTTCACCTTCCCACATGAACTGTCATGAGAATGAGATGCACTCACTCACTTCCAGTTCCAGAGTCACTCATGCCCACATCAATCATTGGTGGGTTTAGTCCAGGACTGTCGCTCCATGGACCTCCTACACTCAACCCACAAAAAACACAACATTTTACTCCTCCTAATTTGTGCAATTATTCTGTTCCCATGGAAAGAAGACATATCATGTAACATATTCCTACTCAAAGATTAGAAATCAAGATTAGAAATCAAGATCCCATAATCATATATATATATATATATATATAAAAGGCAGATTCGGTGTTGATTTGATCGGATCATGTAAAAATAATTAACATATATTATATACTATCGTAGTATATTTATGCTATATTATAACTCATCTTATGATATTTATATAAAAATATATGTTGATTATCTTTATGAATAAACAGATCAGATTTTCAGGTGGCTACTATATATATATATATATGTATATCATCATTATCATATATCAAAATGGGAGGAATTGTGTGCAAACATTTTCCATTTCTTATTTCTTACCAAAACCCAAGCCCACAATATCACGTGTAATAATAAGAACACACATAAATAATGACATACACGGATATATCTTCTCCCTGTACCATATATGATATATACCACACATGATTACTACTACAAACTTTAAACTTAAACAAACTTGTGTGTATGTATGTATGTATGCATGAATAATTGTAATAATGAATGGAATTACTAATTATTTAAGCAGTTGCAATTGGCCCCTGCAGATTGGGGCCAGAGTTGATCTCCATAGCCTTGAAAGCCTCGAACCTCGGCTCCTTCGCCTGGAACTTCACCCCGAGATAGTGCTTCATGTAGTCCTCGAACACGAATTTCGGGTACATTTCTTGCTTTGACGACTCTTTCTCCACCAACTCCGGCGCCGGATAGATCACCGCGTCGCTGCCCGGATTGTAGAATGATGCGATCGACATTCTTGCGCCGTCTGTCTGCGCGATCACTCTGTGCATCACGCTCTTGTACTTTCCATTCGTGATCACCTTCAATTCCAATAACAAAATTATTGAAAACTCTAATATATTAGAAAAATAATTAATGATATGTATCCTTAATAATTTAAACTTCGTTTCGATCATCTAACAAAAATCAATCCTCAATGTAATGTGCCGGCCAAGAATTTACACATACACAACTTATTATATTAAAATACTTAACTAATTCTTTATGTTTCCGAATCACTTTTTCGTTGTTGTGAGCGGAACTTCTTTAAAAAAAATATGAATATTAGTAATATTTTATCTTTATTTAAAATATAAATATAATATGACATCTATTTACATCCATCATTTTAATATAAATAATTGATCTCCTCCATAAAATAAAGTATATATATATATATCACAACTGAAAATGACCAAGACTGACTCGTTGCCGAAAATGTTACGTATTTTTACCCGTGTTTTTATTACTTTTATAAACTATGCGAAAAAGATAAGACTGCCTGCTTAAACAGAGATTGTTGGGGTTTTAGAATTTTAGAAATAATAATGAATTTAGTATTTTGTTTTATGTGATTTTTGTGAAAATTAACAGCACTGAAGTCTCTGAAATTGTTATTTAAATACTTCAAAATATTATTTTAAATATTTAAATCTTCAATTTAAAAATACTTCATGACTCTGTTTTTCAATATTTAAATTTAAAGTAATTTGATGTGACGCAATTGGCTTAATAGTCAAAAGAGCTCAAAAAAAAAAAACCTGAGGCAAATTAAGTGCGAGAGTTAGGCTGAGTACGTACCTCCAACTGGTCGCCGAGATTGATGACGATGGAGTGGCGCATGGGCGGCACGTCGATCCACGCGCCGTCCTTAAGGAGCTGGAGTCCGCTGACCTTGTCGTCCTGGAAGAGGAGAATGATGCCGCCGGCGTCGGTGTGGGCCCGGAGTCCCTTGATGAGGTCCGGCTTCGGACACGGCGGGTAGTTGCTAACCTTGGTCCCGAAGGTCGGCCCTCGGGAGCCACAAAAGGCCTTCTTCAGATAACCCTTCTCCAGTCCAAGATTCTCGCAGAGCAGGTCCAGGAGCTCCTCCGCCAGCTTCTCCAGCTGGGCCGCGAACTCCCTCATCACCTCCCTGTACTCATCGTCGAGGTCCGGGACCTCGGAGATGTTGGATTGGGGGAGATGGCGGAGGAAGAAGGTGCTCTCCCAGTCCAGGTCGTCGATCTCCGACTGGACGGAGTCCAGGCCCTTGCTGGCCACCATTTCCTTGAACCTTTGCTCCATGGACCTCTTGTAGTGCCCCTTCGTCATCCTCTCAACTCTGTCCAGAAACTCAGGCGCTATGCTGTGATTCAGAATCTTCACGTACGGACATAGTTAAACAGTACTGTCAGATTATCAATTAAACAGAAACCTCAAGAAATATTTAATTTGTGTAAGAAAATATGTACGGTGGTACCTCAAAGAAACCCCAGTTTTCACAGGCGTCTTTTATCTGCTCCATTGTTGCTCCCCTTTCTTCTCCGTTGAGCTTCTCCATGTCGATCACTGGGAAACTTGTCATTTTCATTTTTATTTTTTTATTTGTTTTGTGTGTGTGTTCTTGAGAGAGAGTGATTGGATTTTGAAGTAGTTTTTGCTTTTGGTTTGGTGAATTGTAAAATTCTTGCAGGGCAATTTATAGAGGAACATGGCAGCTCTTCTTGAGCTCCCGGACTTGAACCACCCTATTTAGGTGTAATGAATAAATTATTTGAGTTTATATGTGATTATGAAATTCTATATTTGGAAATCTTTTAACATGGTTAATCACTTTTCTAGTTATTACTATCAATTAATATTTTTAGGATGGTTAAAAAAATTAATATCCTCATCGTTCTATATATTTATTGTTTTTAAAATATAATTATATATATTAATTATATTTTATAATTTTTAATTTTTAATTAAATTATTTTACTCATGTTTACCAATATATTTTTAATAAATAACGAAAAGAGTACAATATATAGTAATTTTTACTTTTCAAAAATTAATAATAGTAATAGGAGCATAAATCATAACCCTTTACCAGTGGGGCCCACTGAAGTCCTCTGAAGTGGAAAGCTAGCCTGTGGACAGTGCACATGGACCACTTTACATGGACCCACTCAAGTTGCAAGATCCGACAAATTATTAAAGTTATTAACTCAAAGAATTAAAAGTTTAAATTAAATTTAAAAATAAGTATGTTTGGATGTTGTACACTTAAATTAATACTCCCTCGTTCGAAATGTATTTAACTACTTAACTTATACATATATTTTAAAAAATATAAATATTTTATTAATATAGGGATTATATTTATTAAATTAAATAATAACTTCTTTTGCTCGACAAAAAATTAAAAATATATTGATTATTTATAAGTTAAAATTATTTACTATATATATATTCTTATAAAACATTTACTCATTTACTTGTGTTTTTCATCCAAATCTATCCTTTTTTTTATTGTCATGAAATGTTTTTATTTAAATTTTCAATAATAATAATAAAAAAAATTGTATTACTTTCTATATTTTATTCGTTATTAAAAATATATATTAAAAATTTGTGTAGAAAAATTTATTACATACTTAGATGAAAGAGTATTAACATGCAAAAATACATCTCTTTCATATTATTCACATGGGTGTGTTTGGTTGAAGGATTGTGAGGAATTTGTACTATTTATATTAAAAAAATATATATTAAATTAAAATTTTAAATTAAATATGTATTTTTTATTTTTTTAATATTTAAAATATTATATCAATATTTATTTATATAACATCGTAACATTTTTTTAATTTAAAATTTTTATTATTCAAATCTCAATTCAAAATTCAAAGATATTAGCACACCCATATTTTTTTACAACGTGCTCTTGAGTCTTGTGTGAATAGACATGCTTAATTTTACGGCGACCACATCATCAAATTTATTTGAATAGTAAGGATATTAGTTTTTACTATAAAATATTAATATAATATGGCTTACCAAAGCATAGCAATTAAATTAAAAAATATTGATAGTGATTTTTTTTCTATTAAAAAAATATATAAAATCATAGTAGTTGATCTAAAAATAATAATAATAATAATATTTCAAAACTTTTTAAATTGGACCAAATTTATTATTGGAGAAGCGGGGCCCACGCTCCAGTGATGGCTTCTGTGCAGGCTTCTTGACCTAGACGGAGGCTGCTAACTTTCCGTCCAGCACGTGCCGATTTATCGCACGTGACATTCCGAATTGTTAATTTGTTGAAATGTAATTGCGTGTCTTCAAAGTATAGCCGTGTCTACGTTTGTGACAGTATTTGAATTTTCCATTTTATTTTTAAAAATAAAAATATAAATATAAATATAAATATGTACTTTTGCCATGACCAAAATTTTGAATTACTATAATTTGAATTTTTTATTTTTTATTTTAATTTAAATTGCATGACGATTTTTGAAAAGTATTGGCTTTATGGAATTGAGACACAATTAAGGAAGCTTCCTTTAACTTACCAAGTAACTTCTCGCCACGTGTCGGCATCTCAGTACCTCAGCAATCCAATGGCGGTGATGGCAACTAGCTTACGTGGAGAAATTCAATTCGTAATTAATATTATGTCATAAATTGAATATATATGGTCACAATATTACAATATTCTATCGGTGACTTTCTTTAGTCAAAATTGAATATTTAGGAAAATATACAACCATCATGTTAGTCATGCCGTTGAACAAAGATGTATGTTTGCTGCGTAAACGTGATTTTGATTGGTTATTATTAATTACAAATTTAATATAATTGTGGTTATATATACACTAAAAAAAATATTAATTTTGTAACAAATTTTTTTGTCTTTAAATTCCTTTTTTCCGTTACTACTATACTATTTTATTTTATTTTTATTTTTTGGTAGTGATAGTGTAATGAATATATTAATAAACAATAATATAAAATCATTATTGATCTATACAATATTAGGGTGAAGGGCCTAGGGGGTCTACACTGGAATAGGATAGCCAGGTATGAAAATTATTAATTTCCAATTAAAATAAATTTGATAAAAATGAATAAATTCAAGTCTTAACATTTATTTTATTTTGCATGTTTTTTCGTCTTCAATATTTATATAGTTTCAATAATGTTATTAATTAAAACAATGTCTAATAAGTACTCATCCCATGGCCTAATCTTCTTAATTTCTGGTCAAACGGAAATTCAATATTGCTTGTCTTTATTTATTAAATTTTTATTGAAAACAAAAAAAATCAATGCTTGTTGAATTTCCACGCTCGTAGTTGGAAATAAAATGAAATTGTAAGAGTTTTTGATTTATCAAAAATATTTAATTTTTTATACTATTGTATGTCTGCTTGACAATTAAAAAACATAGAAACCATAAGTTTGAATTATAAAATTCTTTTGCAATTCTACAATCAAATCATTACAATGAATTGTTACAAGTTATTTATTTTGACAAATTAGAAACATATTCAATGGTTGGTCGGAAACACAATAGATAAGTAATTTGAAAAAACTGACAACGGTAATGAGTTGTGGCATCGACATTTTACAATATATGTGTAAGAAATTAATATCTAAATAGCACTTAATATGACTGAAATAAAATAAATAAATAAACTTAAAAATAAATACTCTATATTTTTATTAAAAATTATACAGCATGTATAATAATAATAATAATAAAATCTGATTTGAGTTACAAACTCTTTATTTTAACAATTTGTAACAATAAAATATATTCCCTCCGTCCAACATATCATATCATGTGTGACACTCTTTATTTCATTCATCCCACATGTTATGTCATTTTTTTTTAAAGTATTTACATTTTAATTTATTAAATTAATCAGTTATTTTAATTTTAATTTATAATTATTTGTATTATTTTGTAATTAATTTTTAAATAATTTACTAATTATATCTTTCTAATTTCTCGTGTCTACCGTAACTGTAATACGACCGGAAGGAGTATTTATTATTAGTGGATAGAAGAAGCATATGCTCAACTAAAATTTTTGTGTTTCAATTATTATGATTCTGTTTATATAAATATAAATATTTTTAAAATTTATGATATTATTAATTAATAATATATATATAAGTATGTGCACTCTTAACATTTTTAAAATAAAATTAGATTAAAGGTAAATTTTCATTTTTTTTTAAAAAAAATTAAATAAAGTGTTTAAAAATAGTGTTGTAAATATATATACATAATTGCATATTATGTAGGGGTAATATTTGAGAATAAAACGATGCACACGTGCATATCAATTGAGGAAGTTTCGAGAAAGAGACAGGTTCATGAACAGATATAAAATTCCGACCAAGTAATTGCATGCCCCATCGTCCATACAAATTTAAGGCGATGGATCAGGTGCAGAGATGCTGATGGGTTAATTCAATAATTAAATAATTAATTATTTAATTATTTAATGTAATATGATTTTATAATTAATTATCTGTAAAAAAATTCAGCTCCTTACCCCTTCCAAATTTCAGTTATTCATTTATTAAATATTGACTAAAATTATAATGTAGTGATAGTAAGCTCTATTTTTATTTCTCTTCCACATGGTGTGTCTAGATGGGTTTTAAGATTTATAAATATATATATATATATATCTATAATATTTTTTTCATATTTATATATGTACACAAATTTAAAATATAAAAAATTGTAAACATACTCTATATTTTGTGAGAACGATATCTCGCCTTTACCTTCAAAAGTATCACATTACTGATAGTATATTTCAATTTGCTATCTTATTCTTATTCTACCTATAATTTAATAGATCTCTTGTTTACTTATTTTTTTAATAATGAACATGTTCTTACATGGCCAATAAATGATTCAATAAAAACATGGTTTATAACAGAATAAAGGAAAAGAAAAATTAGGAAAATTGGTAGGCTTTAGATTTGGAAAAAAAAAAAAAAAAAACACGAAGAATACGAATATAATCACAATTAGCACGAGGGTAATTTATTTTAATTATGTATATTGGAGTTCTAATTTATTCTCTTTGTATTGTTTCATGAATGTCAACGATTAAAGTTGGGTTTATACATAATGCAAGTGTTTTTAAATTTTAAATTACAGTGAGAATAGTAAAATAATAAAAATTAAAATAAAAATAAAAATTGAATAGAAATTCTTTTTTTGAAAAGTCTTTCTCTAAACTCAAAAATAATATTTCGAACAAAAATTAAATTCAATTATTGGTGGCATATTGGTTATGACATGGACTGTTAGATAAAAATATATAGTTAGGAATGAGGATAAGAATTTCTTTAGATAATTATATTTGTAAAATGGCGATTATAACTTTATTCATGTATATTTATTCTCTTACGTCTTGTGCAATTTGTGTTATTTTTATATTAAAATCTTTGCCAATACACAATATTATAATAATAATAATAAACAAATAAATAAATAAATAAAATGGTGATGCTTATCTGAGACACATAAATTTTATAAGTTATCTCCATTATTGATGATGGAGTGGGCATTTAAATTCACTTTGTTAGATGCGAGAATTAATGCACGCGCAAACCTGTATATATATGTATGTATAGTTGCACTGAAATGTGCTTATCAAATTTAAGCATTCAGCTTCGTGGTGGGACACAGGACATACACAACACTACCCAATATATATGATTGTCCCAACCACAAATTTATTTATGAATTTGCATAACTTAATTCAACCCAAACAAAAATCTGAGATTTTTTTTTTTTTTTTGAGGTTTTATTTTTAAATTGATTTTTTTAGATGAAAATATTTTTTTAATTGTATGTTTTGTGTATAAAATATGTTAAATGTAGGTGTAGTCTATTTGTATTTTGATTGTCTTTTTGTAAGTAAAATAAGTATGAGATTAAATAACTATAGTTTTAAAAATAAAATAAGTATTAAATACTCTATCTCCTTTACTGTGTCTATTTTTTTTTATTTCTCCCATTTATTTTATCATTTTTTTTTAAAAAAAAATATATTTTAAGATCATTTTAATTTTTTTAATTTATAAATCTTCCATTTTAACTAAATAAATTAATTTATAATTATTTTATTAATATATTATTAATTATTTATAGTTTATTATTTGTCTCTACACACTTAGCAGACGGGGAAGTATAATATTCTGAATACAATTTATTTATTTATTATTTTTTTAATATAATGTTTTCAAATTCATACAATATATGTACTACCCATATTTTTTATATATTAGTTTTATAAACTCCGGCCCATTAGTTATCGTATTGGGTGGGCTAATTTATTTGGACGGTACTCCGCAGCTGTTCTTATAAAATAGAATCTAGCCCACAGACTTTTTTTTATTAATATTAAGCCCACCTATGTAGGATTATTTTATACTAATGATTTGATGATAATAATACTAATAATAATTACAATTAAAATAGATATCTTAATAAGTATAATATTAATAAGCATGTAACATCATTTTTTCCATTTTTTTTTTATAAAATAAAATAAAACGTTCCAAAAATATTTGAACAAGTGGAACCTCGGTTGCACGGCACAATGCACGTGATTGCGTGTTTGTTAATGGCACAAATTGCGTGAATTAATAAATTAAGTAATTTTTACTGATCCAAAACTACTCAATTTATATTATTGTTGATCTTAATCTTACTTAAGTTAACGTAATCAATTTATTCATATTTAATTGTTGAAGTTGGTGAATGTGCAACATTTGGGGTCACATAAAAAAATTAAATTAAATTAAATTAAAAATTCGAGTGTTCTAGAAACTACACAAGTCAATCTTCGCCTCACGATATCGGAAAGACTGTAATACCCTTGTGAGCATATGCGAAGTTGGTATGAGTGTAAGGGTGAGAATGTCATTTCATCTACCTTCCGAAGTATGGTGCCAAGGATGAGTATAAAAGACTTTGGTTTCGGCCGATGAGTTTCCCTTCGGTTTGGAATCCTTTGCTTCTATTTTTGTTAGAATCATCTGTAGCAATGGCGTCAATCGCTTCTGTCAATCAGTTTCCTTGTGTGAACTTCAGGAATTCGTCGCAGTGTTCGAAATTGGTGGCGTGTGCTGCTGTTTCACCGGTTAATCGGGTTGATTTTCCGGTAGTTTCGATAAGGAAAGGTAGGGATTCGCGGCAGAGTTTCGTTTTTAGGGCGGTGAGCGACGACGAGTGGGGTGTCGAGAAGGAGCCTGCGGGTCCGCCAGGAGTGGCTGTGGTGGAGGAGAAACCGTCGGAAATTGATGTATTGAAGAAACAGTTGGTGGACTCTTTCTATGGAACGAACAGAGGATTGACTGCCTCTAGCGAAACTAGGGCGGAGATTGTGGAGCTCATCACTCAGCTGGAGGCTAAAAATCCAACCCCTGCTCCGACCGAGGCTTTGTCTTTACTCAACGGGAAATGGATCCTTGTGTAAGTTCGGAGTAGATGGTTATTCCTTTTGTCTTCAATTGTTCAATATATATATTAGTGAGAAAGAAGGTTCAAATTGTTTTGCCGGTGATTTTTGTGTGCGAAACTGTTTTGATTTCGTGGTTGGATTGATTTGAGTTTGCAGTTAAGATTTACCTCGTCGCCGTACGGTTATCTGCTGCTTGTTTTATATGTTCATATATGCTGTAGATAATTTCACCCACCAGATTTATGCCATGTCAATCTGTAGGGTTGCCTGAAGTATGCTTGATTTAATCTGTTGGTGTTTGTAGTATTAGCTTCACGCTTGTGATTTTCAATATTTTCAAAACTGGGGATTGGCAATGGCAAATGTGGATGGCTGCTGAGCCACTATCATAGATTACACTAACTTAAAGATAGTTGTGTTGGTCTCATGCTTAAGTTATTAGATATTAGAGGTTAGGGTTAGTTTTATGTTTGTGCACATAGGCAATGTGACTTTCATCTTGTTGCTGACACTATGCTAATCATTGGATCCAATGTCTGCTGCTCATCCAACTATTTTTGACATTCTGCTTTCCATTCTGCTTGTATTTGGTGTTTCCTTTGCCTTGCAAATTTGTGTTATTTAGTTAGAGATGCATATCTAACCTCAGTCTATAGCATGCAAATTGGAGGAAAACAAACAGCAGCCCTGTAATTAAGCTTGATGCATATCTCTAATACTCCTATTCAATGTTTCAGCTTGTGAATCTTATTTGTTTTGTCAATTGAGCATTGCAGGTACACAACATTTAGTGGTTTGTTTCCTCTGTTATCACGGAGTGCAAATCTGCCACTGGTGAAGGTTGAGGAGATATCACAGACCATCGACTCCGAGAATTTCACCGTACAAAACTCTGTCCAGTTTGCTGGGCCAGGGGCAACCACTTCAATCACTACAAATGCTAAATTTGAAGTGAGGAGTCCAAAGCGAGTGCAGGTTGTTTTGTGCTCTCTTGCAATATTTAATTTCCTTTACGCAATCTAAGGATTGCATTTTGATTGAATTCCGTAATGCATTATGCTGTATATCTAATGTTCTTAAATCTGAGGTGCAGCTCAAGTTTGAAGAAGGCATCATTGGGACACCCCAGCTGACAGATTCAATCGAATTGCCAGAAAATGTCGAATTTCTTGGGCAAAAAATTGATCTCACACCAGTCAAAGGTTTGCTCACCTCTGTACAAGACACAGCTTCTTCCGTGGCAAGAACCCTTTCCAACCAACCACCCCTTAAATTCTCCGTCTCTAATAGAAATGTTGAGTCGTGGCTGCTGACCACATTCCTCGACAATGACCTTAGAATTTCAAGAGGAGATGGAGGCAGCATATTTGTGCTCATCAAGGAAGGCAACCTCCTCCTCAACCCTTAAAAATAGTTGAGAGAGATCCAACCTTGTTTATATATATATAGTGTGTATTAGTTTCCTCTCTCTTTTGCACTTGTAAAACGATCGAAATAATGCGTGTTTGTCACAGAACATAAAATGCAGAAATAACAAGGATTGGATTCGAGTTGCTGTATATTCATTCTTGTAATAGCCAAAAGTTTGATAAGAGTTTAAAAGTATCTCAAGTTTGTGAGGTGTGTCGATTTGAAGGCCGAATGTATATTATTTACTTCCCTATAGGTGCATAAATTTAATTTGGATATTATCTTTGCTGCAGCCTCATCAAGTTGTACATAGCAAATCTAAAATTAGAGCATAGCATATTATAGAATGAATCTGATTACGTCAAAAGACACCCAAACACAAGGCATATATATATATATATATATATCTCAATTAATAATATTCTTAAATACCCTAGACAGATAGTGAAGAATAGAAAAGAACATTAATCTTCAACCTCAGATGATGCATGAGGTTGATTATCCATCCATCCATTAGTGTGAGCTGAGCTGAGATGAGATGAGGTAGTACGTAAATATGGAAGAGAATAAATATAAATGAATTAGACACATACAATAGTACTGTCGGCCAGAAACAAGCCATGATATTGATATCCATCCAATACATAGATATTTTCCCAGCTGGGGGTGGGGTGGGGTGGGGGTGGCCCCATAATTAACTTCACATTCTCACTCGATCGGCCACCACCATTGATCAACAATTAATTACCTAACTAATATTTGAAGAAATAATCGATATATATCATCAGGGCCCTTCTATTCATTGGCCCTATATATATATATATATAGGTTATATAAGAAGCCAGTCTTGTCACGTATTATAATTAACTAAAGAATTTCCAATGTACGCACGTACAAGTTACAACAATGAATGAATGGTGTGTATATGTGGGGTGGGGTGGGGTGTTGGGGGGGGGGGGGGTGTGGTGGGGCTGTCCCGGGAAAACGATAAGCTGCAATCAATATATATATATATATATATGTGTGTATATAGTAGGAGTAGTATTAATTTGGGAAAGATGCAAGCTCATCATATCCCATGAATAGCCCCAGCAAGTATAGATCACTACGCACTGTACGTGTTCATGCCAGCTCTCTAGGGTTTGACATTTTTCCAATTCTATCCACAACTTTCCCATTTTCATTTCACTTCCTTTCTTTCCTTTTCTTTTATAAAAAATATAAAGTAAGTAAATTAATATAAATAAATAATTGATCTTAGCTTTTTGTTTTGGTTTTCTCCCAGGCCACTTTGCTTATATATGTATATAAGATAAGATTCCCTGAGCTGAGCAGTAGAAGAATGTCTTGTTTGTTGGTTTATGATTTTGTGTGCATGTTGGGGTACACTTCTGTTCTGCCCTGGTGGGGGAGATATATATATATATATATATATAAATATAATATAGATACATACGTATGTATACGTATACCCTTCAGCTATGTCGATTGTAATTGGTGTTATATTATTCTAAACGTTGTTAGGGTTTTGGGCACCGATTGGTTCCTTAGACTGGTGTTTTGTTTATCTATATAATACAAATAATATACTCCATCCGTTCCCAAAAATAAGTATCCATTTGTTTTTTTACAGTAATTTTAGAAATATTAGTATTATATTGTGATATACTATGCATAAAGTAGAAATGACTAAAATAACCTTATTAATATGTTTCATATAAAGGTAATGGCATTTATATAATATATTGTAAGTTGTAAGGGTATTTGTAATGTTAGGTACATAGTACACTTACTAAAAAAAAAGGAAATAGATACTTTGTTATGGGACGGACTAAAATAGAAAAATGGATACTTTGTTATGAGACGGACTATAATAGAAAAATGGATACTTTGTTATAGAAAAATAGATACTTTGTTATGGGACGGAGTAAAATGAAAAAATAAATACTTTGGACGAAGGGAGTATTTATTTATTATATGCAGAATTTTATATCATTACTATACCACAATTAACACTATATATTATACTATACCAAAATTTACAGTATATAAAAAACTGATATTTTAAATATATTTTCAATACGATATGAATGATATACTGTATATTAGGTATTTTATTGTCCGCTAATAAAATCCAACTATAGTTTACGAAAATTATACAAAATCTTTTTTATTTTACAACTGCTTTAAATTACATTATAATTTCAAAATTCTATATTTAATTCTTATTTTGTCATTAGTTAATAGTGATTTACATGCACTCTAACTATGAATGTAATTCAAACACTCAGTAAATACAAGATCAATGTTAACTAATGACGAAAAATATTGTTAAATACTCTCTCCGTCCACACACAAAATAAATATTTATTTTTTGCGGTAGTGTTTAAAATAATAACATTTTAATTATAATTGGTAGTTAAAAGTAGTAAAATGATATTTTTGTCCTTTTTTTTTTTGTAAAAGTAATGATGTGATGTAAAGTAAGGGTATTTGTGGAAAAAAATGAGGTATTTAATGAAATATTTACTTTGTAATTGGACGCTCCAAAATAGAGATATGTATACTTTCTAGCTGGACGGATGAAGTATAATATTTTTAAAACTATAAAAAAAAAAAAAAAAAAAAAAAAATCTTATATAGTTTTAGAATAGTGAAGAATTTCATACAATTTTTTATAAGTCAGGACTGAATTTTATTGTATTCCACCTATTTTTAACAGAAAATACAGTAAAAACCTTAGTAAATCTATTCCAAACGCACGCTAAAATTTCTTGTCAATCAATCCCACAAAGGCCCATTTCCAAAATTACACGTATGCACATATATATAGAGAGAGAGAGAGAGAGGGGGAGAGATTGATTTAATATAATGGTTATCGTGTCATAAAGAGCATAATTATCAACGGGAAAATATTCATGGGTTAGTGACCTAAAAAAAAGCATTTTGCAAAGTGGGCACTGGAGGAAGGCTTAACACTAACCCTTAATAATAATAATAATAATTGATCCCAAAGTACACTTACTAACTGTCGTATATTATAAGTATGAAATTTTGCATATATATATAAATAATGTATACTTAAAAAGATTATTAATAATGCTCCTCCGTCTCACATAATTTGTTTCTATTTTTTATATTCGTTTGTCCCATGTAATTTGTCATTTCTATTTTTGGAAATATAATTATACATTTTAATCGTATTTTAAATTTTAAATTTTATAATTTTTTTAATTTTAATTAAACTATTTATTTATTTTAATTTTAATTTTAATCTATAACTATTTTTATTAAATAATAATTATTTTTACAAATATATTTTTAATTACTTACTAATCATATTTTATTTAAATTTAATTTTTGTGTCTAATACACTCATATAATATGGGACGGAAAAAGTAATATTATTATTATTATTATAAAGAAGGCAGGTAGGGCAATTGATTGATTTAATTGGCCATTGGAAGGAGCACCAAAAGTAGAAAGTGAAGAGGTCATTATTACACAAAGACCAAAAGGATTATCAGTTTGCTGTCAGATTTTTGAACCCTCTTCCCAAATCACCATCATTCAAATCAAACACAATTTATTATTCTCTTCCTCTCGTAATGTTGACACCAGAATTTAGATAAAGTATAATTAATAAATAATTTAAAAAATATATCAATAAAAATAATTATTGTATAATAAAATTAATTATATATTAAAATTAAGATAATTAAATACTTTAATTTAGATTAAAAAATTAAAAAATATAAAATTTAAAATATAATTATGGTGTTATTGTTTGGGGAATTGGATTTTAAATTCACTATTTATCCAATTTTTTTTCAAAAAAATATCAAATCAAACATATATTTTTTATTTTTTATACTATACTAAAAATCAATTTTATATTACACAAATATCATTATTATTATATCATACAATACTAATAAAATTAATTCAATTTTTTTTACCTTTAATTCTATTTTGTCTCAATATAATACTAATATTTATAGACTCTGTGTAAAAAATAAATGAATATATTGATATGAATATATAAAATAAAAAAAATAAAAAATAAAAAAAAAGTGAATCGGAAAAAATACTATACTATTAGTATGAGTATTAGTATTAGTATTATTATTAAACAAGCTGCTCTTAAAAGGGCTCTTGCTTTAATTTATTTTTAGGATTAACTATCTTTATTTATAGTTAAAGGTAGCCAGAGAGAAATTAGGGTTTATTTCTTTTGGTTGATTTGAAAAAAAAAAAAAATGATTTGAATTTGATATTTAAATAATAATTGATAAAATGTTTGTGAAAAAAAAAATATATATATTTTTTTAAATTTAAACTTTAAACAGTAAAAAATTGAAAAAGTTTGGATTAAAAAACAAACTCTTATATTGTTTTACACACATATGTACGTGTTTTACTATTTTTAAGATAAATAATACTTCATCCGTTCCAATATAATAATCTGCTCCAAAATAATAGTTTTATTTTTATAAATAACTATATCAGTATAAAACTATTCTTACTTTTTCATTATTATTATAAAATTGTCATTACTTTTTACACATAAGGGTAAAAAAGTTATTTATCCTTATTTTTTATCTAGCTACCAATATAATATTAACAATTCTTAAATGTTGTGCCCAATACAATAAGACTATACTTTTGGGACGGATGGAACAATGAATAAATATATTTCCTCCGTCAGCATGTTTGTTTTTTCTATTTTCGTATGTTTCACTTATTTGGTTATTTATTTTTAAAAAAATCTATATACTTTACTCACATATTAAATTTTTTAATTTATAATTTTTTTTAATTTTAATTATACTAATTGGTTATTTTAATCTTAATTTAAAATTATTTTTATTATACTATAATTATTTTAATTAATATATTTTTAATTATTTACTAATTAAACTCCTCATAAATTTTTGTGTCTACAATAAACGAAACACGATAGCCACACGGAGAGAGTAATTCTTTACATAAAGTTAAATATATTAAATGTGATATTTAAAATACATAAATTTGTGAACAAACTTTTAATTAAAACAAGGGTTTATGATTCTCTCATTTTCTAAATTAAAATTAAAATTTGATTTTTTATTTTTTATTTTTTTTAACTTTATCAAATAAATTTCGTTTT